GCGGAAGATATATTTTCAGTTTAGCGGTTCAAACCGTTTCAAAGTTTGAACCATTATTTTTGCGCTCCGGAACTTAACCAAAAGCCGTGAATCTCAACCGAACTGATAAAAATTTCGGTTCGACACTCTGGCACCGAGAGACAAGCTTAGGCTGCCAAAGGTGCCATCGCATGCATGAGCTGCACGTGTTTGAGACCTGTTGGTGAATTGGTTGTTTGCTTGTCGCTCGAGAGGATCTCGGGACCAAAAACGACACGATTGCTGACATCCTGGTCGTTAGGTAATCGCCGGTTGTCCAACTCAAATTACAATCGCACATTAAAAAACAACAACTTGATTGTTCATTTTTGGTATGGTGAAATGACAGTCGCTTTCGGGGAGCCAGCGTTACGAAGATTTAATTTATCCGAAAATGGATAAATGAATAAACCGCGCGCTTGGAATATAACCACCTTTTGAACATAAAAAAACTCACTCTGGAGCACGTGTACCCCTGAGAAGGGTGCTTTTTCCCAACGCCGACGTGCGACGCGGGGAAGCGATACACACAAATGTGACGCTTGTTGACAGGACTCGAGCTCAAACCGCAAACGCTGCTCCCGAAGGCAATACAATACGCGCGCCAAACGCAACCCGCAACTCGACTCGATCGTATGCGTCGCCGTCCGCCGTTGACCTTGGCAAGCTTTTTGACCCTATGTTTATCAGAAAGGGAGCTAAGCTTTGTAATTTTACAAGAAAAAAGCGACCTGTGAAATACACTTTTGACGAAAAGTTTAGATTGCTACGAGCTGGCGTCGATTCTTACGGTCAATTTAAATCGAGCCTGGTGACTTGGGACACCCTATATATTTCCGCGTGCATAACCAAGAAGGAACGGTTCCCCCTTTACCCCGCACCCGCACCAGAAATGTCGCAGATGGAAAAGGCTCGACGAGCCTAAACTGAAAATAAAGACTTGATCGGCGAACTTGAGCCCCAAACTAAAGGAATGCGTCGAAACAGCAGCAGCGTGTGCCGCGGCGTCGGCGTAGCAGCTGGTTGGATCGAGAGTGAATGTGCCTCGTCGTCAGGAAAATCTACCACATTCGGCATCTTGGACATTCGACCTAGAATGTTCGAGACTGACTAGGCAAGGTCATTCTGACCTCCTTATCTTTTACACTCGAGGCAAGAGTACACACGAATCTTCTGGATGTAAGGAGAAGCGTTCCTTTTCAGTTATGCACGCAGCAACATAACTCCCCTTCGCTATTTGGAGACTTACTTAAAACTGAAGAACCAGTAGGATTTTGTCCTCAGTATGATGATTACAAGCACATACAAAGCACATTGATATTGCGAGCCTGAAAATCGAAGTTCGGAGTCTCCAACCGTGCATATTAGAGTAAAAATAATTGCTCCTTCATTACAAGGTACGTCAACTGCAAAATAAACAAGACGGCATGACGCTGCTTTGATATCATGTTCGAACAGATGAGTTTTCTTGCTCTATTTCTTGCAATCTCCTTGCGTGTGATATTTTCGTCAGACGGTATCGTATCGAACGCAAATACGATTTGTTTGTATAAACCTGGATAATTTACTTAGCCCTGCCATGTTCCAAATTACACAATCAAAATTGTATCATTGTGTAAACGACTCAAACTGTTGCAGACGGCATACTTCAGTCACTTCTTGTGCATTCGTAGTGCGTTTGTCGTCTGCAGCAGGCATCTCGAGACGTCTCGACCGGAAGTTGTCGTTGCAAATATTTCAGAAACAGCCAATTCTCGGCAAACTTCGGTCGTGGTAAAAGAGCATAATCCATCAGAAATCGGCCACCCTTTGCTCCTTTTGGAGAGGTGCATTTATTTGCCGTTTTGTGTAACTTTTTGTGCGGCTTCAAAGCTTGGATGCCTCAGACCGCGGCTTCACTTCGCGCCTTTGGGACAAGGGAATTTAGGTGCCGTCGGCTCGCTCCATGGGGCAGTTAATGCTTTTACATTTAAAAAAAAGTGAAAGCCGCTTACAACTCCCTGTAACGCCGAATTGGAGCGCAGCTCTTGAGGAGGAGGAGGGAAGGGTACTGAGGGGAGGGTAGACCCATCCTCCTCCTCCTTCTTCTTCTCCCCCTCCCCTCATTCTTGAATATGCTCCGGCGGGTGTACCCTCCCCCCGAGGTCACCGGACCTCGGGGGGGGGGGGGGGGGTGTCACGTTACTTTGGGGGGGGGGGGGTCACGTGACCTCCGGGGGAGGGGGTCACTTGACTTGGGGGTCACGTGACCTTGGGGGGGGGTCATCTGACCTCGCGGTTACGCCGACGCCGCTCAAGCCGGAAGCGGGCGCCTAAGAGCTGCGCTCTAAAACAGCGTTCAGCCCCTCAACTCGCAGCCAGAATAAGCGAGCAAGTGCTCTGGAGCTGATTATATGCCGCCAATGGCTGCGTTTACATGGATGCGACCGTTGCGCATCGAATCGAGATTTGACTATTCTGATTGGTACCAGATAGGTAGAACAGTAAGAAGTAGGAGGACAGGCTGCGTGCGATGGGTTCCTGCTCGATTCGATGCGCTACGATCGCATCTATGGCTACGTTTACATGGGTGCGATCGTAGCGCATCGAATCGAGCAGGAACCAATCCAATCAAAATAGTCAAATCTCGATTCGATGCGCAACGGTCGCATCCATGTAAACGCAGCGCATGTAAACGTAGCCATTGTTGATCATAGCCACGCGCTGGGGTTGGCGAGGCACAGGACACGCGCAGAGTTCCAGACATTGTTATGGTTCGGCTATTGCCATTGCAGCGATTGGACACGCGCCACTACCCGAATGCTTCTCGAGCTATCGATTATCACGAGTCCAGATCGGGTGTACACGCAATGCTCAGGTCCAATCTAATCTATGAGCCACATTCAAATATCGGCACTGGGCCGTACTGCGACCGCCCAGTTACGTCATGAAGTTTTGCGAACGAGAGATTGAAAGAAAACGCCCGCTTTTGTACTATAAATTACTTACACTGCAACAAAAAAGTTTCTTGGCTAGGTGCGTTGTGTGCGAGAGTCCCACTAGTGCCAGTAAGCTTGTGTACAGTGAAAAACATTCCAATTGAATATCGTTACACTGCCCCTTTCAGTTGAGTGAACATATTTCAGTGAACGCTAGATTCGTAGGCAAGCCTTTCTCCACATTGGACACTTTTGTGGTAAACGTTTCTCCGCCGCTCGTTAAATATTTTTTTCTTCCCATCTTTCATTTTTTGTTAAAACATTACCCCTCGCCTTCTAAGCACAAATGGAATGGTTTTTGTCATGGTCCAGAAGGGCACTGGCCCATTGTACTAAACGAACCTTGACAAGATAAGCTGGAAAACTACGTCTTGTCAATATTCAAAAAAAAAAAAAAATTTTTAGGGCCACTCTGCGCTCTGACAAACTTTATTCTTAAAAATGTTTATTAATGCGAAAGCATTAACTGTCCCACGGAGCGAGCCGACGTCATCAGCCGCGCCAAACGGCAGATGAATTCGTGAAGCTGCGATCTGAGGCATCCCAGCTTGGAAGCCGCCCAAAACGGCAATTAAATGAAGCCGAGGGAGGCCGCCGCGCGTCGGTTTCAATGGGCGACACCCCATGGCACTGCGTGCCCACGCGCCAGCAAAAGGACTCTGCTGGCGCGCTCGGGCGGCGCAGAAGCCGTACGGTCGCCCGAGCGTGCCAGCAGATACCGTGTTGGCACGGAATCGTGTGCCGATGACAGCGAGGCGTGGCAACTTCACGAAAACGCGCACAAGAACGACATTCATGCTTTCGCATTCACAACCGCTCAAATGTACTCGAGCCCTCTTTGCCATAGTGACCTCGAAATTCAGTTTTACGGATAAATCCAAATTTTCGAAAATTTTACTGGAGTGTTTTCCGGAGTTATCGAATTTATCCGAAAACACCTTGAGCACTACTTTTTGCATTAAACATCAGCTGTGCAGGGCAATGGCATGTTCTAGCGCTAGATTGTCCACGAATTGGCGAGAAATTCACAGGGTAACTTATACATGTAAACATGATAGCGAACCTCCAAAGACAGCGTGCCCTCTCACAGCGCCTTTGGCGCCGTTTCATTGACTCACTCGAACTGTGGCGTCGGCAGGGGTCCTGGTGATAGCGAACCCCCGAAGACGCGCTCTCCGACGACGCACTTTTGGCGCTGTTTCATTGGCTCACTCGGATCGTGGTGTCGGCTATGGTCCCAGTGATAGCGAGCCTCTGAAGACAGCACACTCTCCGACGACGCACTTTCGGCACTGTTTCATTGGTATCTTTCGTGTCGCCGACGCGTTTTCGCTCAAGGACTTTGAAGGCCGACTGAACAATAAGACGTATAAAGCTTTCGCCTCTATAAAGCGAGCCCGAGACAGCAAGGCAGCAGATGCAGGGGTACAAACTTTTCAGCTGCTTGCACATTATGGTCAATTTGGTAACTATATTTAGTTTACTTTTCTCAATGGCACTCAAACATTTGGAACTAAAGCAAGAGTGCGAGCTGGTTCAGTACCGACACAGTCACCCAAGAGCGGGGAGAAAAACGGGACGGACAACACAAAGCTCCGAGTTCGTAGCTTACTGGGCTGTGCTGTCCGTCCAGTTTTTCCCCCGCTCCTGGGCTACCATGTCAACATTGGCCGTCACATCATATTTGAAGTGATAAAAAGTATGGTGAAGGCCAGTCGTTTTTTCTTTTTTGTGTGGGGAAATGAATTGGTTCATCATGACGATCCCTTGCAACAGTTTTCTCATAGAACTCAACTAATAAAGCACATGCCATGTTCATAAACTGGATGTCGGAAAACACTTGACCAGTAGCCAAAATTATGAAACCCTGAACTGGCATGGTTCTTGCAACTCCTGTAACCATAACAAAATTTTTTAGGGTTCGAATTCCTGGGATTCGCTTTTCTGTTGCTCCATGCAGGACCACGAATGTAGGCAGATCCACAGAGGTTGATAGGCGTCGAGCACTGTTTGAATTGTTTATTGTGTCAACATTACACAAATCTGTAAGTCAAACTCGCAAGAAAATAAAAGAACACTTTTGTTTATACAAACCTATAAGGCAACACTTCCGAGATGTTGTTTTCGCCCTTTCTTCTCGCTCCTAATTATTGTGATAGCTCCTTCCCCCGTTCGGATTTTTAGTTGATTGAAACGAGACGTATTCAGGCCAAGCGTCGTTATGGATCCCTAAGCATTTATTTGTACAGTTGTCCGCAAACTCTTCATTAAGCTAAGTCTTCACCCCGCCCGCCCGCCCGCCCGACCGACCGACCAACAGACCCCACTGAAAAAACACCCTCTCCACAAAAAGTAAAAAAAAAAATATAAAGCAACCTGCAGTGTAAATGTGCAGACAAATCCCAATTAAAAAAAAAAAAAACCACAAACTTAAATCCACAAATACTGTACAACAAAACTTTTTGTGATGCATGCACAAATTATTCTTCCCTCGTCGGAGAAAGCGCGCACGACCGACTAAGTCGGAGGAGACGCCAAACGTTGCCTTCCACTCCTCGCAGGTGCACAATGTTCCACTACGGGCAAAAAAAAAAGTCAACATGTCAACTTTTCTGCACGCCGCAACGGGTCACCAGACAAAAGCCTCGCTCACGCTCGTCCGATCTCCACTCGTTAACAGGCAGAACTCTACACAACCATCCAGGCCCCTCCTCTAATAAAAAAAAGAAAAAGCACAGACTCAAATTAGAGTTAAAACCGACGAAGAGAACCACGTCGGCTCGGCGGCGACGAAATGCAACGCGCGATTCGAGCGCTAGAAAAGACGTCCTTGAAACTGTGGCTGAGCTTGTCTCTCTTCCGGCCCGCGCTGACCGACTCGAAATAAACTCGTGCCCTTCGCCGGGGGGCGACAACGAGGCGCTAGGAACGTTCACGAAAAAAAAAAAAAAATAATAATAAAGAGGCGGGGTAACGCGGGGAAGTGGAAGTCGAGGGAGACCGTCGGCCAGTCCGCAAGATCACCACCCTGGCGTTGCTGCAACGTCCCACACCAGAGCAACGAGGGAAGGAAGGAACAAAAAAAAAAAAAAACGGTCAAGGAAAAGTGGAGAGAGGAGCACGCGCGTGGACCACGGCAGCTAGCAGAGGGGAGCACCACCGAAGTTGAAAGACGTCGGCACCGTCTGGTTCTGGAACACGTAACCGCCGCTCTTCTCGATTCGTCTGGACTCTGCAACGGAGAGGGAGAAAATGGATCCAGTTGGAGGTGCACTCGGAATTAATGCCGGGAGAATAGCAGTGAGAGCCCTACGCTGCTGTTTTTCTCAAATAAAATAGCAGCTGAACTATAATTCAGCTAAACACAAAGGCCTAATGCAAAAAGTCTATCATACACTATGCCGCCGACTTCCCAACTCCGGCAGACAGCGCAAGTCGGAGCCCTACGTTGACCCTTCTTAGAATTCAAACTGGCCACCCTGATAACTATCATCGTCTGAGTGCGTGGCATCTGTGCCAGGTGAACTACCGTAAAATACCGAGCATGAGCCTATGTCCCAATGAGTGCCCACTCCCCCCCACTTTTGAGAAGTTCAAAAAATCACTAACAAACATATCGAGCACCCAACCCCCCCCCCCCCCCCCCCCCCCCCCCCCCCCCCCCATTTTAAGACAGTTAAAATATATGCAAGACGCATCAAGTGCCCGGTCGCCGTGGGCGGCCATTTCCTCCGTGATTGGAGGACAGCGCGGGCATAGCGAATGCATAGCACGGGTGAAGCGGCTTTAGTGACAGAGACTAGATGTTGCATAGCCAATCACTCTTTAATTTTTCTCATCGAAATGTATTTACTCGCATAATGATTGTCAGCATTGATTTGTTTTCTTTTTCCGCGCAGCTGCCAAGTCAATTAAGCCGCCGAGCGACCAGGCCAAGCCAAGCCAAACCAAGCATGGCAGCACACGCTCAAGTTATGGCTGCAAGTGGGAAGTTGCAGAAGCGATGAACAGCATAACCGCACGGCACACACGGCCAACGAAATTGGGGTCGAAGAATAGACGCTTTTAAAAATGTTATGCTTCTAGTGGCACCGATTCCAAACTATGCGCAATCACTGGGAGTGGTCACGTGCGCCACTCCGGTAAGGCCGCAGCCGCCATTATGTGGTGTACGGTCGCAGAGGCCAGTACTCTGTACAGCCCGCATGGTGCCTTTCTAGGTGCGTTTTCATTGCTGTGCGGCACTGTGCAAGCAGAAAGGCAGATTTCAAACAGGACGAGATTTGCTGTTTTGCTGCAAAAATACAGCTGCCAACAAAAAATGCATCAATATAAACCAAAATTACATGGGTCTAATGACGGCCATTGTGAGCTCAGTGGTCGGACCAAGCGGGGTCAACCCAACCATGTGCTTATTCTGTAATTTCGCTCTTGGACCTAGCAAGTGCCATCCCCCGGTTTTCCATGATTATCTCCCAATTTCGAGTGGTTGCTTGCTGGGTATTTTCGGTAAGTTAAAGATGCTACCAAGCGGAGGATACAAGGCCTGTGCGTTTAAGACATACATTCAATGCACTAGTTGTATATTAAGTGCTGGATCTCCATTCATTTCAGACGCTTTAAAGCCCCTTGATGTAGAGAATCTTATTGAGGGGTTTACTTGGGAAGGCACTTCATACTGGCAGGCTGTTCATCTGTAACGTTCAAACTGAAGGGAATCAAAAGCTGTACGGTGAAGGACGGATTCTCAACTGCCGTTGGCATGCGAAGGTGGAAGTGCAAGACAAAACACAGTAATTTTATTACCGACACTAGTAAGGCAAAGGTTAAACTGCCCCTCTTGAGCTACCCGGTAGAAACTTATTTCAGAAAGGGCCTAGTACAGTCGACAGCAGCGGCCAAGGATCCCCACGACAGGCAATCGAGCAGGGGTAGTCATAACCGTGCGCTCACCTGCCGCTGCTCTCCTCTGGTCGGCCAGGAGGTAGACCTCTTGTAAGGCTTTCTGCTGCTCGCCCGAGAGACCGGACGTCAGGGCGTTGAACCACATGGGGTCCGTGCTTTGGATGGCTACAAGACAGGCGGGAAACGGGGGCCGCTATCACGCGACATGCACGCAAAGCACTGGACGAAGCGAGCAAGTGCAAAATAGACGAGATGATTGCATCTGCATCCAGTCTACAATGGAAATGAGACACACAGTAGACGCCTCACTGTCACGCAATGTTATGTAGTCATGCAACCCCGTGAAATCGGCTGACACCGTAACGTCACGGTCAAAATCAAAGCCGAATCTGAGGGTTTTATGTGCCAAACCAATTAAGGGGGAACACTACTCCGAAAGGCTAACTTTGGACTGTTTGCCTTATTTGTATGAAATTTGCAGGGTGTACTCATAGCACTGAGAAAGGATGCTATGCAAATTTTCAGCCTTATAAATTTATCCCACAATGAGTTACATAAAAATTACATCATACAAAAAGTGCATCATACAAAAGTGCATACAAAAAGTGCATCCACTGAGGAAAGCTATTGTTTAGAAACAGTAATAAGATGGCCAGTCTTTTGGGGAGAACATACAGCAGATTACTTGCTTCAGACGACTCTAAAATTAATTAAAATTAATACATTTTTATTAAAAAAATGGTTTGCATTTGATTAAAGATAAATAAACTTTTCATAAAAAGAAAATAAAAATGCTGAAAGTAAGTTCACAGTCGCGTTCCCCACAAAATTTCAATATAGAAAAACCCAAAACTAGCTACAGTCGCCGACCGATTTTTCGGAATCTGAGGGGGGACCTTGAAATTGTCAGAATAATCAAGCGATCTGAAAAATCAATTTCAGCCAGAATATCAAATTTCCGTGCGTCTTCCCGCTGCATATTTGCCACTTTCCACTTGCTTGATGTCAATTTTCAAGGGACACTGACAGGGTATTTATGCTCGCCGAGGTTTTTAGTTGTACGTGACATATGAGAGCCCAACTACCCAGAACAGAATTTGCGGCTCAAAACTCTCTTTCCGCCCGAAAACCGCCGGTCAAGAACTGACCGGTTTGAGTCACGCTCACTCCCTATTCTGTGGTCACGGGCCGTTTTCTAAGGTTTAGGCGCAACCACCAAATTTAATCAAAGTCGTGGGGTCATTGAAGGCACACGCTCAATATCAAAAAAAGAAAAAAACACGAAACCCATTTTTGTGGCTTCCAAAAAGCTGCAAATACATTGACTGAAAAAAAAAAAAAAGAAAAAAGGTGGCACAGACAACCGGAAGCATTCTGTGCATTCACTGTATAATTTTCAACATGGCGTCGTTTCGCGTCACGTATCGTGGGACTAGCGGATGGCGGCGGACGACTGGCGTGGGACTTCTACTTCAGAACCGTCGTTCACGGTACCGGCGAAATCTGTCTTCTTTCGAAAGAGAAATTAGGGACCGGTCAAAAGAATTGATATTCATCCCGTACGACACGCTCGACTAGCAAGCCGATTGCACGAAGACGTCGCCAAGCCGGCGTCCCTTCTCGTGGCCGAAGACATCGCTTGCTCAAACGTCAAGCACTAAGTGCGTACTTTGAGTTGAAGACGCACGCATACGGTTTCTTTACTAGGTGCGAATGTGGCCAATGCGTGGAGCTGCCCGACTTCAAGCCGGGAGTGCATGTACTGGAGGGAAATCGGCAGCAAACTTTCCGACGCACAATCGACCGGCTACTACAATCCTATGCACGAAAGAGTTCCTTCAGTAGATCAATGGGAAGATGTCCGTTTCACACACAGCGGGCACGGGTTCAATCCTTAGTGCGGGCCATACCTTTTTTTTTTTTCTTTTTTTGTCAAACATTTTGCGATTTTTACATTTCTTTTTTTTTTACAACTATCACTGAAAAATACAATTGTTGTGGACGATACGTTGCTGAACTAAATGGTATGGGATTCCATTTTTGACAGCTGCGAACTCAATGTAGTCACTTTCCACAAAATGCAAGGTGCATCTGAATAGGGTAGCGTCCATTTTCCGAGGTCCCCGTAAATGTTCTACAGGAATTGCAGCCAGCCATCGGTCCCGACCCGTTGCTCTTTCGGAAGCTTGTGCACTCTGCCGCACAATGCCACTTTCAGATGCAGGACATCCGAGGGAGCTCTTCACGCAACATCTTTGGAGTATTCTTTTCAGAGCCGGGAGTGAAGCATTCCCAAAACATGACGTACAAGAAGCATCCTCCAATGGTTCCGATGAAGTCAAACTCCACCTTGACTGCGCTGGCGGTGCAGGCGACACCGGAGCTTCCGAGCCCTTGCGGGATCCGAGACCTCTTGGTTTCTTTAAGCGAGCGCGCATTTTTAGTTGAAAACAGAAGCGGGAAGATCGAAGAGAAACTCAGCAAAATGGACAGATCAGCGAAAAAATGTGTTCTGAACGTGCCCCATGCACGGAGAATTACGTGACGGATGACAACCACTCGCTGCTTGGGTTTCATTACTCGGCCAATAGTAGCGCCTTTGGTTTTTTACCACCATTCTTGCCCCAGAACGAGCGCTTTCTGCAAGGCTCTCCACCATGCACAAAGGAGTAAACAAATAAACAAAAAAGTAAAATCAAAAGCCCGCGAAATGACACTTCGAACGAGACTACCCTCGCACCAGGCTAGGCCTAGTAGTGGCAGAGCAATCATGTTTCGAAGCTGATGCTTATCGTGGTTTTCGTGCTCAGCCAAGCGCGGCACTCCTTGGGCATGTTACCGATGAGTCAATAATAATTATTTCTGCTGTTGTTTGTCAACACACATTGATAAAACTTTGTGAGGGTGTTAATTATTAGTTGAATGTGCCAAAAATGTGCAATTTTAATAATCCATTTTTTTTTCACGACAAATTGGTGATTTGAGGTGGCCCGTTCTGGTGGAGGACTGGGGAATAATATGGACCACATGAAGATCCTTTGATGTGCAATCGAAATCCTGGTTACACGGCCCTCCTCTGCCATATGCCTCGATTAAACTGTGGGCACCTCGGCCGATATTTGAATCCGCCACCTGGGGATCCATGGGTGCCTTGCACCAGAGCCATCGAGCCGGCTGCGCGAAGTCACACGATCACGTCGCTAAGGTCACATTGCAGGACTTCACGCAACACTCGTTACAGCATCCCCGACCCGACTCGTAAATGCCGGGCTGCCAAAAAACCGCGCAGTTTTCTTTCCCGCAGGCAACCGTCCCGGCACTCACCCTGCATGACCTCCTTGAAGACCATGTACTCGTCCACGGGGCAGTCCTCCTCGTCCAGGGGCGTCGTGAACGACTCCAGCGCCGTCTCCTCCTCGTCGTCATCTTCCTCGTCGTCCTCGTCGTCGTCCTCCTGGTCGTCCTCGATGGTGGCAGACGTGACCGGAAATGGGGACTCCTTCTTGGCCTGCCGCGCTAGCCTCTGCAGGTAGTCCTGGCCCTCGACGTCGTCCTCGTCACTGTCCAGCACCTCTGCGAGCGAGGCGGGCCGCAGAAAACGTCGGGCCGCTGTCTAACCGCAAGACGTGTCGCGTGACATCTCGCTGAATTCGTTATATATACCTATATATATACGATGGTGCAAAGGGCAGGAACACGAGAGGAACGGGACAATTTCTTGCCCTGTCCCTTTCAAATTCACGTTTCGTTGCGCTATTACATATACGTAGTATGACGTTTAACCAACTAGCTCAGCAACTGATGCTAAATTCGTCATTGACTCCACTCTCCAAGAAATGAGCCCCATTGCCGTCCAACACTTCTGCCCTTAGCGAGCGGGCCGGGGCTTGGGAAACATCACGCCACTATCTAACCGCGAAATATGTCGCAAAATGTTGCGCTACTGTGAAATACCGTCAAAGTGCCCATTTCGTTCAAGCGCCTACTATTATAGTTTTGAAAACTTGGGAATTCTTAAATTATATGTTACGTGCCCAGTTTGACCGGACAAGCGATCATGTTTAAATGAACACAGTTTTCAGTAGAAGTGGGTTGGCACTCTGCATTTTACTAGCTTCGCTCGATTTACGTGCACCTCCTGCACCGGCGCAGAAATTGTGTAGCGCACTGTACTTCCAGTATATGCATTGAGATACGACCGGAAGCACACCGCCTTACACTCTCGTGCGCCGGAGCAGGAGGTGCGGGCAAATCGAACGAAGCCAGTATGTCCGTCGTAACTCCGTTCCAAGAGATAACGTTTTTCCTCCCCCATACGTATCTTTTCGCATCGATCATCGGTTCAAGGTCTGCACACCTACAGAGCCGTTCCACGAAACGCCCTTTCCCTTTCGACAAGCCACGCTCTGTCACGTTGACGAACGGCAGCGGGCGTCTGATGTAGCCACCTCTGCCGCTGTACCACTGTCGGAACCGCGACATGCTCAAATCGTGAAGTCACCAGCCGAAAGTAGAGAGGACTAAATAGAGACGAGGTCAATGTACCAGTTGGAAATGCTTTCTATAAATTACACCCATAGTAAGAGGACACTTGAAATGCTTCAAGACACCGAAGCCAACTTCTGCCAATGGCAGTACAGTAAAGATGCTACAGCAAAAACGAGGGCGGCATACAAAGCTCCTTTGGTGCAAGCTTGTTTTCACAACTCGCGCAAACATTACACTCGAGTAATCTTCACAATGTCGCTTCGAGTAATAAAAAGAGGCACGCACCTCCCTCGTAGTCGTCGTCTTCCTCTTCCTCGTCGTCGGAATCTTCGTCGTCCTGGGCCCTGTCTGGAGATGCAACGACACAAAATATTGTCAGGTGCCGAGTTGCGTATCATCACCTGCCACAGCCATGTGGGTTATCAAAATAGAGCCCCCTTCTTGTCGGCGACGCTCTTTTCATATCCCGTCGTGCAGACGGCACACGAGCAGCAATACCGTTAACGAACCCTGCTGCCAAAAACCGAGTCCAACTCCAACTTTACATTTTCGGGAACACTCTGCTGGCGGGACAATGAAGAGGACGCCGCCCTGCTTCCCTTTTGGGTCAAGAGTGCGTCGTGCCCCACGGGCAATCCCTCTTAACGCAGAATGTGTTATATCGCTGGCACCTAAGCATACCCGGGTGGGTGCCAGTAACGGAAGTCGATGGGTAGGCTGCCAGCCAAACCCCGACGCGGCGCTCGTCTCCTCACCGACTGGACACCAGTGACGGACGAACCCCTTCCTCGAGTGCCTTTGGATTACTCCCGGCGGGGGTGAAACGAGTGCACTCCAGACTTCTCCACAAAAAGTGTGCAAGAAAGAGCTACGAAAAAGCGAAGAGGGAAAAAACGAAAGACTTCTTTGCCACAATGAGCTCAGGTAGTCCGGAGCGTTCGGTTCTCTTTTACGGCAAGCTGGTGCCAGGACTCTTTTTCCGCTAAATTTAGTAAAAAAATTTACCGCCAAATTTTTTTTACAAATTTCCCTTGTGACGTCACATGACGTCACAAGGATGACGTCATGTGACATCACCCTTGTGACGTCACATGTGACATCATTATGAAAAATGTCCCATAATGCAATGCGCGGTTACGCCGACAGCAACGTCGCTCAGCCCGAATACGGGCGCCTAAGAGCTGTGCGCTAAATATGATGTGGAAGTTGCCGCCGTTGCTATGCCAATTCTTGACGACATGTGTCGGCATTTAGCGCAGGGGTTTAGACTTGGCAATGGACGGGAATTCCAACCTCGCAACGGTCCGCATAATGTTGCATTCGGATGGCCAATCCGTTTTGCCGGGCGTCTGAAATTTCGGACGCAGCCACCACGGCTTCCCTCAATCACTGCCTCAATTCGCATGCTGCTGCCTTCGAAGAACCAATTTTACCTCCCGGGTGTCGACGGTTTCACTCAAATGGCGTTGTCGCAGTGTCATGGTTTTACATTGTCGCATACGTTGCACCATGGCTGCTCGTTCTTTCCCTCTTCCGCTCCCGTAACACGTCATTGGAAACGTGCCGCAAGACATTTTCCCTCTTGCAAAAGCGAAAGTGGACGTAGCGAGCAAACAAGCAAAGCGAAAGAGCACGGCGGGAACTGCGCTGCGGCATCGTGAAACCAGCCCAGGTTAGCCAAAACCACGACCTTCCAAACGAAAGACGTCTGCATGCACCAGGGCAAAATATGCCGACTCGAATATATGCACTAAGAGAAATGGTCATTGATAACAGTGTCAGGATTATTTCGAGCACATGGCGGAAGGACTATGCATAAAATATGCGTGGATTGGACTGACGGCACCGTGCGCGTCCCCGCCCCACCAAACAAGACCCACTCACAGGCGTAGGCCCGCTTGAGGCCGTCGAAAAGCACGAGCAGGGAGGGCACCACCTGGGAGGCCATCTCGGTCAGGGACTGCGGCCGGGACCCTTGGCTGCTGATGAGCGTGCACAGGCCCAACACGCACATCTTGCGGTCGTGCAGCCTGAAACACAGCAACACCCGCATGCCTCGACTATAGAGCTTGCAACTCGTCTTCGACTGACGCATTTGGCGTCCCATCCGTCCTGTGCAACGAATTGTGTCGCTCTCCAGGCCGCAAACTGTCCGCCTGGACAGTTATTTGTCTGCTATATTCACATCCGTTGCAGTGCCACTCCCAGAATCGTAATGGGCAATGGCGTGGCCGTGTTCCAAAATTTATTCAGCCTTGCTTTGGGGTAAGGGTTTTCTACCTCGGTGTTGAAAAACCTACCCCCGCCCTGCGCTACTCTATCCGCACTGCCATGTGACACGACCCGCCGGAATAACTCGGATTGATTTGGGCGAGATTTGGAACACCGCCACGAAATGAGCGACGTAATCAGGTGGAAATCAAAGGACCACGACCAAAGTCGCAGTTCTTGGCACCCTACTGCGACTATGAGCGGAGACTGAGATCATCTCAAACTATGAAGACCTAAGATTACTCTGGCGGAACCTTCTGGCAGATATGAAGCCCCCCAAAAGCGCCCCTCTCTCGCGTTCTTAGGGCACCTAATACTAAACTGTGCTCGCATGTGCATGAAGTCAGTGGGCCATTCATACCTATACCTATAAACAGACGTGTTGCAACGTCGACGAACCGCCGAAACAAAGAAGGTGCCCTAAAAACACTAATCCTACCAGCACACCTTGCAGACAGCACCTTGCAGACAACGGACCGGTAGATGGTACATTTTGACGCCTCATTCATTTCCTCTTCCTCTAAACAATTCTTTGGGATTCTGCAGCTCTGCCAAAGGCAAAACCTGCTCAGTTACGCAGCAACCAAAAGCGAAGGAAGGTCGCTTTCAAGACAGATCCGACAAGGGAGAGCCGTCGCCGAAGCACGGCTGCCACTCACCCGAGAAAGTACTCAATGTTGCCCAGCCACATCTTCACGAAGTGATCCACCAGATGTTCCGACGTGTCCGCCCTCTGGATCTTGCCGAGCGTCTCAAAGAGGAGGACCGGATTGTAGTACAGTGCAGCAATCACCACCTGTGCAAAAAGCCACGCGTCAATCGCCATAACTGCTGCGGAATGCAATCTGTAAACACGGGGCGTAAGCCGCAAACTGGACATACTTCAAAAGCCACATGTAGACGGACGCGATTAATTGTGGCCACGCAGCGGTGTCGCAGAAGGTTTTCTTGTTGCGAGTTTAGATCACTGAAAGGAAGGCTTTGCTGCACAATATAAATCTTGCCGTGCATTCTCAGTGGATTCTCATGGAAGCAGATGGGGGATGCAACGGCAGTGCCATCTGCCACTTTGCATCATTCGCGCAGACTTGCAGATTCTGTTTGGGTAACGTATCACGACAGACAGTTGTAAATATGATTGCGCAACTACGACGCAACAAAATTGGTTTGGACTGCGCACCGACAGTGAGCGCAGCACAGCTGTATATCATACTGTGTATAATTCTAGACCTCTACTCTTCCACATGCTCCACCAGTACGTACCCAAAATCCCATTCTTTCCAGAAGAAGCGTGCCACTCCCACACATGCTATTGTAAGCTACTTCAGTTCCAAAAGCTAGCGAAGGGCACAAATTTCCTTCACGAGTGAAAAAGCAAAAACATTTTCAGGAGGAGAGTCAGGGATCTTGAATCTGTTCACAGTACCTGCTGGCACATGACTTGGAGCTCCACCCAGGCCCCTGAATCTGCTAGCGTCCTGATCGCCAGCTCCACAAAGGAAGGGATGCACTGTTCACAAAGGACACCAAGGACGTCTTAATGAATAATAATAAATATAATCAGTTTCTTTTGATATTGTGAAAAAGAGAGAACAGGAATTCTTTTTTACGTGAAGCTTGATGACACCCAAAAAAACGTTACCATAACCAAACTCAGATTGCCGACATCTATTTTAAAAAAATGTTAGGAGTTAGTGACAGGACTTTTTCAAGAAAGTCAAGATCAGAACTAATCATCGAAATACCGGTATTTTAAGAATGATACAGCATATACTTTATTTCGCGAAAATTAAGCAACTTTATCGCAAACGTATTTCTTATATGCCCAGCTAGTCAAGTGCAACTGAATCCTGGCCTGTTTTTATGTGGTAATGAACTATGAAGGGCAAAAGAAACACTTTCGAAAGAATATTTACTAACAAGTTAGTCTGGCACTGAATTACCAATCGTTTCCACCTATCAGATTTATGGCTAGACCAAGCAGCACAACGGGCACAGCTGACAATTGAGAAAAGAGGCTTTAAACGGTTGAGTGCACCACACACCTGGTCAATTTGTCCCTTGCACTGGAGGATGATGACTTCGAGCAGCTTGAGTGCATGGAATTTGGGGTCCTCACCAGAATCACCCTCTAGCACCTTACAGGTAAGTGCGGCAATAGGAAGAAGAGACAACAGTAAGAAACAGAGAGCAAGACATGCTTGGGGAATATTTTGTATTGGTACTTAAGATCCATTTGTTCACTGAAAATGCATGCATAGAAAAGGAAAGTGCGTTGTTTGCATAAAGCTAGTTCTATAACAGCCAAGGGCCAACAGTGTCCAAAATAAATAAATGAATAAATAAATGCTGGGAAAATCTCGATATTTGGCTGGCTGTGTGTTTAGGAAACTGAATGCCAAAGCTCAAGCATCAATCGTTGCCTCTCGAAAACTTGTATGCTACTAAATATATCACCCTTGTAAGCCTGAAACCCTGAAAACAAAGTGCAACCTCAAAACAACAGTCAAACGGGAGAGTCGAAGACTTCTTAATAATGCAAATTTCATTCCATCTAAGTATTTATTAGGAGCGCAATTATCCTTTATATATTAATAAAAAAACAAGGAATATAAATTTTTTTTTTATTACACTGATAATTACATAACTTGCCTATTCACACACCCTCATCACTCATGGGAGCTTCTCAAACAGGTTGAGCACATACAACAATTAAGAAAAATATAACTGAATCAAATTTGGAGGTGCAAGCTACATTGCCACCTGTAAGAGAACATACCGAACCAAACTCCTTTAAGCATGTTAAAAGTCTCCCAATCCACCATAATAGAGACTAGAAGTCTACAGAGGTACCAATGCCCCGAGTTTCAGACGCAGAGGCACATGAATTGGCAAGGAAATGGCCCAGCTGTAGTCAGCACAAAGACAAGAAAGGCACTACTCACTGCTTTGCTCATGTTGTACATGGCCAGGAGGTGGTTTTCATTGCTCACAAAGGCTGGGGTGTCCACGGTGACAAAGTTGTGCAGGGCAGGCATCATGTCTGCAGAGACCGAGCAACAAGCGTTCATCTCCCCGTTTCAGAAGCACTTTGTACGGCTACGCACCTACAGTACAGCGAAACACAGAATGACCACCTAATAACATCCTGAAAAGCAAACAATAGAAGACAGCACAAAAACAACAAAGCAAAGAGCAAAAGACAAAAGAGACATACTTTTGTACCGCTATGACATAAGACTTCCCACCTGCAGTTTCACAGCACTAGTCTGGAGCAGAACTTGCCTAGAGCAGAACTAGCCTGGGGCAGATGTAGCCCAGGGCAGAACGAGACTCAAGCAGAACTAGCCTGGGGCAGAACTAGCCTGGGGCAGAACTAGCCTGGGGCAGAACTAGCCTGGGGCAGAACTAGCCTGGGGCAGAACTAGCCTGGGGCAGAACTAGCCTGGGGGGCAGTATTAGCCTGTGGCAGCTCTAGCCCAAACCAATCCTAAATCAGGGCAGTGCTAGGCCAGGGACTTGCCAAGTCAAGGCAATGCTAAGCCAGGGCAGCGCTAAAGAAGGGCAAAGTTAAACCAAAGCAGCACTAAACCAGGGCCGCAATAGACCAGAGCAACGCTAGACCAGAACACCAGCATAAAACATACAATTTGCTGAAGCTCCGCCTGCAGCATGCGCTCGTTGCCTTCTGTAGTGCTTCCGCTGCGCATGCTCAAAGGACAACTAAGTGTCGTGGGAGACAGGAGGCGGGGCTTATACCACAGAACTAACATAGCAACGCACTATAGATGCTTTACAGCAGCTGAGCATGGGCACAACAACCACAACTAACCTTCACTTTTTTTTTTTCTTTTTTTTTAAATTTTAGACATTAGGGTTTTTGTTTCTAATGCAGGCTTTGTGCGAAATGATCAACACCCATTTCAGGGACTGGAGGTCTCGGTGAGGCTACGGAAGGTTGGTGACGACAGCTCAAGTCAAGCAGACTGGAAAAGGGTATACGGCCCAGAGACGCACCGGTGAAGAAGTCGAAGCCATCCTTCTGGAAGGTGTGGTAGAGGGCCTCGAAGGCCTTCCACATGTCGGCCGAAAGGGGGCCCTTGCAGGAGAGCGAGTAGAGCAGGGAAAAGGCCTCCTCGTAGAACTCGAGCAGAGAGGCCCCCAGCACCTGCCCCACCAGCAGCTGCAGCAGGGTGGGCTCCAGCAGGGAAACTAGCTCCCGCTGGTCTTCCAGCACCGTCACCAAGGTGTCCAGGGTGTTCAGCACCCCCATGGCAACCATGGCCTTCTCGTCCCCCTCCCCGCCGCTTTCTATCACCATGTTGAAGGTTGCCGCCTGCGTCGAGTGACGTGCGCCACATCAGAATGCGCCCAGCTCCGTGCCGGGGCCGAGCCATCGACAGGTGGCATGTTCTTTTTCTTAAATGAACAAAGCAGATTCAACGCTGCGGTAAAATCCTGTGCGAATGCGATCCCCCGAGAAATTGCCCGTCCCTCTGTGTCACGTGACATCACACTGTCATGTCATGATGCCACCTGACATCACGTAATGCGACATGACTATGACATCATTGAGGCTAGATCGCAATGCGGACGTGAAAACCCCAAGAGCTGGTCCTATAAATGCTACACATTTAAAACGAAAGGCATTCCTTCCTCGGGAACAACAAACAATCCCGTGCACTCACAAGGTGTTGGGTCATCTCGACGGCGATGGGCACGATCTGCTCGGTGTACATGCAGACGATCTTCTGCATGACGCTCGTCAGGTCGTCGTTCTCGGTTTCTCGGATTATCTTGAGCAGCTCCAGAGCGATCTCCTTGATCTGGGGCTCCACGCTGGCTTGCGCTGCATCCGGCAAAACACACCTCACGCTCGAGCCAGACCATAAGTACCTCTCTAGGTATGCCACCGAGGACAACCCGATTCGAAGATGGACGAAGGTAAAACGGTGGATTCACCCTTCTCCTGGCAGGTGAGGCAGGCCTGGAGCGCCACGGCGGCCTCCACCTTGACCGGGAGGTCTGCGTCGCGCAGCAGGCAGTGGGTGAGCAGCTCCACCGCCCGGAGCAGGTTCCCCTCCGTCCGGAACTGGATCTCGCAGAAGTAGTGCAGCACCCAGCAGGCCCGGGCCCGCAGGAAGCCGTGGGGGCTGCCGAATTCGGGGTACACGTGCGTCACCAGCATTGCCTCCATCTGGTCCTGCGTTGGGAGGGGGCCGCAAATCAATTTGTTAATGCGGAATTGATTGCTTACTGAAGCGAACTTTGATCCAGCTAAGAGAAAAGTGACTGAAACGGGCCAAGGTAAAGGAGAGCTCAAGTCGGCCAGCTGACAACCGCCTGCGCCGCAAGCTCTGCCGGCCACACGACGTGACGGTAAAGAGGCGTCGTACAAAAGGAGCATGTGGCGATGCTGACACGGCATTGCGTGCTTGGAAGGCCAAGGCTGGAGTTAGTATTCATTGCGTTCCACACAAAATGCTATAGACCGATCTCACCAAGCTTTCACGCGGGCACGTAGCCGGGGGGGGGGGTCCCTCGACAACCTTCCCACCCCCACCCCCTGAAATTTTTTATTTTGCTGGAGCCTCCTCTTTTCACTCCCCCTCATACACCATTTTGTTACGTCTTTTATGCAATGCAAGATAAAAAAAAATGACCTTTCTCGAAAATGACTTTAGTGCCTTTTAAGAGGGGAACTGGTCTTGGAGCTAGCTTTCATCCTCATTTCTTGGCGGCCAAGCCCAATGAAACAGCACGGGCTTGGTCAGACTTTTGTGCTGATTTTAAGTATCTGTTTCTTTTTAATTAGTCAATTAGTTGTCCGGATAATTTATTTAACAAGACTGTTTCCAAAAGCAATAGTGAAAAACAATCTTTTTTTTAAATAATTTTTTAACATCTGGTTAGGAACTACAAATTATGAAGAATGCAATGTTGGAAGCACTTTTTTTATTGAACCGTTATTATAGTCCGTTGCAACTCAAGAAGGTAGGGCGAAGGAAAAGAAGGCTGGGGAGGAGGAAGCAGGCGGAACGTTGAAGAGAGGAGGAGGTTTCCACCTCTCTTCAGCGTTCCATCTGCTTCCTCCTCCCCGGCCTTCCTTTCCCTTGCCCTACTTCATTGAGTTGCAACGGACTAAAGTGCGAAACACATGTACGACGAAACCGTCCGATCCGACGTCCGACGCGCAATACGACGGTCGGAGGCGAAGGTTTTCAACGCTCTCCGATGCTACGAAAACCCTCTCCCCCAAGGTCATTCCGGCAGTTCGCACGTCGGATCGGACTGTTTCGTCGTACATGTGTTTCGCGCTTAAAGCGACTTTACAACACATTGAAGTTCAGTGCTCAATGTGTGGCTACCAAGCAATAAAACATTTCAGTTAGAAATTTTCCTACACCTATACTGAAAAATCCGCTTCCAACATTGCATGCTTTCCACATTTAGATACAAGTTGCTAAAAATGTTATATTTCTTTGTGCCCTAGATGCTGAGAAATAAAAAAAAAAAACTCCTGAATTTGCAAGGAGTCCAAAATTTGTGTTTTGAGAAAGTGTCGTTTTAGCATCACCTTCAGTGCAGTTTCAGCCTACATAGATATTATAAAGTGATATAATGGCTCAAATATTATTTTTCAAAATGAGAAACTTGGCGGATCAAAAGAAAAATAGCTGTAGAATTCAGCATCACAATTTTCCAAAAAAAAACAACAGTTTTTTAGGGATTGTTCTGGGCTCCAAATACTCATGTCTCCCCTTAAAGGACACATGCAAAGGAAAAAAACATTTTTTTTAGACAGCTTAGATGGAAAAAGGATGTCATAAAATGATTTTACAACGAAGAAAAAAATTTTTTAGAGCTATATTTACGGCGCTATACGAATTTGTAGTTGGCGCTCGCGGGAGCCGCCGCTGGTCACGTGGTAGGCCCGCGCGCCGCCGCGCTGCGTCGCCGCCGCACGCTGAGCGTTGTGCGAACGCCGCTTCAACGCGTTTCTCCACGCCGCCGTCGCCGCCGCCGCACAAGTTCGTCTGATTCGGGGCGCCGCCGCCGTCGTCTGGCCGGCGCACAGGTCTATCACGTCTGCTTGCGCTTTTTCAGGAGTTTCCTTTGGGCTCTAAAAGTTATTTATTCACCTTAGTTTTTTGTTATACTTCAAACAAAGATGAATAAGTTACTTTTAGAGGCCATAGGAAGCTTCCGAAAGAACGCAAGCACCACGTGATAAATAAAGACCAGTCACGTGATAAATACAGACCACTTTTCCGCGGTGCCCGCGGGCGCCAACTACAAATTCGTTTTGCGCCGTAAATATAGCTCTAAAAATTTTTTTTCTTCGTTGTAAAATCGTTTTATGGCGTCCTTTTTCCATCTAAGCCATTTAAAAAAAAATGTTTTTTTCCTTTGCATGTGTCCTTTAAGAAGAACCTGCAAGGATCTCACAAAGATCTCACAAGGGCATGACAAGGGCCCGCAAGATTCCCAGAAACAATTGCGAGGCTTCCCGGCGCACCAGCACTCAACGGTCTAAGCGACCAAAGATCCGCCGCACCTTGTACATCTTGCGCTTGAGCAGGAGGGTGGCCACGGTGCCCACCAGGTGTAGGGCCCCGTCCTTCTGCCGGGCCGAGCAGCTGGGGTTGGTGAGCAGGGAGACGACAAAGGCCATGGCCCTCTGCAGCACACCCTTGCGCTTTTTGCACACCGTGTGCACAAGGCTCTGGGCCGCCGTCACAGGAGACAGGAAGTCCTCAAACACGTCTGCGATCAGGGCCAGGGAGGGAAAGAGGAAATCGAGACGATTTAAACCTACACCTAGTTTCTTAAAGGGGCACTAAACCACTTCCTGCGATAGTCCAGTTATGGTCACGAGTCAATCTACGGGCTCCAGGCATCCTAAAAAGTCAAACATTGCACTCAAGCGTGGCCGATTTCTTTATTAAAATTGATATCAAAGACTGCTTACCTCGAGACTATCGTAGACAAAAGAAATGTGCCATCAAATGAGAAAGGGCAGAGCTCTGCCCTTTCTCCTCCGACAACGCCCTCCGATGTCTGCGACAGTTCCAATGTAATCGACCTTTGATACCTTGTTCCAAGCTCGACTAAAGCTAGGTTTCCCATTTAGCCAGATCCGAAAAAACTCTCAGGTCGGTGTCGATGCTAGCTCAGAGACAGAACTTGAGACTGGATGAGGCGGTGGCGCTCACCAAACTTGAGTCTGATGTACTCGTGGGGGTCTGTGTTCCACAGCTCATCGTCCTGATCCGTGTGGCACAGCAGGGGAAACACCACTTCCAGGACGATGCCCTACGGAGAAACGAGGCGCCGAAGTCACGGGTCGCTCGGCAGAAAGCGCAGAAACGAAAATATGGATGGAAAGACACGCAAACCGCACAAAAAGGAAAGGAGACGGGAGAAAAACACGGCGTTTTGTGCGGGCGCTCTTCGTTGAGTGGGTGACGGGTGGCCGAGCACATCGGCGCATCGCGATGGAACCCGGGAATGCGGGCTCGCTCCCTACCCCGCCCATTCCAACCTGGACGATCGTCGTACTGGGGTGAAGTCGTGTACCATCACCGCGCGGGGCACGTTAAAAGACCCTGGGTAAGCGGACGTGCCGCACCGGCTTAAACTTCTCGTCTACGGCGGAAGCACCAGACATTCATTGGGGCTGACTAACTTCAAGCTGTCTAAGCCCACACAAAACACAATTACATTTTACTTTGTCAAGTGATCCTGTTAAAGGGATGGTGAACCGAAATTTGGATTTCAGAAAACAATGCACGAGCTGTAGGTGGGACGCTACAATCCCTACAACACTACTCGTAAGGCGATATCTCGAATGGAAGGCCATATTTTTTTGGAAAAAAAGGTTGAGATTGAATGAGGCCGACGAGGCACGTGACGTCCAAGATATCTCGTTTCCTCCTCTCCGTTTCGCACCTTCAAGGCGGCGAAGTGGAGAAGAAGTGAGGCCGTTCCCTCTCCTTCGACTCTTCTCGAAGAAACATGACGTGAACATATCTGTCAAATGTGCCTCCTTTTTTTTTGAAAAATATGGTCATCTGTTCAATATATCGTTGTATGAGTGATGTTTTAAAGTTTGTAGCATCCCGTTGCACGCTTTTGCAACAGTGCTTTGTGGAATCCAAATTTGGGTTCAACGTCCCTTTACGTGAGAAAGAGGGTGAGGTCAGAAAAGAGAATCAGGACTGGATGAAAAACAAGGAAGGGGAGAGAAGGGATTCATAGTGCGAGGAATTCAGTGTCAGCAGCACCCCGACTTTCAACAATGAACATTGCTCTTTACCTTAGCAAAGCCGTCTGCTTCAAAAGGGATGCCTCACAAGGCTTTCAACCACCCCACAGTTACTAACTACCATTCACGAGTTTGCACAAGTACTGGATAAGGCCGGCCAGATGGGGATGTTATCTTCCTAAACTTCAGTAAACCATTTGACAGGGTTCCCCAAAAAAAATTAACCTCAAAACTGCATAATATAGGTCTTCCCTCAGCAATTATCAACTGGGTTTGTTCATACTCAGTGTTTCGCAAACAGTTCGTCAAGGTAGGCGGTTGCAGTTCGGAGACATTAAACGTCACATCAGGAGCACCACAGGGAAGCGTCTTGGGGCCGCTACTATTTTTAATTTATGTAAATGATATTGCTGATGCCGTAGATCCGTAGCGAGTATAAGGTTATTTGCGGACGATGGTGTGACATTTAAAAGTATACTTCATCATCTGATCAATGCTTGCTCAACTCAAGTCTAGATGCTATACAGGACTGGTGCAACCTGTGGAATATGAAATTAAATTTGGGTAAAACAGTTTTTCTATGGATTACAAACAAAAGAAACTGGCTAGTGCTTTCCCATTCAATTAATGACTGTCATTTCTGAAGTTAATCAACCTTGGTGTTACTATAAATAGAACCTTGAGTTGGCCTGACCATCTGAACGTTTCCTCGGCAGCCTTCCGATAGCTCGATCTTGTACAGTATAAACTTGGGAACGCCCCCCAAATGTTCAATTGCTAGCCTACACTTCCCTCATTCAACCTAAGCTCAAATACTGTTCCGTAGTCTGGGATCCATTTATAAAAAAACATTTTGACAATCTAGATAAAGTTCAAAAGCGCACGGTTCGTTCTATTCACGGTAAATTAAAACCACAGATTCCCCACCCCTGCTAACGCAGACAAATAAAATACCTACCCCTCCAGCTCTGGCGTAACATTGCCCGTTTATATTTCCTTCATCAGCTTGTCAATTCCAAGGTTTCTCCTAATCCTTGTTTGTATGTTAGCTTTCAACCAGACCGACAAGACACAACCACTGCTACTCCTTAACATCCTATTTTGAGCGTACTAATATACTAATATAAGTTTTCATGTTTTTGCACGGACAATGACCGATTGGAATTCATTGCCCCTGGAGTTGATTTCTGCCCGATTTCGCATCGTCATTGGAATCGGTCCTATCCGAGTGAGCCTCGCAGCTTTTTAGTTTGCAGTCCTCTCATATGTATAGCTTCCATATTATTCACAAAAAAAAAAAAAAAAGAAAAGCATGTGCTATTGTTATTACTATGTGAATGTAATGTGACATAGTAGGCATATCGATATATGTATATTTTGTATGTGTTTTTCTATGCAGCAGTTTTCTTTATTTTTTTTTATTTTTTAATGTGTAATTATTGTTGGTGTAGTGCGATTTATTCTTCCGCCCACCCTGCTTGGACCTTGAGCACTATGTACTAAATAAATAAACAAATAAAAAAATTGACTTTTACGACACATCTGCCTGCCATTTTTAACCCTAGCTATTTCCCTTTTAGTTGTTTGTTCAGCATAGATTAGGAGCATTCCTTTAAAAACCTAGACAGTTCTCCCAAACGTCCACCAATTTTACTAGCCCATGATGCCTAATTACTTGATGCCAGAGCCCATCTAGGGACACCATACAATCTTCTATATTCAGGAACAACTTTCCGAAGCAGTTCGGCAAAATGAAGTGATGTGCGTGAATAGCTTCGACATTTCTGCCTCAGAAAGTCGTCCACACAAGTTTTTTTTTTTTTTTCAATTTGTGGGCAAACTTGAATAGTCAGGGACACGAGCAAGGCATGTGCTGCAGTCTCCTCGCTCCAAACTGCCCTCAAATTAATCTGCCACCGCTTTCTTACGGCCAGGAGCAATGAATGGGCCCAAAGCCGCCTCTGGCGGTGGCTGTGTACTCAACCTGAAAACTGCCATTTCCTTAATAAGGCAGCCAACACTGGCAAGGCTCATTCAAACACTTGCATTTGAGCATGACCGAGTATGCTGCAACCGTTTGTAACCGCCTATGACAAGAAACACACTGGTGCCATCTATCTGGAACCCTTCCAATCTGCACATAATAGATTGAAGATTTTGCAGTATTTGCGAGACTGGATCTACGCTCCTTCTGTAAAACATGCTCCCTTGTAACATTGTCAAAATGAGTTCAAGCATATGGTGAGAGAATGACAAGTAAATTATACACAGATCTGAAGTATTCCAGGTCTTCCCGATAGATGGTGCTTAGAAACGGAAGCTAAGCAGTTGATCAAGCTCAAACAAACGTCTGAACCGGTCTTCAAATAGCAAAGCTCCAGGCTTAACTCGCTAGGAGTGTTGCCATGAACCTTGACACAACGGACTCCCTCCTTGTAGCCAAATCTAGGTTTAAAAACAAAGTGACTTACAACTATGTGTGGCTTGAGGAATTTCCAGGAAAAGGCATGGCTCACGCTGCAATGGGCACAGAGAAAGGTGAGCATGTTTAGTGAGCTGGGACACCTCTGCTTTAAATGTAGCGCGTGCCTCTTTATAATACTGATGATTGTGGTGAAATTACATTGTGTCGCAAATGCCTGAAGCATGCACAAGTATTTCGGAGAACTGTCACACGCTTGCAAGACGCACACGGCAGGAGTTACATGAACTCAAGCTAATCCATGCTGGCGTCCTCGGACTTTTGATAGACTGCCTTCGTTCCCTGCACCAAGTTTTCACAAAATATTACACACACATGGCTATTGTTGCATTGCAAGAGTGGACAATATCATGACATGCGACTTGTTCAAGTTTGAGATTTCGACAAATGCATTGACAGTAGTAGAGAAATTTTATGTCAAATATTCATGTTTTCAGTAAAAACGACCCTCTGCACTGGCGCTGGGAAGCAACAACCTCAAGACATAGCAAAAGCACACTCAAAAATCGCTAATAATTTTAGCACTCTATTACAACAGTAAAAAATTATACACCGAACATTTCTACCCAAAGAATGCAAACCTTTCGAGACTTTTCACTGACAAGAAACAGTGGGTCTTCAGCACTACTTACACAATGACCTACTTGAATACTTCCAATCCTTCGGAGGTCACGAATTGCATGCATGCATTTGTTACAGCGTGGAATACAATTTACATGTTTATTACAGCTTGAAATACAATTTACAATTCCTCTGCTAAACATCTACTAGACTGCACCATCCTTTAAAACAGGGGTTTCCTGAGACTCTGGTCTCGACACTGATGCAATAAAGCAGTGCAGGAGACTATAGACCTCAAACAACAATGAACACATTAGAAAGTGTTAGGTGTCAACAAGTGGCTTGTATCCGCTAAGATAGCATTCAAACTGGAGGAACAGTTTACGTAGGAGACATGGACAGTCGAGGAAATTAGAGAGCTCTGGGGAACACCACCAGAGTTCAAAGAAACACTGTCCGAGGACTCGGGCTTTAAAAGCTCACTCGTCGTGCATCTACGCAATCTAGACATTAAACTGGCTTGGACTTCATAATGAACCAATGTTCCCATCCACGGCGACACCCGAAGTCGAGGGAGCATAACGACACTCACGCGTGCCGTAGGTAGTTGAGGGCGTGCTGGAGCACCCTGGGGGAGATGTAGACCTTCTGGCGGTGCTGGTCCAGCACCTTGAGCACCACCTGGAGCATGCCCTCGCTGTACGCCTTCAGGAAGAAGTCCGCAAACTCCCCGTACTCCTTCGTCACCGAGCCCGGGCTCCCGTACCTGGAGCAGACGAAAGCGCCGGCCGGCCGATCGGAAAACGGGACCATGAAAGATAAGCCATACTCCAATCACCAATCCGATTACTTAGAAAATACCTTGATACTGGTAAGGGAATCAGACGAATAAGTATGGATTCCAAAGGAAGAAGCAGCCTCGCAGACAATTCAGTGCAGGCTGTGTTCCAGAACAACACAAAATGAAGCCGCGGATAAGGATTACTCTCCGTCAAGCTTGAGGTTTTCTCGTTCAAGGTCAGGTCAAATTTTGAAATTTTGCGGCATTTCCTTTATTTTAATAAAACTGGCTTGGGCGTCCACTTTCCAAGGTCACTGGTATGAACCAAAAACGTTGAACACAGTCGTAGCGTAGGAAAATGCCCTTTGCAATTTGTTTCAAGCGGGTCCGATTCATTTGGCTCGCAACGAGCGTGAACATCTGAAGCAAGTGGCGCGTGGAGGGCCACTGCACCCACCTTTCGAACATGCGGGTGATGATGTGGAAGGCCCACTTCTTGCACTTCCACCAGGGAAGGTCGGGCCGTTCGTCTTCATCCACCTGGTTAGCCACCTGGGAAGACGACACAGAGCCAAAATCGGGTCAATCTAAAGTCCAATCCACCCTCCCTCTCGATTCCTTGGCGGTCGAACGGTCAGCAAGTCGAGCAGTGCGGTAACATGTGTACGAATGATGAATGCCAGAACCAACAAAAAACTGCAGTATGTGTGTTACACCAAGAAGTAGTGCATCTCGCTGCCGTGGGTACGGACCATGTCCCCAGAAACCCAGATGCAGTGAATGGAATGTTTTCCGTGAGAAAGTTTTCACGAGCCAAAAGCACCTTTCCACTAAGCCATTTTACCTTAGAGGAAACCCGCTTAGCTACTTTGAGTGAGAGTCAAGAAACCCAGTGCTTTTCTTGGCCACCACGCAGTCGAGAAATTGCCAACAGACTCATAGCCATTTATCTATATATGGTTTACCCACACATAAACTGGGCTCAAACTGGAACAACAATTTACTAGCATTAGGAATAGAGTTGTTTTAAGTTTCTCCTTACCAGCATACAACTTAAAATGAAGGCAATTTGAAAGGGAGGGGAGGGGAAAGGGGGGGGTTTATACTAAGCTAAAAAATTTCGCGTAATTCTAAAAACTATTACGAGGAATATAGCAGTAATAACTACAAGAAAGTCAGTGCTAGAAAGACAGCATGGCGACAATTGGGCGAGAAACAAAAAGTAAAGAACTGACAACTGGCGATGAAACTAAATAAATGGGTTAATACCAGAAATCACCGTTATGCTTCCCAGATGATTGATGTGGGTTCCAACTGCCTTTCTAACCAATACAGCCCATTCCATGGGCATGAAAGCTCCAAGAGCTGGCCCTATAAACACTATGCACTTGGAGAGAGAGAGAACGAGCCCCGACTCACGTCCGGCACGGGGCGGTCCAGGACAAGCCTGAAGAGCTCCATCCACTGTGTGCAGGCGTCGCGGGAAATGAGCCCCAGGGGATAGTGGTACTGGACCAGGGCAAAGAAGATCTTGAGGATCTCCTTCTGGACGAGCACGGACGCCTCGCTGGCGTCTGGCAGCAGCTGCACTAGCCGCTGCTGGAGCATCGGCAGTAGCAGCTGCATCGCCTCGTGCAGCGGCTCCCTCTCCTCGGGCTTCTTATACCTGGACAAACAAAAGAGTGTGCCACGACTGAGCTTTCTGAACTGGACGACAGCTAGCTCCTCCTAGCCGGAGTGGCACAAGTCGCTAAATGGATTAAGGAGAGACATGGGTCTTTAGGGCCAAAAAATCTATAAAAAAAAAGTTTTTTGAAAAATGGTAATTTAGAAATCTACGGCTAGCTTTCTTCTGATCTGCCAAGTTTCTTATTTTGAAGATTAATATTTGAGCCATAATATCACTTTATAATACCTATATAGGCTGAAATTGCACTGAAGCTGATGCTAAAACAACACTTTCTCAAAACACAAATTTTGGATACCTTACAAATATTCAGAAGGGATATCTCAGCATCTAGGGCAGACAGAGAGATAACTTCTTGAACAGCATGTAGCTAAGTGTGCAAAGCATGCAATGTTGGAAGCAGATTTTTCAATATAGGTGCAAGAAAATTTCGAACGAAAATGTTTTATTGCTTGGTAGCCACACACAGAGCACTGAACTTCAATGTGTTGTAAAGTCACTAATAATGGTTCAATCTAAAAAGTGCTTCCAACATTGCATTCTCCATAATTTGTAGTATTTGACTATACGTTAAAGCATTCTTTTGTAAAAAATTATTTTCCTCTATTGTTCTTGCAAACGTTAATTCTAAATATCCTGAGAAGTCAACTACCAATTGAAAAAATAACATATTTCAAATCAGCTCAAATGTCTGAACAAGCATGGGCTAATGGGCTTGGTAAAAAAAAAAAAAAAAAAAAAAGATTAAGGAAAAAACTCAAAACCAGTGTTCCCCCTTAAAGGACAAATGCAAAGGAAAAAAACATTTTTTTTAAACGGCTTAGATGGAAAAAGGACGCCATAAAACAATTTTACAACGAAGAAAAAAAATTTTTAGAGCTATATTTATGGCGCAAAACGAATTTGTAGTTGGCGCCCGCGGGCATCGCGGAAAAGTGGTCCGTATTTATCACGTGACTGGTCTTTATTTATCACGTGGTGCTTGCGCTCTTTCGGAAGCTTCTTATGGCCTCTAAAAGTAACTTATTCATCTTTGTTTGAAGTTTAACAAAAAACCAAGACGAATAAGTAACTTTTAGAGCCCAAAGGAAACTCCTGAAAAAGCGCAAGCAGACGTGATAGACCTGTGCGCCGGTCAGACGACGGCGGCGGCGCCCCGAAGCAGACGAACTTGTGCGGCGGCGGCGACGGCGGCGTGGAGAAACGCGTTGAAGCGGCGTTCGCACGACGCTCAGCGTGCGGCGGCGACGCAGCGCGGCGGCGCGCGGGCCTACCACGTGACCAGTGGCGGCTCCCACGAGCGCCAACTACAAATTCGTATAGCGCCGTAAATATAGCTCTAAAAATTTTGTTTCTTCGTTGTAAAATCGTTTTATGACATCCTTTTTCCATCTAAGCTGTTAAAAAAAATGTTTTTTTCCTTTGCATGTGTCCTTTAACACGCAGCACTTGTGGAATGGATGAAGCCTACGGGCGATTCCGAAAGAATACTCTAACTGCTGAAGCTTGTACAATCTTATCTAAAATAATAATAATAAAAAAACAGGCTTTAATAAAATGTTTTGTCTTTATTTTCTTGTCAAGCCATGCCGTAGTGCAACTGCCTTTTTTTTTCTGCCAATAAAATAATCCAACGAGCTTCCCGTATTGGATGGCAGCTAGCACCACCTACCCTGACACGGTGCGAATCACCATCCACCTAACAACCAGTAAGAAACATGGACATCCCTTATACCAAAGAGAATAAATGTGCACCAAGACGGGCAGAGGTACCGTGTTTGCACAGTTCTAATGCACAGGTAGATTGAGCTTCCAAATATTCAAAAAGGAAATTGCTGCTGATTCTACCACGCAGGTAAAATAGTGAAGATCGAACACATACCCCATAGAACAGATTTTATAAGAACCATGCCAACACAAAAATAAATACCGTGCACTAGTCGCTTTTGTCGAAGTCCGACGATGGTTCTTCGCTGTCCACAGAGATAATCCTTCCTTTCGCCTAAAGCGTTTCAAGTGCCGCACTTCTTGCGCTTGTACGAGTGAGCGATCGTCGCCTTTGGGAGGGTCGTCTTCCAAACAACACTTTGCGAGCTCCTCGGATCACTGCCATTGCGAGGCCACACAGTGCTGCTCCATTGTTATCTTTTCCTGCCAGCGTGATGGACTTTCGTTTAAATAAGGCCTCTTAGTAGAATTCCTTTTGTTTTTCTATCTTAAAACGGCAGACACAAATCCGGAGACGCGAGAGAATGTGCGTGATACGGGTCGAAAATGGCGAATGTAAACCAACGGTCATGATGGCGATGGGGCTAGCCACATTCTACCGAGTATTGCGTTCTTCTTTTGAGCTTCAGTTGTTTGCTTTTAATAGTAACATGCATGTAGTTTTGGACACCAATTTTGGCTAAAAAAATCTTTCTTTGAAGCACGCCATCTCAAACTGTGTTCCTAGAAATCCGGGGGTTCCCCAGAGTACACACACGGGCTCCCCCACTCTAAAGGAGGGTAGAAGTGAACAAGGGAGAGGTCCGGCTCACTCATAGTTCTTGACCAGCTGGTAGAGGGCGAGGAGGGAGCCCATCCAGCCGGCACTCTCTGGCGACTGGAGGTAGATGGACACCTTGTCCACAATGCCCGTCCAGCGACCGGGGAAGTCATGCTTCAGGATGTTCGTGAGGCACACGGCAAGCTGTACCCTGCACACAGACAGACGCACATCACTCTCAATACCTTGTCGCACCCAGTCGTTGACTACTACTGCTGTAAGAACGTCGGTGATCAGGTGCATTCGGTCATCTTTCGTTTTGTTGCTCATCGCTAAGAGCTTTATGAGCATTCCTCTAGTGTCCAAGATTTTTGCCAAACACAACACTCCAATACGAGTGAAATCTTACTTAATATTCCTTATTATAACAGGCCTCGTAATATACGCTCTTTCGTCTGGGAAAGCATTAGAAATGGAAAGGACTTTGGGCCAACATTCAGACTCTCCAGTCTTGCAAACTTACTTTATAATAAGGCCATGTGCACTGATTAGTAGGCTTAAAAAAAATTTAGTACAATACTGGTGTCTCTGCCACCTTGAAGCATTGCACTGGGCTTCAGAGAAGCTAGACAAGACTCAAAATGCTGTATGAACCTGTCTTAATATTATATATATATATATAAAAAAAAACTCTTCTCATCACACACTACCAAACTGAGTGCATATGGCACTGAACCAAAACACTAATACCATGAACTACAGTCACAGAAAGGCTGCCTTCAATAAAGAACAGTCAAACCTTGCACAACACAAAATGCCATCAGACATTAGAATTGGGACAGCTATAAGACCTTCCCTGCTGTTTTATGTTCGGCAGCGGCTAGAGCCAACATCGGCACATTCATACGCCGCCGTACACACAACTCAACAAAAACTATGGTTTTGCATCTGTCAAGAAATCTCGAAGCAATATCCAAGCGACCAGAGGGAGAAGGTAGTGCAGGACAAGCACGCACCTGATGAGGTCCGGCGCATGCACCATGGCGTCCACGATGGCGTCCCGCACCATGGCCCGGTCCTGCTCATGCACGTGGAAGTGGAGTGGCGCTGTGGGCGGCTGAGGTGCCTCCTTCTCCTGCCAGAACTGCGTCACCAGGTTCTTGAGGTAGATGGCGCCGGCCTGGCGCACGGGCATGTCCAGCCCGTTGGTCATCACCACTTGGAGCAGCGACGGCGCAAAGCCAATGATCTTGTGGATCTGCGGGAGAGGGGCAAACGACGCAGGGTAAGGGAGCAACTTCACGCTACAGTCTGTTTCAGATTAAGAATGCCAGGACGGGCTCTCTGCTCGCCATGACTGGGGGTTGCCTCCTCTCTAGTGTTTTCTCCGAACGGAGGACTTTGTTGAAGGATTTCGTCCCGCTATTCTGAACATAAACAAGATAATAGGGCAAAGCCGGTGATCTTGTGCATGTGCGGGAAGAAGATGCGGGGTGAGCATAAAGTTAACATATTAATCTAAAGCAGGGGTTTCCAAACCCCGAGCCACGGCCCGCTTCAAGCAGGCCCGCCCAAAGCAAAAAAAAGTGTGCATAAAAAATTGCGTCGCAAAACGGACCAACAACATAAGCAAAGATAAAAAAAGAAAACTAAAGAAAACTGCCTATGGTAAGGAGTGTCCTCTTGTCATATTAGGCTCATTCAATTTACCTGCATTTCCTGCACTGGTGTAGAAAGTGTAGGACAGTGTACTTCCGGTATGTGTATTGAGATACGACAGGAAGTGCCATACACTTTACTGCACCGGTGCAGTTAAATCGAACGAGCCTATGCCTCGTTTGATCCAACAACAATGGACGCTGTCATGACCAGCAACACTATACCTAGATTTCGGTCATTCTGAAGCATGGAATAATAAACAATAATAATAATAATTAGTTTTGTATTTCATATCTCTGTAAATATGTGTTAAAATTCCTTTATATTCTCATGTATACATTGTGCTTAGTGTCCTGTGTCATATCTATCTCATATTGTCAACATCAGTTCTATCATTCTCATTAGTACCCTGCCCTGTCAGAACATGCCAGTTTCTATGCACTTCGATTTACGCCTGGCGAGTTTTCTGGGTCCCAATTATTGTGCAATGATTAGCTGAACATTGAATTTATAAATAAGGTAGATATATTCATCCACCTTGTATTCATTTTTTTAAGTGTTTACTATAACTTTCAGTTCTGTGTTTAAATGCTTATCTATAGCACTATTTATTTATCTTTCCCTAATTTATATTTGCTTGTTTATTTTCTGGCCCTCGAGACAGCGACAGATTCCGTCCCGGCCCTTTAGCCAAAAAGTTTGGAGACTTCGGCCGCTTCATAACGTGGGCCATAGACGCAAACATCCCGATGAAACCATTTGTCGACGACGCTTCGATGTACACAAAGAGGAAAACATTCCCTGCAAGGTCTGTATCTAGTGTTTTTTCTATCTTTGTTTTGCACAATAACACCGGCATCGTGCATTGCATAAAACTAAATGAGCCTGACGAGCACTCAAACAGCTTCAATTTGTCGCAAAAAATTAAACAAGCCTAACCTATCGTATTCTTTCTCCAGCTTTCTGTCGCTCTCTTTCTTACTCATTCTCTTGGAACCACCAATGCCAGTACCCAACACTTGTCGCGTTCTGCTGCCCTCCCCCCTTCTTTACCCCCACCTTCTCGCTAGTTCTAGGCGCAGAGTTCAGCCTACTATTGGAAGATAAAGGACAAGCAACCACATAGGATCTAGCTATGAAAGCAAGGCCAATTGGTTGTTACGAAGACCTTTCTCCAGCTTGCTAGTGTTGTCACACTTTTTTCACAAACCACTTCTTTGCCAATTTTTACAGAAGAAATAAAGAAAAAAAAAATTGTCTGGCTTGGGAATTTCGTTATACGCAATGAAGGTATGACAGCACTAGATGAGGTTTTTGGTGAGCTGCACTCTCTGTCGGAATTTAGCCGAGATATTTCATCGCTAAATGTAACAGGGTGTAGTGGTTGCGGAAGGAACAACAATCAGTCCTCTGTCTCGAGCGGAACTGGATTGTATATCTCACCTCACGTGCTCGTCGTCGTCTTAGTGCACGTGCCTATCGACACAATGGAAATAGTGATTTCACGTCATGCGACCAAATGACGTTGTGCGACACCGTGACGCAATGCGAGGAAGCAAGGTCCATGTGATCGCTTTAAGAAGCTGGGCCGACATAAGTTACTAGTTTTCTCAGAATTCCACGAACGATATGGGGGGCGAGCATGTTTAGAAACTGAGTGGTCAATAAATGAAGTTCAAAAGTCTTCCCTTTTTATTTGCCTGATCATACAACGAAGCTGCAAACATTGTCTATTACTTTGTTTTATTTTTTTTAATGAAATTAAATCTTTTTTTTTTGTTAGTTTTTGGGGTTTTTTTTAATTTAAAATGATGCAGATTAACAGATTTTGGCAGCACTGGTCCACTTTGCATTACCCTGTCTCACCAAACACAATTACATACAGGCACAAAAACAAAAAAATCTTCCCATTTCAACAAGGAGAAGCTTGTAGAAGCTTTCTACCTATTCGTGACTGAAATTCCTGCTTGGATCTTAAAATAGAATTCCGAGGGAGTTCGAGGATTCTTTCGTAAATTCGCTCCTTCTCCTTTCCGACCCGCAGACGCTGCAACGGAAGTTTGATCCGTTTGTTTGCACTACCAAACCCTTCGACATGCGAACCGAACCGGTGCCAAGAAAACACGCTGGATGATTCAATGCGTGACGCAATGCCACGTCGCGGAAGTTGCTCGTTTCACAACCTTTTATAACACACCCGGGGACACCCTCCCTTTTTGTAACTACAAAAAAGAAGGAATGCAAGCCTTCCCAAAAAAACACACACACACACACAAAAAAAAAAAGATTAGAAAGAAAAATTGCATCAAAAAAGGTCTTTCCTTTGACACACGAGATGGATGTACGAGTTTCAAAGCACAAATATTTAAACCTGTCAGTTGGGACTGAATGCTACTCCTGCGAATGCAAGCTATCCACATGTACGCTCGGTGCAACCCGAATTTCTGCTCCTAGTAGAACATCCAACAGAGACCCCTTTGTAATTTACTCCAGCTAATCCCGAATTTCCTCCTCCTAACTATACTAACACTTTTCCAAACCTATGGGCAAAGTGGAAAGGCAACTGCAAGCCCCCATTAAATTTTTGTTATTTTAATTCCTAATAGTAATTAATTTTAATAGTTAAGGTTCAGATGCTCAGGCTCCAACACATGCTGGTTGCCTCTCGTAATACTCTGGCTGCGCGTGTGCATGCTTGAAGCTCTTGAGATGCCAAAGTATTTGACTGGACGCGATACAAGTGAAGGACTTCTCTACTGTTCTTATTCGGTCAGCGACTATACTCTGCATCAACTATTTTGTGCTACATCGTCAAGGCCGGCGTCGCTTCCGCTGTGCAGCAGTCCCGCACTGCAACTGGAGCGCAAGGCTTTGTTTTTTGCATCTTGCTTGCATGCACTCGTGCAAATAGTTTGACGAGTTGGAGCACTGTGAAAGCTAAGCTAGCTTTGACAATGTGGCACAAAATAGTTGACGTCGGGTATGAAGAGTGTGTATGATGCTAAGCCTGCTGTTGACTCTCGTGGAGGCAAACAACAAAACCTACAACCTAGACAGCTTCGGTTCCCGTTGTCTCCCATCCAAGACAGTCCAGTAATAGGATGAAGTTCACTAGTAAGCACACCAAAAACGTCACTCCAACATTCGCTTCGAATGTGTTGCCATTGCCACTTTATCGGGAATGTTTCTTATACCGTTACCTCTTTCCTTACCATGCTCATAAGCCGTTGATCACGTGCGACTGATGGTTTCGACGCGCCTTCAAGATTCATATTTGGCATGCTGCAACATGCATCATCTCAAGGACAGTTGAAAAATTATAGTTTTAGTTTCAATGTAGTTTTGCATTTTCTCACAAGGTGGACAGATATTGGAAACAACCTAAGGTGCAACGGATGCAGTTGTCAGAAATTATGTCCCCCCCCTGTATCAGGCACCGTTACAAAGACGACGTCAATCACGCAACTTGACTGCGTTTGTTGCTTCATATTTAGATTACATCAGGAGTGATGCCTGCTGATTATAGCTGTTCATCTGGTTTTAGCCCTGACAGCTTTGTTCCGTTTCACAGGTCTAAAAGATCAACAGGTGCTCATCGGTGAGCATCATTCTAGCTTCCCAGGCCGTTCTGAGCTGAGGCACATGTTTTGCACGTGGCGCAGGTCCTAAAAAAAGAAATGTGAAAGAGGAGAAACTACAAGCGTTGCTATGACAAAACCAAGGTCTAGCACAAAACGTGTGTGTTCTTTAGGACACGCTACACATAGCACCTGTGTTTTGCCACTGCATGCAACCGCTCCTCCTAACAAAAAAAAGATTGGCATCAGCTGGAGTGCTCTAATTAACAGGATTGATAACTGGGTATGGAGAACACTTTGTATATTCAGGATTTCTTATATTCCACAGTGTGCTTTGGTATTAGCTGCAGACGCTTAAACTTTATCACTTTTGTACGCAAATGTTCAATTAAATTGGCAAAATATTTTAACACACAGATATCACTTCCGTTTCTTTTAAGAAAAAAAAAAAACTTATTGGCTACATTTCGATGTCTCATAATAGTGCTCTGACACGACCGTCATACTCTTTGTCCGCATGTGTGGCCTACCTCCCCAGGCCTTCTGACTGGCTGGCAAACCTTAAGATGGCTCATGCTCTGCTCACCAACTTGAAAAAGTCCTACAGGCAAATGGTGCAAAGACAACTATTTGTAAAAATATTATTTACATATTAAGACTGAAGCTTGGGCTAGTTGTTTGATTGTGTCTAAAACAATAAGTAATGCGCACACAAAAGGCCATACGGAAGTATGGCGTTTTGTGTTTGTGTTTTACTGTGTTTGTATGTATTTGTGTTTTACTTTCTTCTGTGTACTATACTAGCCGTTTTAGACATCTGCATATAAAATACCATGGAGCTTGGGGTGTTAGCATTCTAAGCCAATGAAAGGTCTCTGGCACACACCAGAAAGGGATTGAGGACTAATTTAGACCACCTGAGGATTCTTGATGAGTAACCTCAATCTCAGCTACACTTGCGCCCATTGTGCTATAAGCCTTCGCCAGGCTTTCCGCCTCTCGGCGAGATTTAAACCCACTGGGTGGGGTTGCAAGGGATATACGCATCATCCATGCTGACTTGTTTTGACAGAATAGAATGTATGCCTGGCCAATGCTCAATGTCTAGTCCCCTATTTTTGGACTGAAAAGTCGGCAATTAACCAGCAGAGTAGCACTAGATTTAAAAAGCTACCAAGTAAACCTTGAGCATCATAATTTTAAGTGCCTTAAAAAAAAAAAGAAAAAAAGTTTGTTGCTAAGAAACTGTTCATTGCACGATGGGATGGGAAAATTTTAACTGTCCTGAGAAAACACTGTGTGCCAAAGTGAGCATACTCATAGTTTGGGGATAGATAAAGAGACCGCGTAACTTTCTAATTTACGTCAGCCATTTGTTGCTAATAAAACTTTCAGTGCACAGCTGGGGAGTGTTACTGTCCTAAGAAAACACTGTGCCAAAGTGCGTGCATTTTGAAGCTAGATAAAATAACACCACAACTTCCTTATGCATGTCACCAACAGAGAGGCATTTATCTGCTAATGACCATTCCGCCGAAATACGTTGTAGTCGCTCCATCCATCTAATCTTTTACCACTATCTCGACCTCGCCTTTTACGCAACATCCTACCCAACCAATCCGCCAAAGCAACACAACAGTGGCAACGTCACAAAGCGTGTCCGATTTCACTTTTTTTTTTTTTTAATTCTTTCTGATTGACTCTTTCACAATGACATTCGGCACTTTAAGCGGGATCCATTCATCCATTGTGACGCTCTCAACAATCGAAATCGGTACCGAGGTTAAACCTCCCCAAACGACACGCCACAACCGCCAGTCGTAGGTCAGAAGTACGCGAGACAGCCTGCGAAAGGTAGCGGCATAAACCAAAAATTCCAGTGCAGAAACGAGCAAAGCAAAAACTTTCGCACGTCATAACCTGGCCAACTCAACTCGTAGTGTAACTACCGAATGAATGCGCGGAAGTCCGTGATAGCGTTCGCCGCGCGGTTTCAATAGAGTGTCCCATGCTGTTTTGAGTAGCGCATTGGATGCGGTCAAGAAACCACGATGTGGCAATGACATGGCCAACGCCGGGCGGCAGAGGTCGATACCCGTGTCACGCAGACGCTGACAAATCGCACAGGCGGCAACGACACAAAACCCGAGCCGTCCCTCAAGAGACATTCAGGTCGACGGCACGCCGGGACTGACCTATCAACTTCACGCGGTCGACGGCAAAAAAGAAATCTAAGCCATGCCAGTAATGGCGCCATTCAGAGGTCCCATTGAGAGGGCCATTTCAGCCTCCGTCACCTGTTCCAGCTGCTTTTCGGCATTTTCCCGCTGGTTTGGGTCGATGGTCGCTCTGAGGATCTCGATGAGCTGACCAGCGTCCATGATTATCTTGGTTTTGAAGCCCTATTCAGTGGTGAAGCGACAATGAAAACGTGCACCACGCGAACCATGCACCGGTGACGCACCCAACAGACATGCTCAGAGAGAAAAAGGAACCGTCGCGGCCCCAGGTGGCTGATGTCAGAGATAGTCACTAACGAAAATAGACGACTCCCGTTATATTCATTTTATAATAGACAAGATAGATTTTTTTAAGAAATTTCTTGTGGTTTTATTTAAATCTCTGCGTTTACAACCTTTATAGGCAGTCAATATTATTAACATCTCGGAACTTGACGTGTTTGAACTTGAGGGCTTGAGCGCTGGTCGCACTTGTCTTCCAACATCCTGAAGAAAAAAAAAAAAAAAAAAAAAGATTATTTAATAATTTTAAATTTCCGAAAACTACGGTGTTAACATCGTTAACATGCTTACCTCGTTGTCCCGTCAAAGGTACTCAAGCTCGTTGGTCAAAGGACGTTAGAATAAACGTCCAGCTATGTGCCTTTTTTCTTCCTTTCTGTTTAGAAATGAATGACCATGAAAGAGAATAAAAGTAGCTCAAATGAATCGCCATGCTAATTACTTTGTTATCTTATACTTGAGAGAAAGCTGAGTATGAAGATGACCACTGGAACGATGACCAATGCCATGAGTGCAATCATGCCAAGGATGGGAAACCATGACCGTCGCCGTGGGGGTTCCTGCGGAAACTTGTCCTTGACAAGCCTGTGAAAAAGATAGGCTCTTATTTTGTTATCTAATTGCGCCGAAATTAAATTAATAAAAACAAACATATTAGTGGCACCTTCCAGGACGAGTAAAAACCGTGACTCACGGTGGTGGCTGCTGAATAGCTTCGGGGTCTGTAATAAAATTAGAGGATAAACAGGCATATTGATTATTAAAAAATTCCGTGTAACTGAGGCACATAAATTATGTTACGTTTAAATTTCCCACCTAGTTCAACCGGTTCAACCCGTGGTTCGGCCATTGTTACTGAACTTCGTTGTCATCTTTTACTGGTAAGTCTGAATCAACAGCTAATTTAGCGAATTTAGCAACGACGAGAATAATCCCCGGAGAAGGGGAACAAGAGGGATAAAGGAGAAACAAAAATCTCCAAACACAGGCAGGTGACTGGTGCGCGACCGAAAAAATCCACCTGGTCCGGGTATCGAACCCGGGACGTCGCTCTACCACGACCAACTATTTTTGGTCGTGGGCTCTACAAGGCTCTACCCGGCGCATTTTTCCCGTCGCGCACCAGTCACCTAGCTGTGTTTGGAGATCTACGTTTGTTCTTTGTCCCTCTCGTTCCCCTTCACCAGGGATTATTTTCGTAATTCTTATCCAGCTCGCTTGCCGTCGTTGCAGGTGTGTCGTTGCCACCGACCACGGTGACAGCGACACACCTGCGTTGAATCGCATATAGGCCGCAGGTTTCTGCGTTTTTATAATCTTCTAAGCAACATTAAAGGTTGACAGATACTTCAAGCATAATTTATTAAGCGTATATTTATATATATATTTACTATTTATTTATTGATCTTGTAAAATGTAGTTACGAAAAGTGCCCTAGACAGTCAGCGGCTTCTTTTACTTTCCTCCACCTTCAAATCAACATGGCCACATGGCTTTTCGGCCTTGCTTTTCGGCGTCTGGTTTAGTACGAGCTTTTAGGTTGTTTTTGCTAGTTTTCCTCTATACCAAGCTTCAAAAATGAGGGTCAAGGTGCTATGTCGGAACCCAGACGACTACCTGAGAGAAACCAAACACGATATTCACAAAGGTGGGCTCGTTTTCACAACTATTTCTGGCGAAAAGTGATCTCCCTTCACTACTGCACATTCCGACGATTTAGAAGTTGTGTAAGATTTGTGTTGTGCGTACATTTATACTGTTGGAAGTTAGTCAGTCCAAATGAGCGTCTGGTGCTATCGCTGTTGATGAGAAATTCAGCCAGCGCAGTACGGTACCATTGTTAGCCTGGGGTCTTTAACGTGCATCATGCAGTAGTGGCACACGACCGCACTTCGGTACGATGCTCATGCCAGATCGAAGCGGGCTGCGGTTGCCAGGTGTTTGAACTCCAACCCGCCAAACGTCTACGAGATATAGCCCAAAAATAGCCAAATGTCGATCCAGAAAAATAGCCCAAAATAGCCAAAAAACAAACAAACAAACTGATCATTTGAAACGTTTATTTTGAGCAGAAAAGACACATAATACATTTTTATCCACCAAATGCCCCAGAAATGGCGTCCCTTGCACGTTCGGCGAACTTCCTGAAACGCTCGTACAAGCGCATGACAACATACTTTCCACTGTATTGGGACGCTTACTATCGGGGCATGATGACCAGAATGACGTCACGGGAGAACTATGCAGAATTAAACACAAAGTATAGGTGCAAGCCAATCAACAGACAACCTAAAGAATGCGCAGAACAGGTGCTGTTAAGGCCGCAAGGAATCGCGCCGTCACTTGTTGAGATGGAGGAATAACGACACATGCTTGCATTCGGACAAAATTCGTAGGTAAACAATTGCACAAGGTGCGCAAAAAGAAGACAAATTTGTTTACTGTCGCAAACTTATCAGGGTTAAAGGGGCGGTGCAACAATTTTATGATTAAAAGAATTTGCATCTCGTCATTTTTACGTTGTTTATCGTGTCCCAGAGGATAGAGAAAACACTTCCTTCATTAAAAATGTCGCGATTCCGCTGCATAATCGCAAAGCAAAAGTCGAGCTTTTTCCCCCACCTGCAGCCCCAAGTGGCAGCCGAAGGAACTACGGCGGAAAGATTACGTGACCTCGCTCGGCTCTAAGCCGCAGCATAGCGCCCGCTAATGCACGCAGAGAGAGGGAGGGGAAGCGTCCTCCGAGATAGCACAAGGGAAGCTACACGGCACTCCGAATGACGTCACTGGGAGTGCGACCAGGTGTGACCCTGAAGATTGGGAGTGAGTTGAGGGGTGCCCGAAATGCCAATCTTTATCTTTTTTTTACGCAACAACTAGGAGACGCAGGCGGAAACGGTTTTCTGTTCTTTACTTCAAAAGTGTCAGGGGGCAACTTCCAAAAATCTTTGACCAAAGTCCGAAAACCGTTGCACCGCCCCTTTAAGGGTCTGAAGCGCCCCCCAAGAGAAAGAGGACATAAAAGCCTGGAGCAAGGAAGCATTAGACTTCCTCCGGCAGTGATGGACACCTGCTTTTCGGACAGACACGTACCATCCCATATGACCTTTGCGTTAAAATTACCGTTAATGTCCTTGTTACTGTTGTGTTAAGTTCCTGTAATACTGCGACACCACAAGCCTGAAGTACAGGCCAATGGCCTTTCTGTGGTGCTGCGACCCTCCAGGGTCGAATAAAGACTATCTATCTACTCTAAAAAACACATTTGAACCCATAAACCCAAGGGCTTTCAGGCATTTTGGTTCCAGCACAGGTCAGAAATTGCCCAATGCACAGGTCAGAAGTAGCCCAATGCACAGGTCAGAAATAGCCCAATACTAGCCAAATAGCCAACTACCATTTTCTCCCGCCAACTGCAAATAAAACTAGCCCAATTTGGCTATTTATAGTCCAACCTGGCAACCCTGAGCGGGCAGGCCCGGGGATTGAACTCGGGATCCCTGAATCCTGCAGCGACTTCCGAAATACACAAGTTTCGGTTCCTAAGGTTGTCTAAGCTGGCATCCTGTTTCGGACGCTTACTGAAACTATTTGGCCTGACTTTCCAGTGCAGCGAAACTACGATCCGAGCTTGCACCCTTTCGAAGTATGCCGCGAGTACACCCGTGCCATGAACGCCGTGAAGCTGGATAAAATCTTCGCCAAGCCCTTCTTGGGCAGCCTGGACGGTCACAGAGATGGAGTGCAAGTGCTGCAGAAACATCCCAAGTCCCTGTCTCACCTGATCTCGGGAGCGTGCGACGGAGAGGTAAGTTCTCCTGTTTTCTCTCTGGGATATTCGGCTTGTCTGATCGCTGTGAGATGTCCCTGGTTGTCTTTGAGGTTATGTCGGGTTGGGAGGGCTCGGGTCGGTTTTAGTTGTCTTTGAGGTGAGTTCGGGTTGGACCGGGTCGGGTTCTGGTTGTCTTTCAGGTTAGGTCGGTTCGAGTTCTGGTTGTCTTTCAGGTTAGGCCGTATCGGGCTGTCTCTGAGGTTAGGTAAGGTTGGATTCTGGTTGTCTTTGAAGTTGGGTCGGGTCGGGTTTTGGTTGTCTTTAAAGTAAGTTTGGGTCAGGTCGGGTTGGGCAAGGCTAGGTCGGGCTGGGTAGGGTCGGCTACTGACGTTTGGTCTTCACCGAAAACACCCAAAAATTCCTAGAAACGAAAACTAGATTTGTGAGACAAGAAACTTGGATATCTTGTTCATTTTGAGGGATCCAGTCTTCGGTACTTCTGCACAGGTTCTATATGTCACCTGTTTCTGGGATGTATGTGCAGTGCAGCATGGATTGCACTGCATATGGGAATAAACACAAAGTCTTCGAAGCTCCAGCCATCACAAACACACTTTCGAATGCAGGTCAAAATATGGAACCTTGCCGAACGGAAATGCGTGCGGACCATCCAGGCCCATCGTGGCATGATAAGGGGCATCACTTTCCCTGCTGACGGTGACCGCTTCCTCACGGTGAGTCTTCTTACCAAGAAATCTATACAAGTTTTTGATTGTATTATGCTGAACAGTATTACGAGGAATGCACAAGTGGTAGCATAACATCAATGTAGTTACATTCCTGTTCACCATCTCAGCTGTGATAGTAATAACTAATTTGATGCGTGCTGTAGATGAGAAATTTAGCCAGTGCGGTACAACCATTAGCCTGGGCTACGTGCATCATGCAGTAGTGACACACTAAAGTTCACCAGTCCGATGCTCATTGAGGTTGCAGCAGGCAACTGCTGCAACTTCATTAGTGGGCGATGTATTGGCATTTCAAATTGCCAACATCATTATTTTAAATTTAACGCAAATGCCGTTAATAACTAGACATGCCATCGTAAGTTAAATAAACAATACATGGTAATCGGGCCCTTTTCTAGCCGCCATGACAAGGAGCCGGAAACACCTCCGATTTGGGTATTGTTTGCATGCTTTTAAAGGGCAACGTCACTGCTATGTTTTGTGTGTTCCGCAATTAAATCAGTCTTTTGTTACGTTTTCCGCATCCACTGGCTTCTTGAAGTGAGTAATGCTTTGCAATTGGCTGGGCCACTTTGTTGTGGCAGAGTTTCGTGAAATGAAAAATGCCGCGAGCCGCGGCTGTCGAGCGTGGACAGTTTGTCACGCATGCATCGATTTCACGCCGAGCATAGGCACGCATCATTGCTTAATTTGAAAATCAATTGATGCACACATCCGACTCTTCTGGAGAGCGAAGAGACTTGCTTGAACGAATCACTTGAGTTCTTATGCAAATTAAGATTGATTGAAAGATGAATTAATATTCACCACTTTCAGACATTCGGACGTCGAAAAATATAACTATATTTTAGCCGGAACCCAGGTTTCCAGATCGCAAACCAACTTTATACTGCATAAAATATTTAATAATTAAAATAATAGTTTTTATCTTTTTTTTTAGCCTTTGAGCAGTATCACTTGTTGACATTAATTTTTCGGTGCATGTGAGCTTGTGAACAGATGGTTTATGTGAGTCCCAAACAAACTTCAGCAAAAACACAGGCAGACAAAAAAAAAAGTAAATCTTGAGAGTTTGTGTTAGTGGAGGACCTCTAAATGGGAGGGGTGTCTTCACGTGGAACCGAATCTGGGGTTCCGTTCCACGTCAGTTTCAGGCACTTCATTTTTGAAGTTCGAGAGCCAGATTTTTCTTTTCATTATGCAATGAAGCGTCTGTTCCTGGCACGATTAAAGCAAGACGTGAAACAGCATGAAACCACTGGAACTACCTTTCAATTTTATTACTCACCCATGTCGTCATTTTTCCCGGGCACGAGTGGCACAATTCCTTACGCCTTCCTTCAACTACGTCCATCCAGCAGGCATAGCGCAGTTTCGCTTCGATTAGCTCAAACACTCACGGCGATGACGCGCAGTTGACGAAGCTATGTTGTGCTCACACACGCTCTCCCGTGCACGAAAAACGCAAAACAATTACATTCGTCGGTTGATCTGTGAGCGTCTAGCTTCGTCGGATGTCTCACATTGTCGTTGTTGTTAGTGATGAGAGAAGAGAAAAAGGTGGAGGAGAGTACTTGCTCGAAACGAATTGGTCACTGACTATGTCTCACGCGTACACAAGTTGCCACTGTACCTCAGAAAGGGCCACGTAACTTTCGCCTTGGAGGCCAAATAAAACGAGATGCGGTGCTTTTTTTTGGTGCCGTATGGTCTGGAAACACACAGATCTATCTTACGTCTGGTTTTCGACATGCCTTTCGCGATTTTACGCCGACAAAGAAGCGCTGCTCATTTTTGCTTTTTGAAACATACACAAGAAGCTGGTCAATCACAAGTATTCTAGGCAAGCGGAAGTTCTGCCATTGCTTGTTTGCAACATAATTTAGAATACCATGTATAGGAACAGTACAAAGGCATGCCTGAACAGTTTTGGCATGTAGCAGGTGCCTGGCACGTGTAAGTTGTCCATCGCTTTCAAACCATGCAAATCGTCTGCTATACTGGGCTACAGGTAGGCGACGACAAGAACATCAAGACCTGGAAAACCGAACCTCCTGGGTGGGGAGAGACGGATGAGCCGGTCGACACAATCATTACTAAGGTATGTCGAAGCATTTATGAAAGCCCTTCCTAGGTAGGTGTAGAACTGCCCACACATTAAAAAAGTGGAAACACGTACGCAAGTGAAAAAGGCTGCTGGTTCCACAGATTTCATGCACACAAATTGCTGTATGGAGAGTGGCAGTGAAACTGGGGAGGCAATTTCCGTCCAGACATTCCAGACATAAATCTAGTAAACAATTCAAGTGAAGGAGAGAAAAATTGCCCCCCCCCCCCCCGACATGATTGCGATACGATTCCAATTTTTATGGAGAAAGTATATATGGCATTTGTAAGTGCCACATTCTTGCATGGAAATTGAAACAGGTAAAAGGTAGGCAAAGGGCATCAAGCACTACGGTGGTTTTCTACTGAAACGGCCATAATTTAGAAAGCTAATGTCTAAACTTACCTGCATTATTTTTGGGAATATTTTAGTCATAAACTATTACATAAATATATATATAAAAATACCAGAATATAGCTGTTTACGTTCCACGGATCTAATCTCCCCAAACACGCCATTATTACCCTATTGTTTCAACTGGGAGGCTTTCTATGGCCGCGGCATGCCAAACCTCGTCGGCAAACTTCCCGTAGCGCGTCTACTACTTATGCGATTGTAAAGAGTGAAAGTGTTTGGAGCGCCTGATAAGGTTGATGCTGGCCCGGTAAACATTAGTGGTTCCCTTTGTACAGGGAGTGCTGACGGGGATATCGCATCACCAAAAGGAGAACCTCTTTGCGACCTGTGGGGAGGACGTGCACCTGTGGGAGGAGACCCGGTCCGAGCCGCTGCGGACGCTCAACTGGGGCGTGGACACCGTCTACTGCGTTCGCTTCAACCCCATCGAGGTGCCCCTGGCCTTCCGCTCGCATTCTTCCCTAAAGAAAAATTGGACTGTATGGTGCTGGGGGGGATGCGACAAGATGAAGTTTTATGCATAATCTGTGTGGGCGTAAAATTTTAGATCGAGGCACATGTAGACGTGTCAGTTTGCACGCAGTTCAAGTTACCCAAAATCAAGAGGTAGGTCAAATAATTTTACAGCGAAGCTGTTCATGGCTAGGTCCCGTAGATTTTTCGTTTGCAGTGACTAAAAACTCTATGCTTGCACTGCCGCACACGCCTGCCTTCCCCGTATAAAAGATTCGGAGTAAATAACCAAAATAAAGCATTGACAAATGCGCGTGCAAGATGCCTTTTGTTTTAGGCTTTTGCTTTAGAACAGTTACTGCTGCAGACGCCGGCATGTGCGGCACGGGGAACACCATTCCTTGCATTCTCCTTGATGCTTGGGTAGTTTAGAGATAGGTCTATTCAGTAGATTGGTTATCAATAGGCACCATTTTCAGGGTCAATAGACTCTCGGGTAAATAATAAAAGTTTCGCAAAGATTTGCTTTTGTGCGACCCGCGTCGGCCATGTCTACGCTCGCACCGCCCTCTCTTTGTCGTCGTTCCAAGCGCTTGCGTGCCTGGTTTCTTTCCGCTGTCCCGGGGCGGCAGTTCCGCCGTGCATGTCTAGTTTCCTCCGGCTCCTTGGGGCGGGTCTGTGTCGTGTGCTAAACAGCTTTGCTGGTCATTCACCTTCCCAGAGTGGAATGGCTCATGATTTTTTTCATTGTAAGCACCAGTTCTGCTTCTGGCAAATATTCCACTCACCCCAACCTTGTGGTATAGTAGTACAATTAAATTCTGCCAACTGACGTCTTAACTACAGCACTACACGAACCTACCTCTTGAGGCCCTGACCCGGCCCGAGGATGGTTTGATGGAATGTCTACCCGATCCGACCCAGCTCCAGCCTGGCGCGGCTGAAGGTGCTTCGACAGTGGGAGATTAAGCATGTCTCGAACCCGAAAGTGAAGTTTGGTACCCGGCCCGGCCCAGCCTGGCCCAGCCCGGCCCGCCCGGGTGCCATGCATCATTCCGGGCCAGGCCGGACCTGGGTTTTAGGGTTGACCTGGGCCCGTGCAGATCTCTAGTCTGAACACTTACAAACCTGCATACGCTGAATTTCAGCAGTACTGATGGATTCATCACTTATTGAAATAGTGTTAGGTCCACTGATGAAGTCCGTCGTGCGACTCGGCTGTTAGAACTTCTCAGATTGCATACTAGATGGCACAAAGTGGTTGGCCGACTTGTGCTGTTGGAGTCCGCACGCTAAAACGAGCGTCTGCGAATGCAGGTCAACGTCATCGGCAGCGCGTCGAGCGACCGCAGCATCGTGTTGTACGACACGAGGGAGTCCCAGCCCCTGCGGAGGGTGATTCTCGAAATGCGTTCCAATGCCCTGTGCTGGAACCCCATGGAGGCATTCGTCTTTACCTGCGCCAACGAAGACTACAAGTGAGTTGGCTACAGGTGCCAGACGGATTCCACTTTGATTAAGTTAGGGTCGAGCAAACTTTTCGTTCATGTGACAGTTTGTCCGCTACAACGCTCGACGGTTGTGTATTTCAGTCTCTACACTTTCGACATGCGGAGGTTGAAGTCCCCCCTCAGTGTTCACATGGATCACGTTTCGGCAGGTGAGGCCTCGTCGTCTTACCATTCAGCCTTTCTCTTTTGCTGACAAAACTACTTCTACTCCATGCTTTCAGTGATGGACGTCGATTACTCTCCGACGGGAAAAGAATTTGTGTCAGGAAGTTACGACAAGTCTGTCCGCATCTTTACCACGGACCACGGACACAGCAGGTAACTACCGCTTTGTTAGCAATTGCAGCAAAATGTTTTTGAAGTTGAGGGTGGTTCTTTCCCGAGCTTTTTATAGATCATTACGTGCTGTATTCAATTTCTTCCACCAATATTGTAGCTTTGCTCACTACTTTTCGCTACTTGTTGCAAAGCATATATGCCTGTCAAATTGATTCCACCGTTCCCATGATGCTTGTGGCGTGAGGTTAGTCAGTCTTGAATTACGGCAACTCAACTCTTCGCCTTCAAGGGTAAAATGTTCCAGTGCAGCGCAGTAAGCTGGGCTTTGTAACATTCATTGAGCCATAGCGTGTTGCTATTTTCAATCACACTTCGCAATTTCCGATGCATGCCACCCTTAATTGGCACATGTGCCTTTCAGGGAAGTGTACCACACCAAGCGCATGCAGCGCCTCACCTGCGTCCTGTGGTCTCTAGACAACAAGTACATCATGACCGGCTCGGACGAGATGAACATCCGGCTCTGGAAGGCCTGCGCCTCGGAAAAACTGGGCATGGTGGGTACGCACAGCACACGTCGGTGTTGTCCGCTTCGGACCGGCCTAGTGGACGCTAGTTAACAATCAAGGTAGAGGTGTGCCAGTATTCGAGACATCAAGATGTTTGTGAATAATGTTTGCCATTTGATTCGATTCACAGAACCCTTTTACCGTTTAAGGTATTAGAGTTTGTCGAATATTAGGAAATTATGAATACTGCAGGGTCTTCGGAATTCTGATTTCCCAAGTCAAGCTTTACCGATTAGCACTGGCGTGCGTGGGTCAGGCTCCCCTGCTTTGCAATGACGTGCTAGGGGAGACGGCTGATGTGTTACAGCATCTCAGTTGGCTTGGTGGTCTCGGAAATTTAGCTCGCTATTGTGGCTATGGCCTTCTTTGATTATAGTCCGACCCGATATTAAAGTGCACTGCCAGACAAGAGAACCCCGAGCTATACTCAGATAAGTGAAGTATTAGTCACTGCTTTGCTTGCCGTGTCGCATTTTGTTTTACCCAACTCATCTTATCAGGGTTTTTCTTGCTTTTAAAGCGGTAGCTTTATGGGGCCAACCACGCTCAAGGTCATGTCTTCGTCCTCAAGGTCGCGTAATGCCCATGGCTGAAGTGCGAGGTCACTTACACAAGGCAACGTAAGCGCCGGTTGCGTCGGCTCCGTTCGCACAAGCTGAGGCCAACTTGACGTCGTCCTAAACGCCGCCGTCATCTTCGATGTGTGCACGGCATTACAACCATTCCATCACCATACCATTTTTTTTTCACAATTGTTTTCGCTAACATCATTCCTGTAAAGCTACCGCATTCCATCGAGTTGGGTTGAACGAATGTGCATGTAATATTTTTTTTAATTGACATAGATGAAGTGTTTCTCATGTATGTGAAGTGTTTCATAGGTATGTTCTACAAAAGCTTTCCAGCCACGATTTCTAAAAATATCCACGCTCAATTTACATAAAATGTAGCGTATTCATGTTTGAAACTAAACTCTACCTTAATTTGCAGTCAACCTTTAATATTCATACTTGATTGGCAACGGAAAATTTGATGTTCACACACCCCTAGAATCAGGGGAACGGTGACAACGAGAATTCTCCAGTACCTGGACACTCGGCTTCATTTTAAGAAAGACGACACTTCTCAAGTGCTACGACAGACACATTGCAGTCTTCCTAACAGCCAGCACAATGTTGGTTCTAGCTGGGCCACAGGGAGAAGATGGCGTTCCAGTACCAGGCCAAGTTGAAGGAGAAGTTCGCCCAGCACCCTCAAGTGAAGAGGATTGCGCGGCACCGTCATGTGCCCAAGCACATCTACAATGCCCAGCAGGAGAAAAGGACCATGCTGGAGGCACGCAAACGCAAGTACGTCTCGCAACTGCGTTCTCAACACCACTCTTTAGGGTTACAAAGAAAGAAAGAAAAAAAAGAAACATTTGGCAAATTTTTAATTGTAGATTTTTAATTCTTTATTGCAAATATTAAAATGAGACTATTCAAACTAGTAGTTACAAAGAAACGCTTTGTATAAGTAAAGGCCCGTTCGCACTCTTGCGACCGAGAGAGACAAGATCTCTTAAAACTTCCTAAATGTTTTTAAAATGAGGGAACACACTGGCATTGTGGCGCCATCTATGCGGTGACCCTGGAACTGCATTTCACAAGAGCGAAGGTTTTGCGGGATTTCCGAGGTCAAATGTGCGTAATACTCATAGAAAGGCTCGTTTATAACATTGACAAAAGTTTTTCGAGCCAAGAAAGAAAGGATGCTTACTGATTACCAGCTGAACATAATGAAAAGCGACGAAGAGAGAAAGAAACAAACTGCTGGACTATCAACCCTTTTAATAAACTTCCTTCTCCTCAATCGGTACGCCTTAGAATGATCATACTCTTGTTGGAAAGAGCATTTCTTCACAGTTTCGGTACATTAAACATACATTTGTTTAAGAGTATGCACAATTCGGGCAAGAACACCATAGAAGTCCAGCCTTCCCGTGGAAGAGACCACGCACATGGGCAAAAATCGAAAAGCCTGCCCAGATTGAGCAGAAAAGTAATATACCGACATTTGTTAATAGACAGTCACGTGGGTTTGTCTGCTTTCTATGTTGACGATGCTTGCCCTGCCTGTAACTGCCAACACTGGTTCGTGTACTGCAAGCATATCCAATTCCTCACTCATTTCATAATCCATGTCCACATGTCGACAACAAAATGAAAATTGAAAGCATTTTATGCTCAAGCTCACTCGGCAAGGTTACGCAGGATAATGCGCGAGAAAAAAAAAATATGCAGGACCGCAGAGTTTACACTGCTTCCCAATAGATGGCGCCAGTGTGTTTTCTGGTTTAAGAAGTTTTAAGGAACCCAGGTTTAAGAGGTCGCAAGAGTGTGAATGGGCCTTAAGAGTACCGCAACAAGTCTCAAAGCAGTGGCAAGTCGTGATAGTTAATATGGGATTTCATTCTCGTTTGTAAGATGGGCTGGGGTACCTACGGCAAAAAGATGCGAAACGTAGCGACCACGGTTTTGAGTGCGCAAATCAAGACGTGAAATGTACCGTCATCATAAATGTACGAAACTTGGGTTCTCTGGGTTTCAACGTGGTCCTCGTGTCGTAGCTTTTGCGGCAGCCATTCCACACTTGCCTGGAAAAACGCTTGGGCAGAAACACCATTCACTTCGAAGTCAGAATCTGTAATTTGCACGTGCTTATTGTTTCACCGCTTTTGAAGAAGCCGGCAGTTCGGTAGCGGAAGTCGTTCTTCTAAAATTTGCCACGACGTAAGCTACGCCGAGTATTGGCACTCAGTTCCCTGTCCTAAGGGGGGACGCCACCTTAATGTTGCAATTTGTAAGAAAAAAAGAGAATTTACCACGTTTTTTTTGTTTTTTTTTATTTATTGTGGTTTAACAACTAATAGTGCACACACCTGCAAATTGTTACTGGATATCTAAAATATTTACGGAGAAATAAAACATTTTCGGTAAGCCGACGACGCAGAATCCTATGTTTCGGAAATGTGAAACTTTCTAACAGCTGTATCTGCGCACCGGTACGCCTTAGAATGATCATACTCTTGTTGGAAAGAGCATTTCTTCACAGTTTCGGTACATTAAACATACATTTGTTTAAGAGTATGCACAATTCGGGCAAGAACACCATAGAAGTCCAGCCTTCCTGTGGAAGAGACCACGCACATGGGCAAAAATCGAAAAGCCTGCCCCGATTGAGCAGAAAAGTAATATAACGACATTTGTTAATAGACAGTCACGTGGGTTTGTCTGCTTTCTATGTTGACGATGCTTGCCCGGCCTGTAACTGCCAACACTGGTTCGTGTACTGCAAGCATATCCAATTCCTCACTCATTTCATAATCCATGTCCACATGTCGACAACAAAACGAAAATTGAAAGCATTTTATGCTCAAGCTCACGCAGGAGATTGGGTGTAAGCAGAAGGCACCACCTATGCTATTGGTGCCTTATAGTAGTTGCCACCACCACCAGTAAAATCAAATGTAGTGGCGTGGAAATAGGTTGTTTTTCACTTTTTTGCAACATCTTTCATTTTAGGAAATTTATCATTTCAATGAATTATTCAATTTATTCTTTGCTGTGGATGTTTCTGAACTGAAATTTAACGAGGAATGCGGCTAGATACTAATTTTCCCTTTTAAACAAAATTCTTATTGCCAAAAAGTAGAGTTTTGATGAGGAGAAAACGCCCCATTCTGTGCAACTGTTCAAATTGTCATTTTGCGTAGAAAAAGCGCAGATTTTATAAGAAATGGATAGCCGCACCCCCCATGTGTTCTGGTTACGGCTGAAGCTTAGAAATGCTCAATATATTTTCCAGCAATTTTATGATAGATTTCCTTGCCAAGTGAGGCAACATAATTGTGTACCTCCCTCTGTAGCTTATCTGAAAATTGTCCTACGGAGATGAGACATCATACAGTGCACTTGGGCAACGAGATGCATAGACCCTTTAAATTTCATCGATATAGAGCGACTGATTTAAAAGTCAGCAGTGGTGGCGACACCCCTTAAAGGCACCGTCATTTTGGTCCTTAGTGAATGCATTTGGCGATCGTCACGATTAAAAAATGCTTCCCGAGCTGTCGACCCGGTACCGGGAATCTAAGACGGCGTAGTTTCGCTCCGTCGCAGACCTTTCTAACCATTCTGGAGGACGTGAAACCGTTTCTTGTGACTTAAGAAGATAAATCTTCAGATAACTGGCAACCATCCGGCTGAACAGTCGTTGCTCTGAAGCGTAACTCATGTAGACAAGAAGCGTTTTCACCGCGCGTCTGGTCCCAACACTTCCCACTCCGTCTTCTGCAGGGAGGCGAATCGCAGGGCCCACAGCCGCCCGGGCACGGTCCCCTACAAGTCGGAACGTGCGAAGCACGTGGTCCGAGAGGAACAATGAAGACTCTCCGTCCACTCCCACAGACACCTTTATTTCCTGGATTAGGAGCGCAGCCGCCGTGGAGAAGTCCCGAAGAGCGGAGCTACGTGACCGGGATAAAAAACAGAAAAATAAACGCTTTTGTCAACCAGATCTAAGTCTTGTATGTACAAGGAGCCATGGGAACGGACTTTTTTCTTTTTTTTTCTACAACCTCATTGCACTGGTTTCCATCGTCTTGAAAGACAAAGAGTTGCTTCAGCCGTGTTTTCTGCGGAGGCACTGTGCTACCTGCGTTTTAAGTTAAGCCTAGCCTCGGCAGAAGGAGGTGCGGCGTGGCTCTAGTAGACGCGTACTGCGGGGGGCACCATCTTGCACTCCTTCTGGTCCAAGGTTTCGTCGATGACCGGCCGGTAGTCTAGCGACACCTGCAGTTGGAACAGAGATTTGCACGTGCTGGTTACCTATTCCATCTGTTCATCTAAGCTGGATAAAGTGCCCCTATAGTCATCTCCTCGCCAATACGCCTCGCAAGTGGGCTCATTTTCGTCTTCTGCGCATGAGAAAGGAAGTAGCGGTGACGTCAGAACGCCGAGTCCTGATTGGCTGATCGCGACCCCCTATTGAGCGTCGTCTGCTCCTTTGCAACGTCGTCTGCTCGCAACATCGTCTGCGTCTTTCTTAGCTTTCCTGCGACTTTCGGAGCGAACTCGACTTGGCCTTTAAGGGAGGGCAGACGAAATAACACGAGCGGTACGTTGTTTTCGTCTAACAACTAGCAGACGCGCATCAAGGAGGGAAGTCAAAGGACTCACTGGCGAGGTGTCCCGGGGCGCCGAGGTTTGTTTGCTTAGTGTCCGCAAGTTCCCTCCCAAATACTTTTTACCTCCATTCGTGTGCGGCGAGACCCCTCACTCTTTAACGGCGCCGGCGGGTCGGCGCAGTTAACGTCGTCTGCTTTACGTCTGCTTGTCCAAAGCGATGGCTGCTTTACCTTTCCTGCGTCTGTCGGAGATTCGCCGCTTTTTCACCGGCGAGAGTCACCGTTGCCTCGGGAAACAAGGAGATAACAAGAGGAAGAAATTGACCTCTTAATCTAAAATTGAGGTGAGCGATCAAAGTATAACACGGGAAGGGCTCACAAGGGTCGCGCGGGCATGTTCCATTCAGCACGTCAGCCGGTCGTGGGCAGACGGTCGCCGAGTCGCGGAGTGCCTGCTAGGCCTAACTGCCCAGCTCGTTTGGTCGCGTTCGGTGGAATCGTCGCCGTTGGAGCTTTTCCCCGGTGTCTGTGGATCCAGCGTTCTTGTTCGTCGTGCTCTGTTTCAAGTAATTTTTACTTTTTTTTTTTTGCTGCTTGAAGTCAGGACGCGTGAGAAGCTCACGTAGAAAAATAAACGTCCGTGGGTCGTCGCGACCGCGACGCTGTCGGCCATGCTGACTTGATCGTAAGAAGTGCGTAAGACAGCTTCGGAGCTGTCGTAGGATTTCGCCGTAACCTGCGCAAAACTTACGAAAATTTCGTTTCGTGAATACGAATTTGTTCTTAAGTTTTGTTTTACGCACATTTTTGGCGTAAGATCGTTTCGTGAATCTGGCCTCTGCACTTCCGAAAGTCGCAGGAAATGTAAGACAGACGCAGACGAGGTTGCGAGCAGACGACGTTGCAAAGAAGCAGACGACGCTCAGATAGGGGGGCTCGATCAGTCAATCAGGGCTCGGCGTTCTGACGTCACCGCTACCCCCTGCGCAAGGAGCAGACGAACTTGCCCTCCGCATAGGTCCCGGGTGGGCAGTGTCGGCCGATGGATATGAGCTAGTGGCTGTACCTTTTGCATCTGACAGTAGCTTCTGCCGTCTAGTCTATGATTATGGCAAGACGCGCGAAACTCCAGGCATGTTTACATTATCTTTGTGTTGCTTTGGTACATATCTGAAAGCTTTTATTTATCCACTTTGTTTATTACACTGCAAGGCCTACAGAGCTTGTACCGCACTTGCGACATCCTGCCAGTCTGACTTTCCGGTTCGAGCAAGCAAGAGTCGGCAGGCTAAAATGATTCTACAGGCATTCTAGATCATGAACAGGGTGCAGTGTTTTCGGTATTACATAGTATATACTCAAATCAGGTCTGTCTTCGAACAAGAGGGAGCCAAGTTACATGGGAAGAAATCTTTATCTACATATTTACTCTGTGCTGACAGAGAACACAGCCCTCGCCAAACTGTTTGTAAGGCTCCTACTCTTTTCGTGAACCACACCCCTCATGTTTCCTGCTCTTGTTGATACTAGAACATTTTCTAAGTATGTTCAAGTCGGGCACACATTCCCTGGACGAAGGAGAATGCCTGTGCCCTGTTTTCTTCAAACTCTCCCCTCCTAAACGCCAATATTTTTTAACACCACCGTAAAACCCCTAATATGTTGAAGAAAATTACCCCTTAGAAAACGCACCCGAATTCGAGGAAAAACCAAACGTCCCCAAAACACTAAACTCGCTTTCGCCTCGAGAACCGTAGCAAAGAAAAGGTCCGGCTCCTTGCAGAAAATTTTATAATTTTCCCTTTATGTAGAGAATTAAGATATATGTAGGTGCTTTTTAGACTAGATATATGTTATCTTATTGAAACATTCACGCTTCCAAAGTCAAACGCATTGCTTCTTCCTCCACATTGCAGCATATAAACAATGCACAAAACTCCCCTTTTTCTTGAGGTGAAAACGAGTATAATTCCGTGTACTTAAAGGGATGCTGAACAAAAATTTGGAGCTTACAGAACAAGGCTGGAGAGATAGGCGGGACGCTGCAAAACCCAAAAACGTCACTCGAACAGCCATATCTCTAACGGATGGCCATATTTTCGGGAAAGAAGTGCACGACTGAACACGACCGACGTGACTGACAAGACGTGCGATGTCGCCGATTCTCATTCTCTCTCCTCTTCACTTTGTCCCCCCGAGCAGGTGAACCGAAGCAAGGAAGAGAGAATCTCAGCTGTTCGAGGAGAACCGTAGTGTCCCCCGTTAATGCTTCTGAGGCCTTATTTTGCGAAATCCAAATTTCGGTTCAGCAGTTGTGGTGCAATACAGCCAAACGGGGTCGGAAAGGGGTCAAGGGGGTGGGGCCCGACCTTTCCGGTGGCGGTGTCCATGTCGGAGAGAGTGTGCTTCCTCCAGTGCTGCTCCACGGGCACTTTCTGCTGGCCCTCCAGCGGCTTGGCGTAGTTGTACTCGTCCACGCGGTCCTGGTCGGCCAATAGGTTCAGAGTCCGTCACTTTCGTCGAAACGGGCGCACACCCATACCGCAGCAAAGAGAATCATTGTCTTGCGGCGATGAAGGTTTTGCTAAGGCAACATTCGATGATGAACGAAGTCGGAATGAACCAGAAAAGTTGGCACGAGGTAAGGTGACATAGGGAACAATGGAAGAAGTTGCTGCAACTGCATATTCCGAGTTCTTTTAATTCGCATCTCCTCAGTGTTCTGGGGGTCAGATAAATTTTACTTTATGGGCTGTGGTAGGCTTTTCTCGTTAATAGCCAAAGAACCCCCCATGACTTTGGCACTGATGAAATAAAGGGGCACGGGAGTCTTGTAAACAATAACACGCATACCATGTACTGTTTGGCTTATAGTTGTGCAGCAATGGGCGGCTTGGGCTTATTGAAATAGTTCCGGAATAACTCATTGCCTAGGGGAGAGACGTTCTACAAATTTTGAGTTTGGGGAACCCCACAGTTCTTGAGAGCAGAGTCAATCCGCGGACTTGAGGATCCGAGTCGGCGTACAGCTGCTCCAAATCCTCGAGTCCGGAAACGAAGGGAGACGGAATTGGGCTAACCTTGAAGTCCTCGCGGGCATGCGCGCCCCGGCTCTCCTTGCGTGCTTCGGCGGCGTAGATGGCTTGCCGGGCGCAGGACAGTAGATTTTGGAGCTCCAGGCCCTCCACCAGGTCCGTGTTCCAGATCATGCCGCGGTCGCTCACCTGCAGGTTGAACAGTGGCAAGTCGTTGCAAAGGAAGTGGGGACAGAATGCCCCCAGGCTAGAAAAGAGAGTCTCCAAGGTTACTACGAAGGGCACCGGGACAAAAAATTAACGAAGAGCTATAACAGAGACGAGATCGCAAAGGGGCAGTCTTTGGAAGTTGCCAGTGGGACACACTAGTGGAATGTAAAGCAAATGAGTGTCGTGGGTACCTAACGGAGACACGATCGCCGCAGAAAGGTCACTGTGACATGTGCTGAAATACAATTCGAAAGGCCGCAGCTGAGGGTTGCCAAAGAACCATCGACGAGCCTTGTTATTGGGCTAGTTGGTAAGTGTTGCCGAGGAAACTTGTAAGCACAAAGAGAGACAACCATGAAGAAGAGGAAGAAGCACTTGTCTGTGTCCGCTTCTTTCTGGTGTCCCTCCCTGTTTGTGCTTACAAGTTCCCTGAACAGTCAACGGCAGGACAGAAAGGACAGCTACCAAAGGAACAGGACTGTAATATGATAGTCAACAAGACAACAGAGGTGTCAATAGTACAGAACCACTAATAAGACACCTCCATTAGTCAAAGCTTTTTTAGAGGAACCACATTAATTTTCTTTGAAAAAACTAACGAACTAGCTGTACACATACCTTTAAGTCTTTGAGTTCATTGTAAACACCGTCCATCTTCTTGCAACCCTCCTGAAGACTCTCTCCGGTCCTGAACACTGCCGCGTGCTGCTGCATTGTCTGAACAAGCACCGAAAACGAGACTAAGTGAGTACCGCTACGGCGGACAGTTCCTTGGAAATGCATTGGGACTGGGAAGCGAAGCCCCCTGAAACAGCGTTTTTTATAGAGGAAGGAGAGGAGGGCACCTTCTGCATGTTCAGCCTGATCTTGGCGACTGGAAGGGACCCGTTCGCATTACGCAGCTTGTCCAGGTTGGCGACGGACTCTTCTCCGGCGTTCTGAAAAGGTATGGAGCAGAACGTGTAAGGTTTGTCGGAAGAGCAATCCAGGAACAACCAGCCACAGTTCAAAAAACGGGCTTAAGGTGGCCATTAAAAAGGTTGCGATCGATTTGGTGTGGCACGATCGAGTGGTAACTCACACGGGACAAACTTGCCACATTTTATGTATGACACGTGCAATCTTTTTGATGTGATATTCCCTTTAAAGGCCCTCCAACTATATTTGAGCTTCTGCGCTTTTATGTTATATTATCTCATTAGTGGGTCGGTCTACTCAGGGAAGCAGTAGTAGCCATGAAATATTACTGCATCATATTTTAATTCGATCTGGCAAGAACAGCGTGTATGGTGGCACCCCAGTGCGTTCAAGAAGTGCAGTTGGTGATGTTTTATGGTCGACTTTGTGATTGGCAGCGCTGGCAAAAGCCAACTAAATTGTTTTATGCAGACTAAATAGAAGTATCATTATTTTTCAAAAAGCTGTTTTTAATTAGCAAAAAGATTTAAAAAAATTCAAATGTGCAAAAAAAAAAGAAAAGACGATGAGACGCCTGCTTCTTAGCGGCAGTGGTGGCAAGACTAGCGAACCGGTTATCTGGCCCTAGCGGGAGCACCCTATCAGCCCCATTCAGGAATCGCCGTTTGGGATGTCGGAACAACAGAACCTGTGGGACGTTTTTTTCTGCGATTTGAATCTGCGGCTCTCGCCACGTGCTAGCTGTTTTCACCCTTCAGTTTCGTGTCCTCACGTTTTTTGTGTTGGTTTTCACATCCGTGCTCTCGAGTGGACAAGTCTGTGTGTGCTACGAATTACCCTGAGAAGCTTTGTAGGCCTAACGAGCCGGACGTGCTTGCTCGGAATGCTGGCAAAATCCTGAAGCTGGACGACGTGCCAAAAGTAGAGTTAATTAGAATTCAGGATGACTTCTATAAGTTATGTATGATCATGTGCTGGTCGTTTGCGCCAAAAGCCGTTCCCGCTCAAAACAATGAATGGAGAGCGTCGACTCGTCTTAACAAAAGCCAGCCGGCGGATTCGGGACAGGCGCAGTATTGCAATCTTTTTCCGCTGACATATATGTGACATTTGGGAGAAGAAAAAGAATTGCATGCACATTCATTTGTGCATGCAATGAAATACAGTAGCTTTACAGGAACGTCGTTAGTAAAAACAATTAGGAAATGAAATGGTACGGTGATGAAATGGTTGTAATATGCCATGCACAGATAGAAGACGACGTTGAGGACAGTGTAGAGGACCCCCTCTAGGATGATTTCAAGGACGACGTCTAGGATGACATTGAGGACAATGTCAAGAATGGCATCAAGGAAAACCTCTAAGACGAGAGCTCAAGGACACTGTCAATGAAGACGTCGAGGATGAAGTCCTAGACGACGTCTTCTTCATCGACATCAAGAATGCTGTCTAGGACGACCTCTAGGACTATGTCAAAGACATCAGGACACGTTAGCTTTAGTACCGGTGTTTGTATGACCATGATCATGCGACCTTGAGGACATGACCTCGGGCATGGTTCGTTGGGCCTATAGATCTACCGCTTTAATAAATACTTCTTTGAACTTATCACCATCTTTTTCCTTTTTGAACCTATCACAGTGCAAATAACCCCCGACCCGAATCGCTGCTTCAATTACACCGATTGCATAGGTACTGATCAGCAGAAACAGGAAAAATGTAAAACAAGGCAGACATGAACTCAACTTGCAGCCAACTGGCCAGCCACTTCGCTCCAACCCTCCAATCAATGATTTGTCCATAATACGTCACGGAGCTAAAACATAGTGCTTGTCTTGGTAATCTTAATTTGCTTATACCCCCAAAATAAATTGCATTTCCACAACAAAAGTTTTCGCTCAGTGTTGCTACGTTCGATAAGCTCAGTCTCAGCACAAATTCCAAACCAGTCCAAGAATCGTTCGAAAGGCCCCTTTAAATATGCATAATCATTCCATGTGCCAGTGGTACGTGTGCATGAACAGATGGATAATGGTGGCTATACTCTTTGTAGTAGATGGTGGCTTGCACAACCTAACCCACCATTTTTTAAACACCCTTTATTTCCACCCAAAATGTTTCCCATTATACATCCCATGCATTGCGAGAGGTCAGAATGTGAAGCCAGAAAATGTGATAAAAATTGTCGCAGCCATTTCCACCACTCAGAAGGCCACAAGTGAGCGACGTCCTCGAAAGCTCCAACCAATCCTAGACTCGAGTTGCAAAGTGCAGAAGCAGCCCTACAGCAACCCTGAAAGCTAGAACGTGGCTCAAGCTGCAATTCGCTATACAATTTTGGCATTTTCGTACGCATGAGCAAACTCTCAAAGATCGAGCAGGACGAGAAGCAAGGAAACGCACGCTTGGTAGGTCCGGCACTTTGTCCCCCGGCCGGCAGAGGTTGGCGATGGTGTGGGCGCAGGCCCGGCCGAACACCACGATGTCCAGTAGCGAGTTGGCCCCCAACCGGTTGGCCCCGTGCACCGACGCACTGGCCGCCTCCCCGGCGGCGTACAGGCCGGGGACCACTTTCTCGCCGTGGGTCAAGACCTGCGAGCGACGTGCTCACACTTAAGATAGAATTAGGTCTCTTAAAGCAGTGATGTGATTGGCCTAAGCCGTTTTGGAGCACCTTTTGGAGCAGCCAAAACGGTGTTTTGGAGCAGCAAAAGTGGCCTTTGGAGCAGGCAAAACAGTGTTTTGGAGCAGCAAAAGTGGCCTTTGGAGCAGGCAAAATAGTGTTTTAGAGCAGCAAAAGTGGCTTTTGGAGTAGCCAAAACAGTGTTTCGGAGCCGCACAAGTGGCTTTTGGAGCCGATATTCTTAGAAAAATAAACCTATTCGTTTTAAGTGCCGAACGAACGAAGGCCACTTCGCTCGCCGCACCACCTGGGAGTCTTTCAACATGTAACTGAAATGCCAATGACATGACACATTTTGCAATGCTTCAGTTAAATTATACATATATATGTACCGTTATAGATAAATAAGAACCAAACTATTTACTTGAAAATGACGAGCTAATTAGTACATATCGCAGCATTAATTTGACCTGTATAGTTATATAACCCTACCGAAAAATCCGGTATAACTTTTCACTATCCGGAATATGGAACCGGAAATTTGTTACTGGAAACCCGAAATCCAGATTGCAGACAAAGGAATAATTTCTGAAAACCTAAATTCCAGATAGAGTCCAGATAGAATCCAGATAGATTTCCGCTTCCATAATCCGGACAGCGAAAAGTTATACCGGATTTTTCGGTAAGGAATGTAATAAATGGAAGCTGTCTCCGACTGATAAAACACGTAACTACTGCAGTGCAATGCGAAATTGTATACAAGACAAAGCGGGTTCTTTTCTTTTTGCTTTTCGAAACTTTCTACAAGGCTGTTGCAAGCCTCGCTTTGCCTTTGGCTAGTAATGACTTCCCACTTTCAATATCTCCAAAGAGACAGAGACATGCCACAAATGAACAGTGCTGTGGGCGTTGTCGAGTAATTCCGAAAAACCGCTTGCCACCGTTTTACTGGTTCCCGACGTGCCAGAGTTTCGTCAAAAGTAAGCAAACGTAAAATAATGGGTTGCAAGTATCCCGGCTGGTGCCTCTGTCGTGCAGTAGAGCCACTAAATGAGCTGCGCTTAGAGTATCGGCACTCCGTTCCTTGGCATTGTTGTGGGCGCCGCCATTTTGGCTCGTATGCAGAGCAGACGCAACTGCCGATAGTCATGATTCAAAAGTGTGACTTCCCCAGCATTAGATTCTGTGTTAGGAAGCTCATGTAATATTGCTTTCCTCTGTCGCGAAAAGTTTAAACATTTGTGGAGGGCGGAAAAGCGTTTCCCGTGATTTCAGATAAAGCTTCAGATAACTGGCAACCATGATTTTAAGACACAATATGGCCAAGTGTCGTTACTCTGAAGCGTAGCTTATTTAGTGGCACTATCGTGCAGTTATGTCCGCATGCACATCAGGGCAACTTGAGCAGGCTTGCATTTGAACGTGCTTCGTCGCGCGAGCGGAGATGGCTGTTCGATCGAAACAGACACCATGCCACTCCGCTTCGTCGCCAACTGGTTCCCGAAATTGTATGCAAAATATGACGAAAAAAACAGTCCAGCGGCACCTGCTTGTCAGGCCGGGAGGCGAGGTGCAAGCTAAACACACAGAAAAAAAGACCCTGAGCGAGTCAGGTCAAAACAAGACATCGCGAGTCAGGGTCAAAAAGTACTTTGAGCGCTTTGTAAAAGGACTGAAGCACTGAAGCGTCAACACACGCCCCGCGTCTATCGTTGAATTGTTTTTCTAAAAAAGGCGCGAGAAGAGACACATGAACGACGAGAGCGTGAAACGAGAGGTGGCGGGAAAAACTAAAACCAGATGGACGATTGATAAAGGGTACTTTTTGTTGGGCGGCCCCTTGCGCCATCTACCTCAGGCATGCTCAATTACGGTATTCGGTTTAGTTTCGGTTGTGAAAGACGACCAAAATTGGTCTTTTGGCGCAGGCTTGGCGCAGATTACCCATATTTCGGCAAAATGTAGCAGGATGTAGCAGGGTTAGCCCCTTGGCGCAGTTTGGCGCAATTGGCGCAGCAATCACATCAGTGCTTAAAGCTGTCATACACGCAGCCGTCTTTCGTCTGGACGACCGTCCAAACAAAAGGCGGCTGCACATACCGGGGCAATAAATGCTAACGCATTAAAAAATAACCACTTACACCAGTCTTTTTTAATAAATGTTTAGTTTTGAGTGATATGGCAATTAATAGCTAAACAAAACAAATCTGGCCAATTCTTCACCCATCACGTCACATCCACCCTTGATGTAACATCTCCTCACGACAAAACAATCCGCCCTCGATGGCACATCTGCCCGTGATGTCGAGTCTCTCTGCAGACGTCACGTCTGCCCGTAACGTCGGATCCCTTTTGCAAGCCCGACCACAGACCCGTCCCCGGCCAGACGGACGCGACAACCGAGCTGCTCCGTCCCACCTGTCCCTTGTAGTTGGTGGGGATGCCGCCCATGTTGTAGTGGACGGTGGGCAGGACCGGGATGGGTTCGCGGGTGACGTCCACGCCGGCAAAGATCATGGCCGTCTCCGAGATGCCCGGCAGGCGCATAGCCAGCTGCTCCGGGGGCAGGTGGTGCAGCTGCAGGTACACATAGTCCTTGTCTGGACCGCAGCCCCTGCGAGAGACCGGAGTGGCACGTCGTTTTAAGCAGGCTCGCGCGCGCCACAGCCACCGACATTGCTACGCCGCAGAGCGACGAAACTTCGGCCACCTCGGCACTCGAAATCGTGGTTGCCGTCCGTCCAAAGCATTACTAGAAATGTAGGGAAACAATGTTCCGTTCTTGAGAAATGTTAAAACCATCCGTAACGGAGCAAGAACGACGTCGCCCAAGCTTCCGGACACCGTATCTCAAGATCAAGAAGTCAGATTTTTTCTAACCGTGACGACTGCTGATTGCGTTCGCTTGTTTTTGATGGCGTATTGTTCGTTGGGTTTTAGTAAAAAAGAAAATGACCATTTCTAGATGGCAAGATGTGCTAGTGAACTCGCGGCAATAGAAATACAAGGGAACCATTTTCCCTTGGGAGGCGACATTTTTGGGTCTTCACCACCTCCATAAAATTTGACCAATGAAAATAGCTACGGTAATTGTGTGAAGATTTTGAACGTTACTATTTTTGCCCTTTTTAGGCACGTTGTGCATTATATTGTGACAAAAACGTCAAATCTTTCGGTGCAGAAGTCCTAATACAGCGATTATTGTTTGAAAAGGCCGTCAGACGGTGCCCCGATTTCTGCTCCAAGGTGCAGAAAGAAGGACGCATTAGATTATATTTGATAAGACTTTTAATAGGGAAATTGGCCGCTCATGAGAGTAAGTTTGGGTTTATTAGGATGCGTAGAGCCCATAGATTGAGTTATCACCATAAATAGAAATCTCCGAATCCACTTGCGTGCCCCTTTAGGGGGACAAGCACCAGGAGAAAATTTTTGTTTTATTCTTTCAGATATCAAGAATGAAATTTTTACAGTTTATGGTGCTTAATCTTCTCTTTATAAACCTGGTGTTAGATTTGATAGCTTATTTTTCAGGTTCTCAATGCAATGTACATTGTATAAGCAGGAAAAACCATGGTATTGTGCACACATAATGCACGGCAACACTAAAAAAAGTATAATAAAATAAACGAATTTGCTCTTTCTAAACCATTGAGTGCAATGAACAACAAAAATAATGCATGCAACACTTCTTTCATTTTGAAATAATCAAAAATAGCACAAACTGTGAAAATCCCCCAAATTACACAAAATGAAAAATGCATTCGAATGTTAACATAGATGTGTAGCTATACTCTTTCGTGGTGAGAAAAATATTATAGTGTTAATAAATTTCCACGAGAAATTGAAGCTACAGAACACTGCAGTGAAGAGGAAAAGACTAGGCCTACTAATGGCTCAAATTCATGCCATTCTGGGTTGCCTGGAAGTCTTCAAATGCATATTTTACTCATTTTGACTAATATAAAGAGTCAAAATAGTAAAACACCATAAAACCCAAAATTATATTTTTCGCAAAACATTGCAGTTTTTTGACCCGCATCTCTTGATGAACCATGAAACGATTTCTCAATGTCTTCACTCTTAGCTTTCCTCCTCAACTCAAAAGCGAAATGAGAACTCACATGGTCGCGACATATTTCACCGGATGCGATGACTCCAAGCTTCAAAGTGCGTTTTAAGCATGCACTGGAACTTGTCATTTGCAAGTGATGATAAGTGCCGTCACGGCACTCATTGGCCGCAAATGCAAATCCAAATATTCGTCGACGCATCTATTATTGACAAGCGCATACATCCAAGCAACGTAGTTTTCGTGTCCAATACACGAGCTGGGTTCAGCTGATGTGCTCGGGCACCACTCATGCATCGCAGTGAAAAGGCCAAGAGCTTTCGAGGGAAAGAAGCTAAGAAATAGTCCGCTTTTTTTTTAAATTTCGTACCGAAGAGCAGGCTTTTAGCTTTCTACCCTCGTGTACTAGTAGTTTTGTTTTTGGCCCACTAAACGATATGCAATTAGGAAAATCCCGATCTAAGATTATTCTCAGTAAAAGAGGAAGCACAGACTTGTTTGACTGCAGAGTCCGTTCTGTTTACCGTGTCAGGTCGATACATTTGCCAACGTTCGAAAAGTGCAACGTCTTTTTGTCTTTCCAACAGCAGGCTGCATTCTCTAGATGCAGACAAAACCACTTCTAGCCACACACTCGATCGAAGAGTTTCAGCAACAAACTCTAATCGACCGACTCTAACCGAACGAGCCTTGCAAGAAAAGTTGCCGACATAGTTCGCCGAAAGGTTCAGAAGTACGGCCTGCGTCGATCGGTGGTCTCACCTTGAGAACCGGAGAGCACCGACAGGCTACTCATACCGACTCAACTGCAGTTGTTGAAAATACAATTAACAACAACACACCGTGGCCAGCCTGAAGTGACTCCTTTTTTGCATTATGACTTGAACGGAAACTCACCTTCCTTCCCGGATCTCGATGGTCATGGCTCTCGAGACGACGTCGCGCGAGGCCAAGTCTTTGGCGACGGGAGCGTAGCGCTCCATGAATCGCTCTCCTTCGCTGTTGATCAGGAAACCGCCCTCGCCACGACATCCTGCACAGTAGACGGCAGCCAGTGACTTTTCAGAACGTTCCACGATGATTGGCAATGATTTGTGTAAGCTGTCGAGCTAAATTTGATATGAAGGGCAGTTTGAAAAGAAATTAACTAGATTGTTGTACAGGTAGAACAAGAAACACAAACTTGTGAGGCGCTACGAGTGCTGTGCCTTGTTCACCGATATATACACCCCCCCCATAATAAGCAACTTGTTTCTGTGATCGCACAAATGGGGTACATTGTTTGTGACCGAGATGCACAGAAAATGCCAAAGGTTGTATCGCCCACGTTCTGATTGCATAGCTTTGGAGCATCACCGTGCTTGAAACAACCCGAAACATGGAGAACTAACAACAATCAAAAGTCACAGACCTGTTTCTTGGCCACCGAGTAATCAACACTACGCTCTCTGAACAATCAGTGGGCCAACCAAAAAATCTGCAGCTTTGCGCCACAGTGCGCAATAGCTAGACGAGCGCAGACGTTCAAGCTCTGCTGTGACATGGTGAGTTTTGTATTCCCTCTCTCTGAAAGGTGTCCCAGCTCTGCGTGGCCTCCCCAAGTGCTCATGCTGAAATTCGAAGGAGAACTCGCGTGATGTGACGTGCCTCCTCCTTTAAAACGCTGCAAGGCAGGTGCTGACCCATGGCACGACCGGTAATGGTTGATGATTATGTATGGCTCTTTTCGTTCTATAGGGCAGTCCACCAGTGCTAGGCACCTAGCCTGTGGGGTTTTCTTATTGCCCTTGCTGCACCAGCAATAAACAATTGTCTAGCTATCTCTTGGTAGTTTTTAGATTTGCCGCGTAGAGCAAACTCAAAGCTGAGCACCTGTTCCAGAGCATCCTCAGGGACCCCTCGGCCTAAAGGTGCTCGGCTGACGGACGAAGGCGAGTTTTCTGCCTAGCGAAATGCTAATGCCATGAATGCAGTCGAGAAGTCCCCGTAACAGCTATCGCCACAAAATATTGCAAAATCATTGAAACCATACATATAAGCATGGCCCAACAAAAGAGACCCTCCCTTGCATTATAGCAACTGAGATAGGAGAAGACAGTTCTTCACCGTTAGAAGGGACGGCTAAGTTACAAACTTCTTTGTACGACGCAGCGACGACACACACATGGCACCGGCTGGATCACCCACCCTCGGTGATAAGACAGCCGGCACCGTAGATGCCCGTAGGATGGAACTGGATGAACTCCATGTCCTGGAGCGGGAGTCCTGCTCTGGTCACCATGGCGTTCCCGTCACCCGTGCACGTGTGGGCAGAAGTGCATGAGAAGAATGTGCGGCCATAGCCCCTGCAGACGACGTAAAGCACGCACTCAGAAACGTCTCGACGACGTACACGAAAGAGAGCTACATTAGGCGCAACGAACAGAGTCGGAGCTAAGGACGTGACAACAAACCACCAGAGTGCAGTTCTGTGAAACACTGTTGCGAGCATGCTCTCACTGGCTTTTGATGTTTGTCAAACTATGCTAAAAATATGATTGTTAAACGTGTGCTTCAAAAAAAAAAAAAAAAAAAGAAAAAGAGAAGACATGAAATAGCAGGGATAAAGCTAGGGTTTGCAACCGCAAGACGTGAACTTTGCAGTCCATCCCCTGGCAAGGCGCTTACTTTGGCAGAGTTTTCTTTCAGAGATGCTACGCACGACAACATTTCATGCAGCCGAGGCGCAAAATATGCACCAATTTTGTCTCCGTGACATCTCCGCAAAGGAACATGCGATGCACAATCTGTGCTGTCCACGACAGTGTGGAGAAGAAAAATTTTCTAGCAGGCTCCTCGTTCAATTCGACCGCTTCTCCCTAGCACTGAAAGTGCCTCCGGTAGTTCCGTTTGTCACCGGGAAAAGCTCTCCCGTAGCATGACAGGAAAGCTTCCGGACTTTCGGGTACAGGTTAAGAGTTTGGAAAAAGCTCCTCCCACCTCTTTTCGCAGAGCCAATGCCGGAGAGGAGGTCCTCTCCTCTCTGGCACTCGTTCTGTCTGCTCAAAAGGGAAAAGGTGGGAGAAGACTCCCTCCGGCACTCGTTCTGTCTGCTCAAAAGGAAAGAGGTGAGAGGAGACCCCCCTAAACTCCTGACTTGTCAACAACTATAGAGACGTCTAAGCACAATGGTTTAATGTCTGTGCGTTAAACCAAACAAACACATCATAAATAGCAAGACCTTAGTGTTAAATTTTCGTCATCAACCACCATAGGTTAATGGGGGTACAGATCGGAAACGAGTACTGAATCAGTGTTTGGCTGGGACTCGTGTTCCATTTCCGAGGAGACGAGTCGCAGTCAAATGCTGATGCAGCGCTCGTGTTCAATCTGTGTCTCACGCCGGCCTCCTTCGGGCGACACCGAAAATTCAGCAACATGGCCTTGCTATCTACAAGCTGTTGGTTGAGCCAAGCGGCCAAGAAGCACAACATGTGGCACACTGACCCTGTGGCGAGGACGGTGTTCTTGGCGCGGAAGCGGTGCAGGGTGCCGTCCTCCATGGAGAGTGCCAGGACGCCCCGGCACTCGCCGTTCTCCATCAGCAGGTCCATGGCAAAGTACTCCACAAAGAAGTTGCAGTTGAAGCTCAGTGACTGGTGGGCAGAGCGTCGAGGAAACCATTGAAAGCAGCGATTCCCCCGTCTGCTTCAAAGTTTTGTATCTTTTGGTGGTTACTTCACGTGACCAATTACATAATTGATCGTAGGCATTCGTCTGTTGTCTCTACGGTGCTGGCTATGTGAACTGGGATGGTATTCTATTGCCGGAGATCACGTTATCTCTTATTACTGAGGGAAGTTCAGCATTTGCATAATGGTACGTTAGCTGAAATTTTGTGTCCTTTTGCCGAGTACTGGATGGAATGCTTCACTTTCCCAGTGCCTACTGGCACAATTAAATCTCCCACTGCAGATCTCTTCTGGTAAGTACAGGAATACGCTAGTATACACTAAATTGACAACATCAAAAGGTGAGGCTGCCACGTCAGTCCAGGGGGAGAGGAGAGGGAGACACAGTGAGGGAAAAAGCGAGAGGAAAAAAAAGAAACTGGGTAAAAAAGGAAGCAAGACAGCGAAAGAAAGAGAAAGAGAGACAGCAAGACAGCAAAGAGCAAAGAAGAATGAGAGAGGGAGATAAAGACAGAAAGTCAGATGGAGAGATAGACAGAAAAAGAGAGGAAGAGACAGAGAAAGAAAGAGAGAGAGGAATCCCACCTGCCCGTAGAGCGTGTGGAGCAACGAGTGGCCTGTACGATCTGCCACGGCGCAGCAGCGGTGTGCCTGGCCACCCTTGCCGAAGTTGTACGACTGGCCGCCAAAGGCACGTTGGTAGATCTTGCCCTCCTGGGTGCGGCTGAACGGCATGCCGTAGTTCTCCAGCTGAGGCGGGCGACCACGGAACGGAGTCAGACACTCGTAAACGCCTGCTAGATTATGCGCCAAAAGAGAAATGAAAAAAGCAGCCCCACCTCCCGAACCGTGTTGGGTGCTTCCTTGGTCATGTAGTGGATGGCGTCCTGGTCTCCCAACCAGTCCGATCCCTTCACGGTGTCGTACCTGTTTCACGGAAACGGTTTCGATGCCGGTTGGCGTTTTCGTGCAAGCAGACGTCTCGTTACTTAGGGTGACTACCTTGTTCGAGAGTCTAAATGCTAGCTCACTGTTGTTAGAGAGGTTGCAAGACATAAAAGATGAGATAGATAGTGTTCGGTCATATATGGTGATCGAAAACAGTGTTTTTGAAGTGCGGACTAGCCTTTGACACTAGCCCATTATGAACCGTTTGCCTTTCTTTGCTCGTTAATGAGCTCGCTCATGCTTGTTGCAAGAGGTAAACAATAAGATGGCATTAGATAGTGTTGGGTCGCACTTGGTGGTCGAAAGCAATGTTTCAGAAGCGTGGACTAGCCTTTAATAATAGCCCATTATAAACTGCTCGCCTTTCTTTCTTCGTTAATGAGCTCGCTCATGCTCTCTTTTGGCTATTTAGGGTACGGTTCAGGCCTGATAAATTTCCAAATTTCAATGCACCTTGCATGCACCGTAGGCACGAGATTTCTCAGGCTATAATGGCTTTTTGAGAAAAAGAAAAAAGCTAGGAGATTTCATCTCGCAATTGCCGCAAACCCGATGGCTTAGTAGAGAAATGGAAGTGTTTCTTAGGAACATTTCTTTGCACCAGGCATCACCATGTTTTTACTTGTGCAAAAGAAAAGTGATTAAACATAATAGTTACGATGAAAAGAGTGACACTTCCAATAAGATCATAACTTGCAACTGGAAACAAACATCAGCTAGCAATAAATTTGGGTGATTAAATCTCTCCTGGAAGCACAGCAGGTCGCCATCAACCCAGCAGTTTTAAAAAGTCAACCAAACATACAAATCGGAGATATCAAATTAGCTTGGGAAATATGCATAGTATTTCCTTGCCAGCGCAAAAAAAAAGAGTAGCGGTGATGAAGTTAGTCTAATCAGCCTCCACAAAATAAATCGGTACACTACTTAGTGTTGTGCAAATTTCCGAATTTTCAAATAGCACTAGTTCTAAAAAATACACTATTCGATATCTTCATAGAGACAAACTGCGATATTCCTATTTTTCAAAGTATTGATCACAGAAGGTTGGCCCCGTTGAGTGCGCTTCTTACCACACACGGGTGCACTGCAAAGAAGCAACACACGCAGAAGCGAGTTCTGCGGGTGTTGCTTCTCTGTGGTGCACCGGTGCTCGGTAAGAAGTATGCTCCGCGGGGCTAACCCGCTGCCATCAGCATTTAGAAAAGTACAAACATTGAAGTCGTGTGCATAGGAAAAAAGGACACTTTCAAAGCAAAATTGTGCACGCACGCATCTGATGTATTTAGAAAGTAACAGAAACTTTGTGAATATTGACACCTGCTTTGCAGTCAAATTTTCAAAATTAAACTGGCTATTATGCAAGAGAATATGTTAGGCAGAGACGCCATGACAACCTAAGTTCATTATCTGATATTTTTTTTTTCTTTTCAAATTCGAGAATGAAGAAAGGATATTTTCATATAGCAAGATTTACAAATCACCACAATTAGGTACAGCTGGGAACCTCCATAGGTTCAATTTCATGTCAAATCTGTCGTTCCCTTGCCATCCCAATGTTAGGCAGTACACTTTCTGAGGCCACGGTCGATAAATATATTTAGGTTAAAATTAAGTTGGCTAAGAAATGAACGAGTGGAAGCTTGGAAATAACCTTCTTGAGTTCAGCCGGGTTTTCATTCAAAGGGGCCGTACAACGATGTTGAGTAGGAACGTTTCTCACTTATACCAACTTCTGGCACTAGTGGCACCCAAGAACACAGAAACACATTGCCACTGACCAAAAAGTTCTTCAACAAAGCAGAATTCCAAGGATAAAAGTGGAACTTTTCTGCTAGAGGCCACCGCTGATGACACACTGACGTCACGAGCTACGACGTCATCAGACAGGCTGCAAAAAGCGAAACCCGCGACGCGCGCAGCCAGACAAGCAACCCGGCTGCTTACCAATAAAGTACTTCGCAGCATTCACCACTTCTTGCCTGTATCTGCACACGGACACCCCATTTCTTTTAGCCTCTCCTTCGCAAAACTTGATGACAAAGCTGTGGGGACAATGCCAACAATGCGATCTTTAGGAGAGCGCCATCGAGCTTTCCAATCCCCGCTGTGACGATATTTAAATGCTGCTCATACAGTGGACACAAAAAGTGCGTAGGCATTCAATTGTGACTCGTGACAATCAATGCCTCGACATGCATTCGGGTAGTGGCTCGTGCTCAATCGCTGGGATGAGGAGAGTAGCTGAACCTTAACAATGCATGGAACTCGGCGCACGCCATGTGCTCTGCCAACCCCAATGCATGGCCATGTTAAAACATTGGCGGCACATAATCGGCTCCAGATCGTGCATCCGCTTTTTCTGGCCGCAAGTGGAGGGGTTAAACAATTTTCGTTTAACCCCTCGACAAGCGTAGAGAGATACAGCAAAGCGTGTTTCATAGGTTTTAAATGCAAAGGAACAATTCTAAGCTGTATTTATTGAAAGTAGAAAAATTGTTGCATCACCCCTTTAAGCATGGTGCAGCAGTAGCTAAAGGCTTGGAGAAACTATATTCAATTTCAAAATATTCGATCAAAACCACTAATATTTGCTTCGAATTTGCTTCAAACTTGAAATTTCCCATTTGCATGTGTCTACAATCAATCAATAATCAGTAGAACTCACATATGCCATCTCCAGTCATCAGGCTCCATGTTCCCCAAAGCAGCATTGATTCCTCCCTAATAGAAGTCAAGACAAGAATACCTAAGTCCCTCGGAATGAAAGAGAAAAGACTATGACCTATCTCCTAAAACCTCGCTTTCAAGACTGAAAGGCCCCGAAATATTTACTTTGTCGAGCCAGAGCTCACGGCAAGTTAATCACGATCATAATATGCCAAACAGGCGACGCTTTTCAATTGCAAGTGCTAAATTTTGTAAAAAAACAAACTTACTTAGTTTTTTTTTATTTAGATAATTGACAATCACATGTATACAGTGTATTGAGAATGGCCTAGAGTTGAGAAGACCTGCTACAATTGGGTCAAAAGACTTCATAAGCAGCAAGATAAGAATTGCCCCTCCAACCTATAGCTACTTGATCCATTGGACATCTCACTAAAACATTGCAGCAACATTACATTGCCATTTTCTCGTGAGGAAGAGTAGGATCGTCCAGTTAATTGCCACCAGCTATGGCTTCATGGTCCTTAAAGCTCACTTCAGAAATATCTGATCCAACCAACCAGCTCTCTTTCAGGAAATGCAATCAGCCCATAACGAGCAAGCTACTTACTTTCTGAGCTATCATTTTTTGCATCCCATATAGACCACCGCTGTGAAGTGGCTGTTTTTCAACATCCCACTAACCTGTATTTTTTGTATTCATTTATTTCAAGGAATATTATTAAACTAAATAACCTGCCTGCCTCAATCGCTAAATACCATAGACATCTGATTTAAAAACATTGCACAATACTTGTTTTCTCAGTCACATTTGTTGTATTTTTCCCGCATGTGTTATTTTTTGTACCAACTCTGAATATTTTTGTATATTCAGTGCGTTTCCACTCCTTTTTGTAATGCCCACTGGTTTTGAAATATCAGAATAAATAAATAAACAAATATGAAACGGTACAGTATGATGCATGTTGAGAACACCGAAGTACAAAACACAGCACGCATGATAAACAGTACCTGTGCTCATTTAAATTTTTCTGGGGCACTAACCAATATGCTACATAATCAACATTCATGTAAATTGTATGCAGTTTAAACTGTCGATTTTGCATTGTAATCGAGTTATTAGCTTCACCTTTCACTCAAAAGCATTGCAGCAAGAGCCCGCCTTGATAACTAGAAAAAAACAACTTGTTCATTTAGATTTTTTTTTGTTTAGTCTAGACAGGTTGGTATGTAACTAATTAAGTCAGTAACATGATCATGCAATCATTTTATTGACATATTTGCAAGGCACAAAATACCAATAATCTCAAAAGACAGAACAACGGAACAAACACGATTAGCCATTACAGTGCATCAGCTTGCATCGGTGTAATTGCTTGCAACGCCCACATACCCCACCGAAAATTGTGCGAGAGAGCTTTGCTCACCACAACCAAAAACCCGATGTGAAATAAAGTGAATGAAAAATGACGATGGGAAACAATTGCGCACCTGAGCGGCTACGGTATGAGAACGGGTGGGAAAGAGCTTGGTGATGCAAGCCGTCTTGAACCCGGCTTCGACGAGTCCCGAAGCCGCCCTCAATCCGGCTCCTCCGGCACCCACAACGACAGCGTCGAACGTGTGGTCCACCACCTCATAGCTGCCAGTGAACTGCAAGTGAAAGAAAAAGATGTCCGATCCAGGGCAAAATTGGATGTAGCAAAATAATTTGTTGGCCCAGTTGGTTAAACGTCACAAAAATAAAAAGCGATAAAGACAAGGACAAATGGAAGACTACACAGGACAAGCGCTTACTCTCAACTCAACGTCAGTCGGGAGTGTCCTGTGTAATTTTCCGCTTGTCCTTGTCTTTCACGCTTTCTATTTTCGTGGCAGAATTGGATGAACCAGAGGGCACCATTCTGAGCCAATTGCCCCCCGTATCTTTCAAGCTGCAAGAGTTCTAGTTGGGTGCATCTGTGCTCCCCCGACGCCATTTTGCGCCTTCATTTTGGTGACTAGAGCAGAGCGGGTGCAATTGGCGGTCGTCGTGATTCGGAAATGCGACTTCCTGAGCTTCAGACACAGTGACCGGCAGCTCGAGCAATACCGTCATGCTCCGTCGCGGTCCGTTTTAATGTTTCTGGAGGACGGAAATGTGTTTTCTGCGATTTCAGAAAGGTTCAGATAACTGGCAACGTCGACATAAAGCACCAGGATGGCTGAAGTGTCCTTTACACTAAAGCGTAGCTTATTCAGTGACTCTACTCCGAACATGACCGGTAATCATACTGAAGCCAATCGGCTTGTTTCGCTGTGATCGAGTAGCCAATCAGCTTCTTTTGCTGCGATCGAGTAGACAATTTGACTCCCTAGCAGTCACAGGATGTTCTAGCCAGTTAGGCCCACTCTGTTATTCCGCAGCCGCTTTGGAAGCCGGAGGGCCTTAACACAAAGCACTTAATTCAGAATTTATATCACAAAAAATTGAAAGACGTTTACAAATCTCTGTAATGTGAAATTAGAAAGCAGCTCTTGAGGAAGAGGAGGCAAGGGTTTGGAAGGGAGGGTATGCCCCTACCCTCCTCCTTTCCTCTCCCTCCTCCGTACCCTCCCCTCCTCTCAGTTTCCCCGCTAAATTTAGCTGGAAACTTAACGCCACGTGACCTCAACACCAATTCAGTTTCCCCACTATATTTTGCGGGGGAAATGATGTCACATAACCTCAACACCAATTCAGTTTACCCGCTAAATTTAGCAGGGAAAATGACGTCACATGGCTGTGTCACGTCACCCATGAATAGATTCAGTTTTTCCACTAGATTTAGCGGGAAAATTGATGTCACGTCACCTCAACTACAATCCAATTTACTGCTAAATTTAGCAGGGCGGTGACGGCAACGCTGCTACACCTGAAAATGGGCGCCTAAGAGCTGTGCTCTAAAAGACCGATGGGGGCTACAAGCTACAGTATGCCCGATAAATAGAAAGGAGGGAATTATTTAGATCATTAACCCCTGCTTACTCATTTCTTTCTTTTTTTTTTTTGAGAACATACAGCAAATTTTTATTTTAAACAGGCAATTTGCATTAAAGTAAGACAATACATTTCCTCAATTTCCAGGTGTGATATCCTGCTCTAAATGGGGACTTCTGGTCTGAGTACCACTGACGTGCGGACGCCGAAGTTGATTGAATGCTAGCAGGATTCACACAGTTTTCATCACCCCTGTCACTATCCATCAAAGCTTAATCTGACTCTGAAAAAATCGGAAAGGCTGAGTGAGGGATTTGTCGTCACATATGCCTGAGCATTAATCACTTTCAAAAAGAAGGTTTTGTGTCTCTTCCTCGACTAAAACAGACTTGCGCGCCAAAGCCATGTCGTTTTAGCAAGAATGCTCACAAGCGACCGATTTTTGTTTCTTGGTTAAGTTAAGCATTCTCTCTCTTTCAGAGAGTAGAACAAACGAGCAAACAAACCAAGGTAAATGGAGCAACAGAGGTGGTTTTGCCATCGGCAGGAGAGCGCGTTAAAACAAGTGCCAAAACCAAAACACGAGTGACACTCCTGGTCGTTCTACGCTCCGTAAGAGGTGGCAAAAGTGACACTTGTTATTAGTAGGCAAGGGGTTTTAGGGCAATTCTGGCCAAAAATGAAACCAAAATAAGTGACTGGTATTGCTTTAGAGGCCGAAATCTCTTGTCAAAGTGAAGCAGCATACTCCACTAAGACTGATTTCAAAGATGCAACCAGCTGCTCTGCAGCGGGCGGCAAGCGGGTTAGCTTTTAGTCAAGGAACAATGGCGCAGCACCCTTGCGACGTCACGTCGCGGTGGAGCTGTGGTTGATTGGTTGTACCTCATACTGCAGCACCCTTGTGCCGTCATGGCGCGGCCGTATGGCTGATGTGTTGCCATCCCTCTAGCAGATAGTTTCGGTATAGCTGTAGACACCCGAAACCGAACATTGAGCAGTCATACTTGTAAAACTACACACAATATTGAAGAAAAAAAAAATTATACCTTGCAATTCAGGAACACGGGTTTAGCCGAAAACAGTCGTAATACCAAATTAAAAAATATTGACCAAAATTGACCTTTAATTTTTTTTTTTTACTTTCATTTTTTACATAATCCAGTACGGGCGACGAAAAAACAATATAAAACATTTCCACCTGTGAAAAAAATGAAAAATATTGATGATGCAAAATGAGAACGGGTGACAGTCACGCTTAAAACGGTATTTCCTTCAGGCAGCGCAGCAAGAGCAAAACAATGTTTTCGCCCATACTGGTGGTTCGGCCACCCAAGATGACAATGGCCACATAGGAAAGGTGTATTCCTTATTTCAGAATTCTAACTGGATGTCTGGGAGAGAGGAGAACCGCATTTTACTAACTTCAAAAATAAAATATGGGTTGAGCGATGACGGTTTTTTCTCTTGTGATGATTGTGTCCACGATGACGTCCGAAGAAAGAGACGGCGGATCGTCAGATCAATGTGACGATATGCCATCATCAAATATATTTACAAGTAGAAAGATAAAGTTCAGAGTTAAATCCTACTCTCAAGACCAAAACAGCCTTTGCACCCCACGCTCGTCTTTATATCAGTTTTTCTCCACGTTCTTCTGCTATCTTGACAAGCCACCTCCTGAGCTATTCTTGCAGCCAATCCAAGAGCACTCCCCAAAAGCACTCCCTAAAAGAAAGCCCACTACCCCCCCCCCTCCCCCCCATCCCGAATGCATTTGCGACGAGTCCTTGAAAACAGCTCTAGGGTCCCCAACCCACCCATCATTCATCTCTCAAAGACAACAAATAATCCAAGGAAAACCGGACGCTATTCCCCTACGTGGAGGCGCATGGAGAGAAAGAGCACCCATTGAAATGACGTGGAAAAACCACCCCAAGACCTGTGTTGCCAGACCAGGTGATTAAGAATCCTCACAGATTGCCAGACACTCAGTCTTTGTTCAAATGTTGCGCTAGCAGCTGAAACCAGACGCTGAAGTTTCAGAACAAACAGATAACCGATTCAAAAGTTATCAGCAACTTTCATAAACATTTTCAATGAGAATATAGTGACCAACAAAGTCCTTGAACGCATGGAGGTACTAAATGGCATCTGCAACCAAAAACAGATCCAATTTTCTCACCAAAAGTTTTTTGAAAATTGCTTATAACTAGTTTCTTGAGTTTTCGGTAAACACCAATAAACCCCGAAAATTAATCCCCAAGCCAGTTTCATAAAAATTGAGGGAAAACCGAAAAACCCCGAAATGGAGCTTTCCGTCACAAAGAAAAATACTTTCAGCCTTTTTACTTTGCTGAAGAAGGAAAACCGGTGAAGCATGGTGGGAATGAAGTAATGGCCGGCCGCAAGTCGGCAAGCCAGAGTGGAAGGGCTGAAAAGGTTGCCGTCATCTATGAGCGACGGCGGCAACCAGAGTGTTGTGTCGACATTTCTGTGCGGACAAACACGATCCTGGGGAAACTAGCCCTTAACAGCTCCACAGCTTCCAGGGGGAAATGTGCAACTACAATGTTATTTTGTGTTTACCTCAAACACAGTCGTACGGAACAGTCCGCGAGGCTACTCCTTGCTTTGACAATCGGATTCCCTTATATCGTTTCCCCCTTTTATTTGTACCGGGACGTTTTCCAAGTTTCCTGGGCACGAGCGTGTCCTCTGGAGGTTGGGGAATTCCATGCCCTTGTCCCGTTTCTTAAACAAAAGTCCCGAGAAACAACTATTTCTTCTCCAACACCAAAAACACTCACACCAATAAACACCAATCTGTCAGAAAAAAAAAAAAAAAAAAAAAAAAAAAGAACCCTGAAAAAACAACACCCCCGAATTTAAAGAAAAATAAACCCCGGAAACACAGAACAGTGCTTATAATTCTTGAACCTGATAACATATCAAGTGCTGAAACTTTGGCGTCTGGTCCCAAGTGCTACTGCTACGTTTGGGCAGAGACTGAGCTTTTTGGTAGTGGACATGTTTATTTTTGCAGCGAGAAGAACATGGTTCTCTTTTCTCTTAATTAAATAACCAGCAGTGTGCAGCACCGTGCAAACCCGAGGAAGGAGAGCCCTCTATAAAACCTAAACGGGAACACAATCGGCAGCAGGGCACTCAACGGAAAGAGTTCGTGAAAGAGAGGGGTTACTCCTTTCCCTCCATACAAACTGCAGGTGTTATCCACTCGCACATGTGCCTTCGATAGCACTGCACACAATTGCTGCTCTATTAAATAAATAAAAGATCACAGCCGAACGCTCATTTCTAGCCGATAAGTAGCGCTAGAGGTTCTAACCAGATGCCAAAGTTTCAGCGCAAACCGATATGTCAATCAAAAGTTACAAGTGATTTTATGAAAATTTCATTGCGAAAATAGGGCCCATTTTTGCTCGTTTTCAGTTTTTGGCGCCCATAGAGCTCCATGTATTCGCGAACTCCGTCGGCCACCATTTTCCCATTGACATTATTACAAAATCACTTTTAACTTTTAAATAAAATATTGGCTCGCGCAAAAACTTTAGCATCTGGTTCGAACCTAACGCTAACCTTCGGGCAAAGAATGAGCGTTTGGTGATGCAAACCTTAATTTTGTGGTGAAAAAAACCTTGTAAATTTTTTTTCGGGACACCCTGTAGATATGAAGCTTTTAGCAGCAGATCTGAAGGACGTAGGGTTACCATCTCATCAATGAGGGAACTAGGGACGAGAAGGGAGACACAAGGAGGTTTATAAACGATGATGATGGTAACAGGCACTGACCGGCACCAGTGAGACCCTGATTTCCAGCTTACATGCTAAAGTGGCTAAAGCTTCTTGCAGCCAATGCTAGCCACTGCAGCATTGCTTCGTGCGTTTTGTGCTTCGCAGCGTGACGCACATTGTTGGGCGTGCATTGAATCGCATAAAATTTTTAACTGGACGGTCTGGACCAAATTTGGATCTAATTAGATCTTAACTAATCAAATTAGATGATCTAATTAAATATGGCTGTCCCGACAGGGAAGATGCGGGACACTTAATGTAAAGCCGAGACAGTCCCGCAAAATCCGGGACGGTTGGTAACCTTAGAAGGATGGCACTCAATAAAATGTAAATATACATATATAAAAAAAAAAAAAAGAGAAATTTGCATCATACCTTTTGGTTGTTATTGTGGCTTTTGTGAAACTTCCTGTGGCTGCTGGCTGTTCTACCGACGTGGTTCAGCTAAAAAATCAAGAAAAGAAAAAAAAAAAACGTTAATTCGCCGGAGTCGGCGGTAGAAATCGTCGCGAGCGGGATGAAACGTTTCAGCAAAGTGCCAGCTCCACTCAAAATTCACTGAGCGAAGCTTAAAATATGTAAAAATAAATGAATAGATGATCTAATTAAATTTGCCGCTCTTCCTCGTTATGCAAAGATGGTTGCACAAAAAGTATACTCTTCTCGAATTTAGCAAGCGTTTCCAACTAGCAAGAACTCGACATGTGTTGACCTCGAATCATAACCTTGCCTTGCGGCGCGAACTAGCGCTAACCTGTGGTCATATTCCCTATTAATAAGCCCAGTTAAAATAACATAGCGACTTTAATTTGAAACGAGGTCGAAAGGCGGCCTCTTGCGCACTATCGGGGTATTGAGGTCTGTTACTATTTAGGTTAGTTAACTAACATACAAAACAGAACCGCACATGAGCAACTCAGCGAAGTGCATCGGCCCACAATATTAATTGTACGGCTTTTTCTTTCCCCTTTAGACACTTATAATTTGCTGTGCGTATTGCGCGATCCTATCGAGATTCAGCTGAATTCGAATTACGTCGTTAAAGTTGGCTTCCGTTCAATACTCGGGCGTGTGACAAAGTTCCATACAATCACTACTTTCATTCACAAAGTCGAGCCTCCACTACTACTTGAAAAGCAATATATTTCTATGAATTGTACTCGATAGTGCTCTACGACTTAAATGTGTTAAGAAGCATAAGCAAATTGAGATTTCAAAATAAACTCACGCAGGAATTTCGCAAAGCCGGGAGCATGAACCATTGCGATGCCCTACACAAGGTCGCCATCTTCCAAAGAAATCCTTTCCGTCCAATCAGAGCTGGACTACATTGTAACCTTTCTTTGACGCGGCGGCGCTAGTGATAAGATACTTTTTTTCTTGCCCTTTTCCCCCTGACGTCGAGGATGGCGATACGAATAGTACACAACGTACGCAAGGTCGGGAAAGGGTCCATATCACAAGAGCGAATGACATTTTAGCGAACGGCGACATTTGAGCGAATGGTCGTTTTAGCGAATAACGGGGGCGCGCGTTAACCCATCCGTCGCGCTGCGCTTTACGCCGCTTCGCGGCGACAGTCTGCGGCAACTCATTACAAAAATATGAACTCACTTGGCCCACCCGAAAACGCCGCTTCGCGGCGTCCGACTGTTCGCTAAAGTGTCGTTCGATGAAACGTGGGCGTTCGCTAAAACGTCATTCGATCAAGTAAGTGCCTCCCGCTCAATCCCGTGGAACCTTATTCATGCAGATCATGACGCCTCTAGAAGCTTCCTACCTTCCTACATAATGCAAATTGTGAAAAAAAAAAAAAAAAAAAAAAAAAAAAAAACTTTTGCTATTTAGTCTGACGGCACAAACATCAGCCAAGCAAACCGCAACCAGATTATCTTTTAATTCCAATTTTATTTACAACCCACATTTACAGATGTATCGTTATACAAAGGTATTCATAGAAAGATTTTTTGACTCCGCTGTAAATTATATTTTCTTTTTATAGGCTGTAAAGTCATGCATTTGCGTGAGGTACACAACACGTGGACTAGTCCTCAAGGACGTCGTCGTCAGACTCTTCGGATTCTGCCTTCTTGTCCTTGCTTGAAGCAGTCTCGTTTCCAATCCGGGACTTTTTGTCCATAGACTTTTGGAACAGGGTGTCAAAAAGGTCCACTTTTTGTTCCTGTTCACTGCCCAAGAGCTGTTCGTCTCTCTCGTAGTTTTGTATCTGGCAGAAGAAATTATTGCATCCCATTAGTCACTTGTAGGACAGAAGACAAAAGTTTAATGAGGAATACATGGTGGTACTGGAGCTTACTTGGGACAGCAGTTCAGCTCCCTCACCAGGCAGGTTGAGTCCACAAACCTCCGTGAACAGGTCCTTTGGAGACAGCACATTGGGCAAACCTTGCTTCTGGAAGAACTGCAGAGCCAGAGAAGTAAATTTAACCAGTTATATCGGTGTTCAAATGTTATAAGGCTAGGGCTTTATAAAGCCATAATAGTAAAACCAGTGTTGGGTAAAGTGCATCTAAAAGTACTTGAAGTAAAGTAAAAAGTAAATCAGAGGCTGTGTATACTTCAAGTAAAGTAGTAAGTACACCAGGCACAATGTACCTAAAGTACTATAAATACAACGTACCTTCAAAGTGAAGTACAAGTACTTTTTAGCACCATCTTTCATGATGCCCTTTCATTCTTCTATACAGTTGTTTTTTTCACACATTGGTATGCATTACTTCAGGGGTAATTGGAGGTGTATCAGTTTTTTTCGGAAATGGCGGTGAATAATGAATAAAGCCAACTGGCCGCAGGGTAGTCACTCTTGGAAATGGCACCAAATTCAGAAGTTCCTCAGACTTCTGAATTTAGCGCCACTTGCACTGGCTTGCACCGAAGAGGATAAACATATTTTGTCAACCCCGTAGCTTCCATAAGCATTCCTCTTATGGAGAACTGTCCTCTCCTAATATTTTTAACCTCCTCACTTGCGCTGACTGAGCGAGAAGTAGCAAGGATTTTAAATGCCCAGTACGAACGGAGCGATCCGTCGTCTGCTCGCATTTCTGGTGAGAATAGAATATCCCTCCAGTATTTCTCTGGAGTAGACAAGGCATCATTTTGTGATACAAATTTAACAAGACCAAATTTGGGGAATGTACTTTCAAGTCAGGAGTTGTACTTTCCTCCAAAAGTATGCCAGAAAAAATACTTTAAGTAAAGTACAAGCATGCATACTCAGAGAATGTACTGCAAGGGAAACACAAGTTTTCTAAACCTATATGTCTTCAAGGTTTCAAGGCACTCGGTTCTAAGGAGTCACACCCAAGCCTGTGAACGGGCCTTTAACCTGTCACCGACTACAGTGATGGGCCAAACTTTTGCCGAATCCAAAATTCGGCGCCAAATCTCAGGATTCGGCAAAGCCAAATTTTCGCCTAACTTTTCTAAAGATTCAGCAAAAATACATTGTTGTCAAACCTAAAACTTGATATTTCGTTTTTCTTTTTAGGCAAAAAAAAGGTGTTAGGTTTTTGTTTCTTTTAATGCATATTGACACAGTTATTGTGAAATTCTACAAGATAATTGTATCAGTGTATTTTTTATGTATTTATTGGCAATTTTACAGTGACTTTTCGCAAAAGTGGTGTGACGAGGTAGGGTAGTAGCGGGCGCAGTCGATATACGCCAGTTTCGGCTTTGAGGCCTCATCAGCACAAGCCTGCAAGTGTGTACATCGCTGAAATAAAGGCGGTATCACAGTGTTCTTACTTTCTCTGTGAGTCACCGTTTCGTGCACGAAAATGAATGCAACGGCTCCTGAGCCTTCACCAGAAGAGGTAACAATATTATCGTAAATATGCACATTTTTTTGTTTGAATCACTTCAGATTTACATGAAAGTGTGTGTCCCACTTTGAACGTCTTATTTTTAACTTTTAAAATGCCGGTTTCTGATGTTAGAACACATGCGGACATTTAGGAAGATGGGAAGAGTTAGGAATGTCGGATGTGCAACGTCGAGCATGATAGTTCTGTTTAGTTTTATGTAGATAAATGAAAACCGTGAAATAACACTAATTAAAAATCAAAAGTATTTTGTTTTGGCATGAACTACTTGTGAGTCGAAAACAGGATTTCTATAAGTGTGAGGAGTGCTTTAAAGTACTTGTCAATCAATGTTGCAAATACCTCGTTGCATCACTGGAAAGATCAAGTGAAAATCCCGTTATCCAGAATGTACCGCATCATTTGTCACTTGCGCAGTGGACTGCATCGATTCCTGGTCAATATTCTGTTCTTGAGGCAGAAAATTTGGAAGAGAACCGCACTCACAGAGGCTGACAAACACACAGTTACCATGTTGCCTTCTCCACACCTCGCCGTAACCACTAGTACTACAGTACTATACTGTATGATGGTAACCGCATGACCGTACGGTGTCCATTTGCAATCCATAGTTCAATCGCATTCTCATGCGTGCGCAGACATTTGCCGAATTTTTGCCAAATCTTTGTCGAACTTTCCTTCAAAAGTTCAGCGTGTGCCGAACTTTACCGAATCTGAAGTACGGCAGATTCAGTCCATCACTAGCACCGACCTAGGTTCGAGCCCCGCCGGGGCTTGACCGGTGCTAGTGATAAAGTTTATGTATAAAGATTAGGTATAAAGTTCGAGCCCCGCCGGGACTCAAACTTTACATCTAAACTTTATACATAGCCCCAACGTCCCCCAGCATGTCGCTCGTTTGTGACAATTCTCTCATGAAAAACAACCCATAAAACACATTCTGGGTTAAAAGAAGCAGTCGAGTGACCCGGCAAGAGTGTAGCTCCTGCCGGACTGTCACCCTAGAGGAGGGACGGCGTACAAGAACAGCACAAATCTAGTCAAAAGCCAGCGCGCGAATCGCACAATCTCAGCAGCCCCAGCTAGAGCTGGCACACCTCTCAAACCTCAACACACGCCTGCACAATGCGCAACTTGGAGCTGCAAAACCAGAGCCCTCCTCACCCGTGAGATGTTGGTGCAGTCCCGGAGGAGGAACTCGAGGGCATGTGGGTGCATCCGGTCCACGGCTTGACTCACGTCAATGACCAGCACCTGTCCGTGGTGCCAGAGCAGGTTGTACTCGCTCAGGTCGGCGTGAACCAGCTGGCAGCGCTGGTACAAGGCCTGAGCCAGCGCCACCGCCTGTGCGTAGGCGCTGGCCAGCTGCTCCCCGCTCAGGGCCGCCTCCTTCAGCTGGGGCGCCGGCACCCCGTTCAGCCCGACAAAGGACATGACCAGCAGGTGCTTCTTGAGGACCACCACCTCCGGGCACGGGATGCCCGCACGACGCATTCTGGGTGGGTCAAAACCAAATTTGCCATATATTTAGTTTCAAAGTAACTCAGCAAAGAGCGAATGCTGCAGCCCCTGCGAGCCGTTCGGCACGTTGAAATCACAGCCGGGAGACAAGAGAAAAGCCGCTTTTATACAAATTTTGAGTGACAGGCTTATCTTGTTAGGGGGAATAGCAACGTCCCGGACATGCAAAAGGGGTTTCGGGTTGGGGGAGAGTTCCTCTTTCCCTTCTTCTCTAACTGCTTGGGTTATGCTCTGTCCCTTGTACCTTTGGTAAGGGCTGTCACGCGCTTCGCGTCTGTCGCTCTGATTGGCTCAAACAGACCGTAGCGTTCGCCCTTTGCCAAGTTACGGTGAAATAAAGTAGAGAAACGTGGTTCAAGTATAATTTCTACCGCCCCCCCCCCCCCGAATTCCGACATGCATTAGGAGCTCAGCACATTTACTTTACAAAAGAGGTTTTCAGACGTGCAGTTTCGGTGAACCTTCTACCGCCTAGAAGGACGGTCAAAGAGCACATCTCACTTCACGTCTTGGCATTCCTGCGGCAAAATATTTTACGAGCTCGCATTGGGCGTGTTCAGTAGCGGCCCCGGAGTCAAGGAGTCACTGACTCCTTCCACTGGACGGCCAAAAGTCACTTCCGGTGCACGTAACTCCGGGGCTTCGGAGTCAAGCTCCGAAGCACCGAGTCCGGAGACGGTGCACGTAGAGTCAAAGGAGCTAAAATGACGTAATTTCCTGACTGGTGACGATTTCCGGCGCTAAAAGAGGAAAAAAACAAACATAATGGCGAGATAAGCTGCTTCGGTTCTGTCGCGGGTGAGCGGTTTGCTCGCTTTTATTAATGAAAAGTGCTCAAGGTAAGACGAATAACGTGTTCAAATATCTTTTTCGGGTAAGGCTCTTTCGGAAAATGCATTGGACCGTATTTTGTTTGGTTTGAATATGCTAATAAACAACGCGAACGTTCATTTGACGCCGTGTCTTGATCACCGTTGCACGGAAACTCGGTAATATTGATGATAGTCCTGTCCGCGCTCAACAGAGCAAAACAGGGTATGAACGCGACTTTGGAAGCCGGTTGGACACTCACGCAGAGCATGATACCGATTAATGTTTTGTTTGCGTAGCTAAATCGGGGTGCACGTTGGCTGCGGCTCGCTTCAGCCGACAAAACCTTGATTGCCGAGTGCGGCCGAACTTCCCGTGTGTATACGAATACATCTTATCGTTACGAAGGGCAGAACAAACTTATGGCCGTATAAAAGTATCGCAACCGGCGGGGTAGATTCACTGAGCTCTGTATTTTGCGTGTGCTGACGACGTTTTTTGTCGGCTTTTATAACAGTAGCTGCCTTTGCACCGCCAAGCGAAGGGCTCGATCGCGTTGCATCGCTTCGAACAGCAGCGCTGCTGTGTACAATCACCCGCTTTTTCTTCAACGACCTTGTAAAGACTTTTTCAATACCGGCGTCAAATAAAAGCGATCGTGCTCGCCATCGTCTGCTTCCAGTTTATTCGGAGACCGTCTGGCACAGGGGGGAAGCGGAAGCTGCGTAGAAGCACGTTTGGAGCCGCGAGTTTTTTTGACCGTTCAAAAGGCGCTCCGATGACTCCGACTCGAGTCGCTCAGTTCGGAGGCAAGGGAGGCGCTACTGAACGCGCCCATTGGGTTCCTTGGAGTTTGAGGACCCATCCTTACGAAATGGCAACTTCCTCTCAAAACAATACCTTCTAAAAAATTTTCTGCAGAGGGTTTCTAAAAAAAAGACACCATGCACTATGACAACAGCCTTTGGATGAGTCAGTTCCTCCAGCAATCTTACTGACACCAAGTTCCACTTTGCGAAACAGTGTTTCAACTTGCCAACCGATGACCGAGAGGCCATGATTTAGGTTCTACAGTTGTGTGTCGCGCAATCCCACGCCATGGCTCACCTCCTGAGGTTGTGCATCTCCTTCTCGGCCCAGAGGTGGATGACCTTGCGGGGGTTCAGCTTGCTGAAGCGATCCTTGAAGCGGAAATCCTCCCTGATGTACTGCTCACGGTTCTTGAACTCGTTCAGCGTCGTCTTGAACACCTTCACCGCACACTCCCGGGGCACCGAGAACTCCTCGGTCCTGCAACGAGCCACACATTGCTTTCTTCATGTCAAAGTATTCAAGGCGTAGCATTCATAGCGTCAGTTCTTAGTGCTTGGCATCACGGTGTTCACTTGTTGTTACCAATGCGACGATCGGTGCAGATCATAATGTCACAGCTACGTTTAAAGTAGCACTGAAGAAATAGGCAGTTTTATTATTATTATTTCTTTAGCCATACTTATTTTACATGATCAAAAAATATCCCAGGCCCTTACTTTCCGCCCGCTGCATGAAAGACACACGACTCCTTGCCGGTGCTGATGCATCCATTGACCTCATCCAGGATCTCGCGGTTGACCAACTTGTAGAGCAAGAGACGTGTGTTAGGGTCCAGGGTTTGCTCCTGCAGTTCAGAAACAAAGGTTCAACTGTGAGAGCTCTTCGCATAAGCATGAGGCTGAGAAAAAAAAAAAAAAAAGTGATATCCAAGAATTAGGCCCTCCTGAGGAGTAGCATCGCTCTTTGATGCAAGGTCTGCTTCTGAAAATTTTTTTACCTTTTTTTGTTGTCAGGCCACGTGAATGACAATGATTATTGTGAGAATAAGATGCTCCTAGCAACGTAAACGAGTATATAGGTAGGTATCTGTGGGACTGCTTTTATTGTAAACTTCAGTTATAAGCGATGACAGCTGCAGTCCTACACCTAAACAAGACCATAACTTGTTGATGGTGCAACAGAAAGGTAAACAGATGAAGGATGAAACAGTGACAACAATCGGTGGGAATATAGGCAGAATTTGTGCAGCAAAGGCAACGTTACGGCATAAGTCTGTTTTTTCTGGACATCGTAGATGAGGATGGAGACATTGTCCACTGCGTGAAACGGCACCTCGCGTAGACACAGTTAGTGTGAATGCAACATTGGCGCTTTTTTTCTTTTTGATGACGAGGTATTTATTCACTAACGCCAAGTTTCGCTGCCTAAGTTGGTGCCCAGAATGGGACCATTACTAGTGGTTTTTGTAACAGCCTTTCAGCTGTGACAGGAAAACAGGAACTGCACTTGCTACAATTCTCATTTGAGAGCTACAGTATCGCACCAATAAAACGAAGACAGCTCGTTTGTGCTATCCGTGTCGCACTCTGTACATCGAGAAAGAGATAACCACTTGACAGCCACCCTATGCAGCCTATTTTAATGCATATATTTTCCTTAGAAAAATATACTCAAAAATTGCCTGCATGTCAGAATCAGATAGGAAACCGAAATGGAGGGCATGTTAGAATAATTATTCTTGTGTGTGCATTAGAATCGGGGGTGCGTTAGGATCTTGCGAATATTGTGGACCCGTCCGATTTACCTCCACCATGCACCCTACACCGGTGCAGAAAAGTGCAGGACAGTATAGTTTCGGCACATGTTTTAACCGTTTCAAATGCCGCTCGCTATTTGTAAAAAAAAAAAAACATAAGTTTCCTCACAATCTTTGTTCGTGAAGTAAATTTCCACTAAAATTTTTTTCACAAGCTTTGGTTGCCAGTATAGTATTCCGCTAAAATTGTTAAAATGGCTCAATATGCATGCAATATATTCCTGAAAAAAAGCTAGGGTCTTAGATGTACATATTTGTGTATGTAGCATTCGAAAGGGTTAAGACAGGCTGCACTTGTAAATTGAATATAACACGTGCACCCGGTAGAGCCGGTGCAGGAGGTGTGGGTAATACAAGGGTCTAGGGACCATAAGGACACGACAGACAGAGGAGTGGGGAGCGCTTTAGGGACAATGGGGCTAGGGAAGCCGGGAATCGAGGAAAGAATCAGGAAAAAGGGGCGAGAGAGTGTGTGAACAGGCGGGTCACGCACAGAAGACAGTTGGGACCGGGACAATAAAGAGTGGAGTTAAGCGTACGACATGTTTGAAGCGTAATCAAGAAACAACGGTAAATCAAGTGTAGCGGGTAGGCTGCGCCCCACAACCGTCGACCGCCTTAAACTCACGGCGGTGGCCTTCTCCCTCTTGTCGTGGAGACGCGCGGCCCGTCGACCTTCCTGGGCCGAGTGCACCTTGAGCGAGTTGTACACGTGGTTGGACAGCCTCATGTCGAAGCCCCCGCCGTCGCCCGTCGAGATGCCCGGAGGCAGCTCCATGACGCGGCAGGCATTGCGGCGCCCACACACGGTGGCGTCGTGCTTCGTGGTGAAGCCGCCCCCGGCCTGGCGCGCCACGCCCGAGCGCCCGATGGCGGGGGAGCTGCGCTCGGCCCGTTCGAACGAGTCCCAGTGACGGGCCACGTCGGGCCCACCGTCCAGGGCGTCTTCCTCATCGTCCGAGTCGGAAGCGAGGTGCTCCGGGAGGCGCTTGTAGTTGCCGAAAGAGATGCTCACTGCGAGGAGGAAATCGAATTGCGCGATGGCGGTTGCTCGGTGAAGTTTGCTCGCAGGTTGCGTGCACCGTACAGCTTGGTCCCCTTTGGGCCCATTCGCATACTTGCGCTCGGTTAGGACCGAGTTCTCGCAGTTTCTTACGACAAGTAAACGCTTCGGCACGCCGCCACCATCTACGATGTGACCCTGGAACCCCATTTAACTAGAGCAAAGGTTTTGCGGTATTTGCGAAATCAAATGTATGTACCATCTATGAGATATGGTCGTATATGACAATGTCAAAATTTTTTCTATATTAAAAAAAAAAGGAAAGAAATGATGCGCAATAAAAAAGCTATTCCACGGCTTCCCAAGAGGCTTTAAGGCACTCAGTCGTAAGCGGTCACACGTGTAAACGATCGTGAATGTTTTCTGTTTTTTCTAAGAATCAAAGGGCTCTCATCAAAATTGCTAACGTGGTGGAAAGCAATCGTTCGGGGCACTAACTTGGGTAGTAAAATTCGACGCCTGCCAGCACCCTTTCAAAGTAAAATGCAAAACAGCACCAACGTCGTGTTGGCTCTAACGGTGTCGCGCACTATGGAGTGTGGTCCCCCATACCTTGTTCACCCCTAAACTGAAAGTGCAGCGGATGCCATGTGCTTGTTGGTTCAGCCTTCCGTCTATGTTTCGTCGCGCGATCGTGCTCCCGCCCACACCCACATGCAGATGGCGGAGCCAGCTGATAAAAGGGAGGCGTTTGATTGATCCGGTGAGCATATCAATGGAAAACACATATCAATGGAAAGCACGCATGAGAAAAAAACGATAGAACATTGAAACGTTAGAAAACGAGAGTCATCGGTCGTTTGTCTAGAAAATAGAGCAAAACGCTGGAATTTGAGACCTATGTATAAGCACAATCTTGCGAGGTCAAACCTGTGTGTGTTTTTCTTAGTTTCAGGCCTTCCCAAAATGAAGGAGCAAGTACGTCTCGACACAATTCTGCCTGACTTTCGCCACCGAAGCAGCAATGGCTGTATTTGGGACATCGCTGTCTTGAACGATGAAAGCAGGTAGATGTGCCCTTATGTTAATTCACTCACTGCCAAGCTAAACTTTCCCATTGCTAAGACACGCCATCTGCCAGTTAAATCTTGCTCACGGCAACAACTGCGAAGAATTATTCATATACCTTTGCTTTCGCCGTTGAACTTCCTCTCCTCTCTGCACAGCATTGTGTCGTGTTCCTTGTCATACTCGGACTGCAGGAGCAACGCGAGAGTGTGGTCGTCACTGCAGTCAGTTTCAGGGAGATTCGGATCTGCCACAGCTTCTGACAGAGGCAACAGAGTCCTGAAATGAATGCACCATTAAAGAGACATGCTAAAAACAAACAAAAGGCAAGGAAAAAAATAATAAAAGGGTTAAAAAACAGAAAAAGAGAGAATAGATGTATTTGAGAGAGAAAAAAAAAGAATCAGCCTGGCGGGAGAAGAAAAAAGACAACTAAACAGAAGCTCAATGCTCCTCGATATCTCGATTGAGTGGATGTAATTTTGCCACACTTGACATGTCAAAGTGGTTTACGAGACTCGTGCATTAACCTAGAATAGGCCTTTTGATAAATTACCCAAGCACCAATGAGTATGTGCAAGTGTATTTACACGTGCTGCGCGAGCTGGCGTCTGCAGTGCTGCAACTGTTCCAAAGCCAAAATATAAGGCACTTCGCATTTGGGTTCTTCAATGACTCATTTTGGTTATTTACTTGGGAATTGATTATACAGACAAGGCGAGCACGTGCAGTGCACATACCTACGTTCCCAACATTCTCCTTGATGCTTGGGTAAAGGCCCGTTCACACGCTTGTAACCCTTTAGGACCATGCGCCTTAAAATCTCTTAGGACTCTGTCGCCCTAAGACACACTGGCATGCTGGCACCATTCTATGTAGCGACCCTGGAACTGAATTTTACTAAAGAAAAGGTTTTGCGGTATTTGTAAGGTCAACTGTGTGTACATACTTATTTTGGCAGAATGTCTACTTATACTGTCTGCTCAAAGTTACAGCGTCGATGGGCAAAGTTATAAGTGGTATTCCACCGGGTGCCATATTTGTGTGCATTGCTCACCAGGAATGTGTTCCCGCTGACCGTCTGGCAAGAAATACGATCTCGATCGGACCACAACTACGGCCGACGGAGTGGCGTCCTTACCTCCGAGCAGCAGCGACGAGTTCGGTTTCTTCCAAGGCACGTGCGAGCTCTTCACTCATAACATCGGCAAATGACACGGCAGCTTCGGGAGTTGTTGCGACCTTACCCCAGGGACAGGTCGGTTTCGGCGTGATCGTGACTTCATTCTGAGGGTTCGTCAAGATGGCAGTGGGCATGATGACTTCAGTGGACTCCATGTTTTGTTTTCTCTTTCTAGATCGGCGCACACCAATTGCTAAAAAAATAATTGAAGATCGAGTATTTTTTTCTTTCTTGACTGCTGTTCAGGTCTGCAAATACATAGAAGAGTGCAGTTTTAAAACTTTAACCAGCTGACAAAACGATGAGGTGCGGTAGAGAGCAGCAACGCACGAGTTGGACGTTTCAGCTTCTAAACTCTGCAATCAGCCCCTATGTAATGGCAAGATAAATATTAATTCCCCGTGTGTGATCTCTGTATCTGTCTGACGAATGTTACAGCACACATTAAAGGGAATGAACGCTCGTTATTGCGTCACGATGTGTAAAGTCAAAATGGGGAAACGACATTAGTCCAATACACTCAACCTAACGTTGCTGCCTCAAATATAGCGCTACGATTAAAACAGAATGGTACGACGACACTCACAGTATGTGTTTGAAAACTTGGGAGGCAATTAAAAGCTCTCGATTAGAGCAATATAATTAAATTTTCAGTTAAATTACAGCCCTCCGACCCACCGACCTCCCTTACGAAGGAGGCCCCCTTACTGGAAAAGCAAGCAAACAGGTGATTCCTCACAACAAAATTATATGTGTATATATATGTCATATTTTGTAAAATATGACATGAATTATATATATATATATTTATATCTTTTTGGAATTCAATTATCCAAAATATCAAAGCTCGTTGGATGCTTACAATGCATAAATGCGTAGATAAGCTAATATTTAAGTTGGGCGGTAGTTAGCGTCACTTGACGTGATCAGTTACATTATTTGTTTATCTTTAATATAAATAAAAACTAATATATAATAGGCAACGAGGTAGATAATAGGCAACCTCGTTGATAATAGGCTAGTTTTTTTTAATTTAAAGCAATCAAAATAATTTATTACATAGCTAATAAATTAACATTGGTGTTGACGGACTGGCAGCGCAACGCTTGTAGTGGCAAAGATTTATTAATATAAGTAAATTATTTATAAAATTTGAATAATAGTAATTAATTTTAGTATTTTAAGATGAACAACCAGTGTGAACAACTTTGTTTTATACCAGCGTCACCACATAGATAAACACAAACAGGAACCAACTTTTAAAATGGGCGGTAAACATGAATTATATATATATATATATATTTATATTTCCATCGTAAACCGGAGACACGGAAAAATAAAAAAACGGACAAAACAACAACAAGTCTCAAACACAGCTTCTAGTTTATTTGAACACCTCCGCTCTTATATATACACAACAACCCTCCTCTCCAAAGGTCGACACACCTCCTCTCCACTCCATCAACGACATCTCAAAATGAACCAATGACACATGCTACCTCCCTTCCTTTCATACCAACCAAAAACTGACCCCTTTCCAATCCAAGAAACAGGCACTCAAACCCTGCTAACAATGAAAACACCCCCCCCCCCCCCCCCCACAAAAAAAAAAAAAGAGATAGGTTTTACGGAACCGACCAGCCACAACTGATAACAGGCCTATCGAACAGACACGGTGTTAGCATTCAACCACCCCTCAAAAAAAAAAAAAAAAAAAATTAAAGACATAGAAAGCGTTTCAGTTCACTTCCGAAACCCAAGGACGGTGTGCTGACACAATTGCCACGCTCCAAAATACATAAAGTCTCCCTCACAACTCTCCTACCATTTTCTTTCTCTTTATGCAATACCTGGGTATCCCCCCACTCAGGCTGACAGTGATTGCAGTCTACAACATGTTTAGCTATTTCTGAATTCTGCGCATTGTCTTCAATTCAGAAATAGCTAAACATGTTGTAGACTGCAATCACTGTCAGCCTGAGTGGGGGGATACCCAGGTATTGCATAAAGAGAAAGAAAATGGTAAAAGAGTCAAAGTACAGGCTAGCTGGTGGAAGTCAACCATTTCGTCGTTTACCCTGAGACTGGGGTTTTTTTTTGAAGAGCAGAAGAAACAGAAAGAGAAACATTGAGACCAGTCTGTTTTTTCTGTTTCTTCTGCTCTTCAAAAAAAACCCCCAGTCTCAGGGTAAACGACGAAAAAGAAAATGGTAGGAGAGTTGTGAGGGAGACTTTATGTATTTTGGAGCGTGGCAATTGTGTCACCACACCGTCCTTGGGTTTCGGAAGTGAACTGAAACGCTTTCTATGTCTTTAATTTTTTTTTTTTTTTTTTTTTTTTTTGAGGGGTGGTTGAATGCTAACACCGTGTCTGTTCGATAGGCCTGTTATCAGTTGTGGCTGGTCGGTTCCGTAAAACCTATCTCTTTTTTTTTTTTTTTTTTTTTGTGGGGGGGGGGGGGGGGGGGGGGGTGTTTTCATTGTTAGCAGGGTTTGAGTGCCTGTTTCTTGGATTGGAAAGGGGTCAGTTTTTGGTTGGTATGAAAGGAAGGGAGGTAGCATGTGTCATTGGTTCATTTTGAGATGTCGTTGATGGAGTGGAGAGGAGGTGTGTCGACCTTTGGAGAGGAGGGTTGTTGTGTATATATAAGAGCGGAGGTGTTCAAATAAACTAGAAGCTGTGTTTGAGACTTGTTGTTGTTTTGTCCGTTTTTTTATTTTTCCGTGTCTCCGGTTTACGATGGAAGTTCTTCACCAGCTCGCCTGTGTTTTTACCCTTTCTTCGTATATTTATATCTTTTTGGAATTCAATTATCCAAAATATCAAAGCTCGTTGGATGCTAACAATGCATAAATGCGTAGATAAGCTAATATTTAAGTTGGGCGGTAGTTAGCGTCACTTGACGTGATCAGTTACATTATTTGTTTATCTTTAATATAAATAAAAACTAATATATAATAGGCAACCTCGTTGATAATAGGCTAGTTTTTTTTAATTTAAAGCAATCAAAATAATTTATTACATAGCTAATAAATTAACATTGGTGTTGACGGACTGGCAGCGCAACGCTTGTAGTGGCAAAGATTTATTAATATAAGTAAATTATTTATAAAATTTGAATAATAGTAATTAATTTTAGTATTTTAAGATGAACAACCAGTGTGAACAACTTTGTTTTATACCAGCGTCACCACATATACTCTGTTTCATACTTAGTGTGCAACGCTCTCAAAGCTACTGGCGCGAGCATGGGGCTTGACCTCGTTGATCATTTGCACGTGTTCTCGCGCAAACAAAACCATAGATGAAGCCACGCGCTCGCGCCAGTAGCTTTGACAGTGTTGCACGCTAAGTATGAAACGGAGTATAGATAAACAAAAACAGGAACCAACTTTTAAAATGGGCGGTAAGTGCGCCTTTAAAACAAATTAATCTATTCGTAAAATATATATATATATATATATATATATATATATATATATATATATATATATATATATATATAGAGAAAAAAACGAAGGTGCGTTTTCTTCCGTATATACTTTTCACAGGTGCGTTTTCTTCCGTATATATATATATATATATATATATATATATATATATATATATATATATATATATATATATATATATATATATATATATATTGTGAGGGTGTTTAATGAGATTACTCCAATGGCAATGAATGGCCAAAAGGGAACTGTTCCGCCGGTTGAGTGTGATCCAAATCTCCCTCGGTCGACCAGGCGCGTCCCCCGCGCCCGTGCCGACACTTCTCCTTTATCTTCCTCACAGTACCCCCGGGGGGCTGAAGTGCCGGTCATCCGGCACGTTGGTGTTGGTTGTTGGGTTTAGGTTTGGCGGTGGTAGCGCTTCATACGGGCCACATGGACAATGTCTGTGGACCTGGAGCGATGGTCGCGGGGAGGGTGGACTGGGACAACCTCGTAGTTGGTTGCAGAAAGGCGGCGGACTACCCGATATGGTCCGACAAACTTGCGCATTAGTTTCGCCGATCGGCCCAGTTGGCGGAGAGGGGTTGCCAGTAAAATCTCGTCACCGATGTTGTACGAGACGTTAGGATGGCTCTCTGCATGACGGAGTTGATGGTGGTGCTGTGATCTTAGAGTCTGGAAGTGGGCGATTCGACGGGCATCTTCAGCTCGACCACTGACATCTGAAGAGTAGGCATGCTGGGAGAGGTCGGGTGCACACGGCAAAATTGTGTCCAAAGTTGTCAGGGGATCACGGGCGTACAAAAGGTAATATGGTGAGAATCCTGTGGTAGCCTGGCGTGCGGTATTGTACGCGTAAGTGACGAATGGTAAGACCGAGTCCCAGTTGGTGTGGCTCTCGGTAACGTACATTGAAAGCATGGTAGCTAATGTGTGGTTTAGACGCTCCGTCAGTCCGTTAGATTGAGGATGGTAGGCGCTGGTTATGTTGTGAATAGTGGTAGCCAGGTGAAGAACCTCCGCGAGAACCTTGGAAAGGAACGGGGTGCCCCGGTCACTGACGATAGTCTGTGGAGCGCCATGGCGTAGGACAATAAAGTGGAGAAAGAAGTCGGCCACTTCTTGTGCACTTGCGGTGGGCACAGCTTTCGTTTCTGCATAACGAGTGAGATGATCGATGGCCACAATTATCCAGCGGTTTTTCGTGGCGGAGGCAGGAAAAGGTCCCAAAAAGTCAATACCGATCCGTTGAAAAGGAGTTTCGGGTGGCGGTACGGGTCGTAGAGGGCCGGGTGGTGCGGTGGTAGGGCTTTTGCTGATCTGGCAGAGGTGGCATGCGCGTACGTATTTGCTGATGGATCGATGCATCCCATTCCAAAAGAAACGGTCGCGAACTCTAAAGTATGTCTTCGAAAAGCCAAGGTGGCCAGCAGTAGGGTCATCATGGTTGGCCCTCAGCACGTCTTGTTGTAGATTGCGAGGAACAACAAGAAGCCATGGGCGTCCATGAGGTTCGTAATTACGTCGATATAGGATTCCGTTAAGGAGAGTGAAAAGGCGTGCGCGCTGTTCCACCCGTCGAGCGGGGTGGGGGAGCGTACCTTTTAAGTAGCGGATGATGGGCTCTAATGTCGGATCGGACTGTTGAGCCTCGGCGATGTCGACGTGGTTGAGGGTGGCTGTGGCGTTTAGGTGGTGTATGGGATGCTGAAGGGCAGACACAGCGGGGAGGGGACATCGTGAGAGCCCATCTGCGTCTAGGTGTCGCTTGCCCGATTTATAGATGATAGTAAAGTCGTGTTCCTGTAGCTTTAACGACCAACGTCCGAGACGGCCTGATGGATCTTTAAGCGTAGTAAGCCAACAGAGGGCATGATGGTCAGTGACAATGCGGAAGTGGATACCATATAGGTAGGGGCGAAATTTGGCGATCGCCCACACGACCGCAAGGCATTCACGTTCTGTGATAGTATAGTTGCGTTCCGCTTTTGTAAGGGTACGGCTTGCGTAAGCGACGACGTGTTCTTTACCGTGGACGTTTTGTGCAAGAACTGCGCCAAGGCCGTGCCCACTTGCATCTGTTCGTAACTCGGTGCTGGCACCCTGGACGAAGTGGCCAAGAACAGGAACAGACGTCAGCGCAGACTTAAGAGAGTGAAAGGCTCTGGCTTGGGAAGGGCTCCATTCAAACTTAGCATTGCTGCGAAGCAGCATGTTGAGAGGTTCGGCAATATGTGAAAATCCCGGAATGAATCGTCGAAAATAGGTACAAAGTCCGAGAAAAGCACGAACCTGTTTAAGGCCCTTCGGTTCGGGAAAGTCAGAAACAGCCTGGATCTTGCTAGGGTCTGGACGTATTCCATCGGAACTAACGAGGTGGCCAAGAATTTTGATTTGCTTCGCTCCAAATACGCACTTGCTTGAATTTAGTTGCAAAGTAGCTCTGGTGAAGCAGTCCAAAACCTGTCGTAGCCGATGCAAGTGTTCGTCGAATGTCGTCGAAAATACAACAACGTCGTCAAGATAGCATAAGCACACATTCCAAGTGAGACCACGAAGGAGGGTGTCCATCATTCTTTCGAATGTGGCTGGGGCATTGCAAAGTCCGAAGGGCATAACATTGAAGTGATAGAGGCCACTAGGGGTTATGAATGCGGTTTTAGGTTTGTCGTCGTTGGCTACAGGTATTTGCCAGTAGCCACTTCTGAGGTCCATGGAAGAAAAGAAGGAGGATCCTTGAAGAGCATCAAGCATGTCGTCGATTCGGGGCAGGGGATATGCGTCCTTTCGTGTTACAGTGTTGAGGCGTCGATAATCTACACAGAATCGCCATGATCCGTCTTGTTTCTTGACCAGGACCACAGGGGAAGACCATGGGCTAGACGAATGTTCGATGACTTTCTTTTGGAGCATATCTGTGACGTGTTGTTGTATGACGGCACGCTCTGCAGGGGAAACCCTGTAGGGTCGACTTTTTACTGGAGGGGCGTCAGCTGTGTCAATAGTGTGATGTACGAAGGAGGTTGTCGGAAGGGTGTGGTTCTCGAAGTCAAACAAAGTTTCGTATGTTCCTAGTAGGTGGGTCAGCGCCTTCTGTTGTTCGTCTGGGAGGTCCGGGTCGATCATGTTTCTAATGTGGTGAGAAGGATCTTGATTGAGAGGAAGGCGTTCGAAAGGCGCCTTGTTGATCCGGGAGCTCTGCATTTCTTCATACGTTTTACATTCTGATATGAGTCGCTGTACGGTCGCGGGTGTTTTCGGGGCTACAACAGAGAAGAGTTCCTGGGACAGACCTTTAAATAGGTGTCGGATCTTATCCTCCTCAGACATTTGCTCATCCACTCGTCGGCAGAGACGAAGGACGTCTTCGATGTAACTTGTGGAAGTCTCGGTTGCAGCTTGGAAGCGGTGTGATAGCTTTTCTTTTGCCTGTTGTTTGCGGCTCTCCGGCTTGCGGAACGCTTCTGAAAACGATGTTTTGAAGCCATCCCATGAGTTGATGTCGTCTTCGTGGTTGTCAAACCACTGAAAGGCTGTGTCTTTTAGGAAGAACACTACGTTCGCCAGCTTATGGGAGTCATCCCAACGGTTATGAGCGCTTACGCGGTCGTAGTGTTTCAGCCAGTCATCGACGTCGCCTGGGGGGGAGCCGCTGAAGGTTGGAGGGTCCCGCTGGCGGTTTTTCACATAGTTGGGAGGCGGCCGTGAGGGTTCACTTGGTGCAGTTCGTTGTTCGTCTGGCATGGCGACGGTAGTGGTGCGCCCGCTTCGAAGCTCCAGAGCACGCCTTGGGGTGGCCGACCACGAAGAGGTAGGGGAACTTAAGCACCTCCACCACTTGTGAGGGTGTTTAATGAGATTACTCCAATGGCAATGAATGGCCAAAAGGGAACTGTTCCGCCGGTTGAGTGTGATCCAAATCTCCCTCGGTCGACCAGGCGCGTCCCCCGCGCCCGTGCCGACACTTCTCCTTTATCTTCCTCACAATATATATATATATATATATATATATATATATATATATATATATATATATAATTTATGAAGCATTACTATATTTAATATTTATAAAAAAATTATTGTAGTACAAATTGTTTTATTGACTGTCTCTCAGCGCACAGTCTTGCCACACTTGGAGTGGCAGGAATCTATTAAACTATGAATTGCTGAGCCCCCTCCTGGCCCCAGAGAACTCGGTGTCGCTCGAGTGTGTGTATGTGGTTTGAGCTGCAGTTTCACTGAGCTGCCGCGATTGCAGATTTGAAGATGTTTCGATAACAAGACCGGTGTCAAAGCTTCATATGGCCGAGAAAGTGACAGACGCGATGGCACCTCCCGCCGACCCCTTGAACATAGGCAACATTCTGGTTCATGTGAGTTCACCGCACGAACAGGCATTCATACCGCTCCGGCACCAGTAATTACGTCAACTCAAATTCGATCTTTCTAGAATATCAGCCCATTTAGACACTAATCTGCGGGTGCCACCTTATCTGAATTATTGTGTTTACTTTTTTTGCGTTCACGGCTTTGTGCATTGGATGAGATTGGATAGTTTTCTCTGATAGTGCTGTCACCGTTTCTCCAATGAACAGGCTACGGGGGAAACTATGAAATCGCGATGAGCCAATGTAAAAACAAAGAGTAAAAGCAGGAGGATGATGTACTGCGTTTCATTTTTCCTCGATCCTTCTTAGCGCGCACTAAATCGGTGTATTTTCACTTGTGGCTGGCTTAGAGACGAAGGCTGCACCAACGGGCTGCTCGTAAACCATGTCAAACTAAAAATCCTTTTTTTTTATATATATATATATATTTTTTTTGCGTTTCCATTTGTGCTTCGGAAGCCGCACCACATGCTGCCTTTCTGTTCGTCCGCCCACCGCCTGTGAAGCAAAATCAAGCTTGCTGTCGCGCACCGAAACATTCAGCTGTTACATTTTTCCATACATCTGCCGAACATATTTTTTTTTTTTTTTTCGTTTTGCTCTTTTTTTGTAATTTCAAATGGAACAAACAGAAGCCCGGTCAAGGCAAAAAGCCATAGTAATTACTAAAAAGTAACATACATAAAAAAAAGATTGCAAGGAAAAGTGGAAGCCTTGTCTGAGATCAGAAGTCATTATCCGACTGAAGGCGACTTGTTCTCCTTGAGCAACACGGCGTGCGTGGGTCTTCTCAGGAAGGAAAACTTTCAGAACGCGTGCAGCTTTCGATGTAGGGATATAAATATACGGGGATAAGAATGAGATGTAGGGGACGCTTCTGCTGAGACATGAGGAATGATGCTTGGCCGACATCTCGGCACACTCCTGCTTCTGATTACGCAAAGGGGCTGTTTTGGGCCCCGTGTTATCTTGACGCTGGACCCGTGGGTCAGCTGTGTCTTGTGAGAGCGTGTGCAAGCAAACTGATACTCTGGTCGCTTAGGTCGAGCTTCCTCCTCCAGTTTGCTGGACGTATCTGCTCGCTGGGAAAACGTTCAAGCTCAACGCCAGTGGACAGTTGCTATAAGTCCATCTTGGTAGAATGAATGGTTTTAGCATACGCTTCAGCATGTAGCACAGAAAAGATAGGGAATCAAGTTATGGTCACGTCTCATTAATGCGGATGTCATTAATCTGGATAGTTCGCTATGTAGACAAAGGTTTTGGGGATGAACTGGGTAAATTTGTGAATTTTGTCTTATTATTACGAACAACTCGAATCATGGACAATTTTTGGGGGGGGGGAGGGGAATGGAACTGTCCATATTAACGAGACATCATTGTATAATCTACTACATGCTTGATATATTGCTAGATAGTCATAACTTTAAGGCATGACACATTGAATATACTTGGGATTCGTCACATTTCATGACAGTTGTGAACACAACTGTTATTGAACTCGCTGTTTTCGGGCAAGTATAGAAAGAAGTTCTTGCATCGCATTACGAAGATCTGAGTAGTTGAACTAAAGACTAAAATTTGGGAAAGGCGCTCAGCGGATAAGAAACATAATATCGAATGTATGCACTTTTTTTTTTTTTTTTAAGTTTTGCATTTAGTTTGGTTTTAAGTAATCGCAGCGGTTGAAATCAGAAAGGGAATAACTTAAGTTTTACTGAGAGATGCAGTAAATACAAAACTTAAATTAAACTGTTCAAACTTAATTTGAACAGTAAAAAAGACTTGACAAATTGAGTGTACAAAACCTGTGAGAAATAACTATAAGGCCAACCTTAATGTCATTTATTTGTTTGGAGAATACTACAGGACTGTGGGTATCGGTTACAAAACTGAATGAAAATAGCAAGAGATAGCAAACAAGTTTCACACACAGCAAAAGAAAAGTGCCATAAACAGATCAAAAATAGCCCAAGCAAGTCACACATACAAAAAAAAGTTACAATACAAACTAGACTACCACTCTGACAATAAAGAATACCTGTAGTTTTCTGCAATGCCAAGATTTCTCGGAGAAAACGGAAACATGACACACACGCGACTGTGTGCATATATGTACCCAATTTAGAGTGAAGCGTAAAAATTATTCGAATTGCAGGTGGACTGGACTGAGCCCTGGCTGATGGGGCTTATCACGTTTCATGTTGCCATTCTGAGCCTGACGCTACTGACAAGAGACCGGGGCAATGTTCAAGCTGGGCTCTTTGTGACTGCGCGTGAGTGGCTCCTGTCATTGTCACGTTTCAAGTGACACCGTACTCTCTCCCCACGTCAATCATTGTGTCTTCATTGACTGGGTCACAAGAGCTGTGTGGAAAATGGGACGTTGAAACTGAAAAGCAGTAGCAGTGATGCGATTGCTGCGCCATTTGTACCACACTGCAGCAAAGGGCTTACCCTGCTACATCCTTCTACTTTTGATCATAATGTGAGGAATTTGTGCCAATGTTGCACCCAAAAGCTTCATTTCACTTTAATAATACAGAAAGTAAATAGCTTGGGCCTCACTACCCAGAAGAATAGTTGCAATATGCTTGTGCGTTTTCCGAACTTTCAATGATTGCCTCAAATAACATACTGTTTGATTTGATTTTGCGTCAAGCACCGACAGTACTCGGGAAGTTTTGCAATAATTATCATGTTCCTAGTCTGTTCTGGTGGGCGTTAGTTAGTTTAGTTGAGTACGCTCCTCACCGCGCACCGATGTACTGCTGTGAAGTGACAGTCATGACGATTTTGCATGTCTTGCTTCTCTGCAGCGCACCCGCGTGCGAAAGAAAAAGCACTCCTCCAAAGCGAGACGTGGCACAATTTCTGAATAAAACTTCGGCTTGTTATATACGATAGACTGTGGCGGCATCTTTTTTCAATTAGAGATTTGGCAAGGATACTTCGGTATTGCAAAAAAGGTTTACATGGACTCTCCTGTGGGTTTATTTTTTATGCTTTGTTTTTCATCTGAATTAAGAATTGCAGTTTTTTTACAACCTCTAGAACTTAAAGAAAACTTAAATTTAGGTGTTTGAAATTACTGTATTTTAATATTATTTCAGTGGGATTTCGTACCTAAAATAACCATTCACCGCAGTTTGTGCTGCCCCTCATCCGTTATCTTGTTACAGTGCCCGGTTCTTCTAGCTCTTGTTTGAGGGAATCGCTCCTGCTGGGGGGGGGGGGGGGGGTGCCATTGATGCTGACAGAACTTTGCCTTCTCACTCATAAGTGAGAAGGCAAAGTTGCCTTTTAATAGGACAGGCCGACACGTGAACTTAATATTTGCAGTGATATGAATGAAAATGAATTGGGCGCTTACACTCTGAAAACTATTTTGGGCTGCTCCATAATTGGCTTTTTCACTGCCCCAAAAGCTGCTTTAAAAATGACTCTGACCAGTCACATGATTGCAGTGGCAACAAGCAGCATTTGGGCATTTGTCGAACAGGAATCCTTAATCATTTTTAGGCTAAAGTATCATTCAGACAGAGGTGAGGGAGAGACCAGAGGTGGGTCTAAGGGGCATCTGGATAGAATTAATGCTGCAGCTCGATATATTTTAGAATGCCTCCACTTCACGAGAGGTGTACGTGAAAATGTATCATGAACACGAGGATGCGAGATGCTTTGTCTGCAGAAGCACTCATGCATAATATGCATTTTCTGAAGCCCTTGCACGTTTGGCTTTTGCAGCACTAAAGAGAACTCTTGATACGGAGCACAATATAGCACATGCATATTTCCAAACTCAGTCTTTTGGATATTTTCTTGAAAGTGTGTAAAATAAATAATCTCGTTTACAAAGGATTTTCTTTTTCTCATCTTGTATTTACATTGGAATTTCAGGTCCTTCAACATTCGAAGTTTAACGAATACACAAAGTAGATAAAGGTTTGCCCTAGCAGCATATACTGCAACCCAGTGCCACAAGCTACTGCAAGAGCATTTTCCATGCTGGCAATTTTGGATGATTAAATTAAAAATTGGCGTTATTAGCTGTTTCAGCTCAAATTAGCCACTAGACCAAAACAAGACTCGCTCTAAATGTTTGAGACCACCACTGAAAGTCTTTTTGGCTCGCATCGTTTGGAAGCGTGCAGATGGCAACAGGCTGTTTCCACGTCAGATCATACAATGGTGGCCTGTGTTATCTTTTCCTGAATTTGCCCTTTGGCACGTACCAAAACTACAACCCTTTTCCTGTGCGATGCATACTTTTCACAAGAACAATTTGGCCCACGTTTAGTGAGACACCCTGTATAAGTATTGTAGGTGTATATAGCTGAGCGCCTCTATTAAGGGAAACTATACAAAATATGACCTGGACTATTATTGTATGAATTGTCATAAAAACACCCAACAACAGAACCCTTGTATAGTTATCAACCTCTGCCTCTATTCCATTGTACGGTATGCATCATACTTAGAAATGGCAAGCTGGTCTGTTTTCCGTTGCACAATGTTGAACGCCAAGATACTGACTTTCCAGATACTACTTCCCCAGCCTTGTTTTTCCGGCGACAGATGTTCCTCGTGCGCGAGCTTTGTTTCACAATAATGGGCCATACATTAAGTTCTCAAATGTCGGCAGCAGTGGCGTCCACAGCGTTCTTTGTATGCAAAAGGCCCAAGAAATGGGGGGGCGGGAAAGGTTCTCAGGCGGAAATGCTATGTAACAAAAATATGAAGCTAAGCTAGGGACAGCATGACTTTCTACACCCTACAAGAGAGCAGCACTGCTGTAGAGCCTTTGTCGGTTCTAGAAAATGTTTTTGGAGCAGACGTTGTGCGTCAAAGCCCCATAACGAAGACAAGCTAGCTCAAATTGAGAGGAGGCTTGTTGTCGTTTTTCTCTTTTGGAGATCAAATGTTAGTCAATGTTTTGCCATTGAAAGTTATTTCAAGACACTGCAGATGACAGAGAGAGTTTAAGAGAAATAAAAGATTTTTTTCTATTACTAACGTGCAATTTTGCCATATTTACAACAATCACTGCATTTCTCTGTATTAATAACACTACCAGAATAATAGCTAAGCTTATCTTTTTTTGTATATTCGTAAAATGCATTTAAAGATGCTTATTTTGATACATTTTAATATGAAATTGTTTTTTAATCAATATTTGGTGAATGTTTCTACAACACGTTTTGTAGCTTTTTTTTTTTTTTTTGGCACAGAAATTTTTTATTGTAATTTTCAGTATTTTGCATACGTGTTGAAAACCTTTCATAAAATAACTAGGAAGCATGATTATTATTATGCGCAAGCTACGTATGAAATTAACGGCTGCGCAAAATGCCGTAGTGAAACTTTGGCAATCTCCATGCCTCAAGCTTCAAAGTTCCGTACCTCCAGAAAAACAAAAAAAGAAAGGGATATTACATTCATATGTAGCTGAATGCTCCTCCCATAACTTGGCTTTCACATATAGATTTTACATAAAAAAAAAAAAAAAGATATGACCCGGACCATTGCTGTAAGACCCCATGTGGAAACATCCAGCGTGTAAAGGTGCTTACCACGGAGATGCTACTAATTTTTGTGCTCGTTCCGTGCCAGTTGTTTCCGGGATCCCAGAGATGTTGGTACCTTCGGTACAGCAACTAAAAGGTGTCTGCACCTCGTTTCTGCAGTGCTGCTCGTCTACTTTTCGGAGGCGCTGAACGAGTTGGCAGCGCAGCATTGGCGCTCGTTCTCGAGCCACCAGTACTTCGACAGCCAGGGCATGTTCATCTCGCTGGTCTTCTCTGCCCCTCTACTGCTCAACTGCATCATCATGGTGGTAAGATCTTATTTAATGTCGACGCAACCATTTTATTCCTAGCCCACCGGGGAGTGCGCGCTGCATGGACATTAAGTGCCCGACATCTTTTTCTGATGCGAGCCCACTATTTGAGTTGTAAAAGGTTGAGTGCTTTCATGGGCACTCCAGGCATTAATTTTCGTTCGGCACTCGCGGCCTATAAGCACGACTGGAGCCCACGAATGTTTCCAGAGTACCGAAATTCTAAACTTGAGCTGGCAAAGCACCTGTCCTCTTCCGAAAAAAAAAAAAAAAAAAAAAAAATAGAAAAAGAGGAATAGCGTGGTGTTAAAACCCCAAAAATGTCTTGGTTAGAAGTTTCTGGAAAGAAAAAAAAAGAGCAGATACTGTGCGTGGGACAAGGAATAAAACCAAGTTTGCGCCACTCGCAATACGTCTACCCGCAGGGCCAATGGATGTGGACGTCGGGAACGCTCATGATCCGACTGAAGCAGGCCCAGCTCCGGCAGGAGATCCGGCGGCAGCGGTCGGCCAACTCCAACAGCCACAGGTCGACGGACTCCTCCAGCAAGGAAGACTGAAGCGAGCCACCGGCCTCCGCAAAACCGGGGGAAGCTCGACCGCTGCGACTCCCGACCCTTCGAGTCTTCCTCTAGTCACCGACGGAACGAGAACAGCGGGGCGTCACCTCCGACGCATGCTCCGTGCCTTCTGCCTGTTCTTTGAAGCTTTGCGGAAGGCAGGAACTTCAGACTGGAGGCGGGACAACCGAAACTTTTCCCTGCTGTTCACACCCCGTTGGCGACTTCAGTGACCATTTTTCAGTTCCGTGTCGATGGCACCGGTCGGAGGGGATGAAGCAGACGGCGCTTTAGTACCGTTTGGTTGCGTCAAACGGGATCTTGATCCTGTCCGAACGGGGCGCCGGTCGAGGATTCAGAGTCGACGCACGTCCCGTCGTCGTACAGGAGCTGGAATCAAAGATGTACGTGGCTCTCTGTCTTTTTACTTCTCCACGCTGGGTGTGTGGAAACACATTTAAAAGGGCACGCCCATTTTGAGTGGCGTTTGTGGGAAGTGCAAAAACCTCACATGTTTGGGTGTTCCATCGTCCAGATTTGGTTTCTGCTGTTTTGGCAAAGTCTGAAGCCTGTTCAGTCCACCAAACTCGAGGAACCGTTCGTCGTTTTCTTTTTAAGTCAAAGGCTTGCCGAAACTTTGAAAACTGGGATTGTGCACAATTGCAGCTACTTGCTTGCAGTGCCCAAAGCATTATGCTGTTCGGTTCTCCCCCTAGCAATGTGGCGGTTGAACCGCGCGCAGTCGTGCAAACTAGTGTTGGCCAGTCTGCAACTGTGATATTCCTGCGAAGGATTTCAGTAATGTCCCAGTTCTGTGTGTATGCAAGTCCATAGTTTGTCTCTCTCTGTGTACGGGTGTATGTATATATACATTTGTTTTATTGAAAGTTCTACACTGCATCTACGACTGTAGGGAGTGTTTATTTGCGGTAGATTTTCTTCCCTTCTGTAAATAGGTTTAGACAGAAATTCTTAGTGAAGAGTAGGTGCTTATCCTCCAAAGGGGGGAGATATCTACTTGCCTTTATTTAGTCTTGGCTACAACAGTTCGTCATCACAAGCAGGATCTGCAGCATTCATACCATGGTGCAAGAAAACAAACAAAAACAAAATCTTGCCAACGGTCATTGCACACAAAAAATTCCCTTAAAAGGTATCATCATGCACTGCCCTCTGGTGGTGAAGATTTGCCACTCAAAATTCAGTCTTTACATATACTTGACCACGAGTAGGTGCCTAGTCCAGTGCTGTATGCATGTTTTTTTTGGTGCCTGCTACACCATTAAACATATTCAATTGTTTTTTCATAAACTGATGAAAGCAGCGTGCTTGGTTTCCTTTGTTTAGGTTATAGTTCTTCTAATGGAATGGAAGAACGAGAAAAACAGTTCTCACCGTTTCATTACCAACCTTGTTTGAAGAGCCAATTGCATCCATACTCCTTTTTACCTCAAGAAAAAAAAAGTTTTGCGCATTGTTCACAAGTTGCGTGAAGTAGTGCTTACAAGATTGGGTTGTTGGAGAAAGAAGCATTACTTTTGGAGTTTAAAATTTACATGTCTTGACATATATCTAATCTAAAATGTACCTACATATATTTAGTTCTCCCCATGAAGGGGTAAATTAGTAATGCCCCACGAGGAGCCGGGCTTTTTTTTTACTACGGTTCTCGAGGTAAAAACAAGTATAGGTAATCCCGTCGAGAGCTTTGGCCACAGGAGCGATTTGACTTGAAAGAACCGCATCCAAGATTCTAGCCTGACATTCCTTCTTATACCCTTTGTTTTATTTCATTTTAAAACTGGCATGATAATGCAAGGTGAACATGCATTTATTACATTAAAAAGCATGGGTTGGGAGAACAGACTATGTACAGTGCATGAAGATGAAACTTTCTGGCAAAAAAAAAAAAAAAAAGCTTTTTTTCAAAGGGGGTAAAAAATGGTGCTGCAGACCGAAGATGTCCCTGTACACTGTAAAACGGCCCCCTTCTGGAAAATCTCCAAAACTGCTGCGGAGCGAGGGGGGAGCGGTACGGGGGCAAGCAGAGTGCGACTACGACGAGTGATTATGACTGCTCTCCCCCGGCTCTCTATGTACACATACCCCACGCTCCTTCTGTACATCGGCGAAAGCAAAACGAAGAAGACATGCTGACTAAAGACGGGCCAGAAACCCAAAAACATTTCTCGAAAAGAAAAAAAAATAAACAATGAAAATGCCGTTTACAACGGGTGCCACAGCTGTCGACTGGCGCAGCGGGTGATACTGCATCGTCTACGAAGCACGTTCCCGATTTATGTTGCTATCGGTCGCTTCGTAGAGTGCGCTGCGCACCGGCGCACCCTTCACGCTTCAACGTCCAGCCCGACGCCACCATTTCTTCAGCGCCGCTGGTCCCACTGGCTCCGCCTCCCGCCCCCGCTTCTCCAGTCTCCTCCCCTTTGCCTGTAGTCCCCCCTCCCGCCCCCATTCCAGCCGGTGGGCGGGGGAGGGGGCGGGACAGAAGGGGGCGGGCCCTTCCAGTACCCTGGCGGCCCTCCCGCAGGGCCCCACTGGGCTTCGGGCGGGAATCCCATCCCCTGCGGAGGGGGCGGTACGAAGCCTCCGTCCATCGGAGGGGGCGGCCCGTACATGCCGGGGGGCGGGGCTCCCATCATGGGCGGAGCCACGGGGACCGCGGGGGGCGGCTGCACGAACATGGGCGCCGGGGCGGGAGGCGCCACGGGCATCGAGGGTGCCATGGCCACCCCTTCCATCTCCTCCAGCTGTTTGCGCGCCATTTCCATTAGTTCGCTCGCCGACTTGGCGCCCAGCTTGCTGCCGGTTGAACCGGGGGTTGCGCTGGTGCCGGCAGCGGCAGTGGGAACGGGCGGCGTCGGCACGACCACGGGGACCGCAGGCGCTGGAGTCGGAGTGGGGGCCGCTCCCGCGGCCTTTCGTCGCCGCGGGTCTTGCGGCCTAGCTTCTTCGACGATCAACTCGTCCTTGGTTGGGGTCCCGGGAGACCGCGAAGTTACTGCGGCGGCCCCTGCGGGGATTGCGAGGGCGGCAACGACTGCATCGTCCACGCTCTCCCCCGGCGGGGGCGGAGTCTCTCCAGCTGCCAGGGCCTCGGAGTCCGACTCTGGAGTGGCATCCCCCGCAAAGTGCTTCACGATTGGATCTTCCGCGATGGGCTTCTTGGCGCTCGGCTGCTGGGGTGGAGACGGGATTGCCGCGACGGACGCCAGCAGCGCCCCCACGCTCGGGGCGGGGCCGGGGGGCGGAGCGACTGTGGAAGACGGGGCGGGGGGCGGCGCCTTCACTTTGTTCAGCAGCTCCTGGAGGGTCGACGGCAGACTGCAGGAGGTGGAGCCCGCTGCGGGGCCAGAGCCCGCCGTGGGGGCGGAGCCACCGCTCAAGAAGGACAGCCCCGTGTCCATAGGAAGGGAACTGTCCAGGAACGGGATGCCAGACGCGTCGCTGGTCTTGGAGGTCTGGGAGGGGCCCGGTGCCGTCGGACCTGCCTTGTTCATGACCATCGTAATGGCCTGTAGCCGTTGTAGCTCGATGAGTCTCTTCTGCTCTTCCACCTGCGAAGAAGCGTTGCAATAAAGAAACACCGCAACGAAAAAGAAAAATTTCCTACAGGGACACACAGATTTACAAAAAAAAAAAGTTTACCACGAAAAAACTTTTTTTTTTTTTTTTTGAGCAATACTTATGTTGCCAGACGCAATTTAGGTGCAGAATGTGGAAGTTGCAGCCCCTAAGCCCCTCCCCATGCTTACAAGGTGCTTACAGTAATTTATTTCATTTTGAGTTCTGGCCGGAGCTGCCCTTTAAGAGCAAATACAAGTGCCTCAGAAATGGGGCCCTTACCATTTCGCATACACCTCAGTGTTCAGCCTCTCAAAGATAAAAATAAAAACGGAGGAACACCTACCTACAGAAATGCCCTGTTTCACTTTAAGTGCAAGCGTAATAAGAAAAAATACAAGGGCGAGCTCAGGCTTTCAGCGTCCCTGCCAAGCAAGGGCGCTCGTGCAGTGCAATTATCGTTCAAGACGACTCGCTCAGGTTTGTAGCTTCACTTGCACATATAGCAAATTATTAGTCTTGTGTGAATAGTGGATTTTGAGTTCGAAGCGAATAGTGGTTTTGGCCGAATATTTTCGATTCGAATATCGAATAGTTTTTCCACGCCTTTCACTACCATTGAGGTAGCAATTTGGGCCAGTTGGTTCAGAATCACCTAAAAAAGCGCCAGAAAAACACAAGGACGAGAAAGTAGACAGAGCACTCTTGTCTGTCTACTTCCTCATCCTTGTGTTTTTCTGGCGCTTTTTTAGGTGTTTTCACTACCATTGTATAATGCTTAGACGAAAACCTGTGAAGGTTGTCGTACTTGTTCATTTATAAGGTATGTTTAATCTATCTATATTTATGAACTATGACCTTAGAAAGTCTGGTGTCTTGCGTGGGGTGGCAAGTAAACGACGGATCTGACATAAAATGAATATTATAAAGATGGCCAACTATACCCAATTAAGTGAATTTACAAATATTGCTCTATAAAATATTGTTTGTTTAATCTCGAGTTTAAAAAAAATGAATTGCGCATCATGAACGCAGGTTGTAAGGGCATCTCTGCCTACCATAGTGTACTCTTGCAGAACAGTTTAATTTTGAAACTTCTAGTACATCGTAGGTATACAGATACACAAAGTTTCCATTTATTTTCAAATACAGTCGGCACAAGTGCACCATCCCGCTTTGAATGTATGCTTTTCTGCCAAGCGCACAATTCGATATTCACTTTTTCAAATGTTTATCGCGGCGGGTTACCCTGTTGAGTGCGCTTCTTACCGAGCACCGATGTAATGCAGAGAAGCAACACCCGCGGAGCTCGCTTTCGCGGGTATGGCTTCTCTGCAGCGCACCGGTGCTTGATAAGAAGCGCACTCAACGGGGCTAACTCGCTGCAATCAACACTTCGAAAAACGCGAATAGTGCCGTTCTTCTCGAAGCGAATATCGAATAGTGTATTATTCGGAACTTCTATTCGAAGTTTCGAATATTCGCACAACCCTACAAATTATACTACAGCAGCCCATGTCACGAACCTGTTAGATGTTCGCTAGTATGCATACATCGTCTCGGACGCACAACGCAGTGCCCTCACCTCTTGCGTCAGTTCCACCAGTAACCGCTTCTGGTGCTCCAGATCCGAATTGGTGGCGATGGACGCCAGCACGGAAGTGGTCACCTCCGCCGGGTTCGCCCCGGCCGAGATGCGCTCAATCAGCTCGCTCACGGTCTGGCCCGACACCAGGGAACCGGCTCCGCCCACCCGGGGTGTGGCTTCCGTGGCCCCGCCCGCAGGGGGAGGGGCCTCGGAAGCCCCGCTCCCAGAGCCGGCAGGCCCGAACCCGACGTCGTTGTCCTCGGGGTCGTACGGGACGTCGTCGTCGTCTTCGGGATGGAGCTCCTCCCCCTTGCGCCGCGAGCGCCGCTTCTCCAGGGGCGGAGTGTACGAGGGCTCGTAAGGTTCCTCATCGTCCGAGTTGCCTCCGGAGGGTGTCGTTTCGGGGGGAGGGGGCGTGTACGAGGCGGCGTCCAGGGAAGACGAACGCTCCGCCCAGGAGGCCCTGGAAGGTTTCCAACAAAAAGGCAGTTGAGTTTCAATATTTTATGCAGCATTTTTACCTATTAGATTGTGGAATGCTTTAAGATGGAACCCCCTACTCTCAGAAGTCTGTCCATCTGCTTGTGTCGGCATAACCTGTTTGGTTGCCATTGGGTGACGAGTCGTAACATGACGTCATGTGATGTGAACCACGTCGAACAATGTTGCGGTGTCCTTGACGTGGCGTCAGTATCGCATGATGTCACAGCATCTTTGACACGACCTAACACTTTAACGTCGCATTATGTTTAATCTCTTCTGAACAAACTGCACTCTTTCCTTACTGCTCAAAAAAAGGCTGTTATGGGAAATCCCTTAACTTTAAAGTCGCACAAAAAATTTGCTGCTTCGCAGAAAAGCAAAGACCGAAACAGAAACTCAGAGCTCCTCCGTAATATCCTGGATCGCACAACACATCTAAAAACAGCATCAGACGCGTCGAAACAGGTGTTTGAAATCCATCGATCAAATTGATCGATTCGAATAGGTGTGATAAGGAAAGAGTTACAAAAATTGCTCCCTCAATGCTGCGTTCCAGGACTTTGGAGAAAAAGCTTGCTGGCAATTTTTATTCTAAGCCCAGCCTACTCAAAAGCAAGCGGGAAAATGTGCTAGACACTGGTGAATGACTCGAGAGGCCCACCTGGAGCCCTTTCCAGTTCCCTTTGGGCGGTTCTTGTGGCGTACAATGATGCCGAGCAGCATGTGGGGTCGGCCAGACATCAACCCTGGAACAGGCACCACAAACTGTTGCCACACTGTCGAAGCATTTGGTAAAGACTGCCCACGACTCAAGCAAGACTTCTCAGAGTATAGTCCGTGGGATCTTAAGAGTTCAGGGGAAGCTCCTTCCAGCTCTTCCCACTTTAGCAGAGTGGACAGCGGAGACGATGCAATCTCCTCGTTAGAGTTTGCTGTTTCCAAATTGTTTTTATGCGTGTGTCATCCACAGGCTAAAACCCGAGTAATGTTGGAGCTGTTGTTCTGGCTGACTACAGATCGAGTAGAGGCCATACAATAGTAGACAAAGCAAATGACAAAAGCCGTAGCACCGATGGCGACGGCTGTTGTTTAGTGGCAACATTTATAACTAGTTTCTTCGGCTAACAAACTTTGTGGCTACCTGTAAATTTCAATAATGGCCCACTTCTAACTAGCTGTTTGCTAAATGTTACCAATGCTGTTGTCCGCAAGCAAGCCTGAAATGCCGACGATCCATTAAGAATTTCACACAGATAAGTGTGCTACCACTTTTTTTAATTTCGCCTGCAAGTAAAGATAGCGCCGTGCCCGGCAGCAACAGAAAGCCAATTTCCGTTGCAGAATCGTCGACCAACCGTTCAAGCACCGTTTCACGGACAACTAGTTTGGTGCTCAAATCCAAACCCGCACCAGCTCGAACCCAGTCCGTCGCACGCATTACACGCCGCACCAAAGTTTGCAAACTGGTGTGACGCGTAATGCGTGCGACGGACTGTGGATTTGGGCGGGAGCGATCAAAGGTGTTCCAAATGCAATATGTTTCGAACACCTTTGTGAAATGGCAAAGGAACAGCAACCCCTCACTGAAAACAGCCCAAAATGGCCTAGCTCTTGCTGCTTCCCCTGTTCTGGTCCACAGTATGACCGGGCAACTCACCGGGCCCCTCGAAGGGCATGAGCACGGTGGGCACGGGACTGTGGGAAGGCAGGGGCAGGATGTAGAAGTCCTTCAGCATGCGAGACAGGCCTCCGACCACTCCGCAGCGCTTGCGCGAGTTCAGGTAGCCATACAGCTCTCGGTACGGCTTCTTCTCCTCCTCGTTGGCCGGCTGGAACCGGATCACCAGCAGCTCCTAAGGAGAAGGTTGTCGTGAAAGTTTGAGCGGGAAGAGACCGGAGAAGGTGCCTGCAGCTCGGTTCTATCGAGGCCGCAGGCACGAGAGCATAGCCCTGCAACGTGCATCTGTAATATACAACACGGAACTCTGAAGGTGACCGGTAGAGTGCTTTGGCATGAGACGTCTTTTCAAGAATGTGTGAAACTTCCTGGTGCCATTCTTCCAAGAAAAAGGCTGTCAGAAACCTTTGGGGACAAAGCGATGGTTACAAAAGAATCGGGGTTCCACAGGATACTCAATTGAGCAAACATACTAAAGTCTGATTCAAAGTGAATGAGAAAAGTTGTGATTATTTTAAACTGAGCACAAATAAAACTGAGTATGAATAATCACAACGTAACACATGAGATCGTGGTGCAGAAAAATGAAGAAACCTGAAGTCAAACAAAAAAACTATGGTAGGAGAATGTCTCGAATGCAGCTAAGATCATTTATTTTTCTCACTCCTCATAGGTCTCGTGTATCGAGGTCTTGACGTTAAGAGGACATTCGAATGTGTCCACAAAAAGTATATATGTAAAGAGGTCAGTGACATCAGCATCGGATGTATATAAGAAGTGAAAAAAAAAGAAATGATTTTAGATGCGTCTGAGACATTCTCCTACTCCTAGTGCTGTCTCTTTCTTCGACTTGAAAGCTTCTTAATTTTTCTGCACCACAGGCTTAGGTGTTACGCTACGATGAATTATCACCTGCTCGCCTGCACATTCGCTGTAATTTTATCACAGTTATAGAGTATGAAACTTCGAATTATATGTTGCTGACCTGAAAAATTAGAAGTCTAGAGCCTTTGCTAGTGTTGACTGTGTTCCTGCAATGGTTGCCAGCTAAAATTCCGATGTAGCCGGGTTGAGCAACAAAATATAATTAATAAAATTTCTATGAAACAATGATTAAAAAAAATATTGCAGCAAAATAGGGCGTTGTAGAAGGAGAGTTTCCACTGAGCAAAACAACAGACCGATCTCACCAGCCAGTTTGACTACGCCACCGCTGCCGCAATGCATCGAGGGAACTTTAGTCTTTCTGCACGTGTGACAACTTCGCTGGAGCTCTGCGCGTGCAGGGCACGAGCAGTCTCGTGCACTGCCGATTGCCTCCTGTGAACTAAAGTTATGGCTGGCTCGCGCATACGTCGAACGGTTGGTGAGATCGGTCTATTGGCAATTTTAGCCACCTGGCTGTGTCAAACTTCAACATGGTGATGGCCACAAAAGATGGTATGAAGGAACAAAAAACTTTACACAGTGAAAAACGACATATGTCACGTGGGATGGTTAGTCGATCCACATTTAAAATTTTGTATGCTCATCGAACCCGACTTGGAAACTTGGAAACGCTTGGAAACGACGAACATAACATGCCAGTCCCGACGACAGGATGCAGAAACTGGATCGAGCACTGCTCAAAATTTCAGACGCCCCGAGCAAGAGTGGCACAGAAACCACATATCCAACACGATGCACGCACCTCATAAGGCTAGGAGAAAATTTTCGTAGACTTACTTTGTTGCCAGACTGCTTGATCTTGCTTAGGTAGTCCCAGACCTGGTCTGGGATGATCCTGCCGCAAACGTTGATAGTGTCAGGGATGTCCTGTGAGGGTGAGGGAAAGGCTATGACAATCGTAAGACCATGTCCTCTGTAAGCGAGATATGTCCTCTCTAAGCGAGATATGTCGAATAAAATGTAATCATGAATCGTCGTGCCATAATGGAACCTAAGCTACTTCAGTGCACAAGAGCTTTACCCTAAAAACAAAGTTTCAATCTCGGTAAGCCTAAGGTCATGCTGGAACACAGGTTCCTAACTAATATTTAATGAACGCCTTTATATAAGGTGAATGGTGTACACCACTACATCACCTGTCAAAAAAGATGAATCCTGTGGCCCATTTGATCGCATCATTCTGTCTCCAGCCGCCAATAAGCCCATAAAAAGGGAAACTACTGATGTCACAAGATATGAAAACACCAGAGATAATAGATGATTAGGTCACCATGAGCTTGTATAAATTTAACAATACGGCTAGTGGTAAATCAAGTGGTAGTCAAAGGCTTGTTCTCATAACGTATCATGTGACCAATAGGGTTACACTAAACTCCGCTGCAGTATTGAGAATGCCCGTACTATAAGGCAACCTTCCGAGTGGGGTGCTGGCTGTTTTAGAGGGAGAGGGAAAGTGCCTGCAGTGGTGGTTGTACTACCTGGGAGAGGAAGTCTGTGGGTCCCGAGACCTTGTAGGCACTGGTGACAAACTTGGACACCTCCTGCATGCTGATGAAGCCCTTCCAAACTGAGCTGGGCCCCTTGCCCCCCTGGGAGCCCCTGCTGCCCGAGACGCCAGAGTCCGGGGACCTGGGGGGCCCCAAAACAAGGGTCAACGCCCCTCTCGCCGACAAGACAATGCACGCAGAGCCTCTCGATGCACATGAGAAAGATGCCTCAAACGTATACTAATGCATCTGGTAAAGAAAGAAAAAGTTTAGACCAAATGAAATAGAAAAGCTGCAGTAACGGATCAACTTCAGGACACGCACCCAAAGACTATGGCGAAGCAAAAAAAAACAACAAAAAAAAAAAACTATTAGGAACCTGTCCGAGGATTACGATGGGAATCGCTCAGAGAATGTCGGCTATGGGCCACCATAACTGTGAAAGGCAGTATCTAAATTTCGAAAGCACCAATAGCTTTAAACAGTCTAGGTAGGTGGCCCGCATGATTCTAAGTAATTTGATACTCCTGTCAGACGGGCACCTAAAAGGACCTTTACGACAAAGGACCTTTAGTGTAAATGTCATTTAGGCAGTGCCACACGGCAACTCAAATGGCATTTAGCGTAAAGGTCCTTTTCGTGAACCTGAGTTCCCGCAACTCCTTTACGGCTGCTAAAGGCCTACTCTCGTTAGCAGTGGTCTACACTGGAAAAGCGAATTGAAATAACAGATCGTACTGATATCTAAAATCAATGCGTTTGCATTTTTATTATTGAAAAAGGGCGTGTTTCACGTATGTTATGTACAAACCTCGTTCTACAAATACTTTTCTGTACTCACGGCCCCAGCTATCTGGTAGGCCTCGTCGTCGCCTGCTCGCGTCGTCCGCTTCGATACTTCGGCCTTCCTCCTCTCGATTTTCCTTACGACCATAGTTATCTAGCTTCTATTTCTCTATTTATATTACTATCCGTACTGTATATATTTAATGTTTTTTTGTACATATATATATTTCTGTATCTCACTCTCGCGTCAGGCAATACGTCGAATGACGGAGGAGCGTCCACGAGTAGGAAGGGGTCGCTGCGCTTCCATTGGAGCGCTGAGGCGACCTGGGCACTGATACGACTTTGGGAGGATCGGCTGGAGGACCTCCGACGCATGCGATGAACCTCAAGCGCGAGCATCAGGGCAGAAGCGTAGCAGAAGCACAGAAAGGACCAGGAGCACTGAGCAACGTTAGGACTGAAGTGGGAGATGCCCAGGGTTGCCGCTAATCGCCAAAAAACTACTTTGCTTGGGCTTGAAGTGGACTTCGTTGTAATCACTCGACTAAACTCGTCCTTTTGTCTTTTCTAATATATTGTTTGCTTCAAAAAAAAACCTTAAAAAAGTATTTATATCGCCAGACTATTATTTTTCTGGCGTGAACATGATTTATGCGTTTGAACCGAGCTACGAGACTTCAATCGCTGTAAACATCGTCGAAATGGCATTTACTTGCGCTGTCTGACACGGCCGAACGTAAAGGTCACTTGAAAATCCTGAAGGCCTTTGGTGTAAAGGTCCTTTTAGGTGCCCGTCTGACAGTGGTATGAGATAGTTTCACTTTTAGAGGGAGTGAAATGTTTGGCTCGTTTGCACAATATCTACAAGAATGCGGTCAGATTGGGAATATGAGAAGCTAGAAGACGGCAGTTGTGACAATCTCGTACGATATGACTGTGTAAATAAATCTGACGAGCTTTATGGCAGACTTCGTTGAAACTATAACTTGTACCGTCATCGAAGTCTCCAGCCATGATCAGGGAGACGACGTCTCATCTTGAATTTGTGCTTGCGCTTTAAAAAAGGAGCTTCTGCTTTTGCTCCAGAAACTGACTTTCCATATCGGTTTCCAAAAAGGAATTCCTGTTTTTGCGCTGAAAATGGACTTCCAGTTTTGGGCTTTCGGTCTTTCTGTTTACACACTGAAGATGGCCTTTCTGCTTTCACACTGAAACATGACCCGACATTTCTTTTCCAATGATTGTCCTACGCTACAATAAATTTTTGTTAGACATGTTCTGACGTTTCTTTTTCTTTTTTAGAGAAGTGTGTACACTATACGTGTTTTTTTCTTTTTTGTTGTCTATCTGTCTTTTTTTAATTCTGTGTATGGGGAGGGGGAGGCCTCAGTCAGGCAGAAATGCCTTTTGTCTCTACTAAATAAACTTCAATTCGGTTCAAACTAATTTTCTCGGCCACTCACCCGAGGGAAACGGTTGAGCTGGGCTCCAAATCTGAAGAGTCGTCCCGCGACCTCCTGGAGGCCGACTTCTTGCCCTTCTTTTCCGAGTGGGAGGAGGGGGGAGGAGGAGGAGGGGGAGGGGTGTCGCTCCTTGAGGAGGTGGCCCCCTCCCTCGTGGGGGGAGGGGGCGGGGGGGGTGACGCGTGGGCCGACGACGACGCCGAAGACGATGAGGAAGACGATGAGGACAGGTCTGTTCCCGTGTCCGCGGGCGTGGCCGACCCCCTCCGCCGGTGCTGGGGCGACACCGAAGCCGCCGGAACTTCGTCCGTGCTGGTGGTTGGCAGAGGCGGGGGTGCCACCTGCAAGGGGAGAATGTCCGCAGAAAGATTGCCCAGTTTAAATATCGACGCAAGTGTTGCGGAGTTAGCGACGCACGCAGATGTCGCGCGGAGGAACGGTGGAGCCCCGCTCGACCTGGTTCCTTTTTTTATAATTCTGTACTCTACCCAAAAGTCCCAGCTCGTCCTCGGCCGGTCTCGCGCCTCCTAGTTTGGAACATCCCCTAACTAAACGCGCATATAAAAGCGGCGGCAAACGGCTGCTTCATTCACTGTCTATTTTCAGTTCCACATGCATTCCCCATTTTTATTCTTGGCAGTCTTCTGTTAAATGCGACGAAGATGCGAAAACCCTAATATGCAGTTCCTGCCCTGCTGCACAGCGGAGTCGTGGAGAGAGCGGCAAGCGTTGGAAGTGCACCGCTTGCCTCCACTCTCCAACCCCTCTCCGCAGCACAATGCCGTCGGTCGCGAGTGACGCGACATCAAACCAAAAGCTGCGACCACGCTCCGTAGCCGTCACTCTCTTCCACAGCCTTGCGCTACGGTGTGCGTGTGGTGCAGAAAAAAACCCACTTAGCCAGCAACACGCTTGCAGGGCGCATGTTCCTTACCTTTGTCTTTGCTGTTATGCGCCCTTACATCCGCATTGTGTTAATTACCGATAACTAGCACAGCTCTCTACATTGTTACGGTTTACCACACACTAAGACCACAGACGTGTTTATGGATCAAACATCAGCTAGCCAGCCAAGGCTTCACGCGAGCCTCGCGTTGCAGCTCCCAGCCAAACCGTCAGCCCGTGTCACGCGCTCATGCAGACGTACTGCGTGACCAACACCAACACGAGCGAGCAAGGTCCACGTATGGTTTCCACACAAAGCTGTCGTTTTAAGATAGGGGGCAACAATTCGAAAGCTTGAGCCGTTGATTTATATATAATCTTTTAGGAGAAGTGGATGGGTAGGTAATCACCTGACGGAAAATGGACGGCACAATCCAGAACGAGATATCTGGCCGCAAATTTCTAATCACGGGGGTTGCTTGTGCGTCTAATTCCTCCGCTGCCGCTCCAAAAGACGGCGGATCATCAAAGGTCCTTTCAGCCATCCAAATATAAAGGCCTGCTCAACGGGGCAACTTAAGCGGCGCCGCCCAACGCAAAACTCGGCGTAAACCTACGACGTTGTTCCTTGCATTTCACGCATTCCACTTTACCTACACAATTTGACTAAAAAAAAAAAATCTGTCCTCATAAGATAACATGGTTTGAACTTACCACGACCTCGGAGCGACCAACACAACATCCGTCTTATGTCGTGTGAGGGACACCGCCGTCCGGGGCATTCGGAAGGCCCTTACTAAACAAGGCAGAGCCCTCGAAACAACCAAGATCTTTTCCGGTGCTTCGCACGTTGCCGACACGAACTCACCTTGCCCGTGCAGATTTTGCAGTTGAGGTCAAAAAGGTGCGAACGGTGCGCATCCGTCGTGTCCCTCCCCGGCCGCTCGGCCGCGTCTAAGATGGCGCTGCCCGTCGATCCGCCCGTGGACACCCGGGGAGTCGTCGTCACCACGGGCTCGGGCTGCTCCGTCGTCGACTTCTCGTCTGCTTTCTGCAAAGAAGAAAAAGAATCGAGCAGTCCCACATTAATGCACAGTACAGTCATAGCAATAAATACGACGAGTCAAGGCGAAGTTGTCGGACATTGGCATCGCGTTCACGCACCAAGGGGTGGACGAACAAAAGTGTTCAAACGCAAGATAGACATTTGACAGTTTTGTTCCCAATGCTTTGGTTTTATTTTGTTCCGGAGCGCGCGGAAGCGCATCTCCCGGCACGAGCTCTCAGCATTGACAGTGCTACAATGGCATCTTGTTATTGGATGTACATTTTTACAGAGAGCATGTGCATTGAGCATCTGGTACTACAAAAAAAAAAAAAAAAAAAGTACAAAGTGGGGTTGTTTACGCCTTGGCATAGCTCAGTGACAACGCCTCCACTTTGCCCGCAGCAGACCCGGGCTCGATTCCCATTTGCGGTGGGTAGTCTTTTTTTAAGGATTTGGCAATGTCGACGACGGATGCCGTGCGTTGCCTACTACAACATCAATAACTACATTGTCAACAACTGCAATGTCGAAGACGGAGGCCACTTCTAGTGATGGGAAGAGCCCATAAGATAGCCGTAAAACATAACAAATGTTGAGGCCGTTTGAATTGCAAAATTTCGCTCCAGGGGGTAACGCCATTTGTCGTGTGCAGTACAACGTCAAACCGAGGGACAGTGTACCAGTGTACCAGACACAGAGCTGTGGCTGCACTTCGTTGTCAATGCTACAGGGCCTAGAATGAGTGTCCGTCTGGTGCGTATACCGCATTCAATGAAACGGTCCCTCGATTTTTGTCGAATGACATCATAAAAGTGTCATGGCCGTGCATGCTACGGTCAGTCAAAAGCAGGCGAGGAGGGTCTGTGGAGAGCTCCCCTAAAGAGCCATCGCTTTAAAAGCAAAGCGTGGACAAACCTCGAGCAGCCTGAGGTTGTCGTCGTCGATCTCCACCTCCCCCTTGTGAGTCTTCTTGATGAGGGCGTGCGACGTCACGTTCTGGGCCGCCTCCATCTGCTCCTTCTTGATCATCTCCAGCGTCTGTGGCGTACAAAAAAACAAACAAAAATGACCTCATCTCCCCGTGGTGAATGATGTTGATTGGGGCGAAGCTCTGGTGGTGCTGATGATACTGATTTTGTTCATAGGTAGTGCTGATGCTGCTGATTTTTTTAAATTTTTATTGCTCAGAGGCAGTGATGAGTTCCGGGTTGCGTTTCGACTTCATTAGCCAATGCATGCAAAGTTTAAAGCGATTATATACGCATTTGACCGCAGCGCCCTCTCCTACATAGACATTGAGCGGCTGCATGCAACGTTTCATCCATGACATCCCCAGCTTTTGAGTTACTACCACATCTCGGAGCCCCCTACTCGTCCCGCAGTCGTGGTCGAGTGGTTAAGGCGATGGACCGGAAATTCATTGGGGTCTCCCCACACAGGTTCGAATCCTGACAACTGCGCAAACATTTTTTCTTTTTTTAAGAAAACAGATGTGATGGCAATCGATGTGAGCACAGAGGCCAGACAAGGCTAGACCCTAAGGAGCTTTGCCCCTAAAAGAGTCCATTTGCAGCATTTACAACTGTCACGCAAATTGCCCGTCCCCTCCGCAGCTGTCGCCGTGGCTAAAATACAAAACCAATGGGCGATGCAAATACGATGTGAACAAGTGAAACTTTCAAACTGCACATAGAACTGAGCAGCATAAAAGCTAACCTGTTAGAAGAAAGTAACAGCAGCACCTTTTCAGACACTCTGTGTCTGAAAAAGTGCGTAAAGTTTGCATAAACCAGATACTGAAACGATGGACACCTCCATGAGTGGCACTCATAGCTCAACACAAGGAGTGACCACTCACATGCTGGTTCTCCCGCTCCCGCCACTTGGCCAGTTCCTTGGAAGCCAGTTCCTCAGGGGTCATCCGTACCAGCTTGTCCGGAGCTATCTTGCCCTTGAGGATCTTGCGAAACAAGCCCTGCAAAGAAGTTGTTCGTCCCAAGGTGAGACGAAGATCAATCGGTGGTGGAATGGTGGCACAGAAACTGGAGGAAACGGAGCAGATAGGAGGAAAAGAAAGAGGGTGCTGAAAAGGAGGGTCATATTAAGTGGGAATCTTGCGGAACAGCTTCTGCAGAGAGGTCATTCACACCAAGGTAAAAAGATGTTGCATGAAAACAGGAGACAAAGTGCATCGAAGGAAGAGGGAATCTTGCAAAATGGGACCTGCACAGGGGTCTTTCACACAAAGTCAGACAGAGGTCGAATAGAGGTGGTAAGAAAAGAAAAAGAGGAAGACAGAGCAGATTAGGCGAAGGGAAGAAAGAGAGAATCATGTAAAGCGTGTTGAGACAAAAAGGGCCATGCCTGGTTGCGAGTGTCTTTGATGTTGAAGACAAGGCTGCGGTACTTGGACTTGTACTTGGTGCCCGTGTCCTTGAAGTACTTGAAGAGCTCCTCCTCAATGCGCACGGCCATGCGCTTCACCTCGTCACCGGACAACGAAATGTCGTCTGCATCCTTGCACCTGGATGTGTTTAAAAACATTTGGGGCGTCTGTCTAGCAATCATCCCGCGAGAAGAGAAACAACTCTCAAGGCACCTCAACGAAGCAAGCGCCCTATAAATCAATCTGTACAGAGGACAGTTACAAATCAGTGAATCCCTCATAGCGTTCAAATAGAATTTCACCCTTACCTGTTAGAAAGGGAGTCTCGAAGCACCTTCCGGACATTGATGCGGACCGGCTCGATTTCCGGCTGTGGGGGTGGCTGCTTCTTCACCTCTGAGAGTTTGAAAAATAGACCTTATTCATATTTGTGGCGCCATCTATCGAAAAAAAATCAGAAACATCTTTCAAACTGCCTCGAAGATGGCGGCACGCCATTCTTGTTGTGGGATGCAGTAGGGGGCCACTCGGGGTGTGATGCATCTAGATCGCAGTGACGCATCAACTTACTCAACGTTATTCCTCGTCCATCTGAGTACCTCTGATGCAGCACTCGCATTCGGATTCTCAAATACCTTTTGCTAGTTTGGAAGTAACGGATCCAGCGAACGCTCAATGACTGGATACTGTTATCTATAACAGACATTGTCAAATATTGTGGGAGCCACTGGTTTCTCTCCTCCGAGAAGGCGTAAGCCGCGGAAGTTCCGGGCGAAGCCGTCTTGACTTCGAGCCTGGTTGCTCTGTATCTATCGGGAGAGACTATGTCACCATGCTGGCCTACTCTCTCGTACTCCTCCGCACGTTGCCCGTTTTCGGAGACGACCGAGATCGTGAGAGAGAGTGGGGCCTGCCCTCCGAGTGGACGGTTGTGTGGTCGAGGAGTCCTGGATTGGGCTCTGGGCGACGGGTGGTGTTGTGGTGTACAAGCTCATCCGACCAGCGATGATTCAACGCTAGCGTTCCCCCTGGCTCTGACCGTTGGCATCCCCTCTATTTAGTGGACGTCCGTCTGCCGAGAGCCCAGGCCCCGAACTCCTGCGATGACGGGTAGCGGCGTGAGCTCGTCCGACCGGCAATGCTCCGCTTGCAATTACCCCTTTGGCTCTCAGGTCAGAGGGTGCTGTGGGCACACTGAGTCCACGGCTCGCTTGACCGCAGTGTCTTGTTAGGGACCCCTGGTCCCCGACAATAAACGCTGTTGGATACCGGGATCATCGTTGTTGGCATGGCGTTGGCCGAACCCGGCGCGGCGACCGCCCTCGCTGGTAGCCGTCGGCCGCGCGGTGGGACGGGCATCTGATTCCCCTTTGAGCGCCGGTCCCCGGATGTAAAAGGTACGTAATCTGCCTATTCCCCACAACATTAACATGCAAAAAATGACTTTTTTTCTTTTTTTTACCAACGGTCATTGTGATTTTTAATTTTCTGGTCCAGAATTGGGTCGAAATGCAGATAAAGAGGCCACTAACTCTGAGGCTTGCAGCCCGGCATTTTTTTGGCAGCGTGCCTATAGTCAGCACCAAAAATGCACAAGGTCTCTATTGAGGATATACACGGGGTGACGTAACAAAAGAACCACAGTCCTAGGTTTAGGTCTCGCTGGCAAAGAACATGTAACATTGTGTAGTGCAATGCAAAGACCTCTTTGTCGTAACCCAGTGCAGCACTGTACAGTGAAGAAAGAACACAAATGAGAAAGGACTCATACATTTTGTACTGTGCCTCTGAAATAGATTGAATTCGGCATTCATACATTCACTCAATTCTCCACGTCAACGCTAGTCGGAGCATATTCTTCTTTCAAGAACATGGGGATAATCACCTCGTCAGGGTGACACCAGGTCCCCGGAGGACGCAACGTGTTCCGAAGAGTTCATTGACCACGGCAGTTTTTCTAGCGGAAGCTAGACTGGCCGAGGTAGAGCAGTTTTGCGTGGCTCCGCCATGCCGCGAATGCACAAGTAGCAGTGACGGAATGGGCAGGACTGGTATGGCGCTTAGGTCAGTCCCCTATGCATGCGCGCAGCGCATGCATAGGGGACTTGCACACGCTAGAGATCATGGCTCGCGCTGTCCAGTTGTTCTGGGCGGCATCTTGGTTGGTTGATACATAACAACACAGTGCACAGCTGGCCAAACCAACGACGGGCATCTGGCAGGCCCCAGCGATGTACTGAGGATTGATTTGGACCACCTGGGGATCTTTTGTCGTGCAACCGAAAGTTTGGTTACACGGCGCCTCCTCCGCAATAAGAAGAGCGGAGAAGCTTAACTCATCGGATCCTGAAGTAGTCACATAATGTGTATACCGTCTGTCTGTCATTGAAGCAGCAGTAAGCATGATAATCAAGCTAACCTTAGACAACCAGGAAAGCTAAGAATAACCAGCTGAACCTAAACTTGCGCTACGTATATCCTGGCATAGCCGAGCTAAGCCACTGCAATTTTTTTAGGCCCCTTCGCGTTAAACCTCCGGCAACTGCAACTACCGCAAAATCCCGTAAAGACGCCCCCTCCCGAGAGATCGCCCAACCCGTTTTTCTGGCTGAGTACCTGTAACATAAAAGTTCCGAAACATTGCCCACCCCCACATTCCCGTTGGACGTCAAGCGATGTCAATGACGCAATCTGTGGTACCGGTACGTCCGAGAAGCGAGTTCATAGCGGGGTTCCTGCGTTTTTGTCTACAATCACCGTGCGTATATTGAATCATGAAGTGCGAATCTGCTGCGTTCGCGATTTGCAGTAGTATTCGTTCCCGAGTTCGTAGCGAACTCCCGTATTTTTGTCCGTGATCTGCGTGCAAGATATCGATTCTTAGATGTAACACACGCAAGTTGTTTGCTCGTGTACAGTCAAACCCGTTTATAATGCACAGCAGGAAACGCTACGACCAGTTCGATATAGCAAAAAACATTTCCAACGAACTTCCACGATGCATTCGTTGTAAGGCGAGAGCTTCTCTGCCTTTCTCATCTCTTCAAGTCCGCCTTGTAACAACACGCTGTAAAGATTTTTTCTTTATTTTTGCGTACGTGCAGAGTTTTTTTTTAGGTTATCTAACCCTTTTGAATCGCTTCTCTTCACTCAATTTTGTTCGGAACTTGAGCTTTTGAAATTTTCTTTCTTTCCTACTTCTTTTTTGGGGGAAGGGACAGGCTAGAAGAGGATTTTTTTGTGCGTTTTTGGAAGCCTTCTTGGGGGAAAAAGTTTGACACAGTAAAACCTCGTTAATTCAACCCCCGCTAATTCGGAAAATTTGAACTGCCGATCCGGTCCCGTCAAACGTATGTATTAGTCAATGGCAGCAAAAGCTCATTAATTTGGAGGGAACGCGGCGCACTATGGTAAATTTGGACGAATTCGGCAGGTGGCGCTAGCTACCGTCTGTTCCAAAAGGTATGACCGCTATCCATCCGAAGTGCGCACGTGATTTTTCCGGTTTTCCCATGGTTCTTCGCTCTTTTGGTTCTCCGTGTTTCGAACCAGTTTTGCTCTGGTTTGCCGTGCTTCAGTGGGTTACTCTCCTGGCACGGAAGCGGCATAAGCATTGCTGCAATGGAAAAAGGGTAGCACAAGTGACCGGCGACTGGAATGGCAAAATCGCAACACGCGGGGCTATTGTTCCCGAGCGTGCCAATAGCAATGGCGACAGTCACGTTTTATGCCTCAACGTGGGGATCCTAAAGCCCGCCATTTTAACAACTATCCTATCCCTCAATTTTTTGCCGGCCACCCCCGCATTGAAAAATTCAACGTGACTGGCACTCTCGCTATCGGCGCTAGGGAAAAATAGCACCGGGTGTCGCGATTTCGCCGCTCCGATTACTGGTCAGTTGTGCTACTCGTTTTCCGTTGCAGCTGTACTAGGCTAAGAATTTAGCGACGAAAGTGGAAATACTGAGGGCCTTCGAGGGCGGCGTCTCTCGACAAGTGATGGAAAGTTGCGACGTCAAGAGAAGCACTTTGGCCACGTACGTAAAAATTGTGGCCGATATCCTACGGGCTTTCGAGAGCGAGAAGTTCAACGCGAAAAGAAAGCGGCCTTGGAAGGTGGTGCACCCGAAACTAGAAGAGGCCTTGCTGTGCTACATTGTCAGCGCACGGGATGCGTAGCTCTGACAGTGCGAGTGCGGTGGAGCACTCAACCGCGCTAAGGAAAGTTGCCATCTCCGCCCAAGTGTCGTCCAGAAAGCAGGCGGTAATAACAGATTTCTTCTCAAATAAAGGTATGTCACAGGGAAACATTTTCGTGCAGCTTTCTTTGTCCTTTCGATATTCCGACTTTCCGATAATTCGGACATTTTTGCCGGTCCCATGAGATCCGAATTAACGAGGTTTTACTGTACAGCCAATACTTTTTACATGCATTTTCATTTACGTTTTCCGTGAGTTCGATATCAACAATAATTCGCTGTACGTGGGTTCGTTCTAAACGGGTTTCACTGTATATTGCATCGTGAAATGCAATTCTGCTGCGTCCGCGATCTTTGTTTCCGTAGCATGCGAGTTTATAGCATATTGCCAAGTTTTTGTCCGCGATCTGCGTGCGCGATATCAGTTTCCGTGACAGGCAAGAATGTAGCGGGTTCCTGCATCTTTATTGCACCATGAAACTCGAATCTGCTATGTCTGCGATATCCGTTCCCGCGAGATGCGAGTTCTCGGCGGGTTTCCGCGAGTCCTTTGCACCGTGAAACGCAAATCTGCTGCGTCGGCCGCTTGCGGTATCCCTTCCCATGGCACAGGAGTTTGTAGCGAATTCTTACATGTTTATCGCATCGCGAAATGCGAATTTGCCGTGTCCGCAATCTGCGGTATCAGTTCCCGCGTCACGTGGTTTGCAGCGGGTGCCTCGGTGCTTATCATTATTTTTGATAAAGTTTTGCTGTGGCATCCCCAAAGATGGCACACTCCATGTTTTTCACTATTTATCTCTTCATTTTCGGTGAATGTTCTTACTAGATTTTACAGTAAGCAGATTATCACCGGTCAAGAGATAATCCCATCCTCGTTTGTTTTGCTAAGGTCTGGCAAATGGAGGCAAGAAAAAATGGGGAGACAAGGAGGAAAAGAAATGCTTTCGCAAACACGAGCGCCCACAAACAGATTCCTGTTCTGAACTTTAGGAATTTGAAGCGTTCTCTTGGCACAAGATTGCTGAAAACAAATGATTTTATGGTCCCTATTACAGTCACGTCCCATTCGTACAAACACCTTCTTTCCACCAGAAAATCGTCTATAAAGCAAGTCGTCCACAATATAGAGAACGACTAAGACGACTTGAAGGCGAAAGCCCAAGCACCAACGTAAACATGATAGCAAACCTCAGAAGACGGGAGCGCTCTTTGACGACACACTTTTGGCGCCACTTCATTGGTTCACTCGGACCGTGGCGTCAGCTGTGGTCTCGGTGATAACGAACCTCCGAAGATAGCGCAATCTCTGACAGCACACTTTTGGCACTGTTTCATTGGTACAATTCGCGTCGCCGACATGTTTTCGCTCAAAGACTTTGAAGGTCGACTGAACGATGAGACATATAAGGCTTTTGCCTTAACAAGACACGACTGCAACTCGACTAATCTAGCGACATACAGGTGCCCCTCACCTGGAGTCGCTGCCGCCACCACGTTCTCGGCGGGAGCCGTGCCGACCGGGACTGCACCAGCCACCGACGGCGCAGCCGCAGTGGCCACTGTCGTCTGAACGACGACGTGCGTCGACTGCGGCGTCGGCTGCTTGGCCGGCTTGGCGGGCGTCGGCGTCTTGGCAGGCGTCGACACCTTGGCCGGCGTCGGCACCTTGGCCGGTGTCGTCTTCGGCTGGGGCGGCTTCTGCGAGGGGGGACGCGACGGGGTCCGCGCCACCGCCAGCTCATACGTGGGGTTGCGCACAAGCCAGTCTGTGAGCTTGTCGGGGGTCGGGGTTTGGACCCCGGCCACCAGCTTGCCAGAGCTACGTTCCGTAAACATGAGCCGGCGCTCTCCGTCCAGCTTTGCCGCCTGCAAGAGACCGGTCGATCTGGCTCTAAGTCTGTGTGTATCGGTATAGAATTGCATGTAAACCATGGATGGATTTCGTGCAATGCAGAGGCAACGACAAATTCTGAAGGAACACGCGGACAAGTGACAAATAATTTGGAGCAATGTGGAAAGGTGAAGGCTGCGAAACGATCGATTGGACTAGGAACGAACATTTCGAGTGCCCGTGTTCAAATACGAATACGTGCTTGGCAGCCAGAAGACAGACTGAATGAATAGCAAGCTGCACGTCCAAGCAATCGGAAAGATGGGTGGTTTCAACTCTGCCGCAAAAAGTATCTGAAGCAAACCATAGGCAAACCAGAAGGGTGCTCTGCAACATATTAATTTCCACCTTAAATTGTATAATAAAAAAAAAAAAGTCGAGCCCTTCAACTTTACATGAAGATGGAGGACCAGCGAAGCTGTTATCCTTTACAAAGTCTAGGACGATGCTTAGATGACGACATCTACAATGACCTCAAAGACAATGCCTAGAGGATAATGTCTAGGACAACTTCAACGACAACGTCTAGGATGACCTCACGGACTACTTCTGGGACGACCTCGAGGACGACCTCAAGGATGACTTCTAGGACGACATCAAGGACGACGTCTAGGACGGCCTCAAGGAGGGCGTCTAGGACGACCTCAAGGAGGGCGTCTAGGACGACCTCAAGGAGGGCGTCTAGGACAACCTCGAGGACTACGTCTAGGACGACCTTGAGGACGACGTCTAGGACGACGCCTAGAGAAATTCAGCCTTTCAACTCTGGTGAAAACCAAAGTAAAAAGGCTGAAAAGGTTGCCGCCATCTATGATCGACGGCGGCAACCAAACAACCGGTAAGCCGGTTGTCTGGTTGCCGTTGTCGCTCACAGATGGCGGTAGCTGTCTGAAGTTTTGTGTCGACACGCCGCTTGTCCGCAGACACGATACTGGGGAAACTAGCCCTTAACAGCTCCGTCGTAAAAAGAAAAAAAAGACTTTCGAGATTGAATTTACCAGCCGCACCAAGTTATGCTAGCCCTTCCACAATTACAGCTACAGCCTGAGGTGGCGCTGATGGCCTCGGCCTAGAAAGACGACCCACCTTGATGGTCTGGCTGGCGTCGTTGACATACTTGGCGATGCAGTCCCGACCGCAGTAGAGACCCACGCATTCTGTCCGTCGCTTGCACACCAGGCACTCCCTCAGCACCCCCTTGGGAGCCTGATGGCAGAAAGAACGGAGGTGGAAAACATGCTCGATAGAAGCCGACACGCACATACAAAATGAACGTCTTTTGCTAGAAAACTGCAAGCACCTACTGTGAGGCGCTACGGCGACTGACAGCCAGAAAAATGCGGGGCATGGCTCATCACGTTCACTTACGCTCCCTGCTTTGCGATTCGCTCGTCCTTTTTCACAAATGCCGAGACCTTATTGGCCGCAGGGTGAAAGCGAGGTGCTTGGGAATCGCCACACCCTGCGTTTCCTAAGCAGTCAGTGAGACGATTCATTTCGACCATGAGGGGACGACAGATGATTCATTTCGACCATAAGGGGATCTTTCGGTGTTCAGCCGAAATCTCAGTTGCACCCGAGGGCAGGTTCTGAACCCGCCGTTTGGCGCTCTGCCTCACAGAAGCCACCGAGGCGGCTTCTGTGACTACAGAGGTTTCTCTCATTAGTCCCAGCAATATCTCCGAAAAATCGTGCCCCGGGATGAACTGGCACGACGTTTGCACGACCTGGGTAGCATTACCGGATGTTACACGACGACGTGCGTGCAAATTGCGGAGTGGATTGTCCATCCACATCTCACCAGTTTCACGGGTGTCTCCACCTTGGGCAACGCTTTGGGTTGAGACTTCCCGTCGGGCGGGTGCTGAGCTTCCTTCTTGGCCGGTGCCGGGGTGAGGGACTCGACCCCCAGTGCTGCAAATGACACAGACCTCTTAACGCCCTCAGACTCCCATCTTTCGTCGACAGGATGCGAAACTCCCTATTGAAAGAGCCGTTTCCACGCAAACGAGACAGCTCTAATCCAGAGTCTCCAAACCCCGGCTTGCGGGCCAGACCCAGTTCACAGAGGCATTCTCACCGATCCGCAGATGGACGCGGTCTTTCCAATGACGCCCCGCAGCCCGCTGCTACAAACGCAAAAATAAGCGCGTAAAAATAAATGCAAAGACGCCACGACGTGCGCCAGAAGCGTTAATGAAGGTATAAAAAAGCCCGAGAGAAAACTGCACCGAACTACAAGATCTTTCGCCATAATATTTATGGTACATTGTCACCCCGAGAATTACTATTTGTAGTTCCATGGTTTATGGCTGTGTAACTATGTGATAATATAATCAAATTCCTTAGCGTTCTCATGAACATCAGGCTTAGTGTCCTGTGTCGTAACTCTCGCAGACTGTCATCAGCAGATCTACCATTTTCATAAGTCTTCTGCACTGTGTGAATACGACAAATTTCCAATGCACTTTGATTTATGCTGGGCGAGTTCTAGGTCCTCCGTGACCTCGGGCCACGTCAACCGACATCACGATGTTAGTGTCGTACGACGTCACGGCAACATGATGTCAGGGTATCATGTGACAATGTGATGTCGCGTTACTTGACGTCACAATGTCAGATCATGATGTCACCTGATGACAAGTAGTAGTGCAACATCAGATCATGTCATGCAACACCGTGACGTCAACTCGTAACGGGACAACTGTCACACTGACGACGCTACACGATCACAGCCCGTTTGCTTAGCAATTTTTTAAATCTTGTCTTTAAAGAAAATAGAAAAAACTTTAAGCCTTTCCACTCTGGTGAAGAAGGAAGACCAGCGGAGCGGTAGTATGGTGGGACGACCTCAGGGACGACTTCTTGGACGACCTCAAGGACGATGCTTAGAGGACGATGTCTAGGACGACCTTAAGGACGACGTCTTGGACGACCTGAAGGACGACGTCTAGGACGATTTCGAGGACGACGCATGGGATGACCTCAGGTACGACGTATAGGACGACCTCAAGGACGACGCCTAAGACGACCTCAGGGACGACGTCTAGGACGACCGCAAGGATGATGTCTAGGACGACCTCAAGGACAACTTCTAGGACAAAGCCTAGAGATATGTAGCCTTTCCACTCTGGTGAAAACCAAAGTGGAAAGGCTGCTGCCATCTGTGAGCGACGGCAGCAACCAGACAACCGGCAGGCTGGCTGTCTGGTTGTTGCTGTAGCTCATAGTTGGCGGTAGCTTTCCCGTTTTTTGTCATCGTTTGTTTGCTGACGAACATAATACTCGGAAAACTAGCCCTTACCAGCACCGCCGTAAAAACTTTTTCAAGTCTCTCAACGTATCTGACTGAACCTAAAATTTTCCACAACGCTCCTTCCTTACCCATTCAACCCATAAAATTTGATTACAATTACAACAGGGAGATGGCACACGTCATCACCTAATTTACATTTTCCGAGTAGCAGTTCTTATAATCCAGTTCTATAATCGCACCATTTTTCAAGATGGCGACTGCAATGTTTTGTCGGCTGCTGAGGTAGCCAAAGAGCCGCACGTAGGCAGGACGCCCCTCTTTTGCCGAGGCTCACCTCTCCTCCGTCACGGCCACATGCCACGGACACAAAAGGGCCGAGAGCAGGCCCTATAAATGCTATGCATTTAAAAGAAACAATGTGCCGATCTCCAACTGCAGGCTGCTCCGGCAACCCCATCTGAAAACACTGCACGCAAACATTTTTTGCGAACAATGCGTCGCATGGAAGCGGTTCCTCACCTTTGGCACACTTGGGGCACATCCACTCCCGGTTCTCCTTCTCCCAAAGGCGCCCCTGCTGCCTGGTCACCCCGACGCACGTGCCGTGGAACCAGTCCTCACACTTGTCGCACTGGATCATGAACCTGCGTCCGGGGGAAAGAGAGAGGGGCCGAGGATTGTGAGAGCGGCTCGCGTTACCATTACGGCTGTGTTCCAAGGTCGAGAGCTCTTCCATGGAGGTGGGAAGCTTCTGGAGGCTACACGACGGCCACTAGAGGCAAAGCCAGAATTGTGGAGGGACACGCCCACAATGATGACCAACATTAAGAGGCGATATTGGACGAAAAGGAGAGCTGACTTGGCACCAACAGCTGCTGGCGCAACCAAAACAACTGCTGGCGCAAAGTCAGCTCTACTTTTCGTCCAATAGCGTCTCTTGGTTCTGGTCATCGTTAAGGGCGCTTCCCTCCACACTTCTGGCTTTGCCTCTGGTGGCGTCATGTCGCCTCTGGAAGCTTCCTACCTTCATGGCTCCTACCGAAGTGGTCACCCAACGTTTCTCCACGTGTTAACTGTGTCACCACACGACACTGTGGTACCGGCCTAAGTGGTTGGAAAGCTGGAAACAAGAGGGGGGGGGGGCCTCACAACCATGCAGGAAACTTGAATATAGCACTTAGAAATGACTGAAGAGATAACCTAAAACTGGCTATTTTTGTGCATATCTAACAGACTGCAAAAAAACAGAAAACAGAAAGAGCTGCCAGTCACCAAACTGCCGACTCACTTGTCGTTGTGAGGCTGCCGGCAGATGCACCACAGCTTCTCCGGATCGTCCTCTGAAGACCAGTCGGAGCCGTGCTGCTCCTCGGAGCTGTCGTCCACATCCTCGTCGTCCACCCTCCGACCCATCTCTGCGACAAGACGCGGTAACGATCGAATGAGAGCTCGGGCTATCCTCCAGCAAACCACCCTCGTAATCGGTGGATTGCACTATCTGGTCGGTGTTCCGGAGGCTCTAGAAACACGAATTTGAGCACCTGTAGCCTGCAGTAGATTAAGAAAAGTGGAACAAGCTTCTCTTACAAAGCCCTTCACTCTTTCCAGTTCAGCAAAGTGAATGCTGGATAGTGGAAAAGAGGAAATCCCCAATAATGGCGAGCAGAAAGCTTCGCGGAGAGGCTCGTTCCGCTTTTCCGTTGGTTCTCACAAGCAGCCCTTTTCACTTGGCAGACAAATTACGGGACACTCTATTGTGCGATGTGCATGTTTTGATTTCCTCCTCTAGAGGTACAGAAACTTGTGTTTTTTACACAATTTCAACTTTTTGAGTGTATAAGTACAAAATCAAAAAGAAAAAGAAAAAAAAAAAACTAAAATAATAAAAGTTAATAAGTAACTTGAAGCAACAACTATGTACAGCATTCAAACAACAGGCAGTTTTACCTTTTCCTCCTAAATTCTGCAGACGGTAGGTCCTTCAAACAGAAATTCACACATTTTTATTCATTTATTCACACATTTTTTTTCATTCACCAGCTAGGCTAAGCACCCATTGACAAATAACAGGTATGAGCGAAGCAAAGATGGGATTTTGCCTGCTGTCCAATTCGTGATGTCACGTGTTCGTTGCCAACACAACTTTTCCAAAATATGCTGAAGAAACGTGCAGCTGGTACGCAACCTCCAACTGAAGACACGACAATAGGGGCTATCCATCATTGAGTCAGCATTTTTCGAGCACCGCAGTTTGCTGTCTATCAAAACCAAAAGGTGAAACAATCACAAAACAATAGATACATAAAGATTCTGCATTTCACAGCTCTCAACACATAGAAGATGCAACAAAAGTGCCCAAACTTGTTGACTGTTTCTAAACAAAGTCCTTGTGTGTGTCAATAGTCTCGAGAAATAATGCCTTGCTTTTGCCGCTGCAACTTCGTCGCATCCGCTTTCCCGAAGTTTGGAAAGCCGACTTTGGTGCTTTATCTTGAAGGCTCAGTTTTAAGTAAAGACATGTCGAGTTGGCTTGTCAGCCCTACTCCACCTCACGTTAAATGCGAGCATAGCAGTGCCGTGCTTGTCTTTTGTCTTCTACTCTGTCCGTTTCCCTGCACTGTTTATTACCCGTTAAAATGAACTACCAACTAGCCCATTCGTCAATGCTAATAGCAGAAGCCACAAAGCGAGTTCCAGACCTCCAGCATCCCTACCAAACACGCATGCACAAGCATCGTTTGGGGTAACATGCTCGGACTCCTAGAATTGGCTCGGTTCGCACGTGAAGTGAAACAAACTACTGTAAACGCACTTATTCTCCTAGGATCAATATTTCGCGGATTTTGGGAAATATGGGATTCAGAAATATTTCACGGGCACGAAATTTCGTGAATTGGGGTTCTATGGTATGCATTCGTTACCATGGGGTGATATATTGGCAAGATCAATTTTTGCAAAACTTTTCTCGTAAACTTTACAAAAACAAGGTCCTCGCAACAATTAAGTCACTTATAGTACCATAAAATTCCGTAAGTACGCCCAGACAAAGTAAAAAGGATAAATGGTGGAAAACGTGGGGTGGGCTCTCTTTGGGGATGCGACAACAAGCTTTTGTAGAAAGCATAGTGATGAAACACCGGGGCATCCGCAACAAACCACGTGAAATGGTAACTTAATACTGCCAACTGCGGACACCGCAAGTTCGCGTTACACGATTCGATAAACACGCGGGAATTCGCTACAAACTCCTGTGTCATGGTAAAAGATATTGCGGAGTGTGGACACGGCATATTCGCTTTTCACGGATTGCGGAAGCAGCACGCTAGTGTTTCACGACATGATAAGCATGCGGGATCAACTCGTGTGTCACGGGAACCAATGTCACGCAGGATCCTGCTATGAACTCACTTGTCACATGCATCAGTTGTGCAGATCACGCGGAGGAAGCGATTTCCGTCAGACATCGCGTAATGTCCGAGAGGAATAGGGGTGGAGGGGGCGATATTTTAGAATTTTCGTGGTGTAGATATCTAGCCAGAAAAATGGGATAAGTGATCTCTTGGGAAAGAACATCCTTACAGGATTTTATGGTAATATAGTAAACACGCGTAGATGCCAAACTGCCTCTTTCACGAGAATGTCATCATCCAACCCAAACTTTGTGGCTAAGAGGACGGATTAAGCATCTGTCGCAGTCTCAAGGGCCGGAAAAAATAGTAATTTTAAACCAGAAAAAAAAAAATGAAATAAACAAACCTAGCTAAGCATTTAAGCACAGAAGTGAATGTTAGAGTAAGTATATATATATATATATATACATATATATAAAAAAAAAAGGTGGATGAACATATATGCTTCCAATTGAAATTCAATATTTAGCTAATTATGACACAGCACAACAGTTGTGCCCAAGATGCTATGATGTACGCTCAGGCGTACATCATAGCATATTGAAATTTTGGACATTTGCGCAGTGCAAAAGACTACCTAATAGGAACGATAAAGTTAATGCTGAGAATAAACAATGGTTATGACAGAGGATACCAACAACAATGTACAGGGTAATGCAAAAACATTTTAACATAGTTAAACACACATGAAGCAGGGGACCAAGAATGGCGACGCTGGTGATGACTATATGTTCAATGAATATTATGGTGAGAGGACCTGCATTATGAGTGCAGTTTCTCTCGTTCTTTCTTGTATCTTTGTTTGCACACTTAGAGCGCGTTGCAGCGACATTTCATGGGGCAAACTTTTTGCGCCGGTCACAGCGTATCTGCTGGAAGCAGATTGCGGCCAGCCGTGGGGCGGTCAAAAGACTTCTGCGTGCCGTATTTGGCCCGCTGTCCGGAGTTTCGAGACCACTGATCTAACCAATGCTTATTGTATTTTCTCATTTTGTTTTACCACTTCCCCCTCCGTAATGCTTCCAGCTGAGGAAAGATCAATAAAGAAAAACTCGCAAAAAAGGGAGGGAGGGGGGCTCACCTCGTTTCCGCATCATGGCCCTCTTGAACTTCTCTTTGCTCTGACGTTTGGGACGCTCGGCCACCGGCGGAAACGGAGGCGGCGGCTCGGGCTTGGGCACCTTCACCTTCTTCACCTGTTGCTCTGCCCCCTTCTTCGGATGCCCTGCCCCTTTGACCACACCCTCCCCTCCCTTCGTCGCCTTTGCCGGCTTCGGATGCGCGGGGGGCACGTGCGGATGGGCTGGCGTAGCCGGATGCTCGGCCGGCTTTGGCTTGGCCTGGCTCGGCAGTGGCGGAGGCGCACTCTTGATGGCAATGGCCAACGGCCGCTTGCGTTCGGGTCCCTGGCCGGGCTTCGGAGCCACAGCGTTCGGCTTCTTCTGGACCGCCGCAGGAAAGGAAACCTTAGGCGGCTGAGCAGGTTTGGGAGAGGCTTTAGGAGTGTGCGTAGCGAGGGTCGGCTTCGGCGGATGGGCCACGGGCAAAGCCGAAGCTGGTGCCACGGCCGGAGGCAGAGCTGGAGCCGGAGCGGTAGCCACAACCGTAGCCGGGACGACGGGGACTGTGGGTGATGCCTGTGGCAGACCGTGATCTCCGCCGGCGAGTCGGGCAACGTGTGCTTCCACTGTGTCGTAGGACGATTCCTCCATGTGGATGTCTTTTTCACCGCCTTGCGGCGGATTCGGCAACGGACCAGGCGTCGGAGTCGACGGCGGATTCGGCCCCAAGTGAGGCTCGTGCTCTTTGATGAGCACATCCGGCTGGCTGAAAAGTGCTGGCTCGTCTGTGAAGCTCTCTCGCCGAGGCTTCTTTTTTACCTGCATCCGAGCGCAAAATGGGCCGTGAGACACCCAGCAAAGAGTGAACAAAGCGAAAGCACTACCAGGCACAATGCAAGCACTCCGCAATTTCAAAGAGCAGAGAAGTGTTAGGAATATGGCAAGAAAACAGAAAAACATTGTAAGCACATATCATAGCTTACTAATTTGTCTGTGATTGAAGCATGCATAAAACAGTGCAATCCACTAATAAAGATACCAGAACTTATGATGTACTGCTTATAACGATCATAGACGAGACACGCTCAGTTTCTAGTCCAGATACAACGATAATCGGTCATAACGATTGAATTTTCGAGTTTTCTTATTATCGTTTAAGTGGATTGCACTGTACCTAACAAAAGGACAGTCTTTCTAATATGAAAATGGAAACCTACCACAAAGGCTTGGATACGGTACGATTCCATCCTGGTTAGGAGGAGAATAGCATTGCAATCTCCTTTTTGCCTTTCTCCAGCATTGTGGGATAGAAAGGCCTTGTGCTAACAAGTACGCAAGTACATGACATTAATGCTACCAATCCCACGGAAAACGAAAACTATGGCCTTCACAGCAGGAGCATTTTTGAAAGAACCATCACCACCCAGTAGCAGGGAGACGGTGACAACAAAGACAGACCAACCTCGGGCGTGGTCCGGACCACTTTGACCACCTTCCCGAAGGGCGACACCTCCTGCGGCAGAGGCTTCTTCTTGCCCTCCTTCTCCGCCTCCTCCGCCTTCCGCTTAAGCCCCGCCCCCTCACCCCTCGACTCCTCCTTAATTGCCGCCCGCTTTGCATCCTTCTTCGAGGGCCCTTTGGCAACCGGCTCCACCCCTCTCTTGGCAACGCCCTTCTTCGTGGGCGCCTCGTGCAGCTTGGCCACGTCCCTGGCAATCTCGTCGAGGTCGTGCGACCGCTGCCGCTTCTTCCGTGGCCGCGCCGCCGCCTCCTCAACGCCATGCGATGGGCTCGACAGCGATACGTCTTCCAGGGTCCCGTCCGATGAGAACGACTCACTGTTCCTGGGCTTGCTTCGCTTGGCGGGGGACGGCTGGGCGGGCAGGGCCAATACCTTGGGCGCCTTGTCCTTCGCCGGCGACGGGGACGCCAGCGCTGAAACGAACCACAAACGCCTTCCTATAGACCCTTTTCAAAAGTCGCTATGGCAACTTCAATTACTATCGTCATTTTGGTGTATGGCATCCGTGTCAAACTAATGGTGGCCTTCTTGAGGCTTAAGAAGAAAGAAGTTGAAGCTACTAGGCCAAGCGTAGGATGCAAGAAGCCTCTACATTTGAGACGTCAGTACAATGTGACGAACGAATAGGATACAACAGCTGCATAAGCGTTTATTTCAGTGTGTGGTCCAGTCTATCTCTTGGCACAAGTTTGGCTCTAAAGCCTTTTGATGCTGAATATTTAATCGAGGGGTTCATAGGCCGCTGCTTTTGTAGTGATCAGTCTTATGCTCACACCGTCAAAACTAACACAAATCAAGGAAGAATTATTAGTTGAGTGAAAAACCAATTCTCATCTGTCACTGACATGCAGAAGTAACGGCTCATGATCAAATAGTTTCGTGACCGCCATTAGTCTCTAGGAAGTGAAACTGCTTATAGAGCCCCACCAGATGGCACTAAGTTTTGAAAAGGGTCTCTACTTTCGTTTTTCTTTCCCCTGTTGTTCCAAATCTCTTGCAATGCGACATCGGCGATTGAGGGGGCTATGTGCAATAGTGGTGCAACAGAGCAGCGCCTCTGTTGTAAACTGGAGTGCGCTTATACATGAGCATTTTTTGCTGAGAAGGGGCACTAACAGCTACCGCAGTAGTACAAATGATACAAGTCAACTTGTACTATTATTGCATGTAGCCCCTTAAAGGGACGCTGACAACCCCCTTTTTTTTATCTTTGCTTTTTTGCTAGGCTACTTATTGCGACGTCAAAAGAGTTCCCAATCAATATTTTGCTACAGCGTCACACACATTTTTGAATAAAGTCACGAAATGCAACTGTTCAAAACCCAAACCGAAACTGGACTGGGGAGGAAGAAGAAACATAGAGGAGAAAGTTATTAAAAATCACGTGGCTGTGCAAATTTTCTTTTTCAATCAACATGTTTGCAGTTTTTAGAAGCCACAAAAAATGGGTATAATATTTTCAGTCTATTTTTAGTATTGAGTGTGTGCTTTCAATGACCCACGACTTTAGTTATCTTTGGTGGTTGTGTCTGAACCATAGAAACCGGCACCTGACCACAAAGAAGAGAGCGAGTGCGACTCAAACCAGCCAGTTCTCGATCAGCGGTTTTCGGGCAGAAAGAAAACGAATTGCGAGGCGCTAATTGTGTTGCGAGTAGTTGGGCTCCCATATATCATGTACAAATAAAAACCTTGGCGAGCATAAATACCCTGTCAGTGTCCCTTTATAAAACCCCTGAAAAGAAAAAAAAAAAAAAAAAGATTTTTTTTAAAAGGTTTGGTTGGGACACGTGTCAAAAAATCAATTTTATGCAAAAAAAAAAAACAAATTTTAGAGCATTATTGTTGGCGCAAGACGAGACTTAGTCGTTAGCCACCTCCTTTCCACTTGTTTTCTCTCTCGGCACTTAGGGTGCGTGGAGGATAGGTGGATCGGCTTGGCCATCACGCTGAGGTGGCGAAAGACTATGACCATCTCGTTGAGGTGAAAAGAGTGTAGACGATTCCGTGACATCATGAACTTTGCGCGCAACATTTAAAATAAATCTCGCGTCCTCAATATTGCACTAATGTTGCACCTCGCTCACAATCTCAAGGTGGAGAGTTCAAATCCAGCTGGGAGACTGAAGTCTTTTTATATGGTTCCCTATGGGCGTAACGCTTTCCAGCATCGTTACAGCTGACTATTACAGCCGGCCACTACAGCTGGTTGTTATAATCGGTTGTTACAACCGGCTGTTTCAGCCAGACGTTACAGAACTCAACAGAAATCGGCTGATAAAAGACATCCCATGTCAATAGGCTTTGCCCCATGTGTCTTAGACTGCCACTAACTAACTATAAGTTCCACGCTTTTCTGGGCAGTCCCTCACCACAGTTGAGGAACAACTATCCTATGACGACTCTACAACGAACATAAGTCCAACTGTCCTTTTAAGTTATGCACCACTAAACAGCCAACTCACCTGGTTGATGCAGTGGAGATGCCGCGGCCACCGGCACCGGCAGAGACACAGGTGAAGTCACAGGTACAGTCACAGGCACAGCCACAGGTGCAGCCACTGGTGCAGCCGCTGGCACCGGCTGTGCCGCTACAACCGGCACGACAGGAGGCACAGACGCCAGCATGGGGGGCGGAGCCTGTGGAGGAGTGCCTGCCTCCTCCGGCACAGTGGGGGCAACGGGACCCGCCCCCTGGCCCCGCCCCATCTCCTCCTGCTCCTTGCGCTTCAGCTCCGCATTCTCGGCCTTGATTCGCTCCAGGCGTTCACGATCGATGCGCTCGATTTGCCGCTGGGAGCGCCGTAACGGCAGCTGCGGCGAGCCCGGGGAGGATGCTCCGAAGCTGTGAGCCTCTTCGCTGTCCACGTCTTCCGAGGGCCTGGAACATGCCGCAAAATGGTTACCGTGCCTGCGCCATACTGCCTCGCAGTCGACTGATGTGTCAACGGTACACCTTACGAACTAGACGACGAGCTTCCCGATATACCGGCCATAACTCACAAGCTGCTCAGATGTCCCGTGGCCAAGTGTTACATATTTGTTATTCCAGATATCTTTTTCTCTGGCTTTAAGATGGTCAACACCAGCCAGTCGGCAAGTTCGATTCTCTCATTCGAGCAAACTCTACAGAAGGTGGTACTCTGTGAACGTTCAGTGGCTCTAACACAACCTACAGACCCTTTCAATAATCGCCTTCTGCTCACCCGGCTGTAAAATGCATACCGAGCACCTGCAGAAGCAGATTGCATTCACATTTTGCTACTGCAGATTATCAGATGCAGCGCGTGCGCCTAGTACCCACTGACATAGCATTTTTTACCTGGGCGGTTAGCGCTGGAAAGGTATATATATCTCAAGCACCACAGTCTTCGCTACACCAAACCCCAGCCCTGGCAGCCCATGCGGTTTCACAGACTCCCTTGGGACAATGCGACGTTCGAAGGACGTCCCGCAAACGTTCGCGGGACGTCCGTACTACGTGGGCTGCCGAAAGCTCCAACCGTGATGTGGCAGACGGGCAAAGAGGAGACCGTTCCCACTCACGAGGTGCAGTCGCGGACGTCCTGCTGTGCCGCAAGGTGGGCGTGTTCCTCCGTGAGCCCCACCCCCTCCCCCACAGGAACCGCCCCCAGAGGCATCGAGTAGCAGTGGTCCAGGAAGACCAGCTCCATGGGGCTCAGCAGGTCCTCGGCCCCCAGGGTGGCCTTGAGCAGTGCCTCCACGTCCGCGTCCGTGGTCTCCGTGAACAGGCCGCCCGACGCACTGCCTTGCTCAAGCACCTGGATTGGGGTTCGGATTTCAATGGCACGTCCAGTGGACGGAGCCGTGACCATAGTGCCTGGAACGTGTTTTCGTCCGGCACATTGACCGCCCTAGCCCACCTATACACCGAGAGCGGTCTCGAAGTGGCATCAAATAGCTTCGTGGGAGTCGGCGCGTCGTGCCATCGTGTGTTGCGATCCCGGCGGTTGGTTGTAGAAATTTTGGCAAAAAAGGCGAGCACTCGCGACGGTTTCCGTCATCCCGTCTAGTGTCTGCCTTAGTTTCCGTCGATCGACGGAATGCAGCAGTGTTGTAACAGCAGAAGAGGCGTCTGCTGCGTCCTCCGCCACCGCCGTGCCATTACCCGGATCGCGGAAGGCAACGGCGTGACACTTTTATGGTGTCCTTGTCCGAAAATCGAGGGACCACTCTTGAGGATGCAATAAAACCACCTGTTGGAGGCGCATGCCAGGCGTCGTACTATGGTACACCGGCACAAGTGCTGGCCCGACACAATGAAAGATTCACTGGTCACGACGCAACACTGTTTCATTGGGTGCTTGTGAACGTTGGCTGACCATCCTGAAACCGGTCTGCTCAATAAAATTAAAGTCGTCGTAGTATTATATTTTCTCATTACTTAAGAAATTGTGAGTGCATTTAGTTTATTAATAAGCTATTTCTAAAGTTGAGTGGATGACAAGAAAGCAATTCCAATGCACAAGACTAATTTCTGTTGTTGCGCAGAGAACCGGAAGCACCCTGTGCATTCTCTGCGTAATTCTCAACATGGCGTCGTATCAGAGGAGTCGCGGGATGAACGGCTAACAAAGCGAACTAAGCGATGACGGCAAACGAGACGTGCGGGACCTCTACTTCGGACACTGTTGTTCACGGCACCGGCGAAGCTGTCTAGCTTCGAAAGAAGAATCGTTTACCGATCACAAACAACTAGGATTTATTCCGTACGACATGCCAGACCACTGAGCTGATTCGCACGGAAGACATCTCCGAGTCGTAGTTCCTACTCCTGGCTGAAGACATCGCTCGTCTTATGAATACGAATTGGTAAGAGCTTGAAAAACGCACAAGTGTCAAGCAGCTTGACTTTGGCGTTTTTTGTGCGACATGCAAATTTTTCATCTGCCTTGCACGGCCAAAAAAACGAAGAAAAAAATAAACACGGTTCGGTGTAGCCACGTGACTTCCGGCAACTTTCTCCTCTTCAACGTTTCTTCTTCCACTCTAGTCCAGTTTCGAGCAGTTGCGTTTTTTTTACTTTATTAGAAATAATTGCGACACCATATGCATGGTAAAAAATAACAAAAATGTTTTGGAGAGTGTCAGTGTCCCTTTAATGGAACCTTTGTTGGGACATGGTTAACTCGGTGCTGTCAACATGTTAAGTGCTTATACAAAAACATAAAATCATGCAAGCCTTTCTCTAAGGGTCAATTTTAAACAACCAGAACAATTGAAATAATCTCGACAGGCGTTTCTTTAATGTCTTTCTTTTCTTACATAAAGTACAATAAAAGTCTGAAGGTGAAGTAAAGTTAAAGCAGATTAAGAAGCGACATCCAAGGCAGCGTTACAAGGAACCTTGCACGTTTATGTACGAATGTAAATGAGCATAACTCACACACCGAACAGTTACTGATTAAAAAGGGACAGCGTAAAACTGGGCAAAGCATGGGCAAAAAATAGGGTTCCCACCAGGTTCTCCAAGTCGTGCAGGCTGTCTTCGATGGCGGCGAGAGGATGGCTTCCGTCCTCGGCTCCGCCAACATTGCCTGCACAGAAAATGGCAAGGCAAGGCTGAGACCTTCGTCTTAACTAAGCATAGAACCCAGTTCAAAGTTGGCAAGATGACAAACTCTTTTTGAAAGCCAGAGCCATCTAGTGGCAGTTTTGGAAGCTCCAAGATTTCTGCTCCTATGACGACGGCGACGTACAATGGCCAATCTGCTGGAACGAATTCTCCACTACCTGGCATGTGCTGTCGTAGTTTTCATTTTCAAACTGCTGCATGCAGCCATTAGAGTTTTGGATTAAGCTCTGGAGAGGGCGGACAGAAGGACTTTGAAAAACAGTCCATTCCTTTACCTAAACAGACGACCCATGTCGACAATGTTAAGGACCGCTCACACACAGGCGACTTTTTAAGAGCATGTACCTTGAAACCTCTTGAGATCTCTTAAAACGAGAGCACACACTGGCTCACCCATCTTTTTGGTGCATCATTCTTTCTTACTTGGCTACAAAAATTCTTTTGACAATGTTATAAATTACCATTTCTCGTAGGTAGTATGTACATTTGACCTTGCAAAGACAGCAAAACCTTCGTTCCAGTGAAATGTAGTCCCACGGTCACTGCCTGGAGGGCGCCAGTGGGCCAGCGTGTTCTCTAGTGAGAGATATTAAAATATTTTAAGGCACTCGGTCCTGAAGAGTCGCAAGTATGAAACAGGCCTTTAAAATATTTCACCAGCATCCGACTACAACCCACAACAACAATGTTAGAACAATTCCTTGGCCAAACTTTGCGTTTCAAAATAAAATAATTGATTTTTTTTTTTTTGCAATTATAGCACATAAATAAGAAGTGGTTCTTTTAAGAACTGGTCCCTTTATAAATTGTTTCAAGGTTCCTTTGAGAACTGTTTCATGGTTCCCTTAAAACTGTTTCATGGTCCCTCTGGGAGAGTCGGCCAGTTCTGCAAGGGAAAGAGAGGCCCACCGAGGACGTCGAAGTCGAGCTTGTCCGAGTGCGAGTGGGGGCCCCCCGCATCCTGGAGTAAGGCCCGCATCTGCTCCGACGACAGCACCGCATCCAGCTTCAGCAGGTGGTCCTGGGACATCATGGGGACGACGCCGGGCAGGGAGAACGCCCTGAACACACAACAGACCGTCAGGTTTGCGACGGCCTGCCAGTGATTTATACAACCTCCCAAACCGATACCAAATTCAATGCTCGTGTTTACACAGCGTAGGGATGGTCTGCCTTTGAGGTACGACGATGCTGACTTACGCTGTAGATGAGAACGTTAGCTGGTACAACACCACTGGTAGCCTGAACACACGGCGGTAAAATGCTCAACCAGATCAAAACAAGTAGGGGTGGGAGGGAATCCAGGAACCCTGGGTTCCGCAGTGTGAGCTCTAGCTCTACGTACACCGAGCTGTGGTGCACTAACGCAGTCTGCCCTTGATCCCCTCTATACGCCCCAAGGCCTGCTTCAGACGTGGAAATTTTCCTCCGGCATCTCAACGTTGCAACACTGCCAATGTGGGCCCCCCATGTTCTCACGCAGCAACGACAAAAAAACTCGAATTGCTACATTTTGCCATCGTCACCACTAAAATTGCCATTATCTCACATTATTTAGATGTGCAGCTAAGTGTTAATAATGCGCACTTATATCTTTAAATGGCGCTAAGAATACTAACTGATCGGCCCGAAACAATTTAGTCATGAAAACAATCCATTTCAAACCCGAAGCAAGTTAAACCCCGTGTTTAGTTGTCATTGTCAACACTCAACACCAAAGGGGGTCACGTGAAAATTGCGTCCCTGATTAGTTGCTGTCTCTTCCAACAACTTCGAGTCATTCGAGTTGCTCTCCTTTTTCGAGCTGGACTCGAAACCAGCAATTTTTGCTGGTGCATGAGGATCTAGAAAACAACTTAGCAGCAACCCCAAAATTACTGGGAAAATTGCTCCTTCTAAACTGGACCTTTAACAACCCTCCAGACTGTAAAGCCTAGAAAAACCAACAAACCTGGTCACCAAGATAGTCATGTCTTGATAATATGGACAACGTTAATATGAATACCCCACTACACAAACAATTTTTTCGGGGACAAACTAGGTAAATACGTGCACTTTTGTCTTCTCGTTACTATGAACGGCTCACATTATGAACAAGGTTTTAGGGAAATAGAAGCGTCCATATTAATGACACATGACTGTAGCACTCTCTCACCACTTATTAGTTTACACCAAATCGGTGAAGTTTGTCAACACTGTCTGGTAAAAGCCGCAAACAAAACTTGTCTCCGATGGAGGAGATTCGTGCTGCATTAAATACATTCTCTCGCACGTATGGCGCCCTTACCAAACTGCAGTTGTGCCCCTCAACCAATGACAATCATATTGGGAGACAAAGCAGTGGATGAATGAGACATGGCTGTACCCAATTGAAGATACAGTATTTTCCGATCTATAAGTCGCAACGCTGTACAAGTCTCACCCTCTATATAAACGGCTGTTTTCACAAAAAAATTTTATAAGTTGCACCTTTGTATAGGTCGCACGTATATATTTGTACGGTCGCCGCGGCAAAACTTCACTGATAGGCCTGCATATTGTGAATATTGTGATCGCGATATATGCAAAAGCCCGTCTCAATATTGGCGCCAACGAATCGATGAACAAATATAACCCCAGCTGCAAATTTGCTCAGTGGAGGTTCATACTCATAAAAAGACATATATAAGATGCACTGTTTTATAAAACGCCCATACAAAAATTTTGTAAAAAAAAAAAAAAAGAAAGAAAACAATGTTGACTTGTACATTGGAAAATACGGTACTCGCCGTAGTTGCTAGAGCATGTGAGCCCAAAATGTTCCCCAATCCCCTCAGTTTTCCAGTCAGACAATACAGGATTTGGAGCAGTAGCGAATGAGACCCGAACCAAATATCAAGTGCATAAGAAACACTGGTAAAGGATCCCAAGAGCCTGTTCTTTGTTTTTTGGTAACTGAGCTTACAGGCAGAGCAGTTCACATCAGATGCATCCGGCAATCTCTCAGCGCTCCTGCAACTCCCTTGTTATGTAAGTAACAGGATTTAAATGGTTTCTGTGCTGGTTACCCCAATGAAAATACATTTCAGCCAGTGCAGGTCACGGAATGGCAGACTATATATGCGTTTCTTTAACAACTGAGGAAAAATATAATAGAAAGAAGACATTGGCTGCCGCTTTGATGGTGCCAGCAACTTCCTAGCTTACACGCAGGATATATTTTTTGCTGCTCAGACACTTAACCGGCTATGGCTTAGATACAATAAAATATGATCAGCCAAGAATTGCAAGAGATCAAATAAATGTTACAAATTAAAACAAACCACTTTCAAATGTTAATTCTTCCACCAAATACTTCAGGATTGGAATGAACTAGAAAATCATGTGGTCATTCTTTCCTCACTTCATAGGTTCACTCAAGAGCTTATTGATATCTTTTCTTAGGCCACTTTTCGGTGTTTGTTCTCTTTAACCATATTCAAAAACGGTACCACTACTGCCAAGACACTTAGTTCAGCGGTGTAGTATTGCTCAAATAAGTAACATCACGAAAGATCCACCTGAAGTATGCCATATGCCTAGACCTTTGCAGCGACATTCTCGGACAAAGTGATTTACAGCTCGCGTCCCTGGTTTTGAGAGTGTACATGAGTGTTGCCCGACTGCGCTGGGCTGTGGGTTTTCTCGTCAGTGGGCTGTGGCACTGGGCTGGTGGTGGCTAAATTGCCGAGTTTTATTTTTGGTGAGTCTACGCACAACAGAACAAATGCAACTGGAATGTTTGTTTCATTTTATGTTGATTATTTACGACCCTACACTCAGCCGTGTCAATCTACAAGGTTTTGACTGTCTGAAATATTTGACCACACAGGATAGCCGAAATGCATGGGTATTCCCCGCTCAAAACATGAAATTCAACGAGTTTGCCCACAGTGCCGTGTTATCCGAAAAGGATTTGAGAAAGCTCTTAAATAACACAGCATATCCAATATACAGTCGACGATAGTCACTTCACGACGATCGGGCGGAATCCGGCGTGTTTTGGGGCTCATGTAGAAGAGAGCTGCTTTTTTGCACAGCTTCAATGCAAATGAACGAACGTGTCTATCTCATCCCCACACTCGACCCTATCAGCCATTTTTCGTGAAGACCGGGAACATAGCTGGGAAGGCTTTTCGGAGATTATCTCAAAGAAAATAATCCTCGCAGAACGCGGAACGGCCCGCGTCGCGGGCTGCTTGAAGTTTTCTTTTTGTTCGATTCCTGCGAAGGCCAAGCAGGCTACAAGCCCTGGTACTGCCTGGTTCTCAAAGTGGAAGATAACACAGAAAGGGTAAGCATCCTGATTAGGCAAATAAAGTAAAACCTTTCAACAAAAGCCAGCGAATTTTAAATGCACAATGCAGGTGGGGAGTGGTGCTGCACGTGTTTCCATAGCTCATGCGGGTGGCAGGAATTTCTGGATAATAGCGGTCACTCTAGTCGCAAACTGGCGGCATCCAGGGAGCTCTTTTTGCAAAAGATCTATAGACGGCTGTGTTATGTGCATTTCCGATAGCATGTGGCTTAGACTACCTAACTTGCCTCTGCCACTTGCTCCAAGTGAATTTCTCATATTATTTGAGACCACACTTGTTCCCCAAATCCTGTACTCCGACAGAACCCCTAGAAAGACACTGCGTGACGTAAGATGTTCACCTGCTCTGTGCAGTGCCTTCCTTCGTGCTATCCCATTTCGACAGGAGTTTGCAGAATACACTATTAAACTATTAATGAAAAGACAGCAAGAATGCAGGCAAGCTGGTGGAGGCCACTCATGTCGTAAAACTACCCAAGACAGCGTTAAGAGAATTGGAAGAACTTAGAGGTTGAAAGGAAGAAAGGACACGAGAAGTGCAACATCTCTTTTGCGACGTTCCTCTCTTCTTATCTGTAACATTCCCCTCTTTGTGTCTATTCTCTCAGACTTCACTTTTTTTCTACAACCGGTTACCTCATTCTCATGTAGTTTTATAACATGATATAAAATCGTGTCTGAGAAAACCGGGCAATCCTAAACGCCCAGGTAGCCTTGGTTTCTGAAACATATTATTAGTGCGGCTGCAAAGGTGTCTTTTGGCAGAGAGCTTCCAGCTTTGTAACATGACTCAAACTGTTCAATTAATTGCAAGTTGATGTCAGCAACCAAAGATGCAATTACAAAGAAACGTACACCCTGTCATGAAGATACTTCAACATCAGTGTGTTTGTGTGTGTCATGCCGGGCATGTTAGCTACAACGCGTGTCTACTCTGCAGAGTTCGACTGCAGCATAGAAAGGGCAAAAAGAACATCATTCATTGATGAGAGATCGCTAAGAGGAGGCGGCGAATGCCGTAGCAACGAAGCAAACGCAATCGAGAGTGTCCAATTTGCGTCGATCACGCCTTCACGTAGGTTAACGCCAACAGGAAGCGGGAGGGACCGACGAACCAGCCGAACCGAACGAAGGCTCGCGCCTTGCTTCGCGCAACTCGGACGGGAATCGCCGAGGCACCGAGCCGTTCGCCGTGTGCGCGCTTACATGCCGGATCTAACACGAGCAAAATATATTAAAACAAACAAGAAAAAAAATCAGGAAAATCCAAATTAATTATTAAGCGAGCTCTCTCCTTATAAAATATAACTCGACCCCGCCAAGGTTGCGATGTGGTGTTTTCGAGCACACGGGGGTTCGCACGATACGTCCTCGACCGACGGACATTCGGCTCGGTGTGCGCTCTAAAGCGTCTTTTCCCGATCCGGATGGCTTACCGAACGTTTTTGAGCGTCCCCGCAAAATCGGCGTGCGTCTTGGATCCCTTCTGTACGGAGGATTTGGACCGCGAGATCGTACGACTGGGTATCGAAGAAGTGTTAGGCTTAACTAAGCACGTTTGTAAACACAGTGGGGGAAATGGTTCTCGCGCGGTGCACAGACATTTTGGAGGGAGGAGAAAAGAAAAAAACAAACGGTACCTAGGGACGGAAGAGCAAAGGACACTTACCTTGTCGGCGTTCTCTGGTTCACATCCCCGAATCGCTGCGATGCTGACGTTCGCGTTGTTTCTTCAAAACGCCCATTTTTGTTTCGTCGTTGCCACGGGTTCGAGGTCCGCTGGTGGGTCCCCGCTCGGCCTGGGGAGCGCCCCTCGTTGAGCGGCCTTTCCGCGAGAAAGAGGGTGCCAAGGGCTCCTGTTTTCTTTCGTATTTTGTGTTTTTCCGCGTTGGTCTCCTCGTCTTTATTTTGAAGGAAACCGCGGTTCAGATTCTTCCGAAGCGCTCCGAGTGCTGCTCGATTCGCGAGCGAAAGATGGCCCTCATCCTTGGCTCCATTTATCGACAACGGCGTCACGGGTCGCCAGTGGACCACCCATTTCTCGCTGCGCGCGCACTAATGCCGAATAATTCACAAATAAAAACCTTAAAATTATGTAAAACTTTTTATACGAATCATTATATGAATAACACTCAGTTTTGTAAAGATTTTATGTAAAACCGTCAGCGCTGTACTGCTGTACTGTTGAGTGAGCATTCTCTGCGGTCTACTTCCACGTGGCTTCCGGTTGGCAGTTGGCTGATGTTTACGGTTTCCTTTTAGCTGCACCTCTGCGAGCCGAGCGCCAGCGGATTTCGGCGATGGGTCTCAAACGTCGTACCGGCACCAAAAACCCGCCGATTTTCAGCCACGAGTTCGTGATCCAGAATCATGCGGACATCGTGTCGTGCGTCGCTATGGTCTTCGTCATGGGACTGCTGTTTCAGGCGAGTCTTCGGCTCCCCAAACTCGAGTCCGTGGAACCGCACTTGCCACCACTTCAACTCGCGCCGGGGCCAGCCCGCTCGATTGACATGTTCGACTTGACGCAGCCGAGCTCACAGAGTAAATTTGACTCTCTTCACGTGCAAACGTGAAGTGTCACGTGAGGTCCACATGATCTGCGTTTTTCGCGGTTTTTGCTTCAGGCAATTTAACTCGCGAGATTTAAACCTACGGTCGTTCAGATCGGCTATGTGCAAAGTTCGTCCCATCGCTGTCTACCGCTTCAACTCGCGTCGTTTTGATTTCATAACTTTCAGAATCCGAATGAGAACGAGCTGACTTCCCCTTTTTTTGACCCATCTCGCCAAACTTTCCTTTTCAACCGGCAGCTGTCGGCGGCAAGCTCGTGGCCTCGTTTCTGTTTGATCAGCGTGAGCGCGTCGCGATGCGTTCCTCGTCGCTTCATATTTTTGTTCGTTAATATTGAGACGAATATTCACTGTTTCACGCCTAGATTTCGGGACGAGTGAGAAGCAGAGTTGCGGCACACGTCATTTAAAACTGGGACGCTTCGTTCGCAGGTGTCGGCACCATATGCTTCGGTGTTCATCGCACTCCATCACAATGTCACGGACGGTAGGTATCTGATTTCGATACACTATCGATAGCGTTGACCTCTAGCGGCTTTATCCTTGCCAAGAACGGCAAAAGACAAGAAAGAGGGAAAAAGTAGTACAGTAGTCGAGTTTAGAGACCCGACAGTGTTGTAGGCAGACTGACCCTGGGTGGCGCATGGAAAGGCACCAAATGGAGTGCAAGGAGACACGGGCTGGGCATCTTTTGAGGTTTGAAAGGCGATCAGTAAGTTAAACTTTCAATAAGGGATAAACACAATTGAGGACACAGGATGGGCGAGAAAGGCGTATGAGCATTTATACATGAAAAGTATGAACACTGAGTGAACAAACCGAACCCAAAAACTGAAATCCAAATACCAACATTCAAGCGCTAGGGCAGAGCTAGGGCAGAAACTAACCCTGTGGAAAAGCAAGTAAAAGGAGCCAAGAAAAAAATGTGGGAGGAAAGAGTGCAAGGAAGTCAACTTTAACTTTGAGGGGACGAAAACAGGAAATAAGGATCAGTGGTATGATAATTCACGGGGGAGCTCGTTGTTATTTGAGGCTAGAACAGGTGTGTTAAGGTTATTTGAGGTGCACGGGGCTTGCTCCCGCCCTCCCGGAGGGGGCGACCGATTTGGAAAGAGCACTAGGGTTTGCAGGGACAAATGGATGATAAGTGGATTTTAATGACAAAGAGGAGATTGGAAGAGTAGTGGAAATTATCTAGGGAGAATTGAATGGCATACAACTAACTAACACAGCTGGAAACAGGTAGGACAGAGGAAAATTTGGACTACGTCCCACGTGGCTCCGGCCCAAAGTCTCAACCCTGCCTCCCAGCGCTGGGGTAATTCTGACTAGGTTTGACCAGAGGAAAATTGGTGACTCCCTCGCCGGGGGAAAGGTGGGAGACAGTGTTTTTAGTTTTTTTGCCCAATCCACCAAAGGTCATCCTGGTGATATTCCACACTGCCTGGTGATAGTTACAAATTGCGGTGGGAAATAAATTGACTTAGAAAGGCGAAGGGAGAAACCATACTTTTGGTTTTTAATTTCTAGGCTAGGTGGTGTAAGCTAGCACTCGTTATGAAGGGTACAGCCATTATCATCCATCCATACATGGCGGCATTTTAAACCAACATATTTCTAGTGCCACACCAAGTGGCTGGACACAGATCGCAGTAATTTTTACGTACCCCGAAACGCTCTACACCTATTAGGGCATTGTGCACTTATTCTATTTTCCTTTTGATGCAAATAAAATAAGATGAGCTATGTTCATGTAATTTTAACTTAATAACAGCTTCTGCTTTTTTTTCGTAATTAAACCAAAGGCTGGAAATGCTAGTTTATATGCCTTCGGAAGGTGCTATCACTAGACAAGCGCTGGGGCAGAAACACGTGTCAGAAGTATGAGTTTTTTTGCACAATCGGTGCCTATCCACCACAGTGTGAGATCGTCACTGTGGAAAGTAGCTGTTCGGTGCAAAACATGTTACTGGAGGTGCAGTCTGTCAATACTTGATATAAGCAGGCGGTCAGGCGCAGTAACAACGTACCATCAAAGAGCGATTCTTTCAAGTGGGTTGCACAGCTTGCAAACTTTGGTACATCAGAGTAGGAACCTCAACCATGGGTTGAGGTATGTGACCCAATTAAAAAGAAAATTGCGCAAAGACGCCAAAGTAAAAGGTAATTGACACGACACAGCACTGTGTCCTGTCGGTTACGTCTTACTTTGCCCTCATCTTTGCGCTGCTTTATTTTTAACTATGTCTGCATACCGGCTAGCCCAAACTTCTACGTTAATCAACTGCGTGTGACCCCCACCCGTTCTGTCGTCTGTGCAGGCATGGAGACGCAGGGTGTCGTGCACTATACCTACGGTGTCAAGGACGTCTTCCTCACCTTTTTCTATTTCCTCATTGCCATCGTGATGCACGCCATCATTCAGGAGTACCTGCTCGACGTGAGTATGCCGCCGCTCATCTTTGTTCTCATACCCTGTTTCACCTTGCGATGAACCACAGAGGATGCCATGAGCCGTCGATACCGTGCGAGTGTCGTGCGACCTTCGAGAGGGACGCAGTGATGCGCAGGGCGGTTCGTAGCATCTGCTGCGGTTCATTACAAGGTGAAACGTAGTATAGCGTTGCTTGGATCGGTTGTTCGCGAGGTTTCATTCGCATCTTTTTCTGCTCGTGCCTTTCAGAAACTTAACCGGAAGATGCACCTTTCCAAGATGAAGCACAGCAAGTTCAACGAGTCTGGCCAGCTCCTCATCTTCTATCTCGTTTCCTTCCTCTGGGGGGCCGACATAATCCGCAAAGTAGGTCAATAGCTGCTCTCGTTACGTCCACTACTACGCATTTGAATGAGTATACGTATACCCGAGGATAAAAGGCAGCTCTAAAGAAGAGAAGGCTAGTGATCTCATTTTGCGGTGTGGTTACCCATGAACACAATTTGCCCTATTTACTCAGATCTCAAAAGCCTTAGTAATTGTGTACGAAAGTTTAATTTTATTTGCTCTGAGCCTTTTTGGAGTCGAAAAAAAGTTTCGGTTCTTCAACACCTTAGTGAACTCTGTTCTGTGGAAAAGTGAATTCTGTTCTGTGGAGACAACTGTTATGATGATCTGAACCTGAGGCTGGGGCAGGAGGAGGAAATTTTTTTTACACTGGAAGAGAAAGTAACAGGGACATATAGTGTCTCTAACTCATCTAATAATTTTATTCAACCAACCTCCTTACATACAGAACTACAACTGTAACAGAACCACCGAACATCCTGTTTTTCAAGGTCGCACGCACAACCCTCGCCCACTTCACAAAACAAACTGAAGTAAGGCCACCTACAAAGCACAACCACCTTTCTGTTTAGACAAACCTTCTAGAGAGCTAAAGGTCACAAAAAAATATACGATGCTTTCAACTATGACACACACACACAGCGAAACCTTTGGTTGTGTCGATCTGACGCGGATCGACTTATGGCTTGTCCAACGTGCTCGTAGCTACCACCGCAGTCTCTGCTTAGGGGTGAATGGAGTATAGTCATATTGCACATGTAGTGGGGTTAAGGTAATTTTAGTTCTAATAAACGAGATACCAAAAGGTGCCAGCGCGCAAGCAAGGTCTGTCTGTGCCACCTAGTTCTACATGTTTTTGGGGATGATGTAGGGTGCTTTGCTTTCAACGTCAAAACAGTTCTGGAAGTGCTTTCTTGAGGAACAAGTCTTTCGTTCGACCGATCGGAAAACAGGATCTCCACTTGCCCCTTCTCTCGTTTTTCAGGAAGGTTTTCTGCCCAGCATTAGCAAGGTTTGGGAAGGCTATCCGCACACGGAAATGTCGTAAGTATGAGTTCCTGGACGGATTTGTTTTTATTTAATAATACCGTTAAATAATGGAAGGTATGGGTGCGAGTGGTGCCTTAAGTAGTCTTTTTTTCAATAGAGATTCTTTCTTTTTCAGGTTCATGTTCAAGTTCTACTTTATTGTTCAACTGGCATATTGGCTACACTGCTACCCTGAACTGTACTTCCAGAAGACGAAAAAGGTGTGGACTAATCCTGAACTTCATTGTAATTGTGCAGCATGTTCATGCTTATTTGTAGCTTTAATTGTTACCGACATTGTTCAAATAACTCTACAGTAAAGAATTGAACTGTCAAGACCCCATGCACAAAGCAATAGGTAGTTCCGAACTACCTATTGCTTTGCCCTTTCTGAACGGCAGTAACAATGTCAATGTGGCACTCTGCCTGAACATTCTCAGAAGTTCAGACATGCCATACAAAATGGCCATTATATATAAGGCGGAATCTCATGGTAGTTTTAGAAAGGTCTGGTCTATAAAAAATCATTTTTTGTCTTGCGATTACTTCTTGGAATGATACAATTCTTCAACGTTTGACTCCGGTTAATGTTGCTTATATGTACACTTTAGTCGTTAGTCTGGTTGTTCAATAACGTTGTGCTTTCTTTTACATTTCCATACTCTCGCCTCAGCTCACGAAAAACTATTTGAAAATTTCTCTTTCCAGGACGAGATGTCAGGACGCATCACTCACGCCACCCTGCACCTCATTTTCTTCAGCGTGTCATACATTCTAAAGTGAGTACGCCTTGACAACAGGTGTCTACGACTTCCAGGTAGAAACCCAGCAGGAATTTTTAAACAGGAACCCATAGCTGTCCAGTTTTGTCTCTGGTTAAAGTCATGGTGGTTGCAGAACTTGGTTAATGCCTAAATGACGACCATTGAAGTTTGAGCCCACACGTGCCATTAAGACATCCAAACTAGGTGCACACAAGATCCTGTTTCGGATGTCCAATGAACTATACCACTTCGGACATTGCATGGATGGTCATCTATCGGAAGCCCAGTCAGTCTCCTTGGTGCAACTTTGAAAGGTTGGGGGGAAGAACTTCCAGCATGAAGCTTGGTTGTCTTCCGTTTGCACATTATAGTGAAGCCCTGTTTTTTTGCCAGTGTGCTCATGCCTTTTTGTTAGCCACATAAATGCCGCAATCTGTATTGCTTTATGAAGTTTCTAGTATATTGTTTTATGAAAGCTACTACTACACAGAGAAAATTTCCATGTACATGCTAGTGTAAGATGAGGCGCAAGAGACCATTTCTAAGAATTACTAAAGGTCATGTGCAAGGAATTGTGGGTTTGTCCATCTGCCATATAACACCGGAAAGAAAGTAAGGGAGGATAGCAAAGTCACTTGCCTGCCCTCAACTGTGTTTATTTCATTGTGTGCTATATGGGGTTCTGTACTACCGCTTCCCAGAATGCTTTCCGTTGCCGGTGGAGGTCGCTGCTCGTTTTGCAAATGGCCTCTTCCTTGTATCTGCGAGAGAGGTTCCCGACATGCATCTCTTTCTCCCAGCTTCACGAGGATAGCCCTGTGCCTGTCCGTGATGCACTACCTGGTGGAGACCGTCTTCCATGCAGCCAGGCTTCTCCTGTTTGCAGAGCGCAACAAGGCTGCCAACTACGGGTGAGGCGCACTGCGCGGCTGTTTTTGCGCATTACCCTTTGGGGCAGGATAGGATAAGTCCGATAAGACTAAATTCTGGCACCATTAGCACTCGAGACTTTCGTTCATAAAGAATAAGTCTCACTTTCACCGCCACTATTCAGCATGCATTCGTCCTGCCATTGCCATAAACAACAGGCATAGATGCATTAATCGAAAAGGTGGGGGAATAATTATTTAACCCCTTTGATGACTTTCTTTTTTTTTCTAGTACGTATGTACTTTAGTGGTTGGGTTTTCTTTCAACGGGGAGTGCAAACAATAAGTCAATGCAGAATTGTTTTTTTATTTTATTATTATTTAACAGGAGCACATAGATTGCTTGCAAGCTGTCCGGATAAAGAAGCTTCAGGCGGAAATATTCGGGGCGGTTTAATTTTGGCGCTTCTGCTTCCACAACATTCCAGCGGTCTCAGACTCTGGACAGGAGGTACTTTACAGAGTTTGTCCGTTAGAATGAGCTCCCATCCTCTGAATTTAATTCTGAGGAGCATTAGAAGTCTCGAATTAGAAGAGCCGTCACTCCGCGATTGCGACTATAACGCTAAGAAGCTCTCTTTAGCGTATTGCGTGCTATAAATATTCCCATCAAAGGGAAACACAGTGCAACTGAAACAACTCCAGGCTTCCCTCAAAGAGGGACATTTTCCTCGTTATGCACAAGCTCAAGGTTTATTTCGACGCACCTGTCCTCCCTTGCAGGTTCACGGTGTGGAACGTGGTGTTTGTGCTGGTGCGACTGGCCTCCATCATGCTGTCGGTGCTGACCTTCTGGTACGGCCTGGCGCAGCAGGAGAACCTCGACCTGCCCGTCGGGATGGCCACCGGCAACTTCAATACCAAGGTCATCAGGTGAGCAGGCTTCGCTGGCAGGGGTTGGCACGTCGCGGTAAAGAGGTCGCCCTCAAAGGTTGTGTCGACCGGTGTTATTTGATACTAAAACGCCTATGCAGTCCCTTTTCGTCGCATCACGTGTCTCTTCATGTTTTTCGGTTCTTGACATGCATCCATAGCCCAAGCAGTTCAAATGCAGCATTAAATTCAGCAAAAGTGACAGTGAAATGAAGCGCTTTCCTGCTGTAACAGTATATTGCCTTTGGTATTTACGAGAAGTCAAATATAGCTAGAATTGTTCACCGGGAGTAATGCGATTAAGTCAGTCGTGCAAGGTACTCCAGCTTAACAGTCAAGATTGCCATACTGTGCCTTTGCACAGAGCAAGTCGCCTGCTTCTCGCGCAGGAGTGGCAGCGACGTCAAAACGACGGCAAGCTCTTATTGGCCGATTGAAAAAAAAAAAAAAAATGGTGGGTAGACCTTGGGGCTCCTAGCATTGAGTCGACCCACTATTTTTTTTTTTCAATTAGCCAATAAGAGCTGGCGTCATTCTGAGGTCACCGCCACTCCTGAGCAAGAAGCAGACAACCTGCTTTTCGCATACTCGGTGTAAATTTCCTTGCGCTATGCTGTGAAAGCTAGCAGTTCCCACGGCACTCCAACACTATCAAAGTGGCTGCAGACTGCTGTAGCTGCAGCGCTAAAATGTAACACTAAATAGTTGATGCCAAGTATACTAGCCTGCAATAGTAAGGCATCATTGTTGGGACAGTCAGTTTAACATCACGAAGTACCGCAACGGACGCTACAAGCTATGCAATCCAGTCTAGCGCTCCACAAGTGGCTCCGAGCAACCGGGAGGCCACTCGACACCCTCCGAGCTATGGATGGGCTCTGGTGGCTCATAGCAGCCGTTGCAGTCCATGATAAGACGAAACATAGAGTAGGGCATTGTGCGAACCGACACAGCAGCCTTTCTCTCGTTCCGTTCCAGGATCAACTGCATTGTGGCAGTGTGCCTGCTGCAGGCCTGGATGATGTGGCACTTTGTCAACTTCCACCTCCAACTGCTCCGCGAGCGTGCCGAGGCCCAGCAGCCAGCCCAGGGCAAGCGGAAAGTGCTGCCCGGTGCCAAGAAGGAGAAGAAACCCAAGAAGGAGGAATGTGAGTCTGCCACGGTTCAACGTCCAGCCCTTGGTCTGTGCACAAAGCTACTCGTTTCTAAACGAAGTCTCATGTTTATGCTTGGGTACTATGTGTCCTGCAGGTGTTCTCGGCGAATTTGCCAAAGATTAGTTTGACACTCGAATCTGTGCAATTCCTTTTGATCCCTAAAAGCTATTCCTTCTTAGAGCAATTATAAACCGATGTATCCAAGAAACGTGCAAGCTGCTATGTCCTAGCTCAGGTATGGACTTCTGGTCTAGGTTCTATTTCTGTAATGAAAATGAGTACAAATTCTAATGCTGGTACAATCATCTCTTTAATTCTAATAGTGTTATAACTTATTCCTTACTTCTAGTGTTGGAATAGATTATTTTCATTTGTTCTATTATCTCAACATTGAATTTTCAAACTCCAATATCAGGGTATATTCTTCTTCAATAATTGATCAAATAAAAAAAAAATTTAATGTTTTTTTTCTATTCTAAAATGCAGAATATCACTATAGTTGATCCAACGATTGAATCTAATTGTAACATTAGCAAAGTTCTGGTACATGCTTTCAAAATTGTGAAGCAAAGGAATAACATGCACATGTTTTTCTGCTCCATCTGTTTTATTACAGAGAGTTTAAATTTATCCAAAAAGATATGTTGCAGAGGTAAGCTGTTGTCATTGCATGAGAAATTTGGGTGGTACTATGGTTGTGGTTGTACATGAAACAGATTGTGGCTTTTCAAAACAGTGCACCATGTGGAATGAGCTTGTTGTAGATTAAACTAGCAGTTCTTCAGCTTACCTCTTCTACACAGCACCTTATCGTCCAGTTTATTTCTGTGTTCTTAACAGAAGAGGGATGAAAATTAAAATGTAGCCAGAGTAACGAAACATTAGAAAATCAGTAGAAGTGGGTAAAACATTTAATAGTAAGTTTCTAATTTGGACCTCCTGTGTTCAATATTCAGGTATGGCACAAAGGACGACAGTAGGTTGTTTGCATTATATCAAGCCTAGTCAGTATTTGTTAGCTACTTTATTTTCGTTGTTTTGTCTGTGTGCTAGAAAGATAGACATATTCAGAAATTACGAATCGTAAATTTTGAGTTTGAAGCGAATAGTGGTTTTGGTTGAACATCTTCATATCAAATAGTTTCTCTGAGCCTTTCTTGCACCATGCTTAAATGAGAATTGAGCTAAACATATGAAGGTTGTTTCCAAGCTTCCACTTGTCCACTTCTAAGCTGGGTTAATTTTAATATAACTATATTTAAGAACTGTGGCATGTGAAGGGCAAATTGCAGCTATCCTAATCGAGGGGATTTATAAATCTGCTGATTGTATGCAAATATTCTTTTCTAAATTTCAAATATGACGAACGAAAAAGCACGAATGAGGATCGTGGGTTGTCAGGACATCACTGCCGAACCTATAGTCTTGCATAATCACGGTGGGTTAGCCCCGCTAAGTGTACTTCACACCGAGCACCTGTGCACTGTGAGAAAACAATACTTGCGAGCTCCGCGGGTATTGCTTTCCCACAGTGCACAGGTGCTTGGTGAGAAGCACACTCAATGGTGCTAACCCGCCGAGATCAACACTTCGAAAAGTATGAATATTGCAGTTCAACTCAAAGCGAATATCAAATAGCCAATTATTCTAAACTACTAGTCGAAAATTTGCAGAACCCTAGAAATTATCCTTTGCATGACAGTAGTTACTTTTTTTGGAAGTTTGTCACTCAAATTTCCCGGATAAAATTTGCTTTTTAAATGGACAGCAGCAACACAAATTGTGTTCTCACTCCTGAAGATGAAATACTCTTGTTCCAGGTATTGATGCTAAAGTAAAGGACCATTAAAACTTATTTCTGAGTGTAGTTCATCTTTTTTGTGTGTACCAGACTAAAATTACTCTGGCAATTGATCTTCATTCTATGGTCAGTGACAGGTTAAGAGTTCAGTAGGTGCTCTGCCTCTAGCATGAGCTCAATGCCTTTGATAACACTTCGTTGCACATCAGCCACAGCTTGGCAAAAGACAACAAGCATGTGCTGGAGGTGTAGCTTGTACTGAATTCTTAGCCCATCACTAAGTTCCTGTTGTTTAGAAAAAGCTAAGTAACCTGTCTGCATGCTCTGGTTTCAGTCAAGCGGCCAGCCGACGAAGACGTCAGTGAGCTTCCAGAAGTGGACCAGAACGCCAAGAAGGAATTGCGCTCTCGCAATTTGGCCAGTCCCAAGGCCAAGCGTAGTTAATCTACTCTTTTATGAAATGTGAAACGAAAAAGTAAACGGAACGAAGCCGCTGTACCAAAATCTGGCCCATTTTTTAAAACTGGCGTACCAATATTCCGTGTTTTTAAGTGGCACCCCTGTTTTTGTTGTCAACATCTGGAAATTGAAACTATTCTTATACTGCTGCATGGCGCATTCTTTTTTTAATAAAACCCTTTTGGACGACTTTGTTGAATCTGCGTTATTTTGGTATCCTGTTACCCCCATTTTTCATAGACTCCAAAGTGTAGCAAAGTTACAACTTATGTTCCTATTTTTTGCTAATTATCTATAACCATGATGATAACAGTGATTCCAAGATCAACTCTGAACATGTGGCCTGCCAACAAACATTCCTGCATCAAACTATTTCAGGATGAAAAACAGGTGGACTCTCAATAAGAACAAAAGGTCTACACCTTAGACTGACGGCACCAGTCGTAGCCAAATGCCGGTATACTAATGCATTTGGCGATGAAAAAAGCCGTGTTTGCCACAAGCCTCGTTTCATTAGTAGTCTCGTTTGTGTCTTGTTCGGGAGATTAATGATATTGCTGCCGATTGAGACATGTCATGTCAACCATCGAGTGTTGCTGATCTCTATCTGCATGACAAGTGGACCAGAGACAACGGCGGGCCAATCCAATCTATGCGCTCGAGACTCACTATAAGAGTGCAGTCGAGCATCTTGGCTCAATTCTTCCGTGGACGGATGCAAGGCTGATCGGCTGCTTGACCATGACTATGAGAGTGGTCACATTTCCGGTACGTCTTTTTTTTTTTTCGTTTTTTGCTTTTAGTAACAGCCGCTGACAACTTTTCAGTGTATGAATATTTTATACAGTACTGACCAGATTCTAATGCTCACTTGGTTTTTGTAGTTACGAATGGTTACCCTAACGTGCCCTTGATTTCGCTTTCATACCCAGTTTTAATGCACGGGCAGTTTTTAGGTGCTATATCTTAAAAAAAAGAATGCACATTTGAATCTGGTAATACAATATATTCCGAAAAAACTGGGTAGTGCAGTGTTGAAAAATTCTTCAAACTGTGTCTTCTGTCATTGTTTTGTTGTTCCACCTTACAACTCGGCTGCCTCACCTGCTTTGACCTTGTGTCTGTAACAAGGTCATAGGTTAAGAACCAAGAAAGTTCAACAGCACTGGAAAACGAAGACTACCTTTACATAGTGTATGTTCTAGGATTCTGTTGGTTTTGCATTGTGGCTTCCTTGATGCCCCAGATATTTTTTCCGGGGGGGGGGGGGGGGGGGGGGGGGGTCAAAATTTATGTGTATAGAACAGACCCTTCCGAAAAGAGCTCTACCGCCACTGCCATTTTCCAACTGTCGCCACCCCTAACAGCCATAAATACCTGCTGCCCATCTGGGCTGCAGACACCCGGCCAGCACTACACTCCACTTGCGTTGTATTCGGAGTTTGCCAGCCTTTCTTGAAAGCTTTTACTTTATTTGCCTATTCAGGATACTTACCCGTTTTGTGTTATCTTCTTTATGAGAACCAGAGAATACCAGGACTCGAAGCTTGCTCAGCCTTTGCGGGGAACAAACAAAAAATAGCTGATCGGGTGCGGTGTAGGGGCCGGAACAGACTTGTCCGTTCCTTTGCTTCAGTACTGTGCAACAAACAAGCCCTCCTCAAAATGTGCCCTAAAACAAGGCCGGATTTTCGTTCGGTCGTCGTGAAGTAACTGCCCTCGACAATGTAGAATGGATATGCTGCGTTATTTGAGACCTTTGTCAAATGAACCCTGTTCGGACATCTCGGCATTATGGGTACGCACAATATGTTGTTTGATTGATGAGAGCTGTTCAATTTCATGTTGTAAGCGGTGAGTACCAGCTATCTTGTGTGGTCATATTTTCGACAGTCAAAACCATTGTAGATTGACATGGTCGAGAGTTTGGCGTCGTGAAAATTCTGCATAAAATGAAAGAAACATTCCAGTTGAATTTTATTTTGTTCTGTCGTGCGCAGACTCGCCAAAAATAGCCTTCATTTGTTTGTTTTTTTCCAAAAATAGTACTGTAGTCATACATATTTTACAAAGAGATATTTGCAGACGGGCCAGTCCGAGATAAGTTCTGAGGTAGGCGAGCCGAGCCTCGGTTGCAGTTAGCCAGGTGTGTTCCATCAGAGCTTGTGTCCGTTGCTCGTGTTGTGTGGCTCCTGCTTCATTCGCTGTGCCTACGTTGGTGCACATTGCTCTACCGTGTAGATGGTGTCGCCCGCTTGTTTGCTACAGTAAAATGCTTTTTAAGAGCTTCGGGAAATTCGACTCGCCATAAAACACAGAAGAAACAATTCAGGAAACTCACTCATATGTTCTATCCAATTTTTACTAAGAATTGTCTACAAGTTTAAAATCGCTCGCTGAGAGGTGCATCACGCATTATGCACATTTGGGTCCACAAAATTAAACATACAAACGGTAGTAATTCATAGCAGGTGTGAACCCCTTGTTTTGAGACGCTGAAGTGTAACCGAGTTACTAGATTTAAGACTTTGATCACAAGGGCGTCTCGCACGTCTCACGTCGACCAGGTGAATAAGCAAGGATTCAATGCGGAGGGCAAGTTCGTCTGCTCCTTGCGCAGGGGGGTAGCGGTGACGTCAGAACGCCGAGCCCTGATTGGCTGATGGCAGCCCCCTATCCGAGCGTCGTTTGCTCCTTTGCAACGTCGTCTGCTCGACACGTCGTCTGCGTGTCTTGCCTTTCCTGCGACTTTCGGAAGTGCAGAGGCCAGAGGCCAGGTTCACAAAACAATCTTATGCCAAAAATATGCGTAAGACAAAACTTGAGAACAAATTTGTATTCACGAAACGAAATTTTTGTAAGTTTTGCGCAGGTTACGACGAAATCCTACGACAGCTTTGAAGCTGTCTTACGCACTTCTTACGATCAAATCAGCATGGCCGACAGCGTCGCGGTCGGGAGGACCAACGGACGTTTATTTTTCTACGTGCGCTTCTCATGCGTCCCGACTTGAAGCAGCAAGAAAAAAGTAAAAAGTACTTGAAGCAGACCATGACGAACAAGAACGCTGGATCCACAAACACCCGGGAAAACCTCCAACGGCCACGATTCCACCGACAACAACCTAGCGAGCATGGCAGATAGGCCTAGCAGGCACTCCGACTCAGCGACCGTCTGCCAACGACCGGCTGGCGTGCTGAATAGAATATGCCCGCGCGACCCTTGTGGACCCTTCCCGTCTTATACTTTGATCGCTGACCTCAATTTTAGATTAAGAGGTCAATCTCTTCCTCCTTGTTTTCCGAGGCAACGGTGACTCTCGCCGGTCAAAAAGCGGTGAATCTCCAACAGACGCAGGAAAGGTAAAGCAGCCATCGCTATGACTAGCAGACGTAAAGCCGACAACGTTAACTGCGCCAACCCGCCGACGCCCTTAAAGAGTGAGGAGTCTCGCCGCACACGAGAGGAGGGAAGAAGTATTTGGGAGGGAACTTGCGGACACTAACCACCCTCACTCTCGGTTCTTAGCAAACAAACCTCGGCGCCTCGGGACACCTCGCCAGTGAGTCCTTTGACTTCTCTCCTTGATGCGCGTCTGCTAGTTGTTAGACAAAAAAAACGTATTGCTCGAGTTATTTCGTCTGCCCTCTCTGAAAGGCGAAGTCGAGCTCGCTCGACTTCCGAAAGTCGCAGGAAAGGTAAGACAGACGCAGACAACGTTGCGAGCAGACGACGCTCAGATAGGGGGTTGCGATCAGCCAATCAGGGCTCGGCGTTCTGACGTCACCGCTACTTCCTTTCTCATGCGCAGAAGACGAAAATGAGCCTACTTGCGACGCGTATTGAAATGACTCCGGAAGCCAGCACTGCTTCTTCCTACCAGTTATTTTCAGAAAATGTTTGTTTTTAGTTAACAAAATCAAAATTTAAATTTAAAAATCCACTTAGAATTAATAAGAGACCACCACTCACAGAACGCATTGGAACCAACAGGATACACGGAGTCGCTTTCACCGAGTGTTTACTACACATGCGAGACGTTTCCAAATTTCGCTCTCCTATTTTCAGCTTGACAAGGCATTCCTTTCTTAGTTTTATTTTGACCAAATAATAATAAAAAATACACCCTCTTTGCTGTGCTAGATATTGTAGTGTGATAAAACGCTGGATATTCTGTTTAATCATTCAGCTTTTGGTACTGGGGTAAAGAACAGCACACCACCATCCAGGCGCTTCGACAACTCTGAGCCAAAACTGTTTGTTAGCACGACTACGCGTGCCACGGTTTAAAGCTTTGGTAAAATGTCCTACTACAGTACAACTGACAAACTGAGGGATCTAAGATCTGTGCAGTCTGTTCCATTCTGTCCTACCCGTGACGTCACAAACGACGACAATAGCTAGAGAAGCATCCCCTGTGACTTGTGCATGCCACCAATAGGGTGGGCTAGATTTCGGAGAGGGGGGGCTTAAGCACCATAAGCTTTCCCCCCTCCTCCTGGCTATGCAAGTGTTCATGCCTCCCTTTGTTTCTAGAGTAAGCCTGGAGCACCATTGCAGGTTGAGATTTGTAGATTTCAAAAGTCGCTTTGAATGACAGCACACAGCCCAGCGTATTGGCTTGCCGCTGTGCAATGAAGAAACAAATTGATTTAACTCTGATAGGACCAAGCTGGCAGCTCGGTTCTATGGGTGAGGAGGATTGAAAAAATTTCAGCAACGTTTGATGTGTTTTGTTAAAAATGATGGACGTGCGTGACTTTTGACTTGTGCTGTCCAGTACGATCCGCACGCCGCGTTCAGCGAAACCCCACAGGGTATCAAGGTGACCACGGGCCTTCTTGGAGACATCATACGGGAGCTTTCAAACTCCATGAAGTTCAAGTGAGTTGCATGGTTGAGGCCTTGCCTGTCTAGGAGGCATCTGCCATAGTTTTTAAGAAAACTGCAATAATAAGAGACCATCCTGGAGTAGTGTCAAAACAAAGTTTTGGATGACAGTGTAGAGGCATTTTATATGGCAGCTACAAAGTAGTTTGGAACGAGATCTACCTCACTAAATGCAAGTGAGTGGATTATAAACGAAATTACTACTTGTGAATTCTTTAAGAAAGCTGATGACTGTCATTTTAGTATTAATAAATTAAATAGGTGTTCAGTACAAATACTTCACCATGCACCAGCACTATTTGGCCAGCTACTAGGTAGCCTGCAAATAAATACTAATTCATAAAAAAAATTTCAGCAAACTTTCAAATGTAGACACCAGTAATAACTTACTCTGGACAAAATACCTTGGAACTTGAAAGTCAGGCCAAACTAATTGGCCAATGAGAATACCGAGAAGAACCTAGCATACAACTGAACATCCTCTTACACTAGGCAAGCAACAGAATAAATGTCATTGTTTAAAAGGTAAAAAAGTGTTTCCTATAAATTTAGACATTACCGTTCCAAGGTTGGTATGCTCATCAAAGTCAACCCACATCCCTTGGCAACTATCAAGCACTTCGCTGGAAAGTCTAAAGATTAAAGATCACCAAATACCCAGCTCGCACCCATGTTACACCAAGTATCCCCACTTTTGTAATATATGTGCAATGGACATATCAAGTGCCCACACCAGCAAACTTTTAAACTCACTTAACTAAACGAAGTGTTCCTCTGCATCAGCTGCTTCTCCAAGAAGCCGGTGCCCAAAGCGCTAGAGCTTTACGCACGCCGGTGTGAAGTAGTGCAAAGTGGTGAAGCTCGATGTGAAAGCGGCGGCACATTAAAGCAAGCTAAACAAAAGCGGCACTGCCGTTTTAAAAATTGGGAGTTCCGCCAGACCCCTATCCTGCTTCTATGCCGCTCCATCGGATCAGACAAGGGTGCACCCCCCCTACCGTGTGCCCCTACTTTTCTGCTTTCAGAACTAATGAGCATCCATCCCCATTTCTTTGCTATTCTCTCAGACTTTTGGGTCGGCGCTTGCTCAGTATATTACGGCAGAAACTGACACTACATTCAAAAGATGTATACAGCTTCGGGTCTGTGCCGAAGGTCATAACAATGCAAGCATTACAGCTACACAGTGTCCTTCACGCCGGAAAGAACCCTCGGCATTCGACACCCCAACGGCTCCTGGACGGGACTGATTGGCTCCCTTCAACGAGATGTAAGATCAACGTGCACATCATTACAGACCTTATATACTCTATTAAGCTTACAACCCATCAGAGTAATATAATTAATAAAGTATACCACATAAGTATTTTTTTCAAAGTTTAAATAGTACAGCTCCTTGGGCTCTCCAACCAGTTTTTAAAAATACCGATTCATTTGAACGAGAATTTGGAAAGCCTTTTGGATCACTGAACCCTCATTTTCGTGCACTACAATTTGTAACGAAGCTGCTTTCTTTTCTAATTTATAATAGTACAGATTTCTGGATTATCCAACCAGCTCTTTAAAACTTTGATTCATTTAAGTGAGAACTGGAAAAGGCTGTTACACCACTGAACTCTTTTTTTTTTTATTACAATTGGAAAAGGCATTACCTTTACCTAATGAAGTGGAATAAGATTCCCTTTCTCCAATAAAAAAAGTTTTAACAATGAAGTCGGGCCATAAATTTAGTGGCTCCCCTATCTAAAAGTATCGGGAAGAAATAGTGCATTGAAGATCACCAGTTCAAATCGCCTCTTGAGAAGGCTCATACAAACATTTTTTGACTTTAAAAGTTTTAACTTTCAAAAGGCCGAGACCAATTTTTTTTGGTGAAACTGCAGACACATTGAATTTTAATTAGTCTGTTTGTGGAGGACGTCGCAATTATCCAAATTTCTTGTCTCAGACAGAAGAGAGCACTTTTTCACAATGTTAATGCCAGAGACACACCTTATGAACTCAATGCCTCGCAGACACAGAGGATGCGAAATGTCACTGACTGAGCTTCAAATAGCTGTTGTATATGCTTCATGAGGATACCCAAGACTAAGGCAACTACCATTTCTTCTGTCGTAAATTCCATACGTTGCCCGTCCTGCCTTTCAGGAAGGAGACTTCGCCCTGGGACTCATGATCCCAACAAACTCCCGCAACGCGATTGCCCGCCCCACCACAGAGGTGTACATCGACGAGATTACCATCTTGGCTGGCAGGACGCACTCCAAGAGCATGAACGTCTTCTCCTACGTGCTCACTTTCGACTGGCAGGCAAGCCAACCTGGTGGCCACAATGGACGCAATCTGCATGTGCACACTTCAGTGCCCACAGCAAAGTCACCTAGCAGCACAGAGCTCTCGGCTAGCCAGAGAGCCATTCATTTGTGTCTCATTGACACGGACTCTCCCACTCCCCCAAAAAGTTTCCATAGTGTGAGTCGTCCATTACAAGAGAGTAAATTGTTCTTCCGTTCTAAACACCATCTTAGCTGATCTAGCCACCCATAAATGCACTACTATGAGCCAAGCACTCTCCAATATCTCAGTCACTGCACAACTTTAGTGAATTAGTAATGCCAAGACCAGGAGGCAATTCTTGGCTGCCGCTTAAAGCAGACGGGGGTTACTCAAGATAGATGAGACTGAGAACCCCTATAGTAGATAAGAGGTTCGACCTCAACGAAATGAGGAACTTCATTGGGTGTTTCTAATTCTCCACTTTCATGGGTGGCTAGGTGTGGGTGTGCGTGGTCATCGCCATGTTCACCCTTGCCTTCCTTTCCACGGGTTTCGACTACTTCTACGAGCACACCGTCCGGAATCGAAAGTCGTTTTCAGAGCGCTTCTTCACTCATCTGTGGGAGTACTTCGAGAACCTCCTTGGCAAAGGTAATTTGATTTCCGTAAACGGTTGCTGGCCCCACCCACATCAATCCATTTCTATAGCTATCATACCGAAATTGATTGTGAAAGTGCGCTTAGATGGTGGGAACTGTACACTGGAATTTCGGTGAACATATTTATTTGACTCAGGTGCAAAAGATCAAAGGAAGCCTTTTTGTGTTGAAATGGCTTTAAAAAAAACCCTAAAAATACATATTTTTTAAAAATTAATTTTGCGCAAAATTTTAGCGCAATATTGACAGTGAGAGATTCATCTGAAATTCTGCGCGCAAAGTCCATGACGTCACGGAATGGTCATTCGCTCTTTCGACCTCAACGTGAAGGCAAAGCCAATCCACCTGTTCTCCACGCGCCCGAAATGCCGAGAAAGAAAACAAGTGGAAAAGAGGTGACTACTGACTAAATCGCAACAAGCGCCGTCAATATTGTTTTAAAAAAAAAAAAAAATTTTTTTCGCATAAAATTATTTTGTGACAAGCGTGTCCCAACCAGACTGTTTAAAAACAAACATTTTTTTCTTTTCATCGGCCTTGTAAGGTAGACATACACTGCAACTTTTACTTCTGCTCACTTCTTTCTTTACCATACCCTCTCCACCTTTCCTCTTCAAGAGTTTAGTTCTGTTTTCTTTAAGTGAAGAGCATGCAGAACCTTGTCCTCTGCTCAGTCTCACCTCTCTGTTCCCCTCACAGTTTAGGAAAGGAGAGGGGCTAAGAAGATTATCTATTCTGCAAAAAAAAAAAAAATTAGGCTTGTAACAGTCAAGAAAGAGCACTCGCAGATGCGAAATTCATTTTATGACATGCCGCATCTGGCTTTCCAACTTTTCTCCCCCTTTACTGAATGAAGTGCCACAGCTCAAGACCACAACACTACTCGACTCCAATGAAAATTAGACAAGTAATGCAGCCAAGTTGTGCACCCCATACGCTCTTTCCTTCCTTCTCAGTGGTCACAGAAAACAATTATGAAAAAGAGAGCCATTTGCATGGGAACAAACTAGTTTTAGTTTCTAACCTTCTACCCATGTAAATTCATTCCTTAAAATTTTTATGACACAACACCGACCATCCCAAGCAAGACCTTCGAGATAAACTTCCGTATGATGGCTCCTGAAACCAATCAATGCCAGTCATTCAAGGGCCAAACGAACTGTCCCTATCACCCTGTAGTTAAAGGAATGCTGAACCGAAAGTTTTATTTTAAAAAAAACGCAGAAGTACTAGGCGTGGCACTACAAGCCCTAAAGTATCACTCATAAAGCAGTATCTCCAACGTGACGTCGCGATTCTCGTTTCCTGCTCTTCTAGCTTTGACTCTGCGAGGATGCGAAAAGAGAAGGAAGCCAAGGCTGTTTCTCCTCTTCTTCAACTATTCTGCAGGAAATGTGACATCGCGATTCTCACTTAGTCGCATCCTTATTTTACAAAAATACGGCTACCGTTCGAGATATCCCTTTATGAGTGGCGTTTTGGGGTTTGCGGCACCCCGTTGAACACTCCCTCTACCTTATTTTGTGAAATCCCAATTTTGATTCAGCATCCCTTTAACGTGGGGAACATCTGGGGCACATTTCGTAGCGCTCGTGACGGTTCCCAGGCTCGTCGGTCGAGAGCGACTGGCACGCCACCAGGCTGCTCAGCGGCTTCTGGTGGATAGGCGTCACCGTGCTGGTGTTTGCCTTTGCGGGCCAGATGAGGGCCTGCCTTATGGTCAAGTCGCAGGAAGCCATGATCCGCAACGTGGACGACCTCGCACGCCGCTCCAACGTCAAGCCGTACACCCTCTCGGGCAGCATTCTGACCACCATCTTGCGCGTGGGTGTCTTTCTGTGTCCTTGACCTCTCCCCGTTTTAATGTATACCCTATTAGAGCGGCGAAATTGACAAAATAAATTCGCGTCTGGCAACGTTCTGTGCAATGTAAGCGCCATTGTTTTGTTTATCGAGGAATACATTATATCCTGCTGTGCTCCAACATAGATAAAAATATATTCAACAAAACCAAATATGCCAGAGTGTCGGCGACTCCAAGATTCAAAATATTACTTACATTTAACGACATTAGTGTTATTTATCAAACTCCAGGAAGTTCGCTAAACTGTTTTTTAATACTCAAATTCCATTTTTGTACTGTGCACACACAATTGGAAGAAGATACTTCAAGTAAAACAAACTTAACATACAAAGGTTGGCAATGTGTAAGCATCATGTAGATGCTTTCCTTATCGTGAATGTAAGCATCAGTTGTCAGAATGAATTAGTCGTCTAGCAAACACATCTTGACCACCGTAAAATACCGTGGAAGCACCCACTTTGTTCAAGCGCCCACTAGAAACATCTCCCAAACTTAGGAATTCTGCAAATTATACGTCAAGCGCTTGATTAAGTAAGGTGGGTGCTCCCCCGGTATTTTATGGTAGGTTGTTGGGGCAACTAGGTATAGCGGCGATTTGGACCTGAAGAAAAACAAATCCCTTGGCGAAACATCTGCAGTCACCCCGAGGTTTCCTGGAGGTTATACTTTCCAAGTCCTCACTAGTAGCTTCAGCTACCTCCGTACATTTTGCGCTGACTAAGTAGTGAAGTTTGTGTATTGACTATTAAGGCCCGTTCACACTCTTGCGACCGAGTACGACCGAGAGAGACGAGATCTCTTAAAACTTCTTAAATGTTTTTAGAATGAGGGAACACACTGGCATTGTGGCGCCATCTATGCGGTGACCCTGGAACTGCATTTCACAAGAGCGAAGGTTTTGGGGGATTTCCAAGGTCAAATGTGCGTAATACCCATAGAAAGGCTCGTTTGTAACATTGACAAAAGTTTTTCGAGCCAAGAAAGAAAGGATAATGCGCGAGAAATCAAAAAAAAATATGCTGGACCGCCGAGTTTACACTGCTTCCCAATAGATGGCGCCAGTGTGTTTTCTGGTTTAAGAAGTTTTAAGGAATTCAGGTTTAAGAGGTCGTAAGAGTGTGAACGGGCCTTTAAACCTACACAAATAAAGAGCCATCTCTCATGTCAAACACGCCCATACAAGTGGACTGGCACCTGGCTCATTCCCAGTTTGACGATTTTAACCACAAGTGTGAACAGATTGCACCATATGACCAAGCGACCTTAAAGATAAAAAGAAGATATAGATTAACCTAAGGATATGTCCCTGCTAGTTATACTGTACCAAGGGAGGCGGGGGCTAAATACTGTGAGAATGGTTATGCAAAGGGTGGTAACGTGACGATTGTCACAAAATCGTCGATGACATTGCAAGGATCACCCGTGGCCCTCACACAACCCTGCGACCTGTCCTTCCAGAACTCCAAGAAACCGTCTTACACAAAAGTCTTCCAGCGGATCGTGAAGGGCCGCGGCCAGACGGAGCTCCACCAGATCTACGGCCCCAAGATCCTCAAGGAAGTCGTGCAGGGAAAGTCGGTCGTGATTGCCGACCGCGGATCTTTCACTTACAAGGTCAGGTCAACGCGACTAGAGCCGCCGGATAAGCTAGGCTTCGTATTATAAGAGAGTTCAGCCATTTCGGTACTCCAAATCATTGTTGCCATTCACCCAAAGCTTCATCTCAAGTTGCAGGAAGTGGTTTTCTGTCCCCCAGAAATGTTGGAAACAGTCCACGACGGACTAAAATGGCATCGCCTCAGCTTTCCAAAACCGTATCCAAAGCTCAGAAAGTCACATTTTCCACTAGATTGCCAATTGCTTCCGTTCTGCATTAAGCAGCAAAATGGCGGCATCCACATGATAATTTGGAAATGGAGTGACGATAACTTTAAGAGGAGCTCACTTAACGGTTGTGAATTTAACGCGCTTGTCAAAACAAAACCGTGGGGCACGAACAGAAGGACCCTCGTGTAACTGACCGGCGCTGCTCACAGGTCGCCCGCACGTGCAGAAATTACACGGACGGTGAGTTCTACATTGCGGCTGAGCCCATCCTCAACTTCCGCTTCGTCATGTACCTCAGCGCCACCATGGACCCGAGGACCCAGTGGGAGATCAACCGGAGGTATGCTCGTTGTCTTCAAGTCATTAAAGTATTTATCCTGACAAACAAATACAGCAATGTTGGCTCGACGAGTTTAGAGCGTGCTGCTGATTAAGAGGATAAAAGAAAAGCAGCAAAAAGGACAAAGACACGAAGAAACATATGGTCCTGTCCTCTTCCTTTTTGTTGCGTTCGGTTTACCTCTAGCTGTACCAGCAATATTGATTATGTGAATAAAAGTTATATGCTTGATCGTAGGTGGTAGCATGGACCCCAACTCCATCCTTCCCAGCTTACTGCTAATTGCAAAATATTTAAAGCAGCACTCTAGAGAAACCTGCAAACACTACCTATGTCCGTGAGTATAGTAGAGTCGTTTATGGTATGGGGTAGAAGTTGAGTAGTAAAGACAATTGTGCCCAGAAAACACCTCCCAGTTTCATTTTAATATCACCTAAAATTGAAAATAGTATGAATTCTTCGGGTGAATTGTGTGATATTAAAAATCAAGAAGTTTTTAAGCTGGCACAAGCATTCCAGTAAAATGGCTCCGAGAAGAAAAATAACTTTTTGACAACAAGAAGCAGCAAATAACTAAGGACTCAGAATTAAAAAAAAACAAGGCATTGTTTTATTTATTTTTTTAAAGTACATTTCACTCTTTGTTTACATCGGAAAAAATGTCGATGCATGGTATTCAGTATGTATCGAACACCTTCACTTTGGTGCATTAAACAGTTGTTCCCAGGGGTTGTGACAAGCTTCGCTACAGTGTAAATATGACGTATCCGCCGAGATAAGCTCGTAGCATTTGGCATTCTCGACTAGTCGTCCAGGGAGAACCCAAGTGGACGAGTGGTATGGTACTGCATCTACTGCACCCGACTTGAGTACCATTATAAACTTACGAAAAAATTATAAAGTTGTGAACAGTGGGGTATGAAACTCTAGTGCTCCTCTTGGATGTTTTTCCATCACAGTATCTTCTCCGGCAATGAAACTTTGAACAATCTGCTGCTCAAATTTACATTTTGACCACAGACAAGCGACTTTGGAAGGTAAAAAATAGAAAATATAAATGTCCTTCTTATAAATACAGTAAAACCTCGTTATAACAAAGTTAAAGGAGCGGTTGTAATTATTTTGTCATAACCATTAGTTTGTTATAGCCAATGTTCATTTCTTCCCACTATTAGCAAGCAAGGGAAATTATGATTGGTTTGTTATATCCATTAGTTTGTTATATCCCATTTTGTTATAACGAGGTTTTACTGTACAATGGTATCGGCCTCAGTTTTCCAACACCACATCCAAAGCTCAGAAAGTCACATTTTTTAAGAGCAATGGTTGCCAATTGCTTTTGCTCTGCACCACTATGTGCCAAAATTAAGAAAATTATGTTCATTGCACACAGTTACAAGCAAAACATGCCAAAGCTTGTTACAGCACAGCAAGTCAGATACTAGCCAGAACAACTTCTAACCACGGGCTGCCAAAGCTGTCTCAGAGAAATTTGGTATTGAGCACTCAAAGTTCCCTTATGCTGCCTATAACGTGGCAAAGCAGTGAGGTGAACTTAAACGAGTTCTGAAGTGTGTCAGACAACAGAAACCTCAAGCGCAAAAAAAAACCCCACATTCACCGCATTCCTTGCAATATGCAGCTCTCACAACATACACTTTCCATACCTGTGACAATGGCAATGAGTCCACACCAAGACAAGGGTCAAGTTACCCCAAACACACATTCATGACAAGATGGGTGGACATCGACGACATTAAATAAGGAAATATTCACTGAAATGCTCGGAGCTATGTGGATGTAACAGGGTGCGTAAGGCATAGTAGCAATGTGTCATCATTACCGTCCGGATATTTCAGCGTAGCAACAATATTTGTAATGCCCAGTGTTAATGGCACGCACCCAACAAAAAAATATAAGAATGCATTGGGAGCCGAAATGGCAAGGAAACCACGGCTAGGGTTGCTAGCAAAAATGAAAGAAAGCGTCGAGGGGTGCGTGTCACCAAAGAGAGCTCAGAAATTACCCTCTTGGAAAGGATGTTGCCGTAAAGCCTCCGGACGCCAGTGCGCTGGTGAGGCACAGTCTGCTATTTGACATGAAATTAGAGAATTCAGAGTTGGCACTGTGGTCTATGATCTACGATTGGTAGGCGACATGCTTCCACGATACTATGTCTCAGACTGCTGGATGTAATACCACGTAAATGCATTGAGCTTTCAGACTTGACCATTTCTTCTAAAGGAAAAGGGTGGATATACCATAAAAACTTAAAAATTGTAATGTATACAGAAATCTGAAAAACAGCATCAATACTCTACAGAAATACCAAAACTTGCTGAACCTTTTCTTAGTCAGTTTACACATAACATCCACATATAACAATCTCCACAATTGGTAAAATGTGTTCCTTACGTGCATAATTGATTCATTCCAAGCTGCCAAGCTTGCCAAGCCGACTCGCACACATCCTAGCAACAGTGTTCTCATAAATTGTTGCACTGCGTAAAAGGATTCGTGGCACGTATATTATAATATTGATTGGCAAGCTATCACAAAATCAGAAAAAAAACAATTAACGGAAGGCGAAAATAAAGCTACTGAAGGGGCACAACGATCCAGTCAACATTGCAACTTGATCGTGTAGAAGTAGTGCCCAAAACCCGAGGGTGACCAAAACAGCTGTGGTTTTGGTCATCGTTGGGGATATGTTCCCTTCACACTTGTGGCTTCGCCTCTGGTGGAGTCACGTCGCCTCCAGAAGCTTCCTACCTCCACGGCGTGGATCCACCAGTGGCTACGCCTGAGGGGAAAAGGCGCACCTCTAGGCGGCATTTCATAGAGCTGCTGCAACACGAGAATTAAAGGGGGGCACCTCCCATCCTCTGTCGCCGACGATGACGCGATGGTTCTGTGCGCGAACCCAGGCTCGTCTGGCTTCGGGAGAACGGCATCGTGGGCAAGTGGATCAAGAACATGCTGGGAGACTGGGAACACTGCCGCCAGGAGAGCAGCAGGGTCACGCTGTCCTTCGAGGACACCTACGCCATCTTCGTCATGTGGGCCCTCCTCATTGCCGCCTCGCTTGTGGCGTTCGGCTGCGAGAAACTGCACCATGCCTGCACCGCCGCCAAGGAACGGCCGTCTCAGCGACCGGGACCGATTCTCGGCTGGGGCGTCACAACAGTCTCACGCAAGCATCCCAAGGTCGCCAAGCCGTTTCAGGCATACAACTTCAAGGTGTAGCTTACAGTCGGTTCGATTTTGTTGTGATCCAAGTCGTGAGGGCGGTCATTTTCGAACCCCGATATACGAATGGCGAGCTAGATGACGAAAATATGTAGTATTGTGTTTGCATGCAACTGCACGTTTCTCTGATAGTCAGCTCGGGACTATCGTTTTGGTTTGGTCGGAGAGCACCAAAGAATATGGCACACCGATATGTATATTTATTAGTACAACTTTTCTGTATTAGAAGAATATTAGTTCCTACTCTATTTTAGTACAAGAAGTGAATACGAGCCACCTTCTCAATATGGCTGCTACAAGTCCAAATTGTGTGAGAAACCCTGAACACACATATGAAAAAGTCACATCCAAATGGTATAAATGTTTAAATGCAGTTTGAAGCTAGTTTGTCTCGTCAACCATGCTGAGTTGCACTTGGTGTCGACTCTTTTCTGCTACACTGTCAAGATTAGCGTAGCTTTCACGATGCTGCAAACCTACACTGCTGCGAGAGCACATGGCTTTGTCTTGTGTCTCATTCGCATGTGCTTGCAGAACTAGCTTTGCCACTTTTAAAGAGCTGAAGAACTGTGGAAGGCACGCTAACCTCGACAGCTTAGCGAAAAATAGTCGAAGCCAGTAGAGAAACGGCTCTGCCTGTTACAGCACCCAAGCACTTAATACCATAGAGTTTTTATAATGTACGCTAGAGGTTCAAGTGGCGCTAGTGTGCTGACGCAAATTGAAGCAGACAGCAACCAGTCGAAAATTGACTTCTGGTAATGCATTTCTACGGGAAAAAGTGAGTGCATTTTCTCTCAGCGCTCGATCATAAGAGCAAATATCCCAAATAATTCATACGTACTAGGTAGCTTGAAACATTTCTCAGTTCGACCGACAAAATAAATGGTCAGTTAGGCGTTTTTCTTTCAAATTCATCGCATTAAAAACGGTGCTTTAATGGCTCCGTATGTGCATTTATGTGCACTGTCGGACACTGTTAGCGCGAACACGACGTCAGCGCTTTTCAGCATGAGGGATATATGTGCCAAACGAACGAAGGACATCTGGAAATTAAGGGGGACGGCGAGAACTATGCAGTAACACTGGATCAGTAACTACCTGTGCATGTACAATAAAAATAAATTGAAGGCCACGTAATCTATTCCGATTTTAAATAAGTGAGTACCGCTTTATTCTTTCTGCTCTGAGCGAAGCTGCTTGTTCCACGTTCAAAATATCACCCGCACGCTCGAAATCTTTGAGAACAAGTGCCCGATAAAAGCTGCCCGGCAGAGAAAACAATACAGAGAGACACCTTTCATAGCCTACCGACTTTATTCTCTACGTTTTGAATGTTTTTATCTGCTCATGCACGACGGGGTCATTTTCATATAGTGACAGGACTGTATATTATCAATATATAAGCGTCACCGGAATGCTGGTGAGCCTTGAACACACTCTATATTCCTTTCGATTGTAATTTTGCTTTGAATCGTCGCTTGTTTTTACACAACTGCTGCAGAACACACGTTTAAGACTGAAATGTAGCGAAGTTAAACTTCGATCACTTACGAAGAAAAATGCACTAACTAAAGCAATTACACTTTTACAGTGTTAATCAAGGTACATACTATTCAGTACGACCCAAATAACCAAAGTGTTCCGTGTTATTTTCCGGCGAAGAGACAAAATGCACGCGCATTTTCCCATAGGAATGCACATGAGCACCGCAAAAGTAGACTGGTTGTTGTCTGCTTCAATTTGCGTTACGGAAGTTGCATAGACACTAGCGCCAGTTGAACCTCTAGCGTACATTATAATAACTCTATGCTTAATATAACATGAACACGCAGCACCCTCAACCGGCAAAAGTTCTGTGACTTTCTCGAAAGCCCCTGTAGCATTTTAGGAAATAGCATAAACATCTAAATAAAACCTGGAATATCTTACCTGATCCGCTTCAGACGACGCTTGAAGTGTCATCTGGCCGGCGTACTTTCCTCCCATTTCTCTACGGAGGGGGAAAAGACACAAATTTATCCTCGACCATTTGCGCGAAAAGAGTGTGATGACTGACTGTAAAGTAAGTATAAGTGACCCAATCTTTCCTTTCCTTCTCTTCAGATCCACTCTCCCCTCAAGGATAAAAAATTTCCATCTGGGAGAGACCCTTTGTCCCCTAAAGGCCCGTTCACACTCTTGCAACCGAGTGCGACCGAGAGAGACCAAACCGGTTTTTAAGCCTCTTGTGATCTCTTAGGACCAGCTCCGCTCAGTGCATCCGGTCCCAAGAAGTCTTTCTCGGTCGTACTCGGTTGCAAGAGTGTGAACGCGCCTTAATCCTTTCCCTTCTTACAACACAACAGAATTCTTCGCCACCCAAAATTAATTTTCCATTAATAACAACAGTGTTTTGTGTCTACCAGAAACATATTAATTTTCCACGATTTGATCTACTTGTCCGGAGCAAAAAGACGACGAATGAGGACGGCAGAATGCAGAAGAGTCGCAGCGAGAAAACATTTCAGACGTTTTGCATACGAACTGAGCTTTGCAACAACAATGGAGGCACTACTGATATCAACGTGCAAAATCTGAAACACGGCATCACACTCCATTCACCACTAAACTGAGAGCGGTGGGAGCTACGGGCTCGCCGCACCAATCAACCCGCTCCCTTTCGTCACCTGACCCCACCTTCTGTGCGTGCGCATGGTCGGGAGCTCGATCACGTGGACGAAGGTGGGCGTATGACTGGTGCGACGATCACGTAGCTTCCACAGCACCGCCGGCTTAGGGGCTAACAGAGTACGGGAATTCACAAGAGGCTCACCGAAGCAGAGCTGCAGAATGCCATCACTGTAAGGCCGACAAGAAGGCCGAACGCAACGTAAGTCACAGCTTGCACGAGGCTGCGCTGGGCCCTCCATTCGTGCAGGTCGCGTACATGGAGGAAACGGTTCCGGTACTCGGGGGGCAGCTCAAACTGCGACGGAGTGGGGAACAGGCTCTCGTAGAAGTCGTGCACCACCGCTTTCACCTGAGAAGCAATAATAATAATCACAAGTTCATTTCCCATCATGATTTGATGGTCGGGATAGGAAAAAAAAAGGCTCGAGGTACACCTAAGCACTTTTTATGAGTTGTGAATGTGAAAGCATGTACATCATACTTCCTCTTTGCGTGTTGCCGCGCTGACAGACACGCAGCGCCATGGGGTGGCCACTCATTGAAACTGACGCTGCACGTCAGTTTCAGTGACCGGCCACTTCATGGTGCTGCATGTCCGGTGAATGGGAGCCTTAGAGACGTGCCCCAGCCAATGGGACTGAAGTGTATAAGGTGCCGTCGGCTAGCTTTGCGCGTGGTTTCATAGCTGGGAGCTCGCTTGACTTGGAGAAAGGATTTAAGGTGCTGTCTGGAGCGGTTTCAAAGCTGATGACGTTGGCTCACTCCATGAGACAGTTAATGCTTTCGCATAAAAAAATCGCCTGACTCTTTGGTATACTCCAAAGGCACCTTAAATGTGTAGCATTTATAGACCCTCTGTGAAGTGACATTACATTGCGTGACCCCATGACATCACAGTGTAATGCGAACATCATGGAATCACGTGATGTCACGGTGTTGTGTGACATCACATGGCCATCATGAAAGCAGACTGTCATGCGGCCTTGGCTGTGCTCCAAAATTTACTCGATCCGACTACGGAGTAAAGGTTTCGTGCAGTGGCGTTTCAAAACTTACTCGCGCTTACTCGATGACGTCTGAACTCGTATTCCAGAAGCAGGTTGTTTACTCCAGAGTAATTACCGTAATATCCCGAGTCATCGCCCACCCCCCTACCGCCTGAAATTCAATAAAAAAGTGGGGTGGGCCATGTCTCGGTGGGTGAGCACAAACACTTGAAAAAAAGCGGAAAAAACCGCCTATTTCTCTCTGCGTATCTAGCGCTGTTGCACAAGAGATACATCAAACTCAAAACTCGATTTAGTTTCATTGTTTTATAGAAAAAAATGCTCACGAAAGAATATTTTACTATAGCGAAGTCCGTTGCTTGCATACGCGCTAGAAACACCGCCGATCTGCATATAGCGCGAACGTTTGTTCTGTGAAAGAATGTCACCACTATGTTCTCCTATTTAGTAAAAAAGAAAAAAAAAGAAAAGTCTACAAGAAAATAGAAAAACCGACCAGGCGCAACGAGCGAGCGAGCGAGCGGACCAAAGAAGCGACCAAGAGCAATGCTGGGAAAGCGGGAAAGCCGGCGGTCGCGTTGGCAAATACTTTGGCGTCGGGCCAAGTCGGGCGCCTTGTCAATTGCAAGCTCTTGCGCAACTTTCTTGTTTGGTGCGTACATACGTGCGTCCGTGCACGGCGGGCTATCAATGCACGGTTGGGGCGCTCTGCAAACGTCTGTGTAGGACGTTCCAGCAAAGCTTTATTTACGCTTTGGCTTTGCCTAAAACATTGCACAACCACAGTCGCGACGGGCGGGAAGAAGGAGCGGGTTCGCGGTGACCTTCGGCGGAGACAGGCTTTGACCTAACCCTCCGCGGTTACATTAACAAACTCTTATTTTGTTATCTCCATCGTTTTCTTTTCGCACGGATGCACAACCACGTTGGGGTCGCTCACGGAGGAAATGCGTAAACAAAAAGAAGTGTCTTTCCCTCCATCGTTTTACTTTGTCACGGACGTCCTCCAACTGTAAGGTCCGCGGCCACTTCATTCGGGTAGGATGAGTGTTCGCAGATCGCAGAGTCCGCGCTGGGGTATTTGAAGGGGTGGGCGATGACTCGGTGTTTTTTCGGAAATCAATATTGGCCCAAAAAATGGGGTGGGCGATGGCTCGGGGATGGGCGATGACCCGGGATATTACGGTACTCACGCTACTCTCCTTGATCGGGGGGTAACGTTGGACCAGATTAAATATGTCACATGATCTGTTCGCCATCTGCTGGTCGTCTGCTTTCTGCGCCCACAGCCTCAAAGCTCGTTTGCTCCGTTGGCTTTGCCAGCGGGTGTTCGAAATGACAAAGAATGAGGTGCAGCCATTTATATGTGGTTATTGTGATTTGCTGTTTTCGACGCACAAATTGAGTGTGCACCACATCGATACCATGCCCCTTCTGCAGTAAGGTATACCTGTTGTTATTATCAGAGTGCGAGCGTAAACAGGAGCTGCTCAGCATCCTCGTGCTTGGCGTTGGGGGAACTTGTACTCTTACATTCCAGGCTGAAATATATTCAAATACAGTAGATGATGTGGAAGTTTTTTTGTTTTTTTTTTCTTTTTCCTCAACGCGCGTGCAATGAGAAGAAAACGCTTGTAAAGCGGTGAAGGCTTCGAAGATTTCATATAAATGACCAGTCAACAACCCCACCCCATCTCCCTCCCCAAGAAATATAGCAGTTTGGAAGTGCACTCTGTGATTCTGTAATCATATTCGGGTCAAAGGGAATGCAAGTTTCGTATCACTGTTGAGAAAACCCCCTGCACAGTAGCGTTTCACCGTGTGGAAGCAATTTCTGCAATACGTAATCGGTGCAAATTACAACGCTTGGAACGTATGCGTTTATTGCAACCGGACTAGAATTACAGCGATCGAGCTGAATAATAAAAACATATTTTGAATGTCTAGCTGAAAGGAAAAAAAATTCCGAGGACACCTAAGCACTTCTTATGAGTTGTGAATGCGAAAGCATGAATGTCATTCTTTCGCTCCCTTAGTTTGTCTGCGATGTGCTGACGTGGAAGGTCACATTTCGCCGCCAACATAGATGCCTCAGGCGCCGCCATGTTCCTCGGCGCCGAGAGGAGTAGAAGCAGCCGCAGCTACCCCCCCCCCCCCCCTCGAGAGAGGGGGGGGGGGGGGGGGGGGTAGCTGCGGCCGCTCGAGAGCGGCGGCCGAGCGCGCACTCTCGTGAAGTGGCCACCAATGGTTATCTAGGAGCCGTTTTGCCTTGCTAATGGGAGAATGGCCATTTCTTTTGCATTTTCTTGCGGTTACACATGCCGCCGGCTCCGCTTTATGGGATAAAGTAATTTTGATCTCAATATACAGTCTAGAAGGAAGGTGAGCAAAAGGAGCTAGTGGAGCCACCACAGAAAACACCGCGTCGTTACTGTGAAGGAAAACTTTGTAGCTGTTATTATTATCGTCTCTTCTAGTGCTTTCTTCATAATCAAGAGAGATTGTCTGCTATTTTCTTTTTGCCATAGCCCAAGACAAAGCCAATCCGCGTAGTATCCAGGTGACAATCCCTGCTGTTCCGAAACCGAGTCGCAGATCGTTTACTTGCAATGTCACGGGGTATTACATGCTTACGTAGGACACAAGTTACCCAGGTAAGATTTGTAACATCGCCCTTACGTCACATAACTGCTTGACGTGATGTCACATCGCACAATGTCATAGTGTCCTGTCACACCTTGTAGCTGGTACAGGCATCTTAGAAATATTAATGGACAGTGAAATGCCAACATAGATAGAACGGCACCTTTCTTCTTGAAACTGACTTTAGGGGTATAGGGGTTCCAGTGCATCACACGGGACAAATATCAGAAACTAAAAGCACCGATCGGCTCACCAAGTCAGAGTCCTTGCTGGCGTGGTCAATGTTGTCATTGAGGCAGATAAACTTCCTGAGGAAAGAAGAGGCAGTAGCATTTTCTAAGACTCAAAATACTTATGCTACAGGCTGCACACCTAAGCAACAATGAAGCCATTCATTCACCCGTAGTATCTGTCACTCTGGGAGGGAAATATAGAAGGGCTCTCGCAGTGGTGCAACTATGGCAAGCAGAGAATATGCAGGCTTTAGTGTACTCCTGTTAAGTTCAAGGTACTAGAAGAGAAAAAAAAAGGTGCTGTGAATAGCTAAAGTTAGTCGTAGAAGTTAAAGGGGCCCTGCAATCATATTAAAGCGTCTACCTTTTTTGCGGTTTCCACGTCTCTTGGGGTTCGGGCAAGCCAGCGGGCACGGAGAGAGTAACTAAATATCAGTGCATCATATTTTAACCAGATGACGCGGAAACCTCCTCCACCTACGGGGGGTGACCCGCGGTACCGAAAGCACGCCATATGTGACGTATTGGGTCCTGGGCTTACTACTGGTCAGAGTCGCTAAAAGCTACTTTTTAGTCAAAATACAAAAAATAAGTGGCGCGAACCATTTCAATTATTCGTAAAAGTAGTTTTTGTTCACTATTTTAGATCAGAAAAGGAACAAATGCAGTTTAGAAAGTATGGAAACAAGAAATGACCCGTCGACATACCAGCCACCAAACGGTGAAAAAGGCGGCGCATACTAGAAATATGTAGTGCGATCAGGCACGAACCGAGCGGCAAGCGTTGAAAGGTCCCGGATGTACGCGGCGGCGCTGCAGTCGTATGGTCTGGAAGATCCAACCGGTTCCGAGCGTTCTCAAGGCCTTCGGCGAGTAGCTTTGGCTTGCGGTTTGGCCTTTTGGCGGTACGGCAGCGCAAAGTGGCTCCCATTCTGAACTGATCTTTACCCTGTGTGTGCTGTCGTTCGTGGTCAATGAAGTGTCTTGCCGAATTAGTGTTTAATCGAACAGCAAATGCAATGCGAGCCGCTCTGGCTGCCCGCTTCATACAGCCTAGCCAAAACATTCTTTAATGGCGCTCTCTCGAGCCGTCGACACAGAGTGCGGCAGCCGTGACCACTCGCTGAGCTCACTACCCCTCCTCTAGTTCGCGGCCACTCAAGCAACCAAGGACGTCATGAAGGAGGTTATTTCTTGCTTGTTCTCGTAATTTTAATCTGCCTATAACTTTTAAAATAAAGTGAAATTCTAGAAAAGAAAAGTTTAAGTTACTACGTTCAGTGCAAACTAAAAAACAGTAAAAAATTCCTTGCAGGGCCCCTTTAATGAAGAAAGAAAATGATGTAGCACATGTCTGTGCAGAGAGCAAGTTCATCTGCTTTTCGCACGGGGGTTGCAATGATGTCAGAACGCCGAGGTCTTTTTGGCTGATCGGAAAAAATAGTGGGTAGACCTCAAGGCATCTACGATTGAGGTCTACTCACTATCCTTTCAATGAAAGCCAACCAGAGCTCAGCGTCGTTCTGACGTCACCATAACTCCTGCACAAGCAGCAGACGACTTGCACTCTGCATAAGACCCTATTACACCAAGTAATGTTAAAAAAAACAAAAAACAGTATAATTATGTGCAATGGCATAATACTATATATAATTCCACGGCTAAAAGCAGTGTTACTTCACAAAGGTGAAAGCTATAAAAGATAACAAGTCTATGCAAGAACCATTCTTTCCTAATGGAACATATAACAATTCAAAATTCTAATAAAGAAAATTAAATTATGTCATTCCAAGCAACATTTAATGAAGTGAAAGCTATAAAAGGAAATTTAAATTTACGGAAGAACTAAAATGAGTGGCGGTAATTTTAATACAATGACCCTGCATACATTGAAAAGAAAAGTTCCAGGCATATCACTTACTTCAGATCTCTTCTGAGACCATCCAGTTGGGCCAGCACACGAGAAGCATTGTTATCAATCATCTTGAATGCATAGTCCTCCTCCTTGATCATCTCAAACTGGTTCACTTTCTTTGTCTTGAATACTTTCCGCAGCAGGGTGATCATTCGACTGCAGTTCACTACTGTTTCTTTGGTGATGGTGGGCTAAAGGAGTCACAAGGTGTTTACCATCACACATTGATCGAGATCCAATAAAAAAGAACACAGCTAGAATTTTACAGCAAAAGCTCACCTCAATGACTATAACTGGATTGTCGACCTAACAATCATGGCAGGTCAAAGTGTAGAAATTTGACTGTAGCAAATAATCTCAAATTGGACCATTTATTTATATCAAAAAGTAACACCGCTCACATTTAAAAATATTTGAAGCAGTACACACATAAAAGCTCTATCTTTCCTGCAAATCTAAAGACAATATAAGCACAACCTAGGTACTATTTGTCAGTTAGACAGTCTTTACTTACTATTCATACTCTATCTCGAAAGTTCCATGCAGTGCAGTGAAAGCTACAAGCGGGACAGGAAAGAAAGCCCCTCTTGTATGAATTTTGAGTGACAGGCTAACCCCCAATGGGCACCAAAGTGACGTCTGGGATGCACAAAAGAGCATCTGGGTAAGAGGGAGGCCGTCCTTCCTCTACCCTCCAACTGGTTGCCCTATGCTCTCGTCCCTGTACCTCCGACAACACTGTGCACAACCATTGAGATGGAGCGTAGTACTATAGCTCACTCCCCCAAAAACAGCTTCACTCACCAACGAGGACTCCAAATAGCGTTCGTAGCTGGGAGTGGAGCGAACAACCTTGGGCGTGAAGTTGTGCGCGCACTCCGTGAGGACTCCCTCGACCATCTGCACATTGCTGTGTTCCACGGGAAGGTCGAACAGGTGCGTGATTACCGTGCGGATCTCTCGATCCGACCAGGTCCTGGAAGAATTTTAAGAATGATTCACCTCCAAACCGAGGCCCAAAGGGCAAAGCGCAAAAACGAAACGTACAAACAGCAAACGCCACTGACAATCGTAAATGCGGTGTTTCACTATGATTAAACGGTTATACAAAGCACAGAAAAAGTGGCTGAACGTAGCTCTAGATCATGGGTCATTGACCTGGGTTACTGGGAACCCAGGGTTTGCCCAGAATACCCTCGTAGGTTCCCGGACCTTTCAAACCTTCTCGACCATCAATCCCAAAAGTAAGCAGTTTTCCAGTTTTTAAGGGCTACTCTGGCATTTTGTTCATAGTCCCCGATTTGCCTGAAAAATATTTGCTAAACACACCAACAAACATCGCTGAAATAGTAACCTAAATATTGAGCCAAAATATTTTTTTTTGCAAAGTTATTGAATTTAAATTGTGTTTGTGTCTATATTTATACAGCCTAAAGTTATTTTCATTTTTTTTCTGTTTCTTCTTGCTAAGGTATTAAATTTACAATTTTGGTCCTCACCGTGTTTCTCAAAGTGAAAGTCTCTACTGGCAACAACAAAAAAGTGAAGTCAGCGGAAGGCAGGGGTTCCCTCTTTGGACTGTAGACTTTGTTCCCAACTGATTACAAGCAGTTTCATGGTGTCAAATGAATGCTCCGGAAGCTCGCTCCAGTACCCGCGCAACAGGCAGGAAATGCTCAGCATAGTACATTTTTAGACTGCCCACTGAACCTGCAAGCCTGCCTTCCCCCGACATCACGGCACTGAAAAGCGCGGGTATATTTGAAAGTTGGTTTTGGCAACATTTTCACTTGCCGATATCACAATAACTATTTTGAATTTCGTGATACTAGGTAGCATATCAAAAAGGGTAAAGGCCGGTGATTCCGAATATATAGTTTAGTTGGGGTATAGTTGGGGTAGCTTAAAAAAATCACCGGAGTACCTCTAAGGCTTAATTGAGCAAATGCCATTCATGAATGTATTACTATGAGTCAAACACTCCCTTTAGTCTGCTGTAGTTTAACAAAACCGGGAGATGCTCCTACCACAAAACTCTCCACTCTTTCCACTTTAGCAGTACGAATGCTGAGAGAAAGTGAGCGGAGAGAAAGAAACCACCAAACCTCATGAAAATACAGCTTTGCGTAAGGAGCTAGCCCCGCTGTTCTTAACCTGCAACAGACCATGGCACAATCATTGTTGTTTACAAGGTCTGCAGGCTCCTTCACCGTCTTACTGCCCCAGTGCTGCAACTAGGAGGGGTTTCTTGGTCGCCATTCGAGATAGACAGGCACTCCTGCAGATTAAAAAAGTTTGGAAACCCATGCTCCAGGGCAATGCATTCTTACCCGGAGCTGTCGACATCAAAGGCGTCAAAGATCTCTTCAGGTTCGATGTCGCGTCTCTCGCTCATCAGAAAGTAGAAATAGGAGAAGGCAAACTGCATGTCGCCCGAACTGCGAACCTTGTGGGAGGACGTGCGGTCAAATTCCTCTGGAAACCTGCAGGATGGCAAGCGGTGGTACGGCACTCACTAAATTTCTCGTCTAAAGAAGTGGGGCTGAACAGCTTCCCGCTGTCTAAAAGTATGCGCAACACAATTACTTTTAGGCAGTCTATGGTATTATCACCATTACTAGTGAATACAAGCCCTGACTGGCACGCACCTCGTTTGCATGTCCTAATTTGTTTCAATTACAATCCCAACTAAGCTTCACTTTTAATAACTTTAGATTATGGTAGCAGCGAAAAACCAGCTCACATGTCCTGGAGTCGTCGCACGACGTCCACATCAACCATGTGCGCCATGTGCGAGGGCACTTTCCTCGCTTCGTAGCCAAACGCAGAGTTGAAGAGCCTGTTGACGTGCCTCAGGGAGTCCCCAAAGGTGTCCAGAAGCCGCCGTCGACGCCAGGTCCAAGATTCCAACGGCCGAAGCTCCTTCGCCACACGTGGCAGAGAAATGGACCAAGTTTTTGACGGATGTTTTCCGAATACGGTAGAGCGGCCTCATCGCCGTGTCGGCACAAAGGGGTTTGGCACAGCTTGTCCGTTAAAAAACTTGTCTAAAATGACAGACAGTAGCAGTAAGTTCTATACTATAGTACTCTATAGTATGACTCCACCAAAAACAACTTCGCTACGACATTGTAAGGCACCATGTCTCCAATAGTCCTTTATGAGCACATAAAAAACAATAGAAATGACTATAGCTGCCAGCAAGATTAGAAGAGCAGGGAGGAATTTCAGTTTGTCCCGCCTTTGGGACGAGGCCTCTATTTTTGATGACGCTTTGGCGTTTCGTGACCCTCAACGGAAGGCAACAAGCGTTCATGGGCGGATATAAAAAAGGGGAGGGCGGGACTGCCCCTCCCCCCCTCTTCTTTGAGCCTTCACCCCCAAGGTGAACTTTTTTTATGAAAAAAATTGATATGCACTAGCCAGAAGTTTAGTTTTTGGTGACATAGCAAACATTGGGTCAACAAAATAAATCTGGTCAAAGTTTTGGCCGCAACTCCCTCCCCCTCTCTCTCTCTTCCCCCGCAAGCCTGACTCACAAATCTGCCCCTGCGAGTGCATGCTGAAAGCCAGGCACTGGAAAGAAACACCCTGCTGTTCCCCCTTTGTCAGTGACGTCATACCGTATCTACCAGCAAACTGAATAAAACGGTAGCAACATGAGTCAATACTGTTCTCCAGTAAGCGATACCGGTTTACGTCGGAGAGAACGCCGCCACGACGTACCTTCGGGACTCCAAAGAAACCCTGTTTCTCCCACGGCAGCGTGCCGTCACGCAGCGCGAGCAGACTCCGTTGCCCATGCGCCGCCTCGGGAGCTGCGTGTTCCATCGCAACCGTAGCTTCTTCGCGTCTGAAGATCAGCTTGGGCTCCACCGCACCGCTTGACGTGGTGTTTTTCAAGTGCTGCTCTACAAGCTGAGACTTCTTCTTTCTAAAGCCCTTCAAAGTAAGCAGTCCTGCGGGAAAATACGATAGAATACACTGTGGGAATGTGCCCAAGGCTAAGATAGATTTAATTTTGGCTGGACGAATTAGAGCAGGCAACGCGAGCTGAATGCGAAGACTTCGGTGAAAGTTGAAAGCTTTGACTTTAGAGTTATAGGCCTTTCCTTTTCGTTTACCACACCAGATTTCGGTAGTGCTACGTGTTGCACCCACCCGAGGAGTAAAGAGTCTCGGTGTGTTTGATCCTTTCGACCAATTCGCTCGGCAACTCCGATTCGTCGACATCCAGATCAGAATACTTGTAAGAGATGGCTTCGTCTGGTACAAGCTGAGGTTGGGGTGGATATCTACAAGTAAAGAAGAAGATGATACGGCATAAATTCAAGAGTCATGTGCTATGCCTGTGTAGTAGTATTAATAAATCCCAATAAACGACATCAAAAGATAGTCTGTTTTTAACAAGACGATGTGCCCACAAATGTACCAGGTCTGCTAGCAATACTTACATTATCTACTAGAACATGTCTTTCTGTGGTACAGAGAGAATCAGAAGGCCATAGAAGAACACACACAATATTCTAGGTAGCAGTGTTAGAGCAAGGAAGCTTTATAGGAACGTAGGAATGCTTGGCTTCAGCTTGACACTGAAGTCTCAAAAGCTATTTTGGAGTAAACCATTTTCAGAGCATGCTTCCCTAACGCACAGCTAAAAGGCATGCAATCTGTAGTGTTTCTCCATAGGATTTCCAGTTGTTGCATTTGGTAATGCATGCATGCATACAAATACAAAAAGAAGTGTCAAAAAAGTCATTTCATTACATGCCTTTCTGTGCTTAGTCCTCAACAAAGGGTGCAAACTGTCTATTCCAGTGGAGTTATTGACAACTAAGGAATAAATAAATCTTCATACGGTGTTCAGAGACCTCAAGAAGTAGTTGTTTCTCCAAGACACGGTCTCCAGCAAAAGGGCTAACACTCTTCCACCAAGTGGAAGTCGATAACGCTTCGAGAGCAACTAAACTGATGCATCATCATCTGTACCGATGACTGCAGCTATAAAGCATAGGCGACAAAAACACCAACAATGAATTCGGACACATAACAAATGCAGCATTGGCTAGAATGAGCATACTCTACAAGAGAGCCTGCAATGCTGCTCATGACCTTCTCACCTCAGCGACAACGGATATTCGGTGAAGTCTATCATTTCCTCGGGTGTTGTACTCTGCACCACGGAGCTGGCGGCCGTTGAAGCTTTGCGCACCACCTCTTGGTCTTGGTCCGTACTGGAAGTGTTGGCCGACAGTGTGAACTGGAACTGCGGATAAGATTAGTTGCAACAAATTAAGCCGGCCCGACGTTACTCCACTAGTCGGAGGTGAGAGATGGCAAAAGGAAATGTAGTTTTCCACGTGAAAAAAACAAAATCCGTAGCTTCTCACCAGAGCACATGAAGAAGTGACAGTGATAGCGCAGTGAGATTTAGCGCTCACACTCTGCTTCGGCATGGTGAGCCTTGAATAATCTTTTTTGGGATTCGCCCCAACCTCATGTGGCCTTCCCAAACACTTACGCTAAAATCCAGAGGGGAACTTATGGGACGCGACACCGCCGATGATGATGGATGATTATTTTTGGATCTTCCCTCTGAATCAGGTGGTCCCACAGTGCCAGGGACCTGACCTGTAGGCCTTTCATATCTCCTCTGCTGCACCAGCAGCCACATATTTTGTAGCCTTGGTAGTTTCCACTAATCCCCTCCTCTCTCCCTCGGCCATCAGCTTAGAGTCGGCACAAACGGCAGGCCCACAGCAGACGCCCAAAACCCCAAGGCCTAAAGCGAACTAGTCTGGTTGGATCCCCGCCATCTCTTAGCCGAGGGGTGAACCAGAGTTTTCTGCCTAGCACGACGCTGGCACCGCGAATGCAGCTGGGAAGTCCTTATGACAACTATCTCACAAGATTAATTCTGCTCGGGAGGGATTCAGAGGACAGATGTCTCACCTCGAAAGGCGCTTCACTGTGGACGCCCTTCAGCGTCAGTTGTATCTGCGTGACGTTGTGGTGGGGAAACAGCAGCACCGTCATGACACTGGTGGGCATAGAGATGGCTACCGCACGAACGGCGGCGTTTTCTTCGTAGAAAGCCTCGGTTATCTTTGTCCCATTGTCCATGAAACCGGACAGGTTGAAGTATCCCGAGAGCTTGCCTGTCAAGACCCAGGTCAGATGTCACAAGAGTAATTCCTTGGACTGTCTGTTAGCCGCTCCCCAAGCACACGAGGCATGCAGGTTATTTCTAAGATAATTTATTGACTTCTACGGATCTTGGTAACATACTTTTACAAAACGAGTCACACACATCCAAATTCGGTGATTCCCACTGGTTAAAAAAACGCACGAAGGAAACACTAGTAGCAGCTGATCTTCTCCAGCTTAATGATTTGGGTATTGGTGCACTACATCATGGCTCATTAATATGGACCCCATTAATATGGATACTTTGCTATATAGGCACAATTTTGGGGAACAGACTCGTTAAATATGCACATTTGTGTCTCATTATTTTGGATAACTCACATCGTGCACGATTTTTGGGGGAAACAGAGGTGTCCAAGACATAATTATATTTGTTTCGTTGCTTTTTTTTTTTCAGTGAAAACAGAGAAGTTGAAAGCCCATGTGCATTGTAGATTAGAGGTGATAGCGTTAACACAGGTTCTTTTGTTTTAAAAAAGAACACTTTCTAAGAAGGTCGCCTTACCAAAGAAGTCTAGTTTCAGGAGACGATCCAGCTAAGCATTATTCTGATGCTGAAATTACTGGAAGTCTAAAATGAAGCTACAGAAGAGATCCAAAGTAAAGACCAGTAGCTTTCCTCACTATTGAATAGATGTGAAGCTCTTACAAAACGTTAGTGGAACTGAGAAAATTTTGAAGAGTTATAGCCAAGAGAGTAGATGGGAACACTCTTCATGCTAAGCTGCCACAACCAAAAAAACAACTAAAAACACACCTCATCCCACCAAGTTGAAGGTCAACTAAAGTAAACTGCCCCTACCACTGCCCCTACCATATGAAAACCCAGTTTCACCCAATATCGGCACCCCCATGTTTCTCTAGATATTAATATCAAACCCGACTTTCGTCTCCGGATAATATATACTAAAAACATGCTTAGACTCTAACTTCCCAAGATAAAAAGGATTAGGAAGGTCTGTTCAGACCAAGACACTGACAGCTGGTTCCTCATAAGTTGATTAACTAAACACAACTAATCAGATAATTATGAAGAAAAAAAAAGCTTAAAAGCAACTACTATTTCTAAACATACACAAAACAAAGTTGTAGTTTTTTAGCATAAATTACTTTTGCTAGTCATTCATTCATTATTCCCTCGCCACCAACAGACAACACCAAGCAAAACATTACTGTCGCTGACCTGGAGGCAGAGTGTAGTTGCGCTCGTCTCTCGAAAGGGTCAGGCCGTGCAAGAGGTAGTAGCTCCCAGTGCCACAGTCCCCGGCGTCAAAAGCACAAGGCAGCACATTGCATGCCTTCAGAGAGGATGGTCAAAAGGGGAGACACAGGGAGAGAGAAAGTGAACCGAAAAAAATGAGAGAAAGTCCGACAGACATGCACCCAACACCCAAAAGACAAAAACGCTCAGGCAAGGCCCGAGATGGCTTTCACAGAAAATGTCAAAAAATACCTCGTACAATAGAATGTATATCAGTACCTGAAGTGCCTGTGCCAGCATTTCAATCATACCTCAACTTCATCGCATTTAAAGCTTCATTATACTATCAGCCTTTACTATTGTGAGATTATGCTGTAATCCCCGTGGTAGATGTTGTTGAAGGGAAGCTCTAGAGGTTCTTGAAAAATGTGTGAAGAGATGAAAGCGATCGCTGTAGCACGGTTGCCCAATGCGGGTGGAATGGTGCCATCACATACCTAAGGACGGAGGTGCGACGTGGTCAATTCTCATAGCCTTCGTGGATGCCACTGACGATCACCACCAAGTAAGAGGATAAGAGCAATGGAAGTCACTAAAACCACCCAACATTATACATAGCAACTGGATACTGCCAAAGTGGGATTTCGCATAACGCGAGTATTGTTTGAAAACAAGTGTTTGAGGCAGACGACACGGAAGACTCTCTTCTCGTCGCGTCGTAACTGGCGGGGTGCCGGAGCTCCCCTCTTTTTTATGTCCATGCCATGCGGGCGACCAGAAAACCTGACTTGCCTCTCCTCGCTCCAAGAGGGGAGAGAAGGGTTTCTCCTTCCCTCTCCTCATGTCAAAAGGGGAGAGAAGCGTTTTTCCATAGCGGCGACGGCAGCCCACAAGCTCGAAATCCCTGCAAAGTGTCGCCTGTAAAGCTACCACTTTAAAAACGAGTTAGCAGGAAATTCCAGTATAATTTTGTCCTGTGAACATGAATATGACAAGCACCTGACCCCAACGTATAAATAAACGCGAGAAAAACTGAAAAACCAACCACTGGGTGTGACGTCATACCCATAGGTTTCTGCCTTGCGCGTGCCAGTTGTGAGGGTACGCATGCAGCGTTTTTATCTGCTCGGGTAAGGCTTGAGGAAGGCACGGAAATGTTGAGATACCTGTATAATACGTCACGATTCTCTCCTCCCACCAAATGCGCTGGAAAGGGGTCTTTAGCGCTATTTTGAAAGTGCTGTTGTGACTAGCTGGGGCATCATTCTGAATATAATTTTGATATTTGTGATCCTGGGGGCCAAATAAAGAAGATTTGAGAGTTTTCTCCCAAATGCCAAACCACTTCGGTTTCCCTTTAAGCTTGCAGGTTGTCAGGCTGAAACAGCGGGGACCAGCGCATGCTAATTTGGTACATACTGGAATGCGCACAATAGATGTCTAGCAGTTGTTGATATCAGTTAACCCTACTGGGAAACTCATGGGTTTGAAGAAAAAAATACATATTTAAAATTAGTGGGATATTGATTTAATGGACTGCATACTAAACCAGTTGCTTGACCTAGGAACCTGAAATTTTTTATAAAAAAAAAAAATGAAGAGCCAGTGGAAGCATATTTCTAAAGTACTAACACTTTAAATTTCATACGTAAATTTTTTTTCTCTTTGCTTTTTTTAATGGTTTAGTATTTTGGTAAGCCTTTTGAAACAAAAATTGGCATTTTGCATTACTGAATTATTTTTTTTAACAAAATAAAGAGGCAGCTAGGACACCAATTGCCATGGTGTCTTGCGTAACTCTTTAGTCGAACAAATGCCACAGCAACTGCGAACGCCACAAATGTGAGACATAATTTGGCCTCAAAACGTTCCAGTACTGATCTTGGGCCAGTGTTGGTGTAGCAGCTGCACTACGCTGGTTCTATCAGAAAATGAACTACAAAGCAGGTTTTTAAATCCTTCCGACCGTCTTTATCACGCTGGCAACAGCACCCTATAGGCTTTGACGATTCCAGAGCAAAAATGTCAGTCACTCCAAAAAATGCCGATCCATCCATTCTGTCATTCGGAAGCTGCTCATGGTACCCAGGCCCGGGCATGGCCCAGGCAATACAGGTGCATTCTTACCTGGTCGCAGTACTTGTCAGCAAGCCAGCTGTTGGCACAGCTACTGCTGCAATACACTGCAATGCAGCACATGGACAAAAAGCATAAAATGAGTACAAAATTCAGACACATGGCCAAGGAACACAGCAATTAACTTGACAATTCACCTATAAAAATAATAAAACCTGTAACTCATCATGTAATCAATATCAAATTTTCTTGACATAAGGACTTATTGCAGTGGAGTGCTGATGGCACACATCAGAGAGATGAAACTACAATGAATTTTGGAGTTTACGTCCCAAAAAGGCACAAGGCATCTGGACGCTCAAGCAGACGAACGTGCAACCAAAGTCTCGGTTACACGGTACACGCGCCACAGAAATGCCTTCATTAAAGGGCAAGCAACCCAGCTGGGATTCCGTTGATAAAACAGCAAACTCTACCCATATCCTCTATAAGCAGCAGATCAGAGAGCTCTCTAAAGCAGACAAAACTCAACAGGTCTGTACGATGCATTCATGATACGCAATTGTCAAGTCGGCAATTGTGTATTGCGGGGTGCGGTGAACGAAAGACTTTGCAGCAAATCGCGTCCGTAACATTTGAGCTACAGACAAGGCCTGCACAAAGAAAGAGTCAAGCTGCCTACTCCTGCTGATATCAGGCCTGGGGAAGCTGAAGATGTTGCGAGGCCTGAGGGTGACTGCGCCTCCGCCGATGCAGTCACCTCCGTCCCACTCGCACTGCGTGTTGTTGCACGCCTTGTCACAGTAGCCATCCCTCACCCAGGACGTCGGGCAGCCCATGGCACAGTCCGGCACGGGCCATGCAAGCCGGACCTGCGCAAACACCGGGTTGATTCAAGCGGTCAAGGGACGAAGTGCCACCTGGATTAATCAGCCGGTTCGGTCAGTTACGTCGTAGCTAGACTCGTTTGAGAGCTGCACAAAGAATTTTAACATTCATTTTCTCCACTGTCTAAAACCGGTACAATGGTTCTTGGCTGGCTTGCATCTTGTACGTGTCAACAATTCTGCCACGTGTAGCTTCACGGATACCGTCGGCGAGAGAAGTGGCAATGAGACATGGCTTCTTTCGTTTTAGATCCGGTCAGGCAACACTGTTGCGCTCTTCCATAGGGCATTTCTAATGAGCAAGAGGATGGTAAATGGCTGCCGTGCATGCTCATCAACGAATACCAGTAATCGACTGGCAACGCTTGAATGCAACAATATGGCATTTTCTGCTATTACTATTAGGCAAAGTGTATTTAGAAGTTCTCCTAATAGTAGCCTTTGCATCTATACGAGGTTGAGCGCAATCCATCTTGTGCAGGAGTGAATTATTTATGAGTTTAACACGGCAGACTTTTGCGATGCGGGTTTGAGGCGCTAGGGCTTGCCTTGTAGCCGCCCGTGTGCGTGTAGAAGTCTTCAGGCCAGACTTCCTTGCCAAACATGACGTCGTCATTGAGGTAAATGAAGCGCTGGGATAACCCCGGGATACAGTGCAGATGGGTCTCAATGGCCGGGGAACTGTAGGTTGGCAGGTGGCTCAGATTCCTGAAGATCTCCTGAAAAAGCGGTGCATGCCAGTGGCCATGATCAGCTGAAGGGTTTGCACATTCTATTTCTGCCACAACAGTATCTTCTCAGTTGTAGCACAAGCACAAGAAGCCTTTCTTTCTGCCTACAAAAGTTACAGAATACAGTGCAATCCACTTATAACAATAATGAGAAAACCCCAAATCTTAATCGTTATAACCGATTATCGTTGTACATAAACTAGGAACTGATTGTTATAGGCAGTATTGCTCTATGTGGTATCGTTATTAGTGGATTGCACTGTAGTACCAAAATGAGGGTACTGCGGTAGTTAAGCTATGAAACAAAATTCTGTTCTTCAGCACCTTGGATATCTAGTGCTAACTTTGCATATCTAGTGCTATGAGCACAAGGAGAGATGTGAAACGGTTGAAGCCAAGAAATTACACATGTTAACATATAAATTTTTATATTTCCAGAGATATCAGAAAAAGCGGCGAGGCTACGGAGAAGATGCACGAATTACGCTGAAACTGCAAAACGTATACAAGCTGCAGTGAAGCTAGAGGAGTCTTACATAGAATCTGATATGGTACAGCTTAAAGGAATCGTTTAAGCTGAGATGGAGCTAAGAGTTGTAAAAATTCTAGAGAAGAACTTGAAGTTTCACCTAGTAGATATGAGAGTTCTAGCCTCAAACTACCAAGATTTTCCGAAAGTGAGTTCTAAATTTACATTCTGAGTGTGTGAACAAGAGGAGTTACAACAGCTGTGAGATACCACAACTCACAACCTGTACCTCATCCAACTTCAGAAGATTATCAGAAGGCTTTGGTAGTATAGCAGCACCTGCCCAATTGTCCTTAAACTTGGGCACGGGGCGAGTAGGGAACAATGTTTACCTCGTGAGTCACAATGGTGATTCGAGGATTGTCCAGGTTGAGCCAGGAGGGGATCTGGCCGTTGGTGACCACAAACACCCTCCTCACCCACGGTGCATGCTTCTGGAGAGACCGGAGTGAGTACTTCAACTCCTGGGAGGAAACAAAAATATAATAACGAAACATTGTCATTACCACACCTTCAGTTCTGTGGTGGCTGGTTCACATATGCAGCACAGCGCTAAGATAGTGCAAATGCAGTGCTGCACCAGTGATACTGTCAGTGCTGCACTAGTGCTAATATAGTGCAAAGTTAGTGCTGCACTGTATGTGTGAGCAGGCCTCCAGTTGTGTTTTCTCAACTGGGAACAAGACATAGCGGCAGGAAGTAATGTAAAACTCCGTTACGACACAACTCTTACTTTCCTGTAAGAATGCTTTGAAATATGTTGATCTGCTATGACCTGCTTACTTTTTGTTAAGACCTGCTTACTTTTTGTTCAGCACACTACCGGTGGAAAGCAGGATAATCGGCTAAAGGGTATACGTAATGCATCTCCTAACACAAAACTGTTCAGGATGCAAGCACAAAAGAAACATGTGAGCATTAGACTTACATCGTTGTCTGCAAACCGGCTCGCTATGACATCTTCATTTTCCTGCAAGAACAATGTGGGCTTTATAGTACACATAAGGGGTTCTACATATATTGTCGTAACATATGTTATCAAACGTTGTGCTGTCATTGCTAGATTGTGCCGTTTTTTTTGGTTTTTTTTTTATTTTGTGAAAACTATTAGTGAGGTACAACAGGCGCCTTTGCGGCTTCATCAATTGATACCCTCAACCAAACTGGTTAATGGGCTGAACAACCTGCAAAGACAACCAATTTAAGGAAAAGAACAATGAATATCCCTTAGGAAGTGTGCGACAATGAACACAAGACTTCGAACAAGAAAATGAATATCCCCATATTGTAATACACCATGCACGTCTTCCCTTCCTCTTCCCACTTTTTTTTAAAGTATTGTGCGAGATGTGTAATGTTGCGCCTTACGCACAAATTCCAAAACATCCGCCACGAAAAGACTGAAGAGAAGACGCCGCATGCTTGATAATTACGAGAGCCTTCATCACACACCACTAATCTCGTTTGTGAAACTCAAAATTACTCGGACTACCTTCCAAACAAAAGCACCCTCTACCCAACCCCCTTTATAAAATTGATTGGTGCAACGAGCCGCAGGTGATGCTGCGAGACTAGGCTTCCTAGCTCACTTACCGTCAAGGGTTCCAGGACTAGAAAGACTCGGCTGATGGATGCGAGGCGAGACTTGAGCGACACGTTGGCCTTGGAGAGGGCGTCCGTTGCCGCCTTCCCAGAGGTCACCAGGAGGGCTAGGCTCTCATTTTGGTACAGATGTATCTGGCAAAGGAAACGTCTCAGGTCAGCACATAAGTTTTACGTCCACTCCAGCGCTCCTACGATACACTTAGAGTACCAGCACTCCATTCCCCGAGTTTCTTGCTAACGTTGCCTTTTCAGTACCTAGTGCAGAGCAAACGCAATTGGCAACCATTACGAAAAAAAAAAAAAATAAAGACGACTTCCTGTGCTTTAGATAAGCTGTCAGGAAACTTGGACGACAACATTTTGTTCTTTCACAGGCTGTTCCAACGCTTCTGGAGGACAGAAAAGTATTCCCAGCGATTTCAGATAGTGGTTCAGATAACTGGCAACACTGGTTTTAGACACCAAGATGGCTGAAGTGTTGTTAGACTCGAGCGTAGCTTATTAAGCGGCTCTAGTTGAAACGAGAAAACAGCGCCCGGAAGGTCTTCACCTTCACGATGGTCTCCTGGGAGGTGCCGGATAACTTCTGGGCAATGTCCGTCTCCGAGACGCCGGACGGAACGCCCACGATCATGAGCATGTCCTCGAGGGGTGCAGTGTTCGGGGCGGTTGAGTCAGTCGTGACAAACGTCGCCCCGACTGGAACTCTTTCGTCGGCCAACAGCACGTAGCCATTCGTTGCGGCACGCTGTGCTGCAACGTGTACAACGATACAGTTAGTATGTTTCGTTCATATCGAGACCTCCGTTCTCCCCAAAAAAATTGTCTGTGATAAGAGTCGCCCGTAATAACTAGACAAAAATGCACATATTTACCCAGTTTGCCACAAAACGTTTTGTCTATATGGTGGGGTAGTACCTATATTAACAGGGTCCATACCAAGAGACATGACTGTACAGGTTTTTCAAGTGCCTTTTTGATTGTGCGTTTTGGGCAGGTTTTGTATTTTATATTCAATATTAGTTTTGTTCCTCGACAATACATCTATGGAGACGTGAAATGTATACTTGGGTTGTTTCCCTTCTTGGTTGCCCAACGAAGTACTTTACAGGCCCGACTATGTGATGAGGTCAACAGCATTCTAATTGAATGCATAAGGTGGCTGTCATTAAAAAGTGAGAGATGTGCAAAACATGCAATTAATCTACCCATAACAATTTTCTGGCACCAACCCCAACAAAAAGAAACAATCTTGCGGAGATGGCCAGTAAAAAATAAAGTGTACATATTCCAAGGCATCTGTTATAAAGCAATTTTTTTTCCAGTTGACACAAACTGCAAAGGAGTGAATTTTAACTGTAACCATACCCGCTTAGATGAGCGAAAAATCAAGCAAACAAAACATTGTTTAGAAAATTACTATTTGTCTGTTCGGTACATCCATCCAGGTTTGACTAGAAAACCACCTCCAAAAGATCAAAATAGAAACCATCAAGAGCTTATCAGGAGCGCATGTAAAAAATGTTCAAATTGTAGCCCTTTCTTGAGCAACCCATGTGCATGCTTCACAACCCTTGTATTCATAAGGCGTAGACATGCTACATTCACTTCTTTCATTACCTTCCTCTAATGATGAATACAAGAGCACAGTGGAAGTGTGGAGTTCGTTTTTGTGCTTGTGGTTGACCTTGAAGACTTTTCTCACGCCTCTGCCTTGCACGTCCACCAACGATGTCTCGTTGGAGAGGTGCCGCAGGACGACAATCGGTGCTGGAACGCACATTTTGTACTGGCATGCTGGCGAACTGAAAGGTGGAGAGAAAAAGGACACAGACGCAACGTCTAACCCCTCATTCTCCGTCGCAGAAAAAAGGGCTAAAGGAAAGGGGGGGATACCTTGATTTGTTGGTCTCCAACGCAAGTTGCTTGCGAATGGCCGACAAATTGCGCACAAGCTCCAAGTCGGAGCCGTTCACCCAGGTGTAAACGGCGTCAATCGGCACGTGTTGGCACAGTCTGTCGTGAAAATGACATCAAGGACCATAAGTGCCGTCATGAATAAGGAACCGCAGAGTGCATAAGGAAAGTTTGCGGTGTTTTTTTTATGGCACAGAGACTGGGCAGAGCAGAAAGATCAGGACCCCACCTTGAGGCAAGCAACACCATAGGTACTGATAGGATGAGAACAGCAGAGCATCTCATAAGAATGCCCAGCCTCTGGCGTACGCTCGTGGGCCGTCGTCAAACTTTGGCTTTGCGTGCACACTCGAAGCTGACAAGGTACGCCGAAGCGTTACCAAAGGTAGGAAGCTCACACTGGAGGTGGGACGACTGAAGGCCCTTCCCGCTGTTCTTAATCTGTCAGCAAGTACACACGTCCGCAAGATGGTGGTGCCCCAGGACGCACTTGCAAATTTGTATAGTTGTGCGATGTTAGAATATGTATGGGAAAAAAAACTGTCCTGCGATTTTGATTCATTTCTTTTTAATGCAGCATTCAGATTCTCATCATTAGGATTGACAAGAACTTGCAGCAGGTCTCAAAGATATATTCGACAACCTCATCCATTTAAAACTTTCTCGAGATTTAGTTTTCTCCCTTTAGTTCCTTCTGTGGTCAGTCCGCTCAAAACGAGAGAACAAAGTCAACCATACCCCATGTAATTTCTAAATAAGCTTCAACAAGGTGAGAGTGCAGCCGGTGCAGCGTTTTTTGAACCTGTTTACAATACTTTCTTTTCTTTTTATATCATCTTTTTTTGTGCGTTTGGGTCGGCTGGAGTAAGGAAAAAACTGACCTGTCCTGGAAGCTCTGGCCAGCGATGTTGTCGCTGAATCTGCTGAATACCTCGGCATATTTCCCTTTGCTCCAGTCCAACGCAACCTGCGAACCACGTAATTTAGTAATTTTTAATTTAAATCAACCCCATCGAGGTTGTCAATGAACAAAGCGCGTATTTTTAAGTGTGCATCGGAGCTTGCCATAGAGCTTTAATGACCTGGAATTTGTTCATTTCTCCCGCACTAACCTCACAGAATCGAAAGGCCGACACCAGGAAGATTATGAGGCCGACGAGCGAGACGATGAAGAGATGTCTTTGGGAGAGCACGTTGTAGGTTTGCCTCTGGAGAAGCTTGCAGAGGATGGCCCGTCGCATGGTGCGACGCGTTAATTTTGGTCTCGCTTCTGCCGGCTTCCAGGGAGCTTATCATCTTCGTGATATGAGCACACTCTCACTGTTATCACTTCGTGGCAGCGAGTAAGCGACAACCGAAAAAAGACATCGACGAAATCACGACACTGCGTTGTTCGCAACTTCGCTCGGTACTTGCTTGGAGACTTCGCTCTCTTGATTGAATGCATTTCATGTCACCCTCCTCAACCAACAGCTGTCTCACTGATTGCGAACTTTCAGACCCCAGAAAACCAGCACTATCAATGACAGATGTCAATAGAAACGTAAAATACTTAAACATAAAAATGTGCAAAAAAAAAAAAAATAAAAAAAGCGCGCGTATAATTACGAGACGATTGTGAGACCGGTGACGTCACTCGATCTTTTTACACGACGGTGCTTTACTGATTTTCAGTTTTAATCTGCAAGAATTCAAAAGATGCTGCCCAAATAAATAATATTACTACTCCATGAGCCATCATCTGACTACAAATATGCGATAGATGCATCTCACTAGCCACAGAGCCGTATCTCTGACTAGCCAGTTTTGTTTACGCGCTTCCCGCTCCCGCGAGTGAAGCCATTGGGCGGCCATCTTGCTCGTAGAGGATTTGCTGGTTTGCTAGCGTTACAGAGCCTGGCGGCAGCGTGCTGAAGACACATTTTCTACTCGTTTGTCGTCATTCGTCGAAGGAGATTTTTAAGACCCTGTGTCTTAAAAATCTCCTACGTGGAATTTTTTACGAAAGCGCAGTGCAGCAGAAAAAGCCACAAAAATAAATAAAGATTGTGAGTGATTTAATTGCCATAAACGTCTAGTAAACAAAAAAAAAAAAAAAAAGAACGTGCCTTTGTACGTTTATCTAAGAAAGAAGTCCAGATTGTTCTTGAACTTGTAGAGAGTTACAGCAAATACTCCGGTTCTTCTTTGAACCGAAAAAAGTCATGCGCAGCCTGAGATTGGGGAACCAAACCTTCTAGGTTTATCGGTATTCAGTGGTCAGAATTAGTGAAGATCTACTTGGGTGCCAACTTAGACGTTCGTGAAGGTGCGGCGTCCTTATGGAAGAAGCTCAGAGGAGCCCAAGGAGCGAAGCTGTTTTTATGAAAATCCCGAAACATCTCCTTATTTACAAGAAGCAACCTGCGCAACGCCATATCCATATCCAACCATCCTCTATTCTGCGCAACTGATGCCATATTCTCTACTAGCACGGCAGACAAAGTTCAGCGTTCCTGGGCTGCCTTTATATGGAAATCGGCATAAAGCTCGTCATTCATCGCTTCCTATTCTTCCGGAATCAGCAAGACCCCCTCATACTGTCTGCATTTCACCACCTCGGTGAATCGCAACTTTTGACATGGCAAGTCACCACTGTCCTACACCCTTCTCTCGGGTGCTTTTCTTTTACAAAGAGATCGCTCAGTCAATCCGCCTGCTGCGGAACTTTTTTCGTGGGACTTTCTTCTGAAAACCAACCGTTAGCAACACTACTGGGCAACAGTCTCCGCGCTGATTCCTCCTCCTCTTTACAAACTTGCCAACCGACGATGACGTATTTCATCGTCTAAAACGTTTGCCCGTCACCACATCATCGAAACACTTCTTTTTCAAGTCCCACACGGAAGTGCTTCCCGTCAAAATGTGGCAGCAGGCCAGGGTTTCTTCGTGCCGTGGCATAGCCAGTATACAGAAGGCTTTGGCCGTGGTCACACAATTGTAATTTACGGGGTAAAAAAGAAACGCACGAGCATCTGTTTATTTTTTGTTCCAATGCAAATTTTTTTTGGGCCAAACTACAGTCGTTCTTTGATCTGGACTTGTAGATTAGTTGGTATATTTTGAAATTCCTGCGGCTGAACGATAAAAAGACGCTGACTGACCTGACGGAGATAGTCATGGTTTTAGGCCTGCATGCGCTATGGCGGTCAAGAGTATAGACATGAAAGAGTGCACTCTGAGCCCCAAACCTGCGTGGCACTATTTTGCTAACAAATTGGACTGAACTCTTTAGAACCAGTTGAAATAGAAAAAAGATCTGATAGACACTCTGGTGAAAGATCAGAAGGTAGCACTAAATTGTTATGGTTCGGGAAGACTATCCATCGCCTTCGCACGTGCCTCGCTCTAAATGTATTGTTAAGAGCTTCGAGTGTAATACAGATCCAGAGCTGAGGTTATTGCACTCTTTAACAATATTGTAACCTTTGATTTTCTTTGCACCTGGGTCATTGAATGCAATGTCTAAATTATGTAACATTCTTTTTTTTTTTTTGCTCTAAGATATGTTTATAGCTTTTTTTTTCACTCTTGCACTTATGTTTTCAACCGGTAAAAAAAAAAAATTGCTTAAAAAAACACACACACAAAAAAAAAAAAAAAAAAAAAAAAAAAACGGGCAGGTGTGGCCGAGTGGGCTAGAGGAGCACAGGGAGCTCGCGCTGCAGAACCCAGGATTCTGAGTTCAATTCGCCACCCCTGCCCGTTTCGATCTGGATGAGCATCCTACAGGCGTGCGGTCCTGTATCACTACTGCGTAATGCACATTAAAGACCCCAGGCTAGCGGTTTGTACTGCTGGCTAAATTGCTCATCTACAGCTGGGAGACTAGACGCCCGTTGAGGCAAACAAAGTTCTAGGCAAGTTCTAAGTTGTTGTTTGTTTCAGTTTACTGCTTTCAAACATACGCGCCAAAAATGGGAACATAACGTCACCACATGTACACGCAGAGTAGTACACGCCAAGGGGCCAAGGGCAGCGTCGCCTCTATTTACCTCTCCTCCGCGTAGCGTAATCACCCGCGAAAGAGAAAAGTGCAAAGGAGGCAACGCTGAGGTACTACAACGAAATTTCGGCGCTTATTTTATGGTCTATATGTGTTCAAAGGAGCAGTATCACGTCGGACACACCAATATCTTGCTAAAAAGACACGAAAAGGAATTTTAAAACGAATTAAACGATTAGCAAAGAGCACCTGGTGGATGTCGCTGACGCCTCGTTTGTTATGCCCGTCTAGGGACCTTGACAGCTAGTGACGGTTATTGTCTTGCCTCCGGCCACGACGAGAGAAGAGGGGAAAGAGGAACTCCCCTCTTCCCGAGAATTCCTTTTGTGCGTCCCATACGTCGCTATTGTTCCTCTACAAAATTATAAGATTAACCCGTCACTCAAAATTCTTACAAAAGCAGCCGCTTCGGTGGCTGGAACGACTAGGCCATCCCCTCGACGTCAGCCTCGCGGTAGCTTTGCTCGTCCCGAGACGACTTACGTCACGAATGTGTCGGATGTCACGTGCTCTAAGCTGGGCCTTCTCCGAGCGCTTGCCAGAATGGGCCGTTTATAACAAAAAATAGAGCCACGAGGCTCAAAATACAAACGTGCGATTGTCATTTACGGATATCGTGGATCATATTCAACCTAGTTTTGAACACGACGGATATATTTCAAAT